TGTAATAATCACCAATAAGCATCTGAACCTGAAATTAGTGACTAGCTGATTTATCCGTTGCAATAACAAAAGTATTAAACGAGCTTAAAAGATACCGTTTTATTAAATGAGAAGAGCGTTGTTATTTTATAATAATTTGTCTTAGATCATAGTGGTTATGTCTCAGTTTTCTTTAAAGAGTGGATTAGTTAAAGCATTGATGTGGATACATCACTAGCATACGCGTCCTCAAATAATATAATTCCCATTAAACCTCACAAAGTAAATAATCCTTCTACTTCATCTGAAGAATAATAAAGACACCTAAGTTCATAGTCATCGACTTACAACTGTTATCAATTTTTAATATGCAAAAATATTTGGAGAAGTGGAAGGGTGCCTGCTTTCTGCATTGTTGTATCCAACAGCATATTACTCTTGGATTATTACATAATACTGAAATAAGAGATTGCGGATCCTTATGAAGGTTAGAATAACCGTGAGTGATAGATTTGTTAGAACAATTCTTTTCTTTTACGGAAGAATATTTCATCTGTATATCCGAGACAGCATTGGATGAGTAATTGACTTTATTTAGGAATAAGATATTATAGTATTTGGATTTGATTAAATCAGATAACTTTATGTAGCAGATCAAACCACAATACATAAATCTAATCTACTTAAGCTTTTATCTTCTAACTTGTTGATCCTTACTTTAACCCTTTACATTCTGACAGAATTCAATAAGACTGAAAACGTAGACGTCGGCAGAATTAAGGAATAGTTTATCCTGTCCGTCACGTTAGTTATAATGAAACTGCTGAAGTACTGGTCAAAGGAACCTTTAGTTAGATCAACCCACTTACCTCCTGTCACCGATCCAATCGGTCAAGGCACCGCTATAGCATGATGAACCGTGCAGTAACAATTGGGTATGTCTTTTCTTTTATCATCAGGTCATCTTGTACCTAAGAGTCTCGATAGAAAAAGTTTTTTACAATATCCACAAATATAAATAGAAGTACTTTTTTCCTACATGGTTTTTGTCTTCAATTTCTATATCAGAATATTCTACCTAATAAAAGAAGATAACTTGGTCTTCACTGATTTCCTTTTTGTTTTCTTTTCCTTTATACTTTTATCTGATCGTATACAACATGCATGTCCCATGGTTTTATGAACCGTCTGTTGGGACGATCTAACACCAGAAGCAGTGGAAGCAGAAGGGGCAGAAAGAACAGCAGCGTCATGCATCTCTGTGTCTTCGGACAGAGAGCTATCGTAACCAAAGAGGTCGGCAGGAGAAGGAGAAGAAGATTCGCAATTGCTTGCAGTAGACATTTTTGGGAGCTCTGGCATTTTATGGCCACCGCCTAAAATTGGCTCCTGAGCATAAATCCAAAATCACCTTTTTAGGAACTTTCGGAGTTTTAATTTTGTGTAACCATAATTTTTTGGATTCTCCTGGTTTTGCTGATTCGAATGCACACCATATGTCTGATTTTCGATGGTTATTTCGCTGGCTTTAGACGAGAATGTCCTCAAATTATTCAAATTTTCTTGTTGTACTCGGCACAGTTCGAATGACGGAAATTTACCGCTGCCTTCTTCAGTTTTTTATGGTTTTAGCTGTAAACTGTCATGTCCCGATCACTGTCTACGGTATCGAAACACGAGTGAGAATTAATTTATTTAAACACAGCATAAACGGCTGTCAACTTAGACTTGAATTGTCGATTAAGCGGATCTCTGCTAATTTATACACTCGAGCTTTCAATTTTCAAGTGTAAATTGTTCTATAAGGAAATTGTTTTCGAAAACGAGACTTTTACCATTAGAAAGCTAACAACTATCTCTATTACGTAATATTATTATGATGACGTCATGTCAGATGACGTAGCTTCATATATCAGAATATTTGGCTGAAAATTATATATGTAATGGAGCTAATCGCCAGCGTTCCAATGGTAAAAGTCTTGTGCTCCAAGCTGACTTCGTCATTGAGAAATCTGAGGTTAAAGTCAAAGTTCATCGAAAAAAAAATCAAAAATTAAAAAAGCTAAAATACCTTGCGGTATATTTTTAGAGAGAACTTAAGACTTTACAGAGGGTTCTGACTCGGATTTTTATTCTGAAAATATTATTGGATAGAAATGTCTTAATTTTTTTTTAAGAAATTTAAAAAGTATACTGTAGCAATGACTATTGGAATGTTATTTTGACTGCCACGAAAGACGTATCTTTTAACTTTGAGGAAATAGAAGGTAAACCTTTTTCTATATGTGCTAGATTAATTCAAAATATTCAATTATTATTATTATTGGATTCACTTGAAAATGATGTGCATGAATCAATTTTGCCGCAAGTTAGAACGAGAGAAGAGATAGAAACTGATGAGGAGGATAATACTACTAGTGAAAGCGACGATCATAGTGATGATGATTATATTGATGAATAATTAGCAAAAATAAACATATGACCTGTCGTATTTGAGGCACGATGGCAATATTATATGAGTAAATCATCACTCAAAACGTCTAACGAAATGTAAAATAAAACTTGATCTCAGATATGAGTACTGCTCATATCTTCGTTCCCGTTTGGTAAGCGGTGTGTTCGATTGCATACCTTTGAACCTTAGATCAAATGTATAACAAATAAAGATAAGATAAGAAAAGAATATGGATTAAGGATAATTCTTATGTGAGATTAGCTACCTCACATAAGACTTGAACAGGTTATCTTTATGAAATATATTTTACTTAGATTATCTATGGCTATATGACATTTAGGTATATAGCAGGATTAGTATATGTACTCGTAGGATATATTGATTCAACAACCAGAACATAGTAGGTCGCGGTACTGCTCCCTGTTCCGGAAATAAAGTATGGTTGGAGATAAAAAAAGGCTCAATCACTCTTTATTAATACAATAACTGTTCACGCAATCAAAAGAACACCACGCACGAATATCTCTTCCTAGCTAACATCTATAATCATTCCCACAGTATCTGAGCTACACAACTGGTGGCCGATAGATATTGGATTATAGATGTAGCTGCATGATCACCCTGGATCTGCCAGGATAGCACATTACAAATCAATCCGCTCTGGGATGGACGAGTAATTATCCACTTAAAGGGAAGACCTATTCTTTTACGGAAACCTCTGATTCACTGAGTATTATCTGACCATAATACATCAGTGTCAGCTATAGATCCCGATACAATCATTTCGTAGACAGCAAACACAATAAGTCTTTATTAATAGCAGTAATTTTAGTTTTTTTTTCTTTTTCTTTAGTTTGTTTTTGAAAGAGAAATAAAGACGGTGGTTTGATTTCGTTAAGCTTTCGTGTTTATTTTCTCTTGTGTTATTCTTTACCTTTTACTTCATAATTAAAAATAGCGAATACCACATGACCATTTTTTATAAAACTCCGAAAATAATGTTTTTTATATTTTTGAAAACTAGAAATTGAGGCGAGTTTAATGAGCTTAGGAACTATACCCCGGAAATTACTCTATTTATAGTAATCTGCATGCAAAAATCCGAACTCGAGTGTATAAATTGGCTTTCAACCGATTAAGCAATTGTTCACAAGTCAAACTGGTATCAGATCCATAACAGTGTAAGAACACGCCTTCACTAATCTCTCATTAGATCCATTAGTATTCATTGGTTGTAACTACATCTTCCTAACATCCTTTATAAGCTCAGCTAACTCTCTGAAAAATATATAAAGCCTTCATGTTCTCAAAATTGAAATAAAAATTATCTGACTTTTTCGGTCTCGTTCTATCTTGGTCTATAAAATTACTTACGAATATCTCATAAAGGAGCTGGAAAAGAAACCTCTGCGAGTTTTCAGAAACGGTGAATATATTACTGAAGCTAATGTGTACTGCCTTGGAGTCGCTTCGGACTTGATGGAAGCATCTAAGTTGATGAACCATTCGGGTAACGTTTTAGCGATGTTAACATTTTTCCAAACTGTTTCAGCTCTGTTGCACTGCTCTAATCATTATTGTTTCCTTCTGAACTTACAATAGGTCATCAAGATTTATACGGTTGCAAGTGGTGCAAAAGTAAGATACACACGTCAGATTTTGCTACACGTTCCGTCGCTAACAAAACTTTTCAAATCATTTCATATTGTCTAGCTGAAGGACAGCATGCTGAAGACGAAGGAAAGCCGAAATCCACTATGTATTTCCCGTTAAGACACCAGGAGCTACGCACGATAGCTAATCTATTGGCAGAAGAAGTGAACGATGTAAGCCCTTAGATGCTTGATAGTAGCTTTTTGTGGTACAAAATACTCATCTTAAAGTCTTTTAATTGTTGGTAGACATCCAAGGAGAGTTGCAATTCGGGAATCCATAGTCGTAACATGTTTGGCGATCTTTGTACTTTTAATGCTCACTTTCAGCTAATGGACGAATTCCACTTGTTTACAAACGTTGCTCGACTAATCCATGAAGTTGTATCCCCTCCATTCAATTCGAAGTACAAGTATAATGGGAATGCCGACACCTATCCTTTCCTTCTAAAATGTCGAAGCTATGGTCCTCTTATAAAGCAAGCTACTGATATGTCGAGAGCTGAAATCCCCCCTCAATTCCATGCATCATGGAAGGGTATCAACATCTGCGATAGACTGAAAGGTCAATATCGTAGTACCGACTGGATAAATTGGCTGATTAATATTGTACCAACGTTGATAACGCCAGCATTTATGGATGTAGATACAGCAACAGCAAGCTTTGTCATGCTGTCAAATTGGCGACTCAGTGGACTATATCAGAAGAACAGCTTACCACCATCCGTAATAATATCGAAGCCTTTTTCCGCTTTCTTGATGCATGCTTGTTACAGCGGCGTATCTCAAAAACGTTATTCCGCATCAACCTCCATATGCTTTCCCATATTCCTGAATTCATAAAAGCACAAGGTAGTTTAAAGGCCTATAGTACAAGAGCCATGGAGCGAAAGATTGGTGCGCTGAAACGAGTAATGAATGCAGCTCGTTATGCAGGTGAGAACGCTGGCAATATTATCGAAATCGAGAACATGCTGTCTTTCCTTCAAAGTTCCGGTATCATTGATTTTGATGCTCCTTTTGCCAAACAGTCCGATCCACAAAGCTTTCACGACTATCCCTCAATAGACAAAACAAAGCCACAACTCTGGTCGCCATTCCAGGCTTTTGACATTGTTCTAGGCAGTACAAGCAGGCAAACAAAGTTGCACATCAACAGCGCCCTCAACATTTGTACACTTGCCATATCCTTGCTTCATTATATTGGTCGCATCAAATGCCAGACTCAATCTAATACAGCGTTCTCTTCCGCTGAGCTGTTATATCCTATTAAGTGTTCCGGAAGAATGTGGAAGGATGATGTTGTTTATCAATCAGAATTTTACCGACAAAAAAACAAAAATATCAGCAGAAGTGGCTACCATGTGTTGTTTCGATACGCCCATAATGTATATCATCGAGGGTATGTGCATTGTCTATTCACATTTACAGTATATGCATTTGTTTAGTATTAATTATGCCTTCATCGCAATTTGTCGATAATAGTCGTATTTCCAAATCGCAAGAATGTTGGTATGTTGTTAAAGTCTTGACCTTTTTTAATTTCAAGATTGACGATAGACCAGAAAGCTTTTACATCCTTGGTGAATTGCTGGAAGGTTCCCTATCTCCTACGAATAGTTACATTCCACGAGTAAAGTCACTTGGTGCGTCAGTAACCAATCGATATGTTGTAATCGATTGTAATGATGTTGTCTGTCCTGTCGGTCTCGTTTCTGTTTTAAAGCCTGCTAATGATGATGATGATGTTGAAGCGTGCTTTGTTTCATCCTTCAAATACGTTGTGACACCTGGCGATGCCCTGTCTGAGAAACTGTTGAAAAATCCAGGCAAGGTCTCTAATCTCTTCTTGCCTTCATAATTTACAATATCACTTATTATATCCACCTAATATTAGTAAATAAATATTATATATACCATCCACTTACAGTTAGTGGAAAAATGGTTCGGATGTTTTTCGATTTTACACTAAATCAACCATTACTCGATGAGTTGTCATTCAAATAAACCGAGGAAATACTCAGCAGATAGCTAAAATTGTGCTTTATCATCTGTTAGGTTTATAGGTTATATGATTTGATATCGGAGCTACAATGGTGAAATTAAATTGATAGGTCTATCCGAACCATTTTTCCACCTCATCTAATTTTATGCAATCTCATCGGAATAACAAACTTAGCGACGCTAAATGATTCAAGATGACTCACAATGCGTAATGATGACATTTCGCAACTCCGCAGGTCATAAAAAAGTATAAATATACGACAGTTTGTCTCCTTTTTCGACCTTATCCTTCTCTCTTTAAAATAACTCTTTATTATCTCCAAAATGCCTCGCGCCCTTCCCATAGACACCCAAAACAATATCAAATCCATGTTGCAAGCTGGTTATTCGTATTCTGCCATCATGCAACGTATTCCTGGAGTCAAGAGAACCACAATTGCTGACTATAAAAGGAAGTTTTTCCCTGATGTCGTAGGCGGTGCACCTGGTCGCAAGTCTGTTATCAGTGCTACAACCCGTAGCTACATTCGAAAGCAGCTTGTTTTGGGTAATATAAGGACTGGTAAGGATGTACATAGGTACTTGGTTGGTGTTGGGCATGATATTGGCTATTCTGCATGCTTAAAAGTGATGAAATCCATGGACTTTCAGTCGGCAAAGAAAAAAAAGAAGCCTTTCCTTAAGGCTCAGCATAAGAAACAGCGTTTAGCTTGGGCCAAAGCTCATCAGTATTGGACTACGAATGATTGGAGACGTATGATATTCTCAGACGAAACAAAAATCAACGTTTGGGGCTCTGATGGTGTAAAGTACTATTGGAAAAGGCCAGATGATGAGTTGCAGTTCCATCACCTTGACCTCACTGTTAAGCACGGTAATGGAAGTGTCATGATGTGGGGCTGTATTACTTACGATGGACCTGGTTATGCATGTCAAATCTATGATGGAACAATGAAAAAGGAAGACTACATCCATATCTTGGAAACTACTTTAAAGGACACCATGGAATGGTATGGATTCGACCCTGAAACCACTTACTTTCAGCAAGATAAGGACCCAAAACATACCGCCAAGGTTACAAAAGAGTGGTTTCTGAACAACAACTTTGATGTCGATTGGACTTACAGCTGGCCACCTCAATCCCCTGATTTAAATCCAATTGAGCACGTCTGGCATCACTTGAAATTGAAGTTGAGTGCATACCCAACAAAGGCTAAAGGAGTACATGAATTGTGGGAAAGAATAGAAGAACAGTGGGCGACCTTTACTAAGGAAGACTGTCGCAAGTACATAGATAGTATGCCCGCAAGAATTCAAGCTGTTATCAAGGCAAAAGGTGGCTATACAAAGTATTAAGGCGTACTTGAATCGAAGTGGAAAAATGGTTCGGATAGACCATTCGATTTAATTTTGTTATTGTAGCTCCGATATCCAATCATATAATCTATAAATTTTACAAATAATAAAATGCATTTTTAGCTATCTATTGCATATTTTTTCTCTTTATTCTGTCGAAAACTCATTGAGTAATGCCTGATTTAGTGTAGATTTGAAAAACATCCGAACCATTTTTCCACCAACTGTATAATAAAAGGACTAAAGGAGACTCATTTCACCTTACAGTTTATATCAAATTATAAGTCGCGTTCACTAAGCATAAAACAACCATAAATATCATATTTTTTAAATGAAGTCTATTCAATCCGAAGTTCAAAACAACTCTTGCCGATGTCAACGTTGAAAACAACCTTGTCATCAACAACCCCGGTAATGACCAATTTGGAGATTACCAACACATCGCTTCTCCTGGTGGTTTGATTCGCTCGACCTCCAGCTTTCAACTCGAAAAGCTATCAATTACAGATAGCGAAACTAAAAAAAGTCGGATAGTTCCAGAAGAGATGGATCGATGACGATTCCATTTCCGTTACTTCCGCATCTGAAGAAGAGCAATCTCAGAACATAGCTCAAGTACAAGGCGATATAGCCAAGTACGAGTTTGAACTGAGAGCTCTCGACAATAAGGCCAACCTTTTGATGGAGCTTCCACAGAGCACCGAGGATGAAGTAAAGCAATTCGCTTTCCAACTCGATGTTTGGAGAAAAAGCAAGCTTTCTATAATAGGAAGTTTGTTGAAGCTCATGAATGTCTTAAGTGTTACAGGGAGGAAGCAAAATCCTTTAGTAGTCCTTCTGGTAAACAGGATGGACGCGCAATTAAGCCTAAAGATCTTCCAGTCTTTGAAGTTACTGTAAGCCTTCGAATTATAAGGATTTTGACAATGAACTTAATCCCAACTCTATCAATGCCACCAATGATAACTATTCGTTGGAAACGTTCATTTTAAAATTTGAACGTGTTTACAAAGACAATAAAGTCAATGTGAACAAACACTGGCGCTACAACCTTGAATCCTAAGATCGGGCGCGAATTCTATACCAGTAACATTCGAAACAAAAAATTGTCTTGGAAAGAGGTTAAAAAATTGCTGAAAACCCGATTCGATATTGCTTCAAAGTATAATACTTTTCAATGCAATACCATGTTGCTAAACCTCAAGCAAGGGCCCAACCAATCTGTCGAATATTTAGATAGATTTCAGAATCATGTTGTTGCCGCTAAGGTTAAAGTGGAAGATAATTTCCTTTCATCTACCCTCTTTATTAATTCTTTGCATCATGAGGATTTCAAACAAAGGGTTTTAGATACACTTAAAGACCATTACAAGGTTTCTCTTCCTGCTGGTTCGACTTTGTCAAGCAAGTACGCAGATATTTCTGACGAGGACTACAGTACGTTCCTAGCAATTTCAGTGAATTGCATAGCATTCTTTGTAAAGCTATGTTTTCTTTGGAAAAGAGTCATGCTGAAATTGTCAAGAAAGATGGCCAAAAAGACTCTTCTAACAAAAAGAGAAAATTGGATGACAATAGTTCATCCAATCAACAAAACAAAAAGCCTCACAAGGGTAACAACAGCAATAACAATAACTTCAATTACAAAAAATTGAAGGATATTAGAAACAAAACCGGTTCTTTGGATAGGGACGAAATGCAGTTCCTTAGAGACAATAGTTTTTGCACCTTCTGCCGCGTGGTCAAATATTCTGTCGAGCATGGCAAGACCTGTTCTGAAAGAAAAAGAATTTTAGAGGCCAAGAAGGTAAAGCCAATTGTTGCTGCAGTTAAAATCACACCTGATACTGCTGATAATGATGTTCATTTTTCTGACGCTAAATCCAAACTTTTTCATCTTAGTAAAGATGAAGAACAAGATTTTTCTGCTACTAATGATGGTAATATAGTTGAAGATGACTCATCTGATGATGAATATAATAAAGCTTTATTAGAATATGACAACTACTTGATCAATGACCAGCCATCTGATGATAAACAACTTTGTTCTCTGTATATCTGAACCATTCAATATGCAATCTATGCTCAATCAAACCACTTCATCTAGACGACGTTTGATCAAAGAGGCTGAAAAAGAAGAGCTTGAAGTCGAAATAGAAGCTTCTCCTTCAAACACAGCCATTCCTACGAGCTCTTACTCTGATCAAGCTGGCTCACAAATTATAGTATGTTGTATATGTTATAGTAAGAATAGAGAGAGAAAAGAAAACAAAAGGAAGTCTGTGAAAACCAAGTTATCTTCTTTTATTCAGTAGAATATTCAGATAAAGAATGAAGACAAAAACCATGTAGGAAAAAAGTACTTCTATTTATATTTGCGGATATTGTAAAAAACTTTTTCTATCGGGACCCTTAGGTACAAGATGACCTGATGATAAAAGAAAAGACATACCCAATTGCTACAGCACGGTTAATCATGCTAGAGCGGTGCCTTGACCGATTGGATAGGTATAAGAAGGTAAGTGATGAGCTGATCTGGCTATCGGTTCCTTTAACCGATACCTCGGCATATTCATTACGACTAATGGGACGGATTGGATAAATTATCTTCAAATCTGCCGATATCTCCATTTCAGTCTTATTGAATTCTGTCAGAATGTGAAGAGTTAAAGTGAGGGATCGACAAGTTAGATAATAGCTTAAGTAGATCAGATTTATGTATTGTGGTTTGATCTGCTAAATAAAGTTATCTGATTTAATCAAATCCAAATACTATAATATCTTATTCCTAAATAAAGTCAATTACTAATACAATGTTGTCTCGGATATACAGATGAACTATTCTTCCGTAAAAGAAAAGAATTGTTCTAACAAATCTATCACTCACGGTTATTCTAACCTTCATAAGGATCCGCAATCTCTTATTTCAGTATTATGTAATAATCCAAGAGTAATATACTGTTGGCTACAACAAAAACTCTGTATTAACATATGCAATTTTTTTTAACTTTACTTTATTTCAAGGATTTTTGTGAAAAGAACCGTCTTAGATTTGATCATCTGTACCCGTACACAGTTGGACCCACTGAATTCATTATAGCCTTTTTCAACGAGTTCGTATTCAAGGGTACTTATCAGAAGAGCGTCTCAGTTGAATCTGAGTTTATCATATAGGTTGGCTTGCAAACTGAGGAAAATGAGGATAGCCGAATGACTTGCTCCGAAATACAATGTAGCATTGTATAACACGAATATATTATTAATTTTATCAGTTTCAATTTCATTCAGGTTAAAGTTTTCATTGTTCTTCACTGGAACATACTGTACTAAGCTCAGTTCTACAGTACCTCGCACTTATACATATACAAAACCATTTAATTTCTAAACCAAGATAAAAATTATCCAAGAACTATTGTTCGGACTCCTCGCTGCCTCACTCAGTCTCTACTTTCAGCTTAGAAATAATACTGTACCTTCTGATACCAAAGGATATCACAGTAATTCTCTGATACTGTACATACATACAGTACAGTATGTAGTTTATCTGTCTGCTCATTGGGTCTACTTATTGCGCATAAAAGACTCTCTTAATCATATTGAGAATAGAACCGAGCTTCTTCCAAAGCAAACTTAGATGGTGGCGTGTGATACAGCAGATTTACCCTTGAGCAGGTAAAAAATCCGCATAGGTTGTAACTAATTTTCAGTATTTACCTATGCGTACAAAATATCTATGCAATCAAATGTAAAAATATAGTATTAATAAAACCTATTGACAATGAATTATTTTTTCTTTTTTATTGAATAACAGTAAAACTATTAATTTATATGTATAAAATTTATGTTTTGTGTAAAATATTTAACATTGATTAACCATTACTCAAAAATGCGCATAGTTTTTGCCCTCACGTGCTTATACCTGGCCACGTCTCTGTGTTGTACTGACATAAATAGACCGGGTTTCATTCCACTTCGATTTAAATACTGTATACTAATGCGAGGTATCTGAAGGGAGAAGGAGAATATCTCAAGCTCATGAAATAACTTATTTTCCTATTCGCCAAGGCGAAGCTTCAACTAAATGAAATGGATGTGCTTGAACAGATCTGTTTAAAAATAAAAGACGTTTATATTAATGTATTGTATACAACAGCATATTTCTGTTGGATTATTACATACGTAATACTGAAATAAGGAACTATAGTGACTCATAAAAATGGCTCAATGTTTTGGGAATTTTGCATAATTTGTACTTCTTCTGCTCATACTGACAGTAATCTCTGTACCAATCTAGTAAAACGCTTACATATATGAAAAGAGCATCTTCCTAGCTTTCTAATAACACAATTTACATTAATTTGTGCATGACTTTTATATATGGTGATAGACCGATAAAGCTGAGATATACCAAATTTCATTGAGTTTTTGTTCCTTCTATTTGCTGTAAAAGACAAACTATGTAAACTAGTACTTCGTCCAGCCCCCTTTAGCCTTAATAACGGCTTCGATTCTCTTTGGCATGCTTTGTATATGCCTCATGCATAATTCGGGGGTGACTTTGTTATACCAAACATCGGCTACACGTTCCCAAAGCTCCCCAAGGTTCTTCGGTGCACTGTCGTATGAAGCAAGCTTGCATTTCAAGTAGAACCATAAATTCTCGATTGGATTCAGGTCCGGGGAGTACGAAAGCCAGTCAAGAACATTTACTTTGTTTTTTCTGAACCAATCCTTAGTTACTTTGGCCGTATGCTTAGGATCATTATCCTGCTGAAGGATGATGTCCTTCTTCTGTAGGCCATAATCTTTTAGGGTCTCCAAGAAGTCCCCCTTCAGAATTTCGCAGTATAACTGCGCGTCCATCCCGCCCTCTATCTTGGCAATAAAACCAGGTCCATATTGGGTGAAGCAGCTCCACAACGTCAAGCTTCCTCCACCTCCTTTATAAGCGTAGTTGACATTGTGGGCTTGGAGAGGTTCTCCCTTTTTGACCCACGTCCACGTCTTTCCATCTGATCCTAGACGATTTATTTTGGTTTCGTCGCTGAAAACGACCTTCTTCCAGTCTTCAACCGTCCAATTTTTGTGAGCCTTTGCCCATTTCAACCGATTCTTGCGACGTTCATTAGTCAATGGCAATGCCGACTTTTTGATCTTCGAATCGAAATCAGCTGATTTGAGGAATCTGCGTATCGTTTGTGCAGATATTTCATATCCTTGTCCTCGAAGGTTCCGGGCAGCCTCAACCGCAGTAATAAATTGCCCAGTATAGAAAGATCTAACGATCTTTCGACCGAGCAATGCGCTGATCTTTACAGGCCTGCCCTTCTTGCCATTAGATGCACATGCAAGATCGGTAGCAATTCTGTCAACTGTTGCACGCGAAACGCCCAGAGACTTTGCAATATTTCTGTGAGAATCGTTTCCATTCAGTCTGGAAATAATATCCATTTTCTTGTCGTAAGGAATAGGTCTCATGTTGCAATTAGTGTTAATGTAGTTGAAATGTGGGGTAATGGTAGTCGATGGAATCTAGTGAAAGTTGTAATGGGAATTTCAGGGGAAAAAATGAAACATAGAGCTGCTTAATTATGCGAAATACAATATGCGAAACTGTCTGGCCCTTAAAATACATTTTTTTTTGTGTTTTTTGGAAGTTCATTAGTGATTCGTGAATTTATGCAAAATGCCCGATTGTCGACATTGCAACAATTCATGTTCGTAATTGCAGATGAAGTGGTGCGATGTCAACGAAACTTATACCAATAGTACTTGTGGTATTGCTCTTTACTGTCGTATAGCTAAAATGAAGCTAAAAATACTCATTGTCTAGCTACAGTGAAAAAACCGCAAAATGCAGAAACATTGAGCCATTTTTGTGAGTCACTGTATGTGTCATGATCTGTTGAGACAGCCCAGTCTAGCATAATAATGAGACAACAACTTAGAAACAACTAGGATTGCATACACTCATGGGTATTATGGTTAATAACATACTCTCACTGTCTTACTATGTAACTTAGAGTATAAAAGATCTACTCCTCAATGAATGAATAAAGGGTAACCTCTTTTTAGCAATCTCATTGTTTTTTACTTTGATTGTTATTATAAAATATGAATCACATTTTTTTTTGACGAACCCTGCTTAATATGCCAGCAACTCGAAGTAAAGAACGCCAAACACAATCTGAAATGGCATCTTTTGGTCAATTGGAAGACTCAATCAATAACAAACAAATACTGTATTGATAGATACAACAAGCATTGATAGCTTACGTGCTCGGCTCAAACTTTCAACAGAACAACTAACCAGAGCACATCTGGACAATCAACCTGCCAACATTATACAACAGATGCAAACAGAATCTGAGCAACTAATTGCATGGATAGCTCTTATTCAACGTTCTGAACAATACCTTTCACCAGAAAAGGACAACAGCAATATCACCACTCAAACTACCAGTACAGCAATTCAAAACAAACAAGACTTCACTATACCGAAAGATCTTCCTTGGTGTCAATGGGGAAGCGACAAGTGGAGAATTGATCCCAATGACAAAAATCCACAGTTACTGTATTTGAAAATATTGAAGGTATTCTGGATAACTTTGAACTACAAGTCAATTCCGTTGGACTTGATATCAACCACTATTGGGAACATTTGATGCCATTATGCATGAACACTGATCAACAATCATGGTTTAACGTTACACTTAGAGGACGTACGTTACAATGGGCAGAAGTACGAACAATTGTTGAAGAAAAGTATGCCACTGAAGATGTAGCTCAGCAAATACTGTAGAGTATATGAACCAACTTCTTTCCTGCCACATGAGCTACAATGAACATGTCGACACTTTCACTGACAGATTTCAACGTCTACGATGAGCAGCAAAATGGGAAGATAACATCACTGCTACACACATTTTCCGCCGTGCTCTCATCCCAGAACTACGCACTGAGATTGCGCGTGCCATCGTCAATTTACCACAAAGTAAGCTGAACACAGTAAATAAAATTGCAGCCAAAGCACGTACCGTAGTTACCACGCAAATTTGCAATACCACTACTGCAACAAATATGAAAAAGCTCTACATCTCCAATACTGAACAGCATGTCTGTTGTATATTGAGGCATAAGTCCGTACTGTATATAGATATTGACAGAGACAAATAAATCCTGCAATACTTGCTACTGTACAGTATACTTTATTGTCTGTGCATTATGAGATAATATTATTATAATAATAGAGTCCAATGCTATAGCATGTTCCATACATATTTTTATCCTAAGCCAGATAATATTAAGATAGATCCAATGGACATAATAGACTGAGGTATTCATGATATGAATGGCGCAGCAGAGACCTGAAGGTCGGATAAAAGATCTCTGGCTCAGCAACACCACTTGTATCAGGTATAGACCCAGACATTATCCAGAAAGATCATGTCTATTCCATCAATTTCCATATTCTTTTTAACATATCTATATCCGCCTATGAACATCCAATTGTATTCTTCCACATAGTCATATCAACTGATATCAATGATATGGATGATTAAACATGTCTCATGTTACTGTTCTGATTTCCTAGAAATTTCCAAGCAAGCAATTCTAGAACTCCGCAAGGCACATCTCATTCTCAGATCAAGTTCCTGAAAAGTATAAATATGATCCCAAGTTGAAGTGTAGAACGAATCCTTGTCTTATTTCACCGTTTACATTTTCACCGTGCATTAAACATGGTAGCACGCAAATTGCGTTGAAAATAGCATGCTACCATGAATAGTGCATGCTAAATCGACTTAAAAATGGCAGCACGCATTTTGCATGGTAAGACGCCTTAAACATGCTACCGCGCAATTTTCATCGTAGAAAGCATCAAACATGGCAGTACTCGTTTTATTATTTCCTTACAATTGTTAGCCTAGTACACTATTTACATGAGCGGCTGCTGCTTCTTGTTCAGCCAGAAAATCATGCTATAGTTTTATTTCAGGTTTATTTATTGATTACTTATACTGTATGTCGTATTTGAGGGTAGATGATATACAAATATTAAAGATATAATTCACTTTATGAAGGATAAAGATGAATTATACAATATTGCAAACCAGAAATAATTAGAAACTACATAAACTCTAATATATGAGTACCGTGAATTAAGTGTTGTGTTTAGTTGACAGCATCATATGAGATGTGGAGAACTCGTATACAAATTATACAAGATCCTCACACCTCATTACTGCTGAAATAATATAAAGCAGAGTAGGAAACGAATATAGAATAAGTGATGATTCTTATACGAGATTAGCTACCTCGTAGAAGGCTGAACAGGTTGTCATTTAGGATATATAGTTTACTTATTTTGCTATAATACGTTACTATATGACATAGGATATATAGTAGAATTAATATATGGACATGCAGGATATATTGATTCAACACCAAGGTATACAGTAATAGGTTATAAGTACTATTCTCTGCCTTCGGCATAAAGAATGATCACAAGATAATAGTTTGTGATCATCCTTTACAATAACTGTTCACTCAACTCAAACACCACGCACGAATACTATTTTCCTAATTAATTCTATTTTCCTGCAAGCAGTGCTACATATTGGTTAGCACGGAAAAATAGGTTAGTTGCATGATCACTAGATCAAGCCATGGATACGTTTACAAGTCCACCCGCTCCGGGTAGATGCGTAATCTCCTCAAGGGAGAATTCTATTCTTTTACGGTTCAGAAGACGTACGTCTTCTTTGAGTATAATAACTCAGCTGTCAGTTTCTAGGTTCCGCAATATGAAGAAGGTATTTAAATTTTTGCAGTAGATATTTTTCTTCTCGGGGAACTTAACTTGATTCAAAATAAAGACCTACTAGTTTGATCTCGTTAACTTTTTATTGTTTTAATTAAGTGATATTTAACTCTACAAGTCGTCAAATACCACACTGTAGGCTACTCTGCCTTGTTGATAGAAAAAAAATAGTAATGACGAGCTCTTTGCTATTTTGAAAGTTGCTGAATTAAACAGTAGGTTGAGAAATCAATTGAGCTACAGTATGTGTTTAGGGTGTAATAGCGCAATTTATACGGTATTATTGCTTGCCATATGAGCGTTAATAAGTTGCTGAAGATTGCAAATAAGTAGCTGGTCTGCTTGTTCAGATATTGCCCTTACATACACTCCTACAAGTAAGCGTGTGGATCATTCGATTGACGACGAAGGTCCAGTATGAATGACAGTGACAATTTTTACCTGACAACTGGGTATCATTGATATTCTTACAGTCTACTACTCTTAATTATTGCAGAAAAAAGAAGTAAAACAAATAAATAAGTTGGTGCTATAAGGTTATGGAGTAAAAAATAATGTTGTATCATTACCTGATAGGTACGGAACAGATTATTTGCAACCATAAACAACTGTACTTTTCATTTTTTGCAATGGTAGGCTGCAACTGTTTTTGAGAGCGTTGGTATTGGCCCAGCGGAAGACATGAAACAGTTGAAGAAAGGGTTTGATCAAAGGCCACAAGCTTGAGTTCTGTAGAAAAAAAGTGTCAATTGAAGATATGGTATAAACATATAATGTCTGCTGACCATGAGTTGTAAAAATAAAACGATACCTGTTTGGAAAGGTTATTTAGTTGTCGTTCGCAGTGCTAAATGAGAAGTAATCGGCATTATGCGTATTTGACGTCGTTTGCTTCACTTTCTTCATACGACTTTGCAATCCTGGTAAATAAACAAGCTAAACTATAACCAGCAATGTAACGGCAAAGATGAGCGTGCCTTAATTACTCAGATGTCATGATTCAATGTGCATCTTGTCGGTGATGTGGCCAAATGAGCAGATTATGAAAAGAAATTGAGATGTAGTAACAGTATTTCGTTAGCTTTTAAAAGCCCTTGTAAAAAGAAAAAGGTGAAAGAAGGAAGCCCTCTGTTGTGTATGGGTAAAATATAGGTAATAGTAAAAGAATAGAAAGACAAAGAGAAAGTCTGTGAAAACTCGTGGTAGGTTTATTAAGAGTCGATTAAGACAAAAGATAAAGACAAGACAAAGACTCGTCTCTTTCTACACTTCAACTTGGGATCATATTTATACTTTTCAGGAACTTGATCTGAGAATGAGATATGCCTTGCGGAGTTCTTGAATTGCTTGCTTGGAAATTTCTAGGAAAGCAGAACAGTAACATGAGACATGTTTAATCATCCATATCATTGATATCAGTTGATACGACTATGTGGAAGAATACAATTGGATATTCATAGGCGGATATAGATATGTTAAGAGAATATGGAAATTGCTGGAATAGACATGATCTTTCTGGATAATGTCTGGGTCTATACCTGATACAAGTGGTGTTGCTGAGCCAGAGATCTTTTATCCGACCTTCAGGTCTCTGCTGCGCCATTCATATCATGAATACCTCAGTCTATTATGTCCATTGGATCTATCTTAATATTATCTGGCTTAGGATAAAAATATGTATGGAACATGCTGTAGCATTGGACTCTATTATTATAATAATATTATCTCATAATGCACAGACAATAAAGAATATCATTTATCCATATGTAATCTCAACAGTGAATGATTAAGTACCAGAAGAGACTAATGTCATATTATGGGATAGTCACATAGCAAGTATTGCAGGATTTATTTGTCTCTGTCAATATCTATATACGGACTTATGCCTCAATATACAACACCCTCAAATAATTGAAAACAACAGCCCGAATGGTTGCACAGCGATATATCAGTAAAGCTTTGTTTATTGCTCAAAAGGCTGAAATTGGTGAAATTGGTAAGGGAGCACCAAGCAGAAGAAAAAGGACATTATCTTTGGCTATCGTTATTCTTCATCGATGCTTCTATTTAAAACAACAATACTCTGCACTTGCTTATTATGCATTGTCGTCCATACCACTTTCTTGTCTAGGAAATTCTAACATATACATTACCAGTCTACATATAAGAGACTCTTTCTACTTTCTTTTTTGTTTTAACTTATTCAAAATTGTAAAATTGTACTTGATTTATGAGAGTTGGTAGAATATGAGTGGAAATCTCAGATGTTTAAAGTCCTCCGTCCTTGCTCTATTCATGGCAGCATCGGCTATACCAGCTTTACTTTGTGGTGGCACGCAAATTGCGTGGTGGATTTGCGAGCATTATGCATTCTACCACGCAAATTTCATGCTAGCATGACTCTCATATATCTTTTTTTTTGCTACCATGAATAGTACACTGCTCTCAGTTAATCGGTGTTTTTATCTTTCATCTTAATTGACTCTGAATAAACCTACCACGAGTTTTCACAGACTTTTTCTTTGTCTTTCTATTCTTTTTACTGTTATATTTTACACGTACACAACAATGTCATCCCGCTTGTCAATAAACAAAACAACAATTCTTCAATTAATAACAGCAATACTCTGGAAATTAACAACTCATCAAACACGCCTACAAAGAAACAATACTACACTGTGCTGTACATGACAGGGGCAACATACCAATGCAAAAAATATAAACAACTATTGAATGATCAAAAAATTGTATCTGACACCAACAGTACAAACAAAAGACAACATGTAGCAACATCTCAACCTAGCACAAACTGCTTCAGTTGTACGAAAAATGTACCGTGGTCTCCCGAACATGCAGCCAATTGCCCTCGAGGTAAGCAACAGAAAAATAAACAACGTTTCTTTCGTTCAAATCACCAGCAGCAGCCACAAAAAGTCATCCGCTCAGCCAAATTTCTCCCAAATCATACATCTATCACATCTACAAATGCATCTTCTTCCGAAGAACTTAACCGCATGGATCTTGATGATAATTATTATCCTGTCAACTATGATTGTAAGCATCGTAAGACAAACGAACTACAGAATGACAGTAGCAATACTAACCATTCTCTATTTATAGGAGGTATCAATACACGAGCCCTTATCGATATTGGTTCCTCTTTCAGTTGCTTAGACATAAAGTTCGTTAATGATAATAATTTTTCTTTAAATAAAAACCTTGCTGGACCTATGTTGTGTATGTGTAAAGTATAACAGTAGAAAAGAATAGAAAAGACAAAGAGAAAGTCTGTGAAAACCTGTGGTAGGTTTATTAAGAGTCAATTAAGACAAAAATAAAGATACACCGATTAACTGAGAGCAGTGTACTATTCATGGTAGCAAAAAAAAGATATATGAGAGTCATGCTAGCATGAAGTTTGCGTGGTAGAATGCATAATGCTCGCAAATCCACCACGCAATTTGCGTGCCACCACAAAGTAAAGCTGGTATAGCCGATGCTACCACGCAGGTTGCGTGCTCCCATGAATAGTGCACGGGCGTAGACTTTAATTATTTGAGATTTCCGCTCATATTCTGGACTTAATCTTACAAAAAGAAGAAGTTGTACCACCAACTCTCATAAACGAAACTACAATTGGCACTCCCCTTTTAAGAATTTGCGCTTATGCTTGTTTCTTTCTCTTTTAACTATTTCGGCCTACTAAAAGAAAACATAACGAGATGTTGACAATGGCAACAGGAATGTTCCTATTCGCGCAATGTCTTTCACAATTATAAGCGACATACCAGTACATCTTGCGAAAGGAAAAGTGTAAGAATATAGAGCGTAGAATGCGAAAGCACACGCATTCATTGGCAGCAGTGAACAGCAGGCAACTTTGTTTTTGTCTGAATGTTTGGACGAGATGTCGACATGAGCTCAGCATGGATCTTGAAATCGCAAAGTAAGCGAAATGAGAATCGTTAAAGGAAGAAAAAGCCAGCTGTAGTAAATATACAGTACACTAAAAATCAGAGAGGGGAGCGTTCACAGCAAACTGGATGTTTGTATTTAAAAAAGAAAAAATAAAAAAAGTCCTCGTTCCTTGATTTCTCAGCCAGTAATAATGCAGCATTATACTGTATATGCGCATCTTTAGAAATACAAGATGACGTGTACAAGTGTTATTATGATTCTATGATCATAATAACGAGTCAAATGCTTGAAAGTGTGTCTAATTCGTCTTTATATTATAGGAGGTATGGAAATACCACACAATACGCATATGATCAGAAATCGCGCATGGTCGAAGGTTGGGAAAGCAGCAAACGTAAAAGTATTTCCTCAACAGGGTGTAAATACTGTATGTATATCTTACCCGTACACAACAATCGGCTTGCAAAACATAGGGGGATACAGTACCACTGTGATATTCTTAGATATCAGGAGTTATAATTTAATAAGTTTTAAATGTAGAGACTGAGTGAGTCAGCGAGACCGAACAATAGTTCTTGGATAATTTTTATTTTTGTTTAGAAATTGAATGGTCTTTAGGTTAAACTGAGCTTATAGTGGAATTAAGAAAGTAGTAGTGACAACCGAGTAATATTGTTCCTGTTAATGAATTGTACAACGCCACTGAGATATATCTAGATTACCAGTAAGGCTGAAGTGTGCCTGATGAAATCTTATTTGTTCCAGTACACTATAACTGGTAAAGGCAGTAAATCTGGATTGTTTCTCAGATTGTTATATGAATTAGAGATCAGAACGTGACAACCACAAGTGGTTGCGGATATGAAACAGATTTACATTCTGATCGTTACTCATTATTGTTGGCTTGCTGCTTTCACCAAATTCGTTTGTATTAAAGTGCTATTATATTGATTTTCTGTTTGATTTGATGTTGAATAGTTTTACTTGAAAAACTGTTTCTAATATACTTCTGGCGTGCTTATCCCAATGTTGTATTCTTTTTTGGTGTAGCTTTTAATCGTTCAGTAATGTATTCTGGGTTTGTTGCTCTTATTATTGACGCAAAATGTTTCTTTTGTTCTTCCGATATAAGGGCTGCTGCAATTCTTTTCTTCAATTTCAAATTTGTTCTTATATCCTAAGTCCTTATCTTGGGCAGATCCCATGAGGCCTTATTAATTAGTACTGTTGCTACTAATTGTCGCGCACTGAGCTAAGGATAAACAAGGTTACTCTTAATGTACACTGAACACAAAGTTTTAGGAAAGAGAAAAAGAGGATAATTCTTTATTTTATTCCGAGAGTTATGTTCCTTTTACAGTATATGTTCTATAATATTCAATTACCGCTATAACAATTGTCGTGCCCTGAATTTATGATTTACTTTACAGTCTATATTTTTATTCAAGAAAGAAGAGGAAGAAGTCCCCTCATTCTGGTTCAAATATCAAGGAGTTTTATACTAGTTATAATAATATTGATCGACTGGATATCATCTGTGTCACACGACACAATGACAATTGGAAAATCCAATTTTTGTTTCCAAAAAAAGGATATCGTGATAAAAGACGAATGCGTCCTCGGGGAATCGAACCCCGGCCTTCACCTTGGAAGGGTGAAATTCTACCACTAAACCAAGAACGCATCTTTTCTTGATATGATGGTAAATAATTGTCGTGGTAATAATTAGAACTCCGTCACGGGATTGGAAGTAGCTGATAAGGTCGTTCTGGTATCTCAAGAATCGGAGTTGATAGAGAGAATAAGGTGTGCAAATATAATTAAGAAAGCGTATATAAAGAGTAATTTGATCTAAACAATAAACGAGGCCTTTACCTGATTCTAACTTTTGTACTATAAACTTGACCTGGAGTTTATAACTCTCATTCACGATATTAATCATATCATTCTTTGAGACGGTGCGTAAAAGTAGTAAAAATTACGTCACCTTTCTCAAGATCGGACAGCCTTCCCTCGGACCGGAATAGTCGATAAAGTCATGATATAAAAATAATTAGCTGAGATCCAAAACCATCATATATAATCCGTAAACTACTCCATACTTATGAAGGGCAGCCTTTTGGTCGTTTACTTCTTTTTAATAAAATTGAGATTACTGGAGAATAAATATTTGAATTATTGAAAAGAGAATTCAGATACTACTGAAAGAATAGAATAGAATAACCCCAGAAATAGTAAACAATCTAAATCATTTTAATACCTGTCTCGGCTATTAGAATCGTTGAGATTAAACCAAGAGTCGCTCACAACATTTCACGCTAAAGCACCGCAGACGTATCATCTTTTGTCACAGCGAAATGTGATCCAATGGGATACACCAAAAGTACCAGTCACGTGCACGGTGCTAGTTCAGTTCCCGACGGGTATGACGCATGCAACACTAGAAAAAAGCGTCATTCACATCCCGATGGAAAGGAGTCGAGCTCGGAGTGGAGGAATGCTAACTCCACTAAAATTAAAAAAAGATTTAGGCCCAATGTACAGAGGGCTAAACAGATACAGTAGTAACTATATTCAATTTGTCGTATTTGAGGCACGATGGCAATATTATATGAGTAAATCACTCAAAACGTCTAACGAAATGTAAAATAAAACTTGATCTCAGATATGAGTACTTGTTAAATGGGTCATTAGTACCATTGGCACGAGTAGCAGCTCTTTCAAAAATTGAAGACTTACAGTCATATGCATCATTCATGTTGACATCATCTCCCTTCTGGATGTGCAACCCGTCACTGCCCATTGCCAGTTCTCTGTCTATGAGCTCTATGTCCTCAGTGGTGGGACTGTCGGCTATAGCGAGAACCGCATGCGTGCCTTTTGTTGTAAACGATAAGATAAAGTATAAGAAAAAGAAAACAAAAGGAAATCAGTGAAGACCAAGTTATCTTCTTTTTATTAGATAGAATATTCTGATATAGAATTGAAGACAAAAACCATGTAGGAAAAAAGTACTTCTATTTATATTTGTGGATATTGTAAAAAACTTTTTCTATCGAGACTCTTAGGTACAAGATGACCTGATGACAAAAGAAAAGACATACCCAATTGTTACTGCACGGTTCATCATGCTATAGCGGTGCCTTGACCGATTGGATCGGTGACAGGAGGTAAGTGGGTTGATCTAACTAAAGGTTCCTTTGACCCGTACTTCAGCAGTTTCATTATAACTAACGTGACGGACAGGATAAACTATTCCTTAATTCTGCCGACGTCTACGTTTCAGTCTTATTGAATTCTGTCAGAATGTAAAGGGTTAAAGTAAGGATCAACAAGTTAGAAGATAACAGCTTAAGTAGATTAGATTTATGTATTGTGGTTTGATGTGCTAAATAAAGTTATCTGATTTAATCAAATCCAAATACTATAATATCTTATTTCTAAATGAAGTCAATTACTCATCCAATGTTGTCTCGGATATACAGATGAAATAATCTTCCGTAAAAGAAAAGAATTGTTCTAACAAATCTATCACTCACGGTTATTCTAAGCTTCATAAGGATCCGCAATCTCTTATTTCAGTATTATGTAATAATCCAAGAGTAATATGCTGTTGGATACAACACCTTTGCTGTTGGAATAACTGGGGCAGGTGTGGCTCTTAGACCAGGTATCACCACAACGAAAACACTTCTTCTCGGCCTTGGCTGCCTTAAACCTGAGGGCATCAGAGGAAGGGGCGGACACAGAAGCAGACTTCTTCTTGAGGAAAAAACAGTCCTCGGTGGCATGAGAAGAATTCTTTCCATGATGCTTGCAGAACTGCACAGTATTCTTCTCAACCTTGCGCTTACTGCCGTTCTTCTTGCTCTTGAAGCCTCCAAAATTCGAAGCCTTCCCGTTAGGCGTACTAGCATCCAGAATCTCCCTTCTGTTCATCCCACCTGTAGACGCAAAGGAATTCATCAACGCATTCCTATACGTTTCAGGATCGTCTCCAACGACTTCCCTAGCCAGCTCGGTGATTGCTTCTACCGTCCAGATTTGACCGTTGCGAGTGGCTCTGTTGACACTGGCCATGGACATCCTTACCATCATTTGTACAGGACCAAAAAGCGAAGCCAAAAAACGCTTGATATATCCAGTTACTTTGAAAGACTTATAAAAATAAAATAAGACAGTAAAATGACCAGACACAACAAAGATACTCTTTATTCAAGTTTGTTGAGAATGATACTTTTATATGAGAAACGGGGTTATTAACGGGTATTCAACTATTAATACAACTGAACTAAAACTATCATGAGAATGATAAGATCTTAGCCGCAAGCGGGTGTCAAAGTAGATGTGTATCAGATTGCCAAGCAGGTACTGAAGTCGTTCTGTAGTTTAAGACGTATAGTTGTATCTTGGATACAACAACGCTCACCAATCCGCAAGTCATCTCTTGGGATACCCGCATTGAAGATCGTTTGGATGAAACGTCGCGAGTAATTGATGATGCTTTCATTCGGTCTCATCGTCATGGTGTATACCTTTTGTACAAACCTATTGGTGGAAGTAGTGGACCCATGATGCTTACGGAACTCCTCTTTGGCAGCTTCCCAAGAAGGGCATTTCTTCAACACCTCCTCGATCCACGTATCATCACCAGCTGGAAGGCTCAAAGGCAACAGATCTCTCCAGTAAAGATGCAATTTGTTTCCAGTCATTGGGTTTGCAATACGCTCCCACGTCTTCAAGAATTGCTCCACAGTGTCACGTTCTGACCTCTAATTCATATAACAATCTGAGAAACAATCCAGATTTACTGCCTTTACCAGTTATAGTGTACTGGAACAAATAAGATTCCAGGCACACTTCAACCTTACTGGTAATCTAGATATATCTCAGTGGCGTTGTACAATTCATTAACAGGAACAATATTACTCGGTTGTCACTACTACTTTCTTAATTCCACTATAAGCTCAGTTTAACCTCGCATTCAATTTCTAAACCAAAATAAAATCATCCAAGAACTATTGTTCGGTCTCGCTGACTCACTCAGTCTCTACATATAAAACTCATTAAACTATAACTCCTGATATTTAAGAATATCACACACAGATTCAAACACTTCCTCACCAGGCATTCGTGGCAAGATGATGTCAGAACTCAGCTGGAATCTTGGCAAGTCCTTACGACTCAAGTTCAGTCGTAGCCTCTCTTGTTGGGGCTCAGGTCGCTTACCAGAGGACAACAGTGCCTCACGCGTGTCCTCCAAATCCTTAAGTGCCATTCTTGAGCGCTTTAATGCACCCATGGCTTCATCCTCAGCGTTGCGATCACCTTGGATACGAGCAGTTGACCAAGCTGCTATACACTTCTTGATCTCCAGTCTGACTTCCTCTACGGCATAGTCAATTGAAGCCTCCGGAGTGGTCTCCACCTGACCTACTCGATCATCCAGCAACATAGGTGTGGGCTCCGAAGTTGGACCCACAGACGAGAGAGGAGAGTTACCACCCAAAGCCAGACCAATGTCGATCTCATTCACGAGACTAGCGCTACCAGTAGATCCATTATCCACAATGGAACCAGTTCTTGAGTTCGCGTCTTGTAAAGTCATTCTTGTCAAAATCGATTATCGTATAAGCGAGTAGTTCACAGAAAAAAATGTTGATCTTCAAAGAATTAAGGTTAAATAAAAAGAGTTAGAATTCTGTGAGAACTTGTTATACTCTGTGGTATTCGCTATTTTTAATTATGAAGTAAAAGGTAAAGAATAACACAAGAGAAAATAAACACGAAAGCTTAACGAAATCAAACCACCGTCTTTATTTCTCTTTCAAAAACAAACTAAAGAAAAAGAAAAAAAAAAACTAAAATTACTGCTATTAATAAAGACTTATTGTGTTTGCTGTCTACGAAATGATTGTATCGGGATCTATAGCTGACACTGATGTATTATGGTCAGATAATACTCAGTGAATCAGAGGTTTCCGTAAAAGAATAGGTCTTCCCTTTAAGTAGATAATTACTCGTCCATCCCAGAGCGGATTGATTTGTAATGTGCTATCCTGGCAGATCCAGGGTGATCATGCAGCTACATCTATAATCCAATATCTATCGGCCACCAGTTGTGTAGCTCAGATACTGTGGGAATGATTATAGATGTTAGCTAGGAAGAGATATTCGTGCGTGGTGTTCTTTTGATTGCGTGAACAGTTATTGTATTAATAAAGAGTGATTGAGCCTTTTTTTATCTCCAACCATACTTTATTTCCGGAACAGGGAGCAGTACCGCGACCTACTATGTTCTGGTTGTTGAATCAATATATCCTACGAGTACATATACTAATCCTGCTATATACCTAAATGTCATATAGCCATAGATAATCTAAGTAAAATATATTTCATAAAGATAACCTGTTCAAGTCTTATGTGAGGTAGCTAATCTCACATAAGAATTATCCTTAATCCATATTCTTTTCTTATCTTATCTTTATTTGTTATACATTTGACCAAAAGTTCAAATGTATGCAATCGAACACACCGCTTACCAAACGGGAACGAAGATATGAGCAGTACTGTTGTATATATGAGCTAGAGTTCTTACATAATGATCGGAGTTATGACATTAGGAGTAACCATATAGCCATAATATGAGATTAGACTTCTTCTAGAATCTTGCACAGTTGAAATACAGCGATTATGATCTACAAATGCTACATATGAGGTTAACATATCCATAGTACATAGTACTTCAATAATAATTCACTCTTTCACAATGATCTGTCAGAAAGCGGACATTGGTTAGTGGTCTTATCATTCTATTTATATATTCGTCGCCAATTGCTTACAGTCCGATCCACTAACCTCTCAATGAGTAAGTACCCGCGCTCAACCATAATGAAGGTACCCGTGTCTTTGATGAAACAGTCTACTGTATATGACACCGGCTAAACCCGCTCTATTCAGCCCAACACATCATCCTATAAAAGATAGAAAATTTTTCATAATCTAAATATGTTTTTCTTTTGTACGATTTTCACTGAATAAAGAGTATGTCGTATTTGAGGCACGATGGCAATATTATATGAGTAAATCATCACTCAAAACGTCTAACGAAATGTAAAATAAAACTTGATCTCAGATATGAGTACTGCTCATATCTTCGTTCCCGTTTGGTAAGCGGTGTGTTCGATTGCATACATTTGAACTTTTGGTCAAATGTATAACAAATAAAGATAAGATAAGAAAAGAATATGGATTAAGGATAATTCTTATGTGAGATTAGCTACCTCACATAAGACTTGAACAGGTTATCTTTATGAAATATATTTTACTTAGATTATCTATGGCTATATGACATTTAGGTATATAGCAGGATTAGTATATGTACTCGTAGGATATATTGATTCAACAACCAGAACATAGTAGGTCGCGGTACTGCTCCCTGTTCCGGAAATAAAGTATGGTTGGAGATAAAAAAAGGCTCAATCACTCTTTATTAATACAATAACTGTTCACGCAATCAAAAGAACACCACGCACGAATATCTCTTCCTAGCTAACATCTATAATCATTCCCACAGTATCTGAGCTACACAACTGGTGGCCGATAGATATTGGATTATAGATGTATTTACCGTAGGATGTATTATTTTTTGAGTTGTATGGACATCAGTTCCATCCTTTTCCTTTACTGATGTCCACTGCCTTTTCCCGATTCGATGCTGTTATTGGAATAAGGTTTGGCGCTGGTGTTGTTTACGTTTTTATTGTTACTATTATTCTTATTCAAGATGGAACATAATCGACTGGGATGCCCTTGTTGACCGCAATTCCAACAGACAAGGTGTAAAGAGACAGGAGGCGATGATCCGACGGGAGGTTGGTGTTATACAACTCTGAACAGAAATTACAACAAGATAAGCTAGACTACTTATATTAAAACAAGAGAAAAGTATAATATGCAGGAAAAACAGATAAAAATCACTGAAGATATTATGAATTGAGGGGCAGGCCATATTTATATGTTTATCGAATGAAACCTCTCTAATGAGAAGTAATTCACTCATTACACAAGGGGTCTTTTATCAGGAACAGGTGACCAGCTGAAGGAGTTAAGGTTGCTTCGCTGATTGACTTCACCGCTAGTATTGTTGTTTATAAGGTTTATTGCTAGTTTGTTGACTGCCTGTATCAATTCTGATAAGGAATCAGCTGATATTCTGTCACTCGGCACTGAAGTTGTTGTTTTAATTCCATTTTCGTTCAGTTTATCCAATTCATCCACGATGAATGTTACCTTACGGTCAGGTGCTGTTGTTGTCGGTGATGCTGTGTTGTTGATGCCGTACCTTTTTTGGAGCGTTTCCAATTCGACTGCTCTATCCACTACGTCTTGATAATTCTTTAATTTAGCTCTATCGCGTGCTAGATCATAGGCAATAGTGGGTGAAATCGACGCTATGAAAAATGTTATTTTTGACTCATTATCTTTGATGTTAACAGTTTTAAATAAAGGGTTCAAGATTTCCACTATGTCCGAGATTTCCTGCGTTTCTTCTTGTTTGATCGTTTTTATTTTCTCCCATGCTTCCACAACCTTATTCTTCATAAATTTGTTCTTAAAGTTCTTGTCAAACTCGTCCCAAGTGCTAATCTCGCTCTCGTTTATCGAGAACCAGGTTTTAGCTTTCTTTATCATGTTGGAACTTGCAATTGCAAGAATGATAGCATCATTCATCCCAGAAACGTCTCTTAGTCTTCTCAATGATGAAAGCCATTCTTCTGAATTCGATCCTTCCTCTGACCCATCGTACCTTTCGAGTGGTGGAAGAAATCTAAGAAAAGCTGCGTTGTTGTTTTCTGTTTTGCTGTTGCTGGTCATTATTATTTATTTGTTATTATTTTTTTTTTTTTTTATTTGTCTTGTTAAGTTGATAATGTCTTCCTTGATTGTTGTTATTCTCCTTTTATTGCTGAGGCTAATACTTATTATACTGTTTCTTGTCTTTTCTTTCGTCTGTGGGTTGGGCACGGCAAATATGTAGTATCTTTATAATGTCTCGGCAGGACCTCCACTGATACGTTTGCGGTGCTTAATTGTGAAGATGGTGAGCGACTCTTGGGTTATTCTCAACGATTCTAATAGCCGAGACAGGTATTAAAATGATTTAGAATTGTTTACTATTTCTAAGGTTGTTCTATTCTATTCTTTCTGTAGAATCTGAATTCTCTTTTCAATAATTCAAATATTTATTCTCCAGTAATCTCAATTTTATAAAAAAATTAAACGACCAAAAAGGCTGCCTTTCATAAGTGTTGTTGAATCGGTAAGATCAACATATGAAATAAAATAGGAAATAAACAAGTGGCAAGTCTGTGAAAACTCTGGAAGGTTCAAGTTTATTTCTTTCTTAAAGATTAAGATGAAGTTCGTCTAGATAAACAGAATCAACTGGTATTTATATCTTTTACGAAATGGGTATACAGGCCTATTCACCATGGACTATGTTAACTGATCTTGTAACTTGAGTTAGTAACCAGGAGAAAGGACCAATAAACACCAGCGACAGGAACACCGAAAGAGAGCAACAGAAATGTGTAACTCGACCCTTACTGGTCGGACTTAGTAGCAGCGGTCAATATAAAGATTGCCCTATAGGACAACAAGTGATTGGGTATGTAAACTGGTTCTGAATGATACTAATAGCGTCCATTATAGGAACCATTAGAGAAGAGGATATAATCGACATGGGCATTCAATAATTACCATAATCGTAATGAGGATTATAAATTTACAATAAAGTGATTACCGAAACTAATGTACTTCCCTCTACGACCTTTAATAGGTGGAGTCTGGAATAGAATAATGTCTGCGGAATAGCAAATAAAGACATCTCACTCTAGAAGGTAATAGCTATAGAGGCTAACAGAAACTGGATAAGTCACGTCAATCATCAATGTAAATTATAGACTGAAGTACCAATAGATCATGCACGTGAAGTAACCTGCCATTTAATTATAACTATCAATAACGAAGCGTACTTCTGTTTTATTATGTAATATTCAGCAGTGATATCTTCATCGATACAACAATCACACTTATAAGTCGTGCCCTGTACGACGATACCCTCATTCTAAAGCTTTTTTGGTGTCGGAATCTGTAGCGAATTTTTAAGGATACTACAGTGTTTTTACTTCCGTACGAGACACTTTTGAATTTTTAGTGGATAATCTGAGTTTTATTTGGAGACGTTTCTAGGTAAACCAGGATACGAATTGAAATATCCTAAGAGACAAAATCAAACTTTTACCGAGCGAGACTACCCTTCAATCTCTAATCCAACAACTGCATTATGGAAGATTTTATTCACTTTAGCCCCGTGAAGGAAGGCTATTATGTAGCAGATAATAAATCTAGTGAAATGGATATTGATTACAACGATATTCAAACACTGGTTCAGTTCGGTGAACCACAACAGCCTGCAGAGCCTCCTAATGTTGAGATGTTTGACGTAGTTGATGAGCTGCAATCGCATATGGAGACGCTTGATATTAAGGAGACGAAACAACGACGAGGGTATAATACCGCTCAAATTAAGAAAATGTTTTATCTTTTGCAAGAAGAAGGCAAAAGTGTCACAGAAGCCGCGTTACTATCAGGGATTCCGCGCAGCTCAGCATACAAGTTAGTTAAGAAGTTCAACGATAGTAATGGTACTATAATCCCATTAAACCCTACAGTAGATAAATTAAAGAAACGAACGATGTCCAGCAGGAAGTTTTCGCCTGAGCACACTGCTTTCATTTTGAAACTATTTGACGAAAATCCGTCGCTTACTCTTTCCTTAGTCCGTCTAGAATTGATTAGTAACTTTGAGGGTTTTACTATCTCTATTTCTGGTTTATGGAAGCATATAACTGAGAAATGTGCTCTTTCTTTGAAAAATGCATCCAAATATACTATTGAAAGAGACTCACCTAGAACACTTGACCTTCGTGTCAGTGTCATAACACAATGGAAGGCTGCAGGCGTCGATTTTCAAACAAATTGTGTATTTATGGATGAGGCTGGTTTCAATATGCATATAATCAGAAATCGCGCATGGTCGAAAGTTGGGAAAGCAGCAAACGTGAAAGTATTTCCTCAACAGGGTGTGAATATAAGTATCATAGGCTGTATCTCTCACTTCGGTATTGTCGATTTTTCAAAAGTTAAGCCTATGACAGTCAAGGAAGCCGAAATCATTTCAAAGGAATTCCAAAGTGACAAAAAACGGAAACGAGACAATGACGAAAAACCAAAGCTTAGGAAAGGGACTACCACATATCATGTTGTTAAATTTGTCGAAAGTGTAATGGATATTTTGGATCAGCTTAACAAAAAGGATATGTTCATTGTTATGGATAATTGCAGAATACACCATTCTGAATTTGTCGTGAAAGCAATCAATTCACGTGGTTACAAGCCTCTTTTCCTGCCACCATATTCACCCTTTCTAAATCCTATCGAAGAGTGCTGGTCCAAAATTAAAAGTATCATTCGACGAAACCCTTTAGATTCCAATGATACCTTAACTCCTAGAATTAAGCAAGCCTGCCTCTCAGTCTCTGTAGAGGATTGCTTAGGTTGGATCAGACACTCCGAAACTTTTTGGGACAGATGCTTAGATAGAGAAGTTTTGTTAAGATGAAGTTTTTATTTTATTTTTGTCTCCTAAGAAATCTTATCTGGTCTCATAGGATATTTCAATTCGTATCCTGGTTTACTTAGAAACGTCTCCAAATAAAACTCAGATTATCCACTAAAAATTCAAGAGTGTCTCGTGCGGAAGTAAAAACACTGTACTAGGTCCTGTCGGAAGCGGGGGCTGCGCAACGAGAGAGGGTTGAAAGCCCCTCCCAGAACAGGGCCGATAGATTGCTTAATCAAGGCATATGCCTCGGCATGATGGTGGAAAAGTTTGCGGGGCAGAGAGAAGATTACTGCTCCTGGAGTTAAAACGGAGTGGACAATGGAAGCAACCTGTTGCGCCTAAAGATACTCGCGGATTGTAGCCTCTTCAAGCAGAATTTTTGTAGTAAAATATTGACGTTGTCCGTCCCAAGTAGTCTTTTTTAATGGTAATGGTACTTTCTGTTTCATCCCGCGTGCCAACACTGTGGCCCACGAATCCCCAGAAGAGGTTTGAGATTCACTCATTGCGTAGATGGGTGAATGCGTACTTATGCTGTGTAGAGCTGTCTTTTGGAAATACTGCAATCTGACTGGTGAATTCAAAAAATGTGATGTATGCACGAAAGACCTTCTGGAAATTTTTTTTTTTTTTTTGTTTAAATTCAGGTACGATTTATTCAACAATAAAATCTGGAAATAAACATAACATTAAGCTTATTGAAAAGTAAAACGGCTACATGCACTCTTAATTGTAGTTTGCTTAATAAATTTTTTTTTTTTTTTTTTTTTTTTACTTGCTTTTCCCCTTTTCTATAATCTCAGCCTCAGCCATTTGACAAGAACTTAACCTATTCATGATCTAATACAAAAAGAAAAAAAAAAAGGTTACGAATAACCTGTTACACGATTTCTATCTGAATCATAATTGAGATAGTTGCTCTATTATGTTATTCTTCCCTTATGAATATCCTTAGTTGCTCATTCTCCCTTTTTCTCTTTGGTTGTTTGAACATTGATGAGGTAAATACCAAATAATCAGAAATAGTGAATATTTTATAAAATTTTTGAATCGTATATAAAGCCAATCATATAAGTAAAATAACTGAATCTAATCCTACAATAATATGTAAGTCAGCACCAAAGTACTCTGTATAATTTAATCCAAGATTGTTAATATTACAGGTAACAAACTATTACTAACTCGCGTTTTACAAAGTTAAGTAGAATGAGTTGTTTCTTTATTTTTTGAGTCAATAATGAGATAATTGCTAAATTGATGTTGATTTGATAACTGCTATGAGTCGATGACTATGAACTTAATGTCTTTATTACTCTTCAAATGAAGTAGAAAGATTATTTACTATGTAAGGAATGAAGGGCAATAAATTATTTTGTGGACGCGTATGTTGTCACTAATTTTAGGCTCAAATGCTTCATTTATGTTTATATTTAGGCCTTTATCTTTTTACTTGATGTGCTTCATCTAGATTAGATGCAATATAGATATAATGTGGTAGAATGTATTCTCTACCTGGCTGTATATACGAGTATTGTAGTTATCATCTCACCAAACACGTCATACAATATTAATAAAAAAAAGTATATGGTACGGGCTGAGCAAACGTTCTGTCGTATAGTCAAAGTTGCTGTAATCGGAAAGATTAAAGTCGTAAGCTATATCAAGATCCCTCACAGCACCTGGATAAAAACATTTTTATTTCTCCACTTTATATCAGAATAAAGACTATTGATAACCGCTGCGAGAGGAATGTCTCGGCATTAAATCTGTGGTATTGATATGATCTTTCTATCAGCAACCTTTATTGAGCTATATAATGCGCGAAATGTATTCTATACTTTTCAATTTTATAAAGGTAAACCTGCAGTTATAGTAATACAAATTTAACCAAATCCTGTTGAGAGCTAAAGTCATTATGACTGGTAAAGAGCAACTATCGTCTCTGATGTTGAAGAGATGCTTGGTGTTGGCTTCTCCTTGGTAAAGGAGAGGAACCAATATGCATATTAGTCGTATTATTACTGTTATCTGTATCATGACCGTATGCTGCCGTGGATAAACCTTTCATTGTCATAAAATCTAATTCTAGCTCCTCTTCTTCCATTGACGTAGTTTGAGCATGTATATTATGCGGAACTGTTTGACGTTCTCTTCTTCTTCGGGTGGATGAGTTTTCTTGCCTGGAAGGGGATGAAGTATGATGCCCACTATGACTACTGCTGTTGATACTATGCCCACCACGACCATCCATTCGTTTTCTTAAACGCTGCTTTTGGTGTATTCTTGCGTAAGCATCTTTGAAAAGATCTTTCACATTAATGAATTCATCACTTTCATCCTTATCCTCTTTGACGAGCTTCTTCCTTTCTTCAATAGCTTGAAGAACAATATCATGCAGATTGTGGCGCTGCGACTCGTATTCCAACTCTAGAATAGAAGCATCTTGTTCATACTGATGTTTAGTTAAGGAAAGCTCATATGCTTTGAATATTTCTGCATGATAAATCATTTTCTCGCATCGAGCTTCAATGTCCGACATAGTTTCTTTGAAAACGGAATGCGTGCCTGTTTGGAGATACAATTATGTCAGTTTAATTGTCTCATTTCAGCAAGATTATGCTTTACCATCTTGTATCGTTTTGATCTCCTCCTGTAATGATTGCAGTTTTTCTCTATAGATTCTATGGCAAAAATATTGTTGACGTAAATGTTAGCCGATGAGTTATGACAGTGATATGATAACCACAGCAGTCGGTGTCACTTACTCATCACACTGCTCCCAAAATTCATTATCCATCCAAGTAATGAGATCATTGAACTCACGCATTTTACGTAACATTTTACTTTCAACAGCTTCAATTGGTTCTATAATAGTATAAATTAAGGTGTATACTATAAGTTGCCTCCATACATGAGTGATTATTACCTGGTAAGACTACTAGCTGATGATGACTCTTTCCTTTCTGTGTAGAAAGTTGTTGATGCTGTTCTTGCTTTTGACTTTGATTTGAGACTGAAGATAAGGCATTGATAGTACGCGCTGGTGTATGCGATAAATCCACTAATTGCTTAACAGGCCGAGCATGAGGAGGAGAGGGAGGAGAAGCAACAATCTGTTGCTCGGTATTACGATGATATATTGATGGTAGGGTAGGTGATGTATCTGTAGTTACCAATTGATTGGCTGGCGATGATGGAGGTGGTGGTAATATTGTTGATGGTTGAGAAGCCATATGATGTGTTCGTAAATGTGGAGGTGTGGCAGGATCGGAAGTATGTGGTTGCCATACAGCTGAGGATTTAGCGGAGATTGATGGAGCTGTTTCTTGATATTTAGTATTTTCAGGATGATTAGGATTAGTATATAAGTCTAGTGGCCCATAGTCTCTATTACTATTACTGTCTTTTAATAACTGTTGTTGCTGCAGTTGTAGATGCTGCTGCTGCTGAGGCCGTACTTGTATCGATGACATGGATGGGTAGAGCTGCTGATTAGGAAGCTGTTGTTGAGAAGAGGACCAAGGCCAGCTGCTGCTGTTATTTTGGTTCGTAGGAACGGTAGTAGCCGTTTGTATAGGTGGTAATGGTTGAAGTGGTCTATAAAAGGAGGAGTTTTGTTGCTGTTGTTGTTGTTGTAAATCGTAAGATTGTGAATGTTGAACGGAAGATGGTTGCTGGTACAGCGGTACTGACGGTGATGCAGGCGCCCCAGCATATCTGTTGGCATAGTCTTCACTACTATCTCTATGTTGTTGTTGCTGTAGTTGTTGAGAAGGATACATGTAAGGTAATGGAGGTGGAGGAGGCAACAGCCCACTACCACGATCATTAGATGGTAGTGCCGTCTGTTGTGATGTATTACTGTGCTCATTGTTAGATTTCGATGAGTTGTAAGGTTTCGCCAAATGATGTATTATTGCTGATGACGATGTATTGTTACTACTATTTGGGGTGGGCGGAGGAACGCTGTTTGGTGTTGGTGGCTGGGAATCTGCGCCAGCCTGTGCTACGATGTATCCAAACTGAGGCAACATAATATTGTGTTAATCAACTAGAAGGGAAGCACGTAGGCAGAAGTAACAAAAAAAAAAAATAAAATAAAAAATAGATGCGATTTATTGAGGAACAAAAAAGCAAAGAAGGTAAAATGATCTGAAAGAGAAAAAAGTGGAGGCTTTTCGTTCTCATTGGTCAGAAAAGGGTTCTACTGGGATAATGCGGAAAATCATTTATGATCCTCACCCCTTCAATCTTCAGTTGCTCCTGATGGCTCATAAACATGCTTTCCCCTTTGATGGAAGCTTGTCATACCTTTACCACTGTTAACAACGCCAACTATAAGGATATATCCGTTCTTTAGCTCAAATTTTCTCTTGAAAAGCATGTATGTATTGTTATTGATATTACCTTTTCCTTCAGGATTGTCAGGAGATTTGAAGATACTTTTCTTGTTAATTACACTGGTGGCATTCGTCTTTTTCTTTTTACTACCGCCTTTTGCAAAATTTAACCAAGCATTCTTCTTATTCTCGAATTCAGCCGTTTTTGATTTTTGAGATGTTGTTGTTGTTTTCTGTCTTTTACTTTTATTATCTCCTTTCTTATTCTCAGGCTCAACAACTACATCTTCGAATATACCTGTACGTCTCTTTTTGTTCTTCAAACTATTTACATCTAAAGGCCGTATGTCTTCTGCTTTTACTAGTTCAGAGTCGGTGTATCCTTTGAATTTAACCGAGAAGACTTGATCCGCACCACCAATCGCTGTAATTACAGCCCTGTAGAATTGTCCATCGCCTGACCAACGCGCCATAACTTCTTGATCTACTGCAAATTCATGATGCTTTAAGGCCACAGTTGGCGTTGGATCTGCCAAGGGTGTTGAATTTGGCGCATTTTGTTTTTTGACTGGTGATTGTTGTTGTTGAGCTGGACTCGCAAATTGTTCCACCATGGAAATAAGTTCTTTTAAATCAGTTTGCAATTTTAGTAGTTCCTCATTATTAGGATCATTTTTTAACTCTAAATCAACTTGTTCTAACTGAAAACGATACGTTTCTAAATCTTCGGCACTCATTCTTTATGGATTTACAATGGAACAGGAACTTCAAATGGAAGATGCATTTTATTCAACTCTGAGTATGGAATGCACACTACAGACAGTCACAGTTGGTTCATTAAATGTTCAAGCTTTTCAGTTAATAGATTTACAGTATCTTCTTTCTTTGCTATTTGTTGCCGTAGAGACTCTTGTTTCTTTTCCAAGGAGTTTGTCAACTATGAAAAATGTAAAGTTATTATATTATACGATAGAGATCCTTTCCCGGTCGAAGTTTTTTTTTTTTTTTAACTTTACCAGTAATTCTTCATTCAACTGCTTCACTAATTGCTCTGTCTTATGTTTCAGTATCATCACTCTTCGATTTAACTTGCTTTTCTCTTTCTCAACATGCGCCAGTTGAGCTGTAGCTACTTTCTGTCTTTCTATTAATGTTTGGTTACTTTCTTTTCCTTCTTCAACTCGCTGTTTGCGCAAACTGATTTCTTTTTCAAGAGTGATCAGTTTTCCACGAATCAAATCAAGCTGTTCTTCATAATACATGCGTTGGGAATCTAACTGTGTTGCAGCCGTAATAGAGTATTCGCTTGCCAAGCGGTCCATTTTACTGACAACAGCATCACTATCTATATTGCTGCTACTACCGCTATCGAGCGTAAAAGCATGGGCATACCATGGATTTGCATTTTTCTCTTCCTCTTCAGTTTTGTTTTGATCTGTTCCCCTGCTGCCTGCATCTGTTTGTTGAAGGAATTGCTGTTGGTGTTCCTGTTGCTGTCGTTTCAATGAAGGTAATTCGATGACATGACCCTGTTCGGTTTGTATCAAACGGTGTGCATATTTGTCACCGTGATAATCCCAAACATATTGCGAGTCTACTGCTATGGCTAAAGTATGTCTGGTACATGTATAATGATCATAAGCATGAGCTTTTTGATAGCGTCCACATCCTTTGTGGCCACATATAATACAAATCCATATAGAGGAGAAAGTTACATTCTGGTTGGGCCGAGTGGGTGGCTCTTTTGATTCACATTCAAAACAAATATCACCCGCTTCACTATTCTCATTTTCAGTCACCTGCAACTGTTGAAGCCGCAATCGGCGACAGGCGGGACATATCGTATCAGTCCAACCGCTCAAGCATTGACATTGTAGTTGACTGTGTGAACACTTTATGTGCTTCAGTCCAGTTACACTTTCATCCAACCGTTCCAAACATACAGGACAAGTCGGTAGCTCCACCCAATCGTCCATAGCTGTTGCTGTTGTGACAGTCATATATGGATAATCGTTCCCTGCTTTTCTGTCATTGTACGTTGAGATTTCACATGCCTTTAGAAATACAAGTTGGCTTATTTCCGGCTCTGTCATATTATATCGTCGCCCATTATACTTTTGATAACATTTGAACGCTTCTACGAGATTTGTAAACTTGAGTAAAGCCATATACCTGTTGACAAAGCCATCGTGAATAAAATGAAATTGAGCATCAACATCTTTGAAGAAATTCATTGTGTCTTTATGCGTCATATAGGCTGGAACGGCTAATACACATATCACTCTATTGCTGCTTTCAGTGATGGTACTCATCAACAATTCCTCTTCAAATGTGTCGCTTCTGGGTTCAGAAGCCACAGTGAGGGGTTCTGCGCCACGATAAAGGTAAACGATGCCGTCTCCAAGATTAGTATCATCGATTTGAATGGTGCCTAAACGAAAGTCGGGATGACAGTCTAGACATGATGCGCTTTTCGGCATTTCTTGCTGCTGAACAGGTCTTTCTGAAGCCCTTAACGATAAGGTTGTATTCAGCGTGTCTGCTGAAGCAGAGGGATTATTAACTGTTGTTGTTGTAGAAGGGTATGTTTGAGCTGGTGTTGGTGGCACATGAGGAATTACAGTACTACTAGTAGGGGTTATTGAGGAAGATCGTCGTTTGTTGTTGGGCAACGGTGAGATTCGCGTATGTTGGGGTATCTTACCAAGTCTCTTTTGTACATCATAAACATAGGGTACTGAGATATTCGGTAGTGCATCTGTCTTACACAAGTCAGTAGCTGGACTGAAGTGAGGCGTATATAGCACACATTTTAATTGATAAACATACATGAAAATTGCACAGGTAAGAAAAGCGATTATGCTTTATCCAGTTTAAATTTTTCATATTTTATGATTGTATCAAAAAAATTGGCGTTATTATTCAAAAGGGACAACATCGACCCACCCTCCTCATCGTTTACCTATACTTCTTGCCACTCACTCTTTAAGCTAACAGGCAGTTTAGAAGCCTATCTATAACTATAAACCATAGTATTTCGCCAATTGAACAAATGCACGTGGATTGGAAATACAGTGTTCGCTCTTCCTTGTATATGATCAGAGACGAAACGGAAAGGTATCCTATTCGACTTGCAATTTATGGTAGTACGAATGAAAGGAAAAATATTTTCAGAAAGTAGCTGAAAGGTGAAAATGGTTGTACTAACAAAGGCAACAACCCATCGTAAATGATCCGAGCTAACAGAATCATTGATTTTGGCAGTGATTCAGCACTACTGAGTTGTAAATTTTTTCTTCCTTTTATTTTCCTGTTCTATCATGGTTCCTGCCTCTGAAGAGCAACAAGCACCTGTTGGCGACCTTCAATGTCAAAAAGATACTTTTTTGCAGCATTACTCAACCGTATGCCTTTGGTGCTCTGCCGCACCTGACAAAAAGGGCTTTTATCAAGTCAAACTCCAGGACACCAGTATAGTATCGCTTCGGCATCACACGATGAACGTTCAAAGCAAAACAGTGACCTTCAAAATAGACTAACGCAGTTGACAATTACCTCAATTTCTCTCGAATGAAATAGTTTTATTCCCTGAAGGTGGAGGGCAGCCTTCAGACACAGGCTATATAGATAATATCAAGGTGCATCATGTCTTAAGAGAGGGTTTATCACATATTCACTTTACAAAGGACCCGGTACCTGTAGGTCCTGTGGAGCTCAAACTCGATTGGGATCGTCGATGGGATCATGTACAGCAACATAGCGGTCAGCACTTACTGAGTGCTGTTCTGGAACAGCCCCCTTATAACATTGAAACCATCTCTTGGAATCTTGGTGAAAAACGCAGCTATATTGAGCTTCCTACAAGTAAAGTGAAGGTGGACATTTCAAAGCCTTTTCTAAGCGACGTTGAGTCCGTCGTCAACAGACTTATCTTAAAGAATATCCCTGTTCTTACACATTCAGAAAAGCATGTGGATACCAACCGACCTGATAGCTTGCCGAGTGACTATACAGGGGGTGGGCATATCCGTACCATTGAAATTGAAGGTTTGGACAGAAATCCTTGTTGCGGTACACACGTATCAAGCCTTGGGCAGCTTCAATGTCTAAAGTTACTACACACAGAAAAAGTAAGAGGAGGGAATACACGCTTATTTTTCTTGGTTGGACAGCGTGTTCTTGATACACTGGACGCAAGTTATACCATCACTAGGCAGTTAACGAGCTTATTGTCGGGTCCCCAAGAACAGTTTGTTGAAAATATTGAAAGGCTACAACAACAATCGAAAAACCAGATGAAGCGTTCGAAGAGGCTGCTGGAACAATTAGCAGCTTATACTGTAGACGATGTCGGAAGAGTATTAAAGGAGCAAAAGGTCATGGTGGTTTATAGAGAGCTTGCTGATATGGAATTTTTATCTATGGTAGCGCATGGTATAAAGGATCGAGCCTTACTCGCCGAAGGCGAGAAAGTACTTGTTTTGGCAGCTGGCGAAGAAACGGCCGGTGGGCCTATCATTGTTCAAGGAACCAATGATGCGATCGTACAAAAGGCGAGCCAGATTCTAATGAAAACATTGCCAAATGTGAAAGGTGGTGGAAAAGGAAGATGGCAAGGAAAGGCACAAAGTTGGCAAGGTATTGATGGATTGGAAAAAGTATTAAAAGACGAGTTGTAATAGCAAACCGAAAAAAAAAGCAGAACCCACCTACGTAATGTACACTGAGTGCTTTGCTAAAAACAAACCCACTCCTTTGACATAACTGTTTGCCTTTGTGTCTTTTATGAATTTGTATCGATTTCAATAAACCACAGATCTTTGCTTATTATTATTTCTACTCTTTTCGAGGCACATGTTTTGACAAGTAGTCTTAGCGAGATCTAATCTGAGTGTTAGGATAGATAAACACTTTGTTCGATTGATTTACGCCAATCTTGACATTATGCAGTAGTATCACGCTTAAAATAAATTTCAAACTTCGTTCATATAGGCATTCGATTTAAATGATTTTAAACAAAATCACCATGTGATAAATACATAATTTCTTCTCTATTCTTGTTCTGGTTAAGCAACATATGAATAAATATAATTGTTGTAGCAATAGCTTAGGCTGTTATGGTATTGGCGCTACTGCCGCAGCTTTTGAAAACTTGTTGAAATACACAATTGAACGCTCTCGCGACCAGCTGAACAAAGATAATTCCGAAACCCTCCACAGGATCTCTCGAGCAAAACTCCATAGCTTGACCAGTAGTAGTGTTTCCATGCGTATGTGCAAACGATGTAAACGCCCACCGCTCAATAATTTCAGTTTGACGATCTAATTTGAATGTAGTGAAGTTCTGTTTTCTCCAATAAGTGATAATAGTAAGGTTCCTTGCCCAAATATTATCATCCCCTGCACTATCTCCTTCTTCATCTAAAGAAGACTCAATCCCGTAATCTCTTCTTAGAGTTTTATAAACACAATCAAATTGTCTTGCTGTTGTAGGAGATAAGTTATCACTATTTTCGATTGAAAAAGCATATACAATATAAAGTAACAGGATAGTTATGAGAGAGAGAATATTGGATGAAAGACAATGAATAGTAGTCTTCATGCTGCAAAGTCTATGCCACAATGAGTCAAAGAAAAGAGGAAAGAAAAGGAACAGGAACAGTGGAGTACAATATCATGCATTGATGTGCCTATTTGTTATGATTGACATTACAACGGTACAACAACTTTTTCCTGCCGGCTTCAAGTCCGGATACATGACATAGAGCTTACTCTATGAAAACCGTTGAACCCTTTGATCAAGTTGTAGATAAAGAGTTCTTTACTGCCTACACGTCGATATACGCTTAACTAATACAGTTTTAATGAATTGGATCGTAGACTAAAACGCATGCAAGTCTTTATTAGAGATTGTACAAAATTATCAATCCCTTTGTAAATGGCCTTCATTGGAAGATGCAAATGATCATTTTGTTATACAAACTCAGATATAAGGGTTGCAACTACACCTGCACAAAGCAAAGAGGTCTGTCAACAATATCTACCATATCACACACACATGCATAGCATACTATAAGTCTTCAATAATAGTCAATTATGAGGTGAGGAGCAAATCAATATTTTTTTCCTTTTTTTTTTTTGTTTTTGTTTTGGACAAGATTTACATTGAAACAGAAATTATAAATGAAAAAGTAATAAAGAAAACTCTATACAAAATTATCAGGATATATCCAAAAAGAGGATGCGTTCAATCCTTGTTCTTTTAACACCCATGCCTCGTTCAATTCCCCAATGTATTTTGAGAACGTTGACCTTGGCGTTGTCAGAACTCGTTTTCCATGAGCCGCTACCATTGCGTCCACAAGGGGTATTAAATACGATCGTAACGTTTTTGAAGGATTGAACAAGCAATGCATGCTGTCTAAAGGTGCCAATAAATCAGGTGGTATATCATTGAGAGTGACTGTGCATGGAAAATAATCAAACCATTCGAGAACACGACTATGATTGCCGCGAATATCGCGATGATCTGTAGCAATATATACAACTGTCCTCCATCCTTCAATATCTCTACCCGTTCTATTGAAAGCTGCCGCTCCATTTTCATTTTCTTTACCAAAGTTGTCAAAAAGAGGTGATAAGTTACGACATACATTCGACCATGGAGGCTGGGTTAAATCTTGGTGTGGCTCTACAGAAACCACATACTTTGGCGCCGGTGGTGGTTTAGACGGAGCCACCAATTGTCCTGTCTTCCTATCGTAAGGCGGCAACGGGGGTACCATACCGCCCGTTGCTATCGTCATGTTCCTTTCGAATTGCTTCATATTTTCAGTTGCATATTTTCGAAAAGGCATGTCTCTTAGTCGGAAATGGACTGCGTGATAAGTCGCCTTTCCGCCTAAATGGTTGACAACGTTCGCCACAGCTTCTCCTAATGGCGTATCCAGTCGATAATGTAGCGTCTCTGAAATTTGTTGTTGTAGCTCGATATGGGCGGGTTCAACCATGTTCATACGTGTCGAACCGAAAACACCACCCAGATGGAGAAGACGTTCTGTGCGATTTTTAAAATGATAGGATGTGAATATCTTGTAAAATTTTCGATCGGTAAAACTGTCGACAAAGTTGGAACCGTTGGCCAAGATAGACGAAGCCTCCTCCACGTCTTCGTAGAGGCGCCAGTCATATAAATGTTCGTCATAGTGGACGTAGGTATCATGGGAAGATAATCCTAAATCCTTTTGAAGTTGAGCAAGAGATACAGTATCTTGAAAGCGAATGTGAATGTTGTACTTGTTTATTAATGTGGTGAAATCGTGTAGTTGATCCCAACGGATAGCTGCAAACTGATGGTATTCCGCGCATTTGCTGCGTTGTACGTAACTGGAAAGGGTGCCGGGCGTAGGTAGTCGACACAGTAAGTCGAAATCTTTGGGTGTAGTGAGCCAGCTAAGATGATCCTCGAGTTGTTCAAACGGCATCCAACCTACGACACTGCCGAGAAATGCTGGTGGAACGATAAGCGTTCGATTGAGTAAAGCAGCTAGAAGTAGAGCATTAGCAAGTTCAATACGCTGATTAGAAAGTCCGGAATGGGGTAAATAGGCCAAGAAGCTTTCACTGTTGCTACTATCTTTTAGAAAGTAACGTAGTAGTGAGTTTGAAGACAAAGAACCTTCTCTTTGCTGCTTGTATAGTAAGTAAGTGGACACAGCGATGCATATAATGAGGAGAATGGATAGGATGCTGATGAAATGTTTGTGCCTTATCCACATGTTGAATTCATTGATTCGAATGCTTGTTCGGTGTAAGTGTCTGCTGCTTTAATGGAATGTTTGATTGAGACGTATATATAAACTAAATAGGTCTATTCTTTAGTGAAGAGAGACCCTTTAATGTGTATTTGAGTCTGTTGCTCTTCTGCTTCTTCGTCAGTCCCTTATTCGTCTTCCTTTTCAGTCAAGTGTATTTTGTTAGGAACAAAGCTGTACTGAAGCCAGAGTCTAGTAAAAGTGTTTTTTTTTTTTTCTTACAAGATAAAAAACTAAAAATGGAACAAAAGGAGAATGAAAAAGAGTTGCTGCTAAGATAAAGCAGCATTTAAGTACGGGGACAAGTAAAATCGTGGAACGTAGAAATTTCGTCTTCTCGAATCAAGGTACAGATAAGTATTACAGCTTTTTTTTTTTTATTTTTGAAAGTTAGACCCGCCAGTCAATGTTTTGCGCAGAAAACCCCGCACAATAAAATATCCTATTGGCAGAAAGTGTTATCTTCATCTTTAACTTACAGATGCTTAATGACATTTTCCACCAAGCTAACATTTAATCCAGTATTATCAGGTTCGACAAACAGCTTTTCCACCTTCCCGTCTTGATTGATAACGGCAGCAAATCGCTTACAGCGATGATTACCTAAAGCACCGGAAGCATCGAAGTCAAGCTCTAATGCCTTGGCAAATTCCCCTTTAGGATCCGCTAATAATGTAACTTTGTTGCCCACATTTTGATCCTGGCCCCAAGCATTCATAACGAACGCGTCATTGACGGCGACACAAGCAATTTGTTCAATGCCTTTCTCGTCTTTGAGACGTTGAGCGTTTTTAATATAGCCGGGAAGATGTGATTTACTGCAACCGGGAGTAAACGCACCGGGTACACCTATTCATATGGATAATGTTAGTATGGCTTCCTCGATATCGTTAAGATGATAGCAGGATTGATTCTGTACCAAATAAGATGGATTTTTTGCCCTTGAAAAATTCGGCTGTATTGACAGTTTCAGCTGGAGATTTGAGCTGAACTTGAACGTTGGGAATTTTATCACCCTCAGCAATGCATACACGGCTGGTTTGACTGAAGGAGCGGCGAGGGACAGGAGTTAATATTTGACGAAACATGATAGTTTGAAGTGAGATAGTATGAATGAAAAAGAATGTGGAAAAAGCGAACTGTTCGCCTAACGTCATAAACAAGCTTCTCCCAGTCGCACAAATTCCAAGTCCGCAAGTAGTAAGAATTCTACGCCAGAGTACCACAAGGATATACATCGTGATGCTTCTTCGAGGAGTGTAACATACGTCGTACATCAAGTTCGCTGCTTGTTGAGAGATTCCATAACACGCAGCAAAGATCGATGTTTTGTCATCAACACGGCAATGCCTTAGTATCTTGAACCATGCGGTACGTGCAATTGGTCCTAGCTTTTGGATAAGGTATATCAGTTTGCACTTTAATTAATCGTACAATACAATGCAGACTCCCCATCTTTAAAGCAACAACGTTTTATAGCAATGGCATCAGTTAGTCGCGCAGAAACAAGCGGCGTGGATTGCTACTAACCACCGGTAAGGCCACTTATTTAGAATTCAGTTGCGAAGTACGTGAAACTGTTTTGCTAAAGTGTGTCTTGCTGTATATAATACTCTTACACTAAGTTTACTTCATAATATATAAACTTGCAAGTATTTTTGAGGGTCCTCTAAGAGGTGGTAATGTACATTCAACATTTATAGCAAGTTCATCCATCTTCATGTACTTTGATAATGCAAACTGAAAAGTTCGCGATCATTCCGTTTAATTAATCAATATGTAAACCTTCATAAGCATTTGCATGGACATAACCTGGACGAGTGTGCTCAAGTAAAGTTACTAGCAAATAAAAGAATGCGCAGGCGAAGAAATGCTACAGCAAGTACCTGTAGCATTAAATAAAATATATAGCAGTTGGAACGTAAATACTTGTTGATCCTCATTAAATAGGAAATTTTGGCGGAAAGCGCTAGTCGTGCTTTGATGGAAAAGCAAATTATAACAACCAGTAACACGCAATGTAGGGAAAGATAAGGTGAAGTGCATTACTTAAGTTGTATGATGTTAGATAAAAAAAATGCTGCAGAGGGTATATGGTAATGAATCAGTTTACAACTGATATATGAGATGTAAGGTATATGCAGAAATGCTATGTATTGCAAATAGCTGGAAAAATCCGGGATTTTTTTTCTCTAGCGTATCGTTTGGGTGAACTCAACAGCAAAATCATCATCATCTTCATCGTCGTCGTCATCGTCGCCCTCTTCCTCATCGTCAAATAGTCCGCTTCGTTTACGAACTGTCTGTGTATGCGTTGTAGCTTTTTGTTTGCCTTTGTCTAGCTTTTCTTGAGTGCTATCATTCGAAATTTTAACAGATGTTGGTTCGACTGCTTCTGTTTTCATTTTTTTGTTTTGATCGTCAGCGGGAGCTTCTTCTAATTCGCTCACTGATCGTTTCCTGCTGCTTTTCATCGATCGTTGCTGTTCTTCTAGTTCCGCTATTTTGGTCTTCATGTCTTGTATGGCTTTTTGCAATGAGAATATTTTCCTCTTTTTAGCATTCAATACATTACAAAATTTCTGAACCATGGTTATTTTATCACGGATGGCTTCGTTCGTCATCTGCTGATTAGCGTTTCGCAGCTCTCTGAAGGAATTCGCGATATCCGTGTTCCGTTGCTGTAAGGCTTTGTTTTGCTCCTATAGTTTGCAAAAGAAACGATTTTCGCATTGGTTTCATGAGGATGATGACATAATATAGATATCTTCTTACAGTAGAACTTCTCGAGGCTATTGCACTGTTGATAAACCATAATTCATGCAATTCTTTTTTCTTTGTTTCAGGTACCACTTTGTTCAAAGAAATAGAACCAGCAGCCAATGGAATGTTGCCTTCAAAAGTTCTTAATTTCATCTATTTCAAATGTTGCTGTCAGTCATATATAAACTTGTAGATGCTTTAACTCTTTTCATTTTTTCTTTTTTTTTTTTACATTACGAATAACTTATCAGATTTAGAGTCTTTGTTCACTTTCCATTCTAACTGGCTACCATTGACAGACTCCTCCCCTAGAAATGCTGCCTGCAATACCTTGTCTCTCTGTGACTCTACTAATGCATTGGACGGTTTGAATGCTGTCAATAAAAGATCACGGGTAACTATGTTTAGTTCAAAAGTTAGGATAAACATTGAGAGACGAAACAACTGAGTCGACTTGAAAGAAGGTTGAGCCTTACTTGTTCTTTGCCAATAATCGTCTAAATCAGTAATGGTTACATGGCAGTACTCAATGTCAGGATCAGCGACGAGATCAATATCTTTGTTTAACCATTCACACTGAATATGAAATAGATCACCTCCTCTATTGTAGTTATAGAAGGCATAAGATCGATCCATTGATGAATTTAGTAAAGGCTGGTGGAAGGAAGAACAATCATCCCATAGAAGAGCATTTGAAAAATCAGGCACATCAGAACTGGAATTTAAATGCCATCCAATAAAAGAGGCTGGACCCTTCACCTGCGTCACACTTGCAGTTCCTATTTTTAAACACACAAGTTTATTAATTTCGATGAACTATTCGTTATACTTCAAACCTCCTCATTGACCCTCTTAATATACCTCAAAGAAATACCTAACTCACATATTTATCAGTTTAAGCTTAAGCATAACAGTCCATTAGGCAACCTGCTTCCTATTCATATTCAATGTTTCAAATTCTAAATGATCTATATGATATAGTTCAGGATCGCCGTCGTCAAGCTCTTGAGGAATTCAATCTCTTTTGGAACCGATGGGTTCCACCCCATCGCCAAGTGCAGTTGGATGCACCTGTTTCAGGAGACGTTTGTCAGCATGGATTAGAGCGTCTTCGGAGTCAACAACGACAACAACATCCAAATAAGCTAGGCAAATTACAAAAGGAACAGGAGCAGTATTATCGAGAAAGCTCCGAGCCATTGCGTTTGCGTGAACGAGAAGATAAACTACACAGATACCACACTCAAAAACTATTGAATCCTCAAGCGCGAGATTGTAATATCAAAGTTATCAATGCTGTGCAAGCTATGCATGACAGGGCAGACGAAGAAGTTAGACAAAGAAAAAGGAAAGAACGAGATGAGGACAGTAATAATGATAGATCATTTCTTCATCCATCAGCAGCAACAGCAACAACATCAACAGCAGAAGCACCTGTTAAAAGGCAAAAAACACTACCTGCCAGTTTCCCATTGTTTGTAGAACAAGAGCCTCAGCATTATCCAAATGCATCCATAACACCAGCAAATTTAAAATCCATCCTTAAAAAACCAACGCAACCGCTGGTGCGTGCAAAGTCAGCTATGCATACAGCAACAGCAACAAAGCCAACAGTTACTATTCCTGACGAAGAGTTAATGGCACAAATTACAAAAGATGACAAAAGGCTGGAAGCGTTGAACAAGCGAATGGATGTGGCCAAACGAAAATCAATTGAATTGTTGGAGGGCTATCATGGCTTCCACGACAATGAAGATCATGAAGTAGCTGAAAAGGTAACAAAATTGGGCTTACCTTTTACTAGCATATTATGTTTCCTATTGATCTAACTCAAAAGTTATCAAGTTGGAGAACCGCTCAATGTTAACCATGGCAACAACAAGCATATCAATACCGTTCTCTCCTCCTCCTTTGCATAGGTTAAAGATGCGTCAAATAATACGTTCAATTCCTCTAGTCCGCCTCAAAGAGGCCAGAATAATTATGTACGTTCAGTTTGATACGCTCTCGTCATTCAAAACAGAATCTAACACGATCTTCCTTCAATAGGGGTCCGGACGGTGAGGAAAAGATCAACCCTTTTTGGGTTGAAATCTATGGCAATCGCTCTTGAACAAATAAACAATGGCTTGTTGACTTCATTTCGTTTCAAGTGCTTCTTCTAAAAGCTTCAGCAGGGTATTTGAAGAAATTGCTCAAATCAAAGTTCGAACAGTTTGTGCTTAGTTGTACTACCTAACAACTTATGTAGCACAAATTCACGTACTGTTGCCACTGCCATCCTTCTCCTATGGAGGAGGCATCTAGTCAGTCACCTTACAATTATTAGCACTTATTGGGAAGCCCTGACATCTACTACATAGCTTGGCTCTTATGTTATACTTTCAGAACCTAAGGAATCTCAATGCAACGATATGCCTGCATTTATATCCACTCAGTATTTCCATTTTTTCATTATGACAGCATATCTATAGTTGCTGTAAACCTACAAAACATAAGCAACTTTTTGAATTGAAGGAGATTCATCACACTTTGGCCCATACACTTTATCCTCGGATTTATCAATCATGTCTTTGCCCATCCGTATGCTTCCATCACATTCGCATACCGTAAACATCTTCAGCAATATATATATATATATACCAGTAGTATTACAATAATACATTAAGACGCTTCATTGTGCGCAGATGAGCTCTATATTTGTAATGAAGGCAGTTCCCGTCAGGTTTATTGATGTTGAATGATCAAGTCTACAGGAAATAGGCGACTAGTACTCCTCCTATCAAGGATCCACTCCTGAACACGTTGGTTGGTTGTCTTTTAAGCGATGGAAACGGTCTACTTTCTCTGTCTTCCCTTTCTTTTTTTTTTTTTTTTTTTTTTTTTTTTTTTTTTTGGGTCTTATTCAATAATTGTTGTATAAGTCAGAAAAAACATTGTTCTAATGCACATTCATTGCTCAATTATCTCAATTGTTTATGTCTCTCTATATTCTCTTTGCTACTATTGTTGCTTTTTTCCAATAGTCTCAACAGCACCATTGGCCGATAGTGCTCAGTTGTCAAGTGTTGCTAGTAAATTTGTACATCCGCAGAGACAGGGACTGACTCAAGATGTATTTGAAGACTTTGTGAGCAGCTTCAAAGGTACATGCAGTTATCGTTATTCTTTATGATATATACATGCTGACTGCGGTGATTCCCTTTTTCTGCATGTAGACGTAGACCTATTCGGTTCAGTTAACTCACAGACCCTAGATCCTCCAAATAAATAATTTCCACAAACTGAGATACGTATAAAACAGATTCGGCGATATAGAAAAAAAATGACTTTTATTTACACAAAAACAAGAATATAATAATAGTTATGAAAATAAGCTATAAAACAATAATGAACATCTCACTTAATCCTTCTTTTTCTCTTTCTTTTTATCCTTCTTCTCTTTCTTCTCCTTTTTATCTTTCTTGTCTTTCTTTTCTTTTTTATCCTTCTTCTCCTTCTTCTTCTTAGGTTCCTCTGATACTGCAGAGTTGTCTTCTCCTTCATCTGCCTTGCTTTCGACTTCTTCGATCTTTCTCTTTTTACCTGAGACTTCTTCAGGTTCTTCTACCTTGACTTCAGCTTCTGCCATCACGACATCAGCAGCTTCACTGTAATTTTGTGCCTTGTTAAACTTGAATTTGGTTTGTTTCTGAGCAGATGTATCCTTATTTGCTTTAGCCATCACACGACCTTCTAACATAGAAATACGTGATTCAACTTTAGAGCGACCTTCAACACCGACTTCGTTTGATTCAGATTCACCCAAAGCATCCACTCTTAAAGAAAGTGCGGCCTTAGCAGCTAACATACGGGCTACTTTAGCTTTGTTTTTAGGACCAGCTTGGCCGACAAGAGAGGCATGATAGATCAAACCATATTTAGGTGTATTGTGTTTCGTCTTCAAGGCACGGAAAAGAGCCTTTTCAGCACCCAAGATTTGAATAGTAGAAGCAGGTTGCTTAGACAAGTTCATCAAAGAACCAGCATGGGAGATCAAACGAGCACCAACCAATTCGCCCACCAAGGCTGTCAAGTTGGGAGCAATGGCATGCATACGGTTCTTCAAGTATTCGTACAGTTGGGTTCTGTATTCAGTAATATTGATGACTTGATCACAGAGAGCAAAGATATTTTCTAAATCTTCATCAGAAATTTCTGTACCCATAGAAATTTCAGCGGCTTCTTTCACTTCCACTTCGAGTTCTTCAGGAAGAACTTCGGACAAATCCGTCTTGTGTGCGTTGGTACGGAAACCCATGGTCTTGACGACCTTGGCGTAAGCCAAATTATCAACAATAATCTTTGTCATTTCAGGGAAGTGCCAGCCGTACCATTCCTTAACACGCATAGCGTAAGTGTTAAGTTCTTTATCGAGATCATCCAGAAGACCGATAGCTTGGACAATCATAGTATCCACTTTATCGGGAGAGAACTTGAGTTTATAACGAGAAAGAGAGTGAGAAAGACCAAGAGACATAGCGTTCAAGTCAGAGGAAGAAAGGCCAGAGACTAATGATTCAAATTGTTCACGAATGCCTCTGTAAAGTTCTTGAACGGTACTATCGGATAAAACATTCACACCTAACTTCTTATTGATAGAAGAACCTAAAATGCATGTCAAGAAGGATTAGCAAGAGTGAATCTCAAAAAGCAAAAAAATCGTCAGGCCCATCTGGGAAAAAAAAAAAACCAATTACCGAGCTTGGGATCACTGATAACCAACTTTTCTTTCTTCTTTTCCTTGTCTGTAATTTCTGATTCCAAGAACTTCTTCAAGTTTTTGGGCATTTTGCCTTCGACAATGCCGGTAACAGCAGATAAGGCGTCAGTTGTATTTTCAAATTTCTTGAAAGCCTTCAACTTCAAACTAAAAGTGTGTATGATAAAGCGCAAGAGTCAACGTAAACATATTTGTTAGTGCCAGTGCTATTGCTATTCATAGTCTTGCAAAGAAATTTTTAAGGTTGACATTTACAGCTGATTAGCCTTTTCGGCATCTTGAAAATCCTTATAGAGTTCCTCGGGACTCTCTAACTTGCCATCGTCAACAAGCTTGAAGAGAGCATACCCAGCTGCTGTTTCGTAAAGGACGAGCATAGTCGTTAGGTGTGTGCAATAGTATAGAAAAAGAGAAAGAGAAAAATCGACAGCAAAAAAAGTGGCAAAAATGCTTTTTCGTGACCGGTCCTATTGGGAATTATCTTTTTTTGACGAAAGGTTTCTCTCTCTGAGGAGCAAGTGGGCAAGAAGGGTAAACAAAAAAAGCCTTCTTAAAGAAATGCAGTCCCTTACCCAAGTCGGCAAATCCAAGCCTCCAAATTCGCATTGCAGATTGAGCAACTCCGAATGGGATGCTTTTTTGGACGTTTTTTGAAAGCTAACCAACACGCTCGATCGATCATCAACCAATGGGTGTCGCAGTGAAAAGAAAGAATAAGAGTAGTAACACTTCTGAGCCTGTTGCAAAAGTAAGTTTTTCAGAAGAAGTATCTGCATCTTATTCGAATAGATGACTTATACCATTGAATTGAAATAGCAAGCTAAAAAGGAACAGTCAACTGACAATGAATACAGTATGATGGGTACTGGTTTTTCGGATGAAGATGAGGCTGGCGACTGGGAATCAGGATCAGACGATAGTGATGACGATAATGATGCTACCGAAGATCTTCCTAGCACAGAAATTAAAAAAACCAAACCGACTGAGGACGATATTATCTCTGGGGAGTTGGAGGGATTGAAGGAAACCGCAGAATTATACAAGTCAAACATTTTCAAGTTGGAGGTAATGATAAGAAGATGGTCATTTGCAGCTGCAAACATTCTAATGCATACCTTTGAACAATTAGATTGAAGAATTGCTTGCTGAGATAACTCCCAACTACGGAAAACATAAAGCTGTAGAAAAGGCACTTCATCATTTAAAGGCCATATTTGATAGCATACCTGAAGCAAAGCAACCCATGAAGGCAAGTAGAACGGAAAATGCTACTGATTGCTTCTGTAACACCAAGCTGATGTGATGTATAAAACTAATGTATCTTTTTCTCGTTCACAATAGTTGGTCGAATTTGCGGAAAACATGTACAAATCGTCTAATATTAGAACACCTTTTCCCGATCCTCAACCTTCTAAAGAAGCAAACCATACTTTCACCTTCGTTCCTCCGGCCTCCATCCACTTGGTGGGCGGCTATGCATTGAAGACCATTACCAAGTCCACAAAATCCCATCCTTTCAATATCGACGTTGCAGTAGAGATGCCAGCAACCATTTTCCAGGAGAAAGACTATTCCAATTATCGTTATTTTCATAAACGTGCATGTTATTTAGCCTGCTTAGCACAAGCCATCATCGCAGAATCCAACAAAAAAACCAAAAATGCGAAAAAGTTCAAAGTGGAATACAGCACCATGAAAGGCGATCTACGTCGTCCTATTCTTATCGTAAAACCTAGTGGAGACGGCTCTGATGTTGATTTCACAAAGTCCAAATGCGTTATCCGTATTTTACCGTACATCGAAAATGATAACGAGGATGCAGCTATTCCATTACACCGCTTAGCACCCGGCAAATCATGTGTGAAACCGGCTACAGCCACACCTCACTACAACGCTTCTCTTTTGATGGACATGTCTTATACCAGAACGCTTGCCTTCTTATATCAAATCAGTAAATCCTCACCTGAATTCAAAAATGCCATTCTATTAGCCAGAACCTGGATTCTCCAACGTGGATTAGAGTCCGTGGGTTTGGACGCCTTCCTATTTTCTATGGTCATGGCGTACTTGTTGCAAGGCAATCAAGACGGTACAGGAAAGAAATTGTCGACATCTCACAGCTGTTATCAATTGTTCAGAGGCACCTTGGATTTCTTAGCTGCACATGATTTCAACAGCACGCCTGTCATGTTGGGAGAAAGTGAAAAAGAAGAGTTTTCAGCCGTACAATTTCAGACGCACTACGACGTAGTGATTGTGGATCCCTCTGGTATGTTGAACTTGGCAGCTCAAATGACAAGATCAGCCATGAGTCAAGTACAGCATGAAGCCAAGCTAGCCATGTCTTTTTTCAAGGACGAGACTGCCGATCGATTTGATGCTTTGTTTTTGAAGAAAGTGGAAGATTTCAAATTCAAGTATGATAATGTGGTTCGCATTCCCTACAGCGAACAGAATTGGTCGTTTGATGAAAGTAAAGAAAATGAACAAGCGTTGAAAGCAGACTTTCATCATTATTTGCCCTACCTCGTTTCTCGCATCAGTGACATTCTACAACGTGGTCTGACCAATCGTGTGGATTTGGTAGCCATTCGTTATAACCAGCCTAGCAATAGCTCTTGGTCAGTGCAGGAAAATAGGCAGGAACTGAAGGACATCACCATCACCATCGGTTTGTTACTCAACAGCGATAACGCGCCTCGTTTAGTCGATCAGGGGCCTGACGCCGCTAATAAAGATGAGGTGGCTCGATTCCGTGAGTTCTGGGGCGATAAATCCGAGCTTCGTCGTTTCAAGGATGGCTCTATTGTTGAATCTGTTGTTTGGCAAACCCAAGGATATGAAAACCGCTCTCTTATTGTACAGAAGATTGTCTTACATCTGTTGAAACTGCATTTGGATGTCTCTGCTGATCAATTGGTTTATTGGGCAGGCCAAGTCTATCCTTTCTTGCGCTTTTCCAAATCGTTGCCCCATCATCTTTTCAATACTCAAGAATTGGAGGTTCAGGGATTTCAACCTGTCATGTCAGCTTACAGTCAATTTTCCAAGCACTTGCGTCAACTCGATGATGCCTTACCGTTATTGATCAATAACGTTTATCCTGCTCATGTCAATTTGCGCTATTCATCAGCCACAATACCTCATCCTGTTGATTTTCGTAATATCATAGCTTATCCCCTTACAGCGCGTTACGTCGATGCCATGGATGTGGTTGTTCATATTGAAAGTTCTGCTAAATTTCCGGACGATTTAGATGCTTTACAGAAGGTGAAACATGCCTTTTTGTTGAAGCTAGCTGAAGAGTTCAAAACTCGATATCAAGTGGATGCTGTCGTTGTCGATGACGTTCGTGAAAAGAATCCCTGGGCCATTCGCGGCTACCTAGACGTTTATTACTTTGGGTATATTTTCCGTTGTCATATTCACCTGGAACAAGAAGCCACTCTCTTACAAAAGATCGTGAATAGCAAAACCGCGACCATCATGAATCAAAATTTAGCAAAGGATGCATTAGAAAAATACATGTACCGATTACGTTATCAACAACTGCATACATTCTACATCCAAGCTATGTGTGCGAAATATACCGCTTTTTCATCTACAGTGAGGTTGGTGAAGCGATGGTTTGGTGCTCATTTGCTGTCCAATCATGTGGCTGAAGAAGTGATAGAATTGATAGTGGCCCATGTGTTCTTAGAGCCTCAACCATGGGTCGCTCCAGTGAGTACCTTGGCAGCATTTAGCCGTGTATTGGGCTTATTGGCCACATGGGACTGGCAACAAACACCCTTAATAGTGGATGTTGAAGGAGAACTCGTGGCTAAGGATCGAGAAGAAATCACGACACAGTTCAGTCAGTGGCGTCGTGTCAACCCTCAGCTGACGGTGGGTTGTTATACTATAGCCACTGCCAAAGATCATAGCGGTCATCGATGGAGTATGCATAAACCAGGCCGTGCTATAGCAGCTCGTGTCCAAGCTTTAGCGCGTGCTTCAGTCGATGTCATTGAAACAGCCGCCCATGGTCACGATTTAAAGCGTGTGTTCGTGACGCCTATGGAAGAGTATACAGCTGTATTGGATGTCGATATTCAAATGTGTGGTACACGCTATTATCAGAATATGCAACCTGACCCCAAGTATTTAAAGAAACTCAGTTATGGCCAGTTGGACGAGGAGAGTGATGATGAGCAGAAGCACAACTTCATTTTGCATGATAATACACCCTATGCTCAGTTAGATCCTGTCTCAGAATTCGTTCAAGAAATTGAGAAAGTGTACGGTAAAACGTTATTGGTTTTCCACAACAAGTACGGTGGCGATAAGCTGGCTCTTGTTTGGAATCCCATTTCCGCAACGCCAATACAATGGAAAGTGAATGCTGGTTATAACAGCATACCAGTAGATATGAATAAGAATGGATTTTTGGTAAGTTCTTTTTGCAGCTTCGTCTTAATATTGAGTTGAAAGTATATTGATGATTTCTTCCATTGTCTATAGAAACCTGCAAAAGGGAAGAAAGAGATTTCAAAAATGATTTCACCCAACTTCAATGCCATTCTTGCTGAAATCATTCGCCTAGGCAAGGACGGTATTTTAAAAGTCTAAACGTTTCAACAATTGTAATAAAAATCTGTACATATCTCATTTAGAAAGTTAAGCTATTATTAAGTTATTGAATCCAGATACCTGGAATTTGCAGGCTTGCCTGCCATTCTAAGTTTCCCCCCCCCCTTTTTTTTTACTGTGAAAAAAGTATTTCTCGTTAATATAAATAAAGGTAGTGTTTATGTATTATACCTTCTCCAACATTTCATATTATATACGTTTACTTACAATCATCTACGTTTGCAGTCTTACAATTAATCTATTCCAATATCATGCTTTGCGCTATCAGTATAACCTGAATCTTCAAGTGCTATATTGTTAAAAGTCGTTTATAATGCCGGACTTTTAACATAGTTGATGCAAGATATAATCAAACAAATACTCGTTTATCATCATCTTAAGATTATATTTGGACCCCTAACTACCATATGCCAACACCATAAATGTTTCCATGCTTATACACATGCAGCTTAAGATATATGACTCTTTAAAAACAAGACAAAAGCCCAGCCTCAGCAAATAAGTGAGCGTAAAGCGCGTTTACTGAATTAAGAAAAATTAAAAAAAATCCCCGGAATGCAGCAGAGTATTGGAAAAACAGATGGCTTTGCCTATCAATACGACTAACGCAACTTACTTGCTAAGCGCATGATTTGTTGTTGCAAAGCCTGCTTCTGATCGCTCTTTTTATTACCTTCTTATCAAAATGTATTGAACAAAATTGCTAATGAAACTCTATCTCTCATTAACATGTGAAACGACTCTTTTTGTATTTATTTCTTTTAATCTTCATTTCTGCTTGCTTCTATTACTCTATGAAGTTTTCTTGCTGAAAATTATAAGATATACCCCTAACCTCTTGTAAGTTGGCTGGGATATACCTATCAATACAAAACCGCTAATGTAAGATCATTCATGTCTGCCAACTATTACCCACTAAGAAGAAAATGTCGCGTTTATGAACAATAAGTACCTTTTTTTAAAGGAACGAAAATAGCCGTAGCAGAAAAAATAATTTCACCTAATTTGAACCTGAAACCCAACGTTTCTTTTCGATTTCGATTTCTATTTTTTTTTTTTTTTGGGCAATGATGTGGAACCTCAATACTTGCATTCTGTCTGTCCTACGAAGATTCTTTCGAAAAGTGTAACCCAAACTATCAGGGCCCACTGAAAGAATGCAGGCTCCATAGCACGATGCATTTCTTCCACAGCCAAAGAAAGAGAGTACCTGAAAGAGATCATTAATTTTTATTCATCAAAGAACGTTTCGCCTGGTTTCAAATCTGAAAAGAAATTTCTATACAATGATTAGTGTTCCTTATAGATTCATCACAGAAACAAAAGTTTATGGAATGAAAAAGAATCTAAGCTTGATTTGCAAATACAGAACAAACAGCTCGGCGAGCACAAATTACAGTTAAGAAGCTTGCGTAGTTAGGATTTATCTTTTTTCAGAACGTTTTGTCTGAATTTTTTCTTTATTTTTTTTTTTTTTTTTTTTTTGCTGAGTGAATAAAAAAGAAATCATCAATACATGAACTTTCTATTTTTGAATCAACCTAAATTTTACATTTCTCAACGTTTTTCTTTCCTTTGCGTATAGCAACAGTTTGATACCTTTATTCTGCTCCTTGCCACTTACTGCATTTTGAGTTGTAAATGTCAGTTCTCTCTGAAAGCAGCATGGCAACAGCGGCGGCAGTGACAACGGACATGTCTTACATATTACCACCAATGCCAACATCAACAGAGCATACAATGATACCACCCAGCACTTATTTGACTGGTTTCCTTATACCGACACCACATATCCTTGCTACTGCCGTTGACCCTTCTGCAACGGCATCTGCTGCAACGATATCAGACGCACCACGGGAATCACATAAACCATGGGATATCAATTTTGGAGGCGATACGGCCGAGAAATATCTGAACGATGCTAAGCATGCTGCAGACATAGGTTCACAGTTTACTATTTGTCTTGTTGCTGGGTTAATTTTTTTTATCGCCTTTTGCTATTTTAGAACACGGTAATGACAATGCAAATAGAACACAGAATGACAATATCCTAACCCTTCTTGTTTCATTTTGCTGGTCAACATCCTCATATAGAGTAACCACTCTATTTTCACCTCGGTCTAACATGAAACGGTAATAGTGAATATCAATTAACGACCACATGTAAAGTGTAATTCTTTTTGCAGGCAGCTAAACAAATAATTGCATCATTACGATTGATAGACATAAACCGCCAGATTTGCCCAAGTCTTTCCTTGGTTGGATCTGGCCGTTATTGAAAATTGGAGATGAGGAAATGTTGAATAATGTCGGTTTGGATGCTTTACTGGTAAAGCTTTAGTACTAGATCCTTTATTCAGCCAACATGTCTTCCTTGTCTATTGATTTAATAACTTAATTCTTTTTGCTTTTCTTGTGCCGCAACAATCAAACAACGTCAAATTGATCTTTTTTGTGCAACAACTTATGCAACCCACTACTGCAGATGCTGAAATTTATCACCATGGGGATCAAGATCTTTGGTGTTTGCACAATCTTTGGCATTATCGTTTTTATTCCCATTACTATGACTTCTGACGCGTCACATATCGGCAACTCCACTTCCACACTGGACCGCCTTTCGATCAATATCATTGAAGAGGATTCACATAAACTTATTGCTTATCTTGTGTTCGCCTATGTCTTCACCTTAGTCACATTTTTCTTTCTTAACCAAAGCTACAGTCGTTATATTTACCTACGAGCAAAATTTCTCTTGAACCAGTCGAAGAAAAACCTTGTCACTCGATCCGTTCTCGTCACAGGTCTGCCTGACTATTTACAATCTGATGAAGCGTTGACAGACTACTATGAACACTTAGGCATCGGACCTGTAGAAAGCTGTTATGTTGTAAGAACTGTATATCGATTAAGTACCTTGATCAAAAAGCGAGCCAATGCCTTGACAAAGTTGGAGGAAGCCTATGCAAAGTATTGGGGCAATCCATGTAAGATACCAGGATACGATCCTGATAGGATATTAGACGACGTTGGACTATATAAGAAAGTATTGGATTTAGCTGAGCAAAGAGAGAGTGATAGTAGCAGCTCAAGTGATGAGGACGAAGACAGCATGAGCGGATTTAAACGCTTCAGGAGAGACAGTGGTACTGTTCCGGACAAAAATGGTTCTCTTGTACCGAAAGATGCTGAGAAGTTAAGAAGACGCCAAAAGTTTGGCAACACCACTTTCTTCAAAGGCCTTATCGAGCCTCTAAGCAATAAAGAAGGGGGTCAGAAGAAGTCGAAACGTCCTACCGTTCGTGTGGGCGGATTTTTGGGAATAGGTGGGAAGAAAGTGGATGCCATTGAATACTATACAAAGCTATTTGATGATTTGGATAAAGAAGTACTCGACCGTAGAAAATCACCACATTATGAAATGACATCTGTTGGTATTGTTACCTTCAAATCTATGAGCAGCTCGGTAATTACTCAGATTCGGTTCTACCTATGGTGGTAATATACACCCTTAGATTGACATACAATCCACTTTTCTTCTTATGGCTTGTAGGTTATTGCATCTCAAATTGCCATTAATCCAGAACCTTTCCGCTGTCGTACAGTTATGGCGTATGAACCCAGAGATATCATTTGGGATTCCATTTATATTCGTGGACGGGAACGCATTATTCGTGAAGCTATTATTTGGACTGTCACTGTCTTGCTCTGTTTGACCTGGTTCATTCCTGTGGGTGCCATTTCATCCCTTCTCAGTATTGAAACCATCATGAAAATTAACCCTAAACTTGGTGCGAAATTGGCAAGCAACAAAGTAGCCAAATTGATCTTTGGATCTTTCATACCCCCATTAGTGCTTAATATCTTTACCTCTATTTTACCCACTTTCTTCGACAGTAAGTTAGGAGAAATATCCCAACACTTTTGTGTGCATTATCAGATCAATCATTGACCATTAACTCTTTGTAGTGATGGGTTATTACCAAGGATTAAGAGCTCGAAGTGCCGTAGCGGAAACAACACTTAGCAAGTAAATACCACAATAACAAAAAGGATGCGAGTTTATCACACGTCGTAGCTAATCCCTTGGTCTCGTTTCACTCATAGACAGTACTTCTTCTTGATTTTCTTCACTTTGATTTTCTATTCTGTCGTCGGTACGACTTTACTCACCATCGCGTCTGATTTTGCAAATGACCCCAAAAAGATTCCTGAATTTCTTGCCATTGTTTTGCCTGAGGTTAGCATGCAGAATTTGTCAACAGAAGAGAAACTATGGAATACTGACAGTCATCTTCTTAACATGTAGCTTGCGCCATTTTTTATCAATTATACCCTGTTACAAGGCTTCTTAATGTAAGTTCTAGAGAATTCTTTTGCACTTTTTTTTTCCCTTGCAACTCTAACTGACTCAGCTTCTTGATCTTAGTATGCCCTTGAATTTGTTATTGCTTGGTGCTATCATTATCCGTGGTTTTAATCAAGCATTTCTATGTAAAACGCCTCGACAATATGCACAAAACCGTGCACCTTGGGCATTCAATTACGGTATCGGTTATCCAGCTCCTTTGCTGGTTTTTGCTATCGTCTTTGAGTATTCTCTAATATGCCCTTTGATTTTACTGTTCGGCACTATGTATTTCTGTTTTACCTACGTCGTCTATAAATATCAATTTCTTTATGGTAAGTTTTGAAATGGCAGTACAATATCTCATCGCCCTGTTCCCTTTCAATAGGAGCACTTATATACTGATTCTCTTTTTTTTTTCCACATTAAATAATAGTTTATTTTAGACCTTACGAAGCTGCTGGTAAATTATGGACAATGATCATACCTCGAGTTGTATTTACACTACTTTTATTTCAGCTTACAATGCTGGGTTTGTTTCTACTGCGAACGGAATACGTTTTGGGTGGCTGCGTTGTTCCTCTGATCGGCCTGACCTTTCTGTTCAATTTCATTTTACAAAGAGCCTATCGCCACAATGCTCACAATCTACCCATGCAATTGTTACGCGATAATTATCATGAAGAGGAAGGGAGTGATCCTGAAACAGAGTCAGACGAATGTGATTCAGATGTAGACCACGTTGTCAGTTCTAGAGGGAAAAAAAAGAAAGAAGAGGAAAAGAGGAAGAATGAAAGAGAAGGCGCAGTACTAGAAGCTACTACGGGTAGTGGTGATACGTCAACAGCTTCTGCTACTGTACCCACCATCCGTATAGTGCCTGACCCCGATGATCAAAAACAACAACAAGTCCGTAACCGTTGGAAGCAAGCAGCTTTGTCCGCCGTCAAACTCAAACCGGAACCTATTTCTCTACAGGAAACCAATAGCAGTGGTCATTTAGCTCGCCCACGTCATAGCAAGGTGATTTTGGATGAGGATGATTACGAAGCCACGCCTGATAAGTATACGGATCATCGACAGCCGCCTATGAATCTCAATCCCGGTATTCTAGACTCAGGCCTGAAGAAGTATGGCAATCCTGTTCTGGTAGGTATTCTACCTCAGCTTTGGCTACCTGTCAAAGATGCAACTGTCGCTAAGAAAGAAGCAGATACTGCTGCAAAAGCTGCTGAAGTGGGTCAAGGGCCTGATGTGGACGCCCAGAAACGAATCGTGCAAAACCGTCGCAGAAAGGACTTTTTAAGAAATGACGGTGCCCTGGAAGGTGGAGGTAACCTCGCGAAACGTTTGGCTTCTATGTTGCGAAAGGAAGAACTCAATCGACGAAGAAAGCGACAGCACCGTCTATCGCAAGCAAACCCTGATGATACTGATCTGGAACAATTAAGGCGGGAAGAAACGCAAGAGGACCTCATGATGGAAGAAGCAAGAAGGACGGCTCATGATTATGCAGCGACGATTGTTAGCGATCGCAGAAGAAGTGAAGGCTATAATACGTTATCTTTACGTAATTTATTCAAACGAGCGGCAGTGGCAGGGAAAAAACAATCTCCCACTAACAAAGACGGCGATAGGAATCAGCCCTCATCAGCGGAGGCTTTCCGTTTAGAGCACGTTAGCAATAAAGAGGATAGGAGCAATAATGGGCCTTCACTAGGGTCTGCGGATGATGCAACAATAGATTCCCTTGAACGAGGGTATGCACCTCCCTTATAGAGGGTAGTACAAGCAACATCATCCATACTGAGCCTTAACCCACAGTGTCATTTTTCATACCTATCTCCAAGATCGACTGCACAATTTTGAACACCTGCTGCTCTGTATAGACCAAATTCCAAACAAATACGTTAATAGCAGCAACAATATTTATTAGCACTGAAGATAATAAGTTTTCAAATGAGATCCAAGTACATAATTCTTATCTTTTTTTTTTTTTTTTTTTTTTTTTTTTTTTTTTTTTTTTTGGTTCGCCACCTAAGAATTCATAAATCTGATGATGATTCCACCTACCCCACCTCTTTCCTGTAGTATATAAATGTGTCATGAATTCATTCTGTATATATAAAAATTATTCCCTTTGATGAACGACTTGGAGAATCTCAATAAAATAACGTGTACAGTAACTTAAAAGCAACCACTGCCGAATCTACTACTTTAAAAGGAAAATTGTGCAAAAACAATGCTCTTGTTCAGAGAGCAAAAGTCAAGCTTGCTCTGTACTTGTGTAAAGGACAATTAAATGAAGCTCTTTTCCGCCTCCTTTTTCTTTTCCTATCTTTATACAGCTTATAAGCTGCCGTTCGATTAGATAAAAGATCATGAACCCTCATAACAGTGGCCACCATCAACGTATGTATTATAATGCTGCTTTGGCCACTGGCAACATTTCCTTTACACCTTCTTCCACCAGTTCCTCTTCTCAACAGCAAGTAGCGCCACATTATTTACATCATTCCCGAATGTCATCTATTGATAGTCATCATCCTAATATTCGAGGTAGCCAGTGAATTAGATAATCCTATCTCATCTTTCTGAGCTAACTCTCTATCTACCTTATTTATTTATTTTTAACGGTCAAAAGGTAGATCTTCAATGTCTTACAAAAGTAACAAAAGCAGTAACAGTCGGTATAGTAGCAAAACGGACTATAACTACACAGCGGCTGGTAACGAAACAGATTCTGATGAACTGGAAGAATTAGAAGTAGCACACCTACAAGAAGCTTCTCGACTGTACAAAAGTTTTCCATCTATCAGCGATAATATCAGATTAAAAAAGAAGAAAGATGCGCCAGTGACTTACTCCTCGCCATACTACTGCCAAGAAGTAGGTCCTCAATTAGACTTGGGATATCAATGGCCCATGTACGGCCAAAGCATGTTTCAAGGGCAGGATAGCAAGAAAAAAAGTGGATTTATACATTTACGAACATCATCAGATCATGCACAAAGACAAAAGCTTGTAGATCGAGTTTTGTTGAGCAGAAAAAGACAACTTGAGCAACAAAAGGTAAACTTCATATAAAATGTAAATCAACTAGGTAGCGTTCCGTTTGTAACAAAAAGAGGAATGAAAAAATATCCACAAAGAATAGCAGACTTATACTTTCGATGACCACTCAACTCGGAGAAACTTTCCAAAAGCATAATCCAAAGCGATTCAATAACGAAAGGGTCAGCAAAGCAATACCAAAAAGAATATTGACCAAGCCCAGTAAAGCAGTTCGAAATGAGGAAAACGACAATGAAAACCATGACTATATTTTGAAAGTGAATGAAATACTAGGCCATGACCCAAATTATCAGTTAAGTTCCCAGGTTTGAACCTTTTCTTTGTTATCATGTGCATATTTGCTAAAACCTAACAATGAACTATCCAACAACAGATATAGAGTGATAGATCTTTTAGGTCAAGGCACGTTTGGCCAGGTTGTTAAATGTCAACGTGTTTCTACAGGTGAATTGTTTTCCGTCAAAGTCATTAAAAACAAAAGTGCATACAAAACTCAGAGCTGCATGGAAATAGAAATTTTGAAAAAGGTAAATCACAAAAGAAAACAAACGGACCTGCATGCCTTCCTGCAAGCTTAATTCTTTCTACTTGACAAGTTAAACAAACAATTGGATCCCAATGACGAACATCATATCCTACGTCTGCATCATGTTTTTTCACATAAAAATCATCTCTGTTTGGTATTCGAATTGCTTTCTTACAACCTGTATGACTTGATCGGTCATAATCGATATCGAGGTTTTCCAGTAGAGAAAGTCAGGGCATTTGCTGTACAAATATTAGATACATTGTGCTTGCTTAAAAAAGCCAAAATTATTCACTGCGACCTCAAGCCTGAAAATATATTACTTGTCAAGTAAGAGAGAGAGAGAGGGAGAGAGAGAAAGCGACAAGACTTAACAGAAGGAACTATTCATTTCTTAACAACATCTCATCTAACGGTTTCCATAGTGAAAAATCTTTAACTATCAAAGTGATTGATTTTGGATCCTCTTGTCATGAAGCGAATAGAATCTATACATATATACAATCGAGATTTTATAGATCGCCTGAAGTTATCTTGGGAATGCGGTATACAAGCGCTATTGATATGTGGTCTTTTGGTTGCATCGTGGCAGAATTGTACTTGGGCTTACCGTTATTTCCAGGTAGTTCAGAGTACAATCAACTCTTTCGAATTGTGGAAACACTAGGGTAAGTCGGTATACATCAATAAATGGTCGTACATTCTTTGGCTTACACGATATAACTTTGGGTAGTATTCCCTCCAAGGATATGTTGAGCAAAGGCAGGAATACCGGTGTTTATTTTAATAGAATACAAGTAGGACCGGACAGCTATGAATATGAGCTTAAATCTCGCGAGCAATATAGTCAGGAAAATAATAAGAATGAGCTTCCACGCAAAAAATATTTCCCTCAAACCAAGCTACGAGATATTATTCTCGACTTCAATAATGGAAAGCCCAGGCTTACGAAAGAAGAAGAAAGAAGGAGACGCAGTAGTGGGTCTCATTATTATCCTAGAGAAGAACACGATCGACAGAAAGAGCTCGAAGGAAGATTATGCATTTTAGACTTCCTCTATGGTGTCTTGGAATTGAACCCACTGAAGCGATGGACACCGCATCAAGCGTTACAACATCCATTCATCACACAGAAGCCATTCACGGGCCCTTTCATTCCGGACCATCAGATCGTGAACCGACCTTTTGTACCGACGAAAAGCATTTCTTCTACGTTAGCAGATGTTGGTGAAGCAGATAACAATCATCCGTCCTCCACCCCTATTCGGTCAGGACGGCAAAGAGCAGAATCCATGGGCAAACCCACTGCACCTGAGCAGCTTCGCGTGATCGCTCAGCAAATCCAAGTGCCTATCACGAAATATCCTAAAGAGGAAGATCAAGCGCAACAAAAACGTACGGTTGAAAATAAAGAAGTCCAACTGGAGACTTTATCAGGTGTTTTTCGTCAACGGAATACACGATCTCAAGGTGACTATATTGGTTTATTACCGCCTGAAACTCTTGACAGGCAACAGCCGTCAAAAGGAAAAATGAGCAATAGAAAGATCACCATATCATCTCAAATACGCGTTAGGACAGGCTCTCATGATTCAATGCGTGTTCCGCCTTCAGACGGTGAAACTGTTCAGCGCAGAGCTGGAAACAATTCCTTTGCAGCTAATGTGAGAAAAGCTCATGCAGGTGAAGCGGCTGGTGGTTTATTGATGATGCGACAAGATGACGATGAGGCGAATGATAGGCATGGTGCGGAAAAAGCTGCGAATGGGGAACCCAATGCAGCCACTTCAACATGCATCCATCAGAGTAAAAGAAGCGGCCGTATCGGCGGTATAAATGCATTTAGATTCTTTAAATAAATCGAGGAGTGCTGGTTTTAACGCCATGAATCCAAATCTTCTGGGTTCACCATTACCTTTTCGCCATTTTCTCTAATGGTTTCCTTATTCACATCTCTTGCCAACGCTTTTCTCATATCTTTTAAATAAAAAAAAGTGCCCTCAGTTAATCCTCGCTTTTTGGGTCAGATTAGCTCTTATCTTTCAGAAACAAAATTGTTTACCATAAGCGTCCTCACTTGTTCGTCCTGCATAATAATTCCTCACTCTCCGGTAAACTGAGTATCCAAACTTTCGATACATATCAATGGCCACTGAATTCGACATTCTTACATACAAATCCACAAACCAGCCATCATACACTTTTTCGGATACTTCTTCTAATAATTTCATCATTCCTTCTGCTAATCCTAAACGACGATATTCTGGGGCCACAGTGATGGCTGTCACATGGCCGTGCCAGTTTTTACCCGTACCTTCTGTTTTGCCCATGACTATGTTTTGGATAATACAGTAAACAAACGGCAATTGTTTTTAAATGAGGTTCTCGAGAAGAACATGTTTGAACTATTTTTGTGCTTACCATAGCCCATAAGGCGGTCGTGAGGCGAAACTTGGACACTGAACAAATCAGGCCAACGAGCAAGATATTGAAGATAAAATGATATGTTATACTGATAAAGTGATAAGTAACTTTAGTCTATCGAAGAAGCATGTCATCGCTACTAATGGGGTGAGTCAATCTTACTGTTTCTGTGAGGGGATCAAGATTACTACCATTTGCGCGTTGAAAAAAGGGTCAGATGACCGAGCGTAAGTCCTCAATAGTATGGGTAAGACTGAAGTCAATTTTTCATGCTTACATGTTGTTAAACTCGAACAAATCTGTTGCTTTGAATCTTCTTAATAAGCTCATTGATGCTTTTATGGTTAAGAAAAACGTGAAGAAAACGCTAATGATGAGCCTGCCAAAAAAAAAAGTAACATCAAAGCTTCGTTTAAAAAAAAAAAGCCCGCCCTAAAACGAACGGAGATCAACAAAAACGGATATGCACCACCATTATTGCAATTTCGCCATGACATATAGAATACTACCCTGCTATTGTTTTATGTATTTTTGGGTGAAAATTAACTGGAATATCTCCACTCTTAGCATTTAAAAAAGGTATGTACAGAGATGAATAGTATTTACATGAAGTAGGCAAAACAAAGTGACCCTATTTTAGGGCGAGATAGAGATGCAGCAGCCCGAGTACTGTCTGTATTTTTTATTCATACGCGAGTTCATTAATAGCGTTAAGAAATGGGGTTATAATCCAATAATCTTCATCGTCTGTATCATTTGAAGGTGTAGCGACTCTTTGTAATTCAATCTTGGGCTGGCCTGCCCACAATAGATTGAAGATAAATGGTCGGTTATTATCTCTTGATCCCTCTGATCTTCTGTTTTTGTGATCGAACCACGTATTATTGTAGTGACAGCCTTCGTCGGCGGTGGGACTAACCTGTAAATGATCCTCTACTTTCATGTAGCTATCCTGACGCCAGGGTCTGCCTTCCTGTATCATAGTGAACACATCGTTTTTGCCTGGTGGCATCTGCTCTGTCCTTTCGTTCAAAGGTTGATAGTCTAGGGGTAGCACGTAATACCTCGCAGAGCACATTCTCATTTTCAACTCTTTCAGATGATCTAGCTTGGTCAGATCCAGTACCAATTCCTCAGGACTATTTTTCCGCTTCAGATAAGTCTCCTCCCTTCCGGAAGGATAAAATTCGTCGATCAAATGAAGTTTACGTATATTTGGACAGGATGCAATAATCAACTTAAAGATACGGTTCAAAAATCGGCTATTATCATTCGTGAGGCGAAAGTTGGCCAAGGTAATCGATAAGTGGCGAATCGGTGAATGTGTCACTTTTCGCGTTCGATACGCTACCAAAGGTTTCTCATTACTGTTGATACGCATCAAATCGAGGTGGGTAAGCTGAGGCGGCGGGTTTTGTAAAAGGGTGACCCAAATGGAACCATTCACACTCACGGCGTCTATGATGAGGTGAGTGAGGTGCGTTAATGACTGCGTGAGTGAGCTCAGTCTGCGTCGATGAGAATCGTCTATGGAAAAATGGCCATCTTCTTCCACGCATTCTATATCCATGGTGCGCAATGAGATTGCTTGCGCACTGTTGGCAAAATGTTCACAAAAGTCAGCAAAAGCCATGGAATGATGCGAATGGGTACTGGTGGTGGCGTAACATGTGATATGATTCAATTGGATAGACTGATGATCCATCGCCTGCAGAAGCTCTTGATTGATATCTGTAAATGCCGTTGTGAAATGTTTGAGTTTAGGTAATTTGGAGAGTAGGTGAATGAAGTAAGGTCTCAACTGAGGAAAATTATAGCGCGGTTGATCGAAATGGAACGATAGATCAAATTCGAAATGCTTGATGGCATTGTTATCATATTTTTGTGCAAAAAAGAGTAACCAAAGCGTTAATAGTTCTGGCGTGAGTTCCGCTGACTCATTTTCAATATCAAAGTCAACGTATGTAAAGTCACTGGATGCGGGTGCTTTAACAAACTCACGAGGTGTGTTGTCGTTGGCAACCAGGATCTTACGGCCGCAGCGCGAAGGCCTGTAAGTCGAGGTATCAGTATTGCGTAAACGCACGCCGCTGAGGATAAGCTTCTCAAGTTTCGGAACATGCTCATGCAGAAGCTCCATATACTCAAGGTTTATATAGGCATTGGTTATGTACAATGTTTTGACCGCTGGTGTTCTTCCTTCTGCAAAGACCCGTTGAAAGAGTCGTTTGCTGTCTGTATGCAGAATATCTACGTCCCGTCTTCCTAAATCCAAAGACAAGTGCGTAAGGCAATCAAACACCTGACGCGATCGTAAGAGTAGGAATGCAATTTTGTGATCGTGAATGTCTATTGATGTTAGCTTCTGCCACCGTTTAAAATCGTGGAGAATAATGTCGGTCGCAGGTTGCATTAGGGTATATATAGTGGAATGAAGTTGTAAATGCCGCACATTAGGGAAGAGACGCGGTATAGAGGCAAGAATGAGGGAATCAAGGTAAACATGGTGGTTTAGCCTGAGCGATGTGGTTTGTTCACCAAAGGAAGGGTTGTCACTGAATAAACGGTAAAGCTTAGGAAAATTGACATCACCCTTCCTGTTACCGAACTCTAACTTTTGGTATAAATGGAGTTGACTAAGTGCCCGATACCAATAGTGACATGTAGTGGCAAGATTGAGTTTATCTGCAAATTGAAGCTGTGATAGAATGGTATTTAAAGTTTCCTGTGGTAGTTTATCCAACATTGCTCTTATAAATAATAGGAAAACCGAAACCAAAAAAAAAGACGCATCAATAGATAAAATACAACAACGAAAAGTTTAACAAACTGAAACAGTTAAAGGGCATTGTGGATGATGCAAAAGGCAGTGACTACTATATCCAGAATAAATTTGTGTATTATGATATAACCGGAATGAACGTGGGGGGGTATATGGCTAGTAATATGTCATATGTTCCGTTCGTTTATCATTAAACGAATGACAGTGGTAGCTGGTTACAAATTTTAATGAATGACACAAATTACTCTTGTTTATCGTTGTTATTGATCTTCTCCTTCTTCTTCAAAAACGCTTCCAGCTTTGGCTTATAAGTCAAATCCACAATATGGTTCAAAAATTCATCGAAATTTGGATATTCATTTCTTATTGAATCAATATCCTTTTCAGGCGTTTTAGACGAATCAATATGCTGGATTATTTCTCGAATTTGCGTGTCTTTTAAAAATTGATGCACTTTGTCTGAATAGGCAAGCTTCTGCAAATCTTCAGGCGTGAGTCGGCTAGGATCTTCCTCATCAGGATGACCGACAGGTTTGATAGGTTTCCTGATAAAGTCTGTGGGGAGTTTTGGATGGCAAATTTGTGAGCTGAGAGGCGTCGTACACACTTCCTACTATACTGTTCTTATTCACCTTGTCCAGAATTATCATTATCTTCATTATTTGTTGTAGTCCCACAGGGTGTCTCTATGAGTTAAAGTACCGTATGTTAGGTTTTATGGTCTTCATTTACTCTATGTTGACCGTATGATTTTTTTACGCTACCTTTATGCTTTTTATAACACACCAAAGAACAACTGATAAACCATCGTAAAAGAAGCGTGTTTTGTTTCAATAAGCAAACTTTTTACTGAACAACCAATATTTAAGTGCATTTCCTTGATACTTTACTACTGTAGTTTGCATTGCGGGCATTTGTATTTAGATTCGTTTACGTTGCAAATTTGACAAATAACCATTTTTTGGGAACGATGCAAGAGTTCCATTGATTATAAAGCCAAAAATTATGCGAGTTGATTTCAAGAGCTAAGCCACGGCAGTTCGAGCTCAGAATTTCAGTTCAATGCATTACTGACTTGCATCCGGTTTCGGAGCCTCATTATGATCCGCTCACTGCTGTAGGTACATGTTATAACTCCATAAGTCAACCATAATCGAGCAATAGCAAGCTACACTCTGTTGATGGCCATTATCCGCTGTCAAGAAGAATTGTTTAAATTGGCTGCAAAACTTAAGGATACATCCATCTCTAACAATAAAAGCCTATTTTATGTATGAGATACTATTCTTTCATTCGCAATAAAGCATGCACGACCACAAGGCAGAAAAAGAAAAAGAGAAAGTAACATAGCTATAAGGTTCTGTAAAATACGATTTATTGATGGAAAGATGGACAGTCCAAACAGATGGATAGCTACATGAACATTCCATTGAGAACGAACGCTGCGTTCTTGCGGCGGGCTGAACACTTCTGAGCGATGTATTAAGCGTTTAAATCTTTAGGCGTCATCTGTTGGTGGTTGGTTAATTGATACGTCTACAGACCCTATTCCAACTTGAGCACCATTACGGTCTAAGGAAACATTAGCATCCTCAATAGTCACTAATCGACGTTCAATAGAAACCACTTCGGATAAGGGAGCGGCTGAGGCAACGTGGCTGCAAATGAAAAGAGCCATGATAGTTAAGAAACCAAAGAGAGTGACTGTGCGAGACATGGTGATGATTTAATGAGCACAAGCTTCCTGTGATGCATAACAATATTGAGTATTTGGGTTAGTACAGTTATGAGATGTTCATTCTTTATGTCTCGTTAAGAGTAATACGCACTTTTTCAGTATGTAAATGGATTAAAAAACTGAAAGAACTATGTATCCTCTGCTCTTTGTATTTATACCTTTAGGAGAACTATGAATTCAACCAGTTTGAAATACGTTCCATAATTAGCATATCGTAGTACAGGTTGCTCATCAAAAGCTTTAATTACGAACAGCCAATTGACCACAAATATTTCGGAATGTTGAGGGCGCCTCTATCGATAGCAGTATGTACAGGAACCTGATCCTATAATCACATCTGTCTCACAGTCTTTATAATCAGACGCGAACTTCTAAAGCGATGAATGGTGTAATCGACTGCCTTGTGTTTCGCGCATTCTTTGGAGCAGCAATAATCTCTCATTCAGGACTGTCTGTACAACGCAGATCCGAAATCAATCTTGTATACGTATAATCTCGTCTATCTAAAAGAATTAGGTCCAGCTGTCGTTTCTCGTCATGAATCAGGGGTGTATGTCGTCGATAGAGATATAAAGAATGCATGTAATGTATTTGAAGCAAACCTTTATGCCTATGAAGAGCTGAGGTTCCTGAAAAAGCTTATTTTTCTGATTGGCATGTGCGAGATTTTTGCCGTACCATTAAACCTCCGCTTCCTAGCTATCGTATAAAAAGAGGAAACCTTGACAACAAAACACAAACAAAAAAAAGATAGTAATCAGGAACCCTTCTCTCTACGCTACTAAACTTTGTTGAAACCATGTCTCCATCCTTCAATACCTTCTGGTCTATTCCAGGTGTTCTGCTTATCATAGGTGCTATTTCCAGTAGTCAAGCTCACATAACCTTGTCTCCTAAATTTGGTGAGCCAGGTCAAGACGTCACCACCGCTTTTCATGTACCTCATGGTTGTAATGGCTCCTCGACAATAGGCATATCTGTAACCTTGCCTCAGCAAAATCTTGGACATATTGTACCTCAAACAGTTACTGACTGGGTAAGTGGAGCTGTTCGTTTCATGAATTTGAATTGATTTGATGCTAATACGCTCTCTTGATAGATTCTAACTATGACATATACAGACAGTACGAACACTACCCTTAAGACAGTCGAATGGACGGGCGGTGTTCTCAAACCAACAGACGCTTTGGATTTTCCTATTCGTTTCTCCGTGCCTCAAGTTGATCTATCTTCTCAATCCAACGTCACTCTTTACTTTCCCGTTCATCAAACTTGGTAAAACTTTGTTTTCTTTATATCAATTTCCCATCCAATTGATGATTCATTCTTACATTTATAGTGAGGTTGGGTCCACTGATTGGAATGCTACTGGTGGTCAAAAGGGCGAGCCAGCCCCTACATTCGTAATTGTAAAAAACGCTACACAAGCTGCTGCTGATGCAATAACCATAAAGAAAAATAGTACAACTTCCATCTCTTCCTCCTCTTCCACGGCTTCCAGCAGTGCCAGTAGTCCCACTGCCGCTACTAGCTTTGCTAATACAGTTAATGCCAATGGTGTATCTGCGGTTTTTGCCTCATTGGTAGCTGCTATTGTACTCTCTATTGCTTTGTAGTCCTTACCATTTAGAATAGATGCAATCGTGTTTGAACTTTTATCATCGTCCCTCTAGTATAATAAAATGCTTCTGTGATTGACAACCTGAAAAATATAGCGGTTGATAGCCGTTGGTGAGGCATCTATTACCGCTTTTACCTTGCTATTCTGTGATTTTACGTTGAGGAGAAGAGAAAAGCTCTACTCATCTTCATCGGCTACTATTTAGCGATTCAGAAGAACTTATGGCTTTATTGTGCGAAAATTGTTATTCTTTCAAATACAAAAAGATTGGCTAGACTAAGCAAATCTTTGAACGCCAATCTAATTACATAGCTTTGCAAAACTTTATGTTAAAGTACGCAGTGAGTGACTAACGAAAAGAAAAAACGAAGGAACAATCTATAATAAGAATCTTTTTATTACAATTGATGACAGTGAGCAACTTGATGTATATATTAATGATATGAATCCGATAAATCGACCCTGTCTCTTTTCTATATATTAATGTTATTTTTTTTAACACTTATGCAACCTATTTTTATATGATGGAATTGTTGGTAGGCAGTATACCAATTTTCTTCTGTACATATGCTGTCAAAGCCAACAGATGTGCACCTACCCATAACTAAAAAATAGAGTAACCATCGTTGGTAAAGAATAGATAATCACTCTATAAAATATGCATCATTCTTATCTGCCACACGGCCCACTTCCTGTGATGAATAATCTTGAGCTGCATTTATTCATTCTTAGCTCTAACCTTTTTTTTAAGCAAGCAATTATGAAAAGTTCAAAAGAAAATCTTTTTAAATTAGAGTATTTCATATATTCATAATATTATATTATCTTTATTGGTATAACTTTTTTACAATAGACTACTGGGAATCTGTAATGAAAGAGTCGTTTGACTTCATTGACATACTTGATGAGCAACTGTGCATAGCCGTTTTTTATTGCTGTACGACCTCGTTGCATGAACACTCGAAAAATTGTATTTTCATAATCCTCCGTAAGAGACAAATGGATGGATTTAAGAAATTATTTGCATGCCTAATGGTATACTGGTGGAACCATCGTATACGTATCGCAATTTTCTACGTACTTTTATCAGTAAGGCAACACAAGCATGCAAAAAAGCAGCTTCTTTTTTTGTGTTAATCTTCATCCGATTCAGTATTCACTGTAGCAGCATGATGGTAATGGTATAGTGCAGAATAGGAGGTACGGTTCTGCCTGGTCAATGCCCAGAAATCAGGCACCATCAAAAAGTAACGTTCCATCGCTTCTCTAAAACGAATTCGATACTGCCTGGGAGAAACAATTGTCGGCCCTTTGCCTCCACCGCCTAAGATTCCAGATTCTTTTACCCAGCTCTCCAATTTCTTATCCCAAGTAAAAGTTCGAATAAAATCTATGGCATATGAAAATAGAACGAAACCTTATTCTTCGTATCGAGTGCTACTACTCAGCAGTCATAGTGATAAAGATCACGATTGAGGAACTTACCAACAATTCCAACTACGAGCTCTTGATTTTCCTCGTCTATACCGACAAGTAAAGAATAATCCATGACGTTTCTATTTGACAAGAAAAGGGTATCATTATGCAGCGAACTCCGCAGTATCTCTTTTGAATGTGCTCGAATAAACAATGGCGATTGATATATCACTATAACGCAAATGTTATTAGAATTCACTGTCAAATATACGTAGTGGCGTCAAACCATCACTCACATTCTACTAAATTCTCGTCTAATAGAACTTCGTCTTGCTTTCCAGTCGACTGAACATGTCTATTTCTCATTGACCCCTTCAGATCAAATATCTAATGGATAGTTTTCAGTAAAATGCTTTTACATCACTACAAAACACATAATTTGGCCTGAATTTTACCTTTTTTACATGTCTTTGGTAAAATAGATTCTCCATAACAAGAACGTCCATACGCATAGATTTTCCGGTCGCTGAATTCTTGTATCCAATACTGTAAAATCCAAATATTTTTGCAAGAACTGTAGGAAGCTCGCTGAAGAGAGCCTCTGACATATATTGAAAATAGGCAGGTGCAAATCCTAGAAAAGCGTCCAGCTCGTATTTTGACATTTGTTTCATTAACAGACGATCATCTATTGTATTCCAAAAAGGCCAGAACATCAGAATATATTGCTTCGATCTTTTATAGAAACATTATATTGGATCTAACCTGCCGTTTTAAGAAATGCCGAGCCTGACTTTCCACCTGAGGAATCCCATTTCTTACAGCTGGCTAAGGACATGATATAACTTTCATCACAGCCGCAGTTTCTGCGCAGCGCGTCAAATTGTTCAGCAAAGAATATTTTACAAAAGAATTTCGTGTTTCCTGTAGAGAAATCTAAAATAACACGTTACGAAATGTCATCTTCACCATTGTTGTCAACTAAATTGCTAATGATGGCTTACTATATCTCATATGAGTTCCTGATTCTCTCAGTAATGTTTCTTGAATATTCTCTGCTAAATTAGCTGCATTATTATCCAATGTATGGATAGATTCAGTGGGGAAATCTTTCATAGAAGGAGCAACCGCACTAAGGTCTGCCAGTTCGTGTACGCTACTGCTGTTACTGATGCTGCTACTTTTGTCGCTTCCGCCACCATTGAAATTTTGTTGAATTTCATACATTTTGTCTAAATAATCTTCAGAACTAAGGGTATAAGCAATGATCGTGCTTGGCTCATCTTCACGAACAACTACATAGGAGTCAGGAAACAAATATTCTGTTGGTTGGCTAAAAAAAAAAAAGGAAAAGTTCATGTAAAGATGATTAATTAGTCAATGATAATTTTGGTTACATTTGCTCTTTTTTTTTCGATACTTACAATGGAGATTCTAAGGGTACTAGGTTTCCAATACCACTGTCTGTTAAGAAGTTTGTCAGAGTTTTCATGAACGACATCTTTTCTGCCGAATGTCTAATTGCTTCTTCCAAATTTGCCGAATTATTGGATGCTGTTGTTGTAAGGACAGCCGCAGTACCGTTTTTGCCTGCAGTAGCGGCAGCAGTATCTGCAACCTCTGTATTCCTAACAATATTTGGTAGAAGTGTGGCTTCAGCGTAGCTATTCAACTGTTGTTGTTGCTGTTGCTGCTGCTTTTGTAAGGCTAATAGATCAGAAGCACTTGGAAGATCACTGCCAATCTTGCCACCACTATGATAACTTCCATCGTCTTCTTCGTTACCACTATGGTTGCCTAATCCACTTGACGTTGAGGAGAATAAATTCATTTGTGTTTCGTTGGAATAAGGTTTTGTTGTGTCAGTAAATTTCGGCACGTTCTCTAATTGCGATTTTGGACTAGCCGTATTAGTTGCAACAACTCCAGGCATTGCTTCAGAAAAATTGTCGCTCATTGTGTTGCTCTGTCCATCAACATGATTGGATTTGGCTTTATCATTAATCACTTCGGAAACCAACGGTGCTAGTGAGGAAAAGTAATCTATAGACGCATTATCGGATAATCGAGTGTTCTTCTTCATTGTAACGGTATCAGTAGCAACATCAGGAGCTTTCGCTTTATTACGCCCGTCTAATATGAACTCGTCTTCTATATCTTCTTGTACCAAGTCATTGGCTTTTGTATATACTTGTATGTACGTTTTTTTGCGCGGTAAACGCGAACGGAAATGGTAATTGCTGCTATTACTATTGGTAGTACTTGAGTAAGTATTATCCCCTGCCGCTTTAGATGTTGAACTTCTTCTCGAAAGGTATTGCGGATTCAGCATGTTTCCGGACATTCCATTATAAGCTGTACCTTCTTCCACTTCTGGAATAAACATATTCTGACTATGACCGACGGAATGATGTCTTAAATGATGGGACCTTTTCTTTTTAACGTTGCTAGGGATATCGTTATTCCCTGTTGCCATGGCCGTTGCGGCTAATAATGTATCAATGTGCATGCTATGCCTTTGTCGTTGCTTTTGTTGCCTTTCTTTCTGTTGCTTCTCTGTGAAAGGCTCATCCTCATGCAGGTGTGTGGACTCTGATGGCCGTAATGGTTGGCATGGCACCGGTATACGTGATGGCGTAAAAGCAGCGGGAAGACTAGCAGTAGTACTACCAGGGCTTTTACTGACACTAAGATGCTTTGTGCTTGAGGAGATAGGAGCATCAAGAGGTATCAAATGTGCTGTTCTTTTTTCTTGTTGCTGCAGCAGCAGCAGATGTTGTTCTCGTTGTTCCTGCTCTTGCTCTTGATCTTGTTGTTGTCTTAGCTGTTGCTGCTGCTGTGTGCGGTCGACGCTCGATAAAGACGAGGAAGCAAACTTCTCATTAAGCTCACGCAAAAGTTCCAAAGAAAGCCGTCGACGTACATCTGGTCTTAAAAATGATGTAGTGGTACTCTTCGCAGCATTTGACATCTTCTTATCAGCCATGGAGATTTCTCTCTCAACAGGATAGTTAGCTTCTGAAGCTGCCACAGCGTCATAACCCTCCGACGTTGGCGAGTTACATAATGCTGGCATTAACAGAATGTCATGTTGTTCTTCTATTTCCTTTATATTTGTAGAGGAGTTTACTTTCTTTCGCTTGCTACTGTTTTTACTTCTTGTCATCACATCAGTAAACAATTCACCATCTGTATACGCGTTTTCTTTCTCGTCTTCTCCTTCGTCATCAAACCCAATACTCAATAAGGGCAAGTCAATGACTTCTGCCGCTCGTTTTGTTCGCTCATTCGCTACATACTGCTGCTCCTCTTCACTAGGGAACATCTTTTTCAGCTGATTCGTTGTTAGCTTCTTCAGTTCACGTTCAGGCTGTAAATAAAACTGAACCAGATCAGCATAGACAGCGTCCCAATGTGTGACAACCTGAAACAAGTTTCTTTTCACGACCTGAATCGTCAACGTATCGGTAGGATCCGTTGTAGCATATACGTTCTGTAACAATTGAAGGGCATCTTTCTTCTCTCCCTGAGCCTCCAACGACATCTCCTGCAATTCAGCTTTACATGCTTCCAATTTTCGTGGATCCACCAAATCAAAAGGAAAGTTCTTATTGCGCTCTGTCAAGCTGGTATAGAACTTGATGATCTTACTTCTCAATAACTTAAGCTCCTTCTCTTTGAGATCCATCTGCACTTTACTTTGTATAAATAATTTCATAGGCGGTGTTGATACTTCCAATAACTCAATAGTATCATATTGAAAACGCACGCAGAGATCATTGTAACCAAAATAGCGGATGTGGTTTTTGGTCATTTCATGAGGACAAATATCCGCTCGACAATAAACTCCTCGTTGGTAAAGAAGAATCTCCAAAAACTTACCAAAGGAGTAGTTCCATGAATTCTCAGACATAGGTAGAACGGGTGTCGGTTTCTGACACTCTTTACAATAGCTCCACATCAATAATTTATCTGCCATACCAGGTAAAGGACACGGAAAAGGCTCAATCATCACATTGATGCGTGCCGTACCATGTGCGTAAGAGTGATAATGAAGCATCATCGGATGGTTACACATCACGGATGAACAAGATTGTTGTGCATCATTGCATAAATGGATAAGATATTGACCCAGTGTTTTATCCGATGGGAAACGATAAAAGCTGAAAATTCGAATTTCGGGACCCTGACATGGAACTGTAGTAACAGTACATACGCTAGAATAAAGCACAACGATATTTTGATGGTAAAAGGGTGAGATGGATTCTGGATTCTCTCCAATATAGGCATCCCAAGCACGGGAAGTACGGTGATTCTTCAAGGCGAGTAAATAGCATTCTTCATCTAAAAAGGCTGCTTTTTCATTATCCACATGCTGCTGCTGTTGTTGCTGCTGTTGTTGTCGCAGCACCAAATCCATGGAAGGTTGTTTCTCAAAAGTCGAACGTGTTGGTGAAGCGGATGAAGGTAAGCTGGACAGATTCGGTTCTTTACTGGTTTGGTTAGTCATAATAGATGCGACTGATAGAGATGTTTTCCGGCGTTTTTGATGTTGGAGAGTAGCTAGTCTGTCCTCAGTGTCTTTTAAAACAATTAATAAGTAGGGTGGAGGAAATTTCACTGACTGCGATACGGAGAGGATGGTGGTTTGGTAAAGCGTCAGCAGTCCACTGATATAATGACTAGTTTCCGTCAGACTAGCATTATCTTCATCTGTTTGAACAATCAAATGATGGGCTATTTTTGGATTGGCATTACTTTCGCTTGCCATCTGCTGCTGATCTTTATCATTCGTTGTGTTAAACATGTTATTGATAGTGTTTGATAAGAGAGATCGAGCTTTTAGCTTTTCATCTGCGACGTCGCGAGCTGAGCTCTGCGTCTTTGCGAATGAGTCGAGAAGCAGCGATGTTTCCAACTTTAAATTATTCACTACAAATACCATAAAATCGACCAGTCTTTTGAAAGTTTTTAGTGTTTTTAGAGGGGCTCCTCGTAAAACGATAGTACCACCCAACTCGGGTGCACAGTCATCAAAAATCAGAAAAGTTTTGCGGCGGTTTGTCAACCATTCATGCATGACAGTTCTTATTTCAAACGATCCACATTTACCAAACGTCAATTCATCACCTACGTTTCCAGCATTATTGTAACGCTGTTGCAAGAAATGATGTTGTGACAATTTATCCACAGAAGTGATAATGCTCGCTTGAGTACACCTAGCAACTGCTTCAATAACGCTATGTTTGACATTATGAATGACGGGGATATTATTCTGCAGCAAAATCTCCAACGCCAGTCTTGACACGGTCGATTTTACCAATAATAATGACGGTTTGAGAGCAACGATTCGACCCACTAATTTCTTTATGTGTTCCCTTTCTTGTGATATCACAGGAGCGATAGATAGGAGCTGATTTTCCATTTCAACACGTGAATAATCTAGACTGAACATCAAGATTAAAATCCGTGATTGAGGACAAGGTCCAGTCGTCGTGATACTACTATTGCTAATGGTTGCGTTCGGTCCTTTTTGTTGCTGTTGCTTCTGTTGACTGTTACGCAACATAGCCAACATACGCTTATGAGCTACGTTTTTCGTGCAGACAATGCCTTTAATGTAAAAGCTATCGGAAGGAGTGCCTCCTGGTATCTTTTTAATTTTGACATAATGGCGGACATCCATATCATCGCCAGCTCTAATATCTGGTTGAACACAGGTAGTGACTTTGAGTAAGAGCTGCATAATAACTTCTTCCCACTCATCTTTCTCTTTTTTGGTAGGGATCAAATCATGGAGATCGGCCATGAGTTGGCGCAACATAAGACGAGCATGAGTACGTGCTCCTAAGCTTAATTCAACTGTTTGTAAAGGCCCAGTAGAAAGCCGACGTTGTCTATTCAAAGGCGTAGGCGGCAGCTTTAGTCTGCTAATAGCACCATTACCATTTGCGCTACTATTACTCGTATCGCTAATATTTGAATCAAATCCACCGTTGATAAAACTGTTGTTATTGCTGCTCATGAAAGGTGATGACATGGATTTGAAAGGGTTAGGTGAAGAGTTACTATTATCGCCACCCGTACCTGTCACTGTTGCCGTATCGTACGACTTTGGCAAGCCTATCGTATTAATGCGCATTTTAGTCCTCTTTCTGTTGCCTTTATTAGCTGATAAATTGGATGCTGTCGGTGTATTCGCGTGGCCACCGGTTGGGGTGTTTAAAGTGCTTCCATTACTACCATCACCGAGACTACTATTACTTTGACTTCCTGTCAGACTCAATCGACGTGATAGGGTAGAAGATCCTCTTAATTCCTCCGTTCGCTTCAAACGCAGCCGACGGTCGTATGACTCATCGTCGCTGCCTATGACGACTGCACTGCCTCCTGCCGACAATGCCATTTGATCTGTAGAACGAGAATGCTGTGGATAAGGCTTTATGTTAAAATGAGACACATAGTGATGAGGTTGGTGATGATAAAGAGGATGGTCCAATAGCGCCGAACTTCTGCTTCCAAGACCCGGAGATTGTTGTTGTGTCGATAGAGTTGATGGTGGTGGTGGCAATGAATGAAGAGAGGAAGAAGAGTTCGTGTGGTGATGTAGGGGAGAATGGCGATGTAGCTGCTCTTGGTAATGCTCTATGATCATTGGACTATTTGTTGTCGCTCCCGACCCTCCTGGGGGTGCAGTTGATGTAGCTGTTGTTGTTCCTGGAAAAGGGCTTAATTCCGATTCTGCTAATACTGTACCACCTCCTCTATCAAGGGAGGGTGAGAACGGGTAGCCACCACCGCCCCAGGGTGACTGGGGAAGCCTTATAGGATGATGATCGTCCATCAACGGCGCAGAAGAAGAAGTGTTGGACCGTGGCCGGCCTGCTTTCAATAATGAAGTGCCAGCATCAAATAATCGTTTTAGACCACCTGCAGTTGTTATATTATCACTGGTATTCGTGGTAGTAATCGTGGGTATGAGAGAACTATTGTTGGCATGATGTAGGGTAGATGCATCTATTGAAGATCCTAAATGATTGTTGGTAGATCTATCTGCTGGTACAAAAGGCGATCCAGCGCCATCTGCAAAGTCTGTCTCTTGAATGGGTATTTCCAAGGCAAAGGTCGTGGTATCATCGTTGCCGTAACCACTGATGACATGCTTGAAGGCAGCAGTGGGTATTTGCATTTGCGGTAATGCTAAAGGGGGCTTCTGCGTGGGTATGATAGGTGAGGAAGCATAGGTATCATACTGATGCGCTGCTGCATCTTGAGTATTGATATTGCTAACAAAGGATGAAGAAGGTGGCAATGTAGAAGTCGTGGGGTCTGCTATGGGTGACTGAAGTGTATTGTTATCTGTGCTGTGTGTATAATGCTGATGGAGGGTGTTATTTGAATTATTATGACTCATGGCATCATTGAATGTGCTGTTGTTATTGACTGATAATTCGTTTAGCTGTTGTATCTGTTCAGCGTAACAGAAGTTACACACTCTTACTTGTCCCTTTTGTTTGAACATTTTGCCCGATATAATATGAGATGCACATTTGCCACAGAATATTTGTCCTTTGCATAATGAAGGTAATGGGCAAAAGTAAGAAGATAAAATCATTGACCTTCCTTTCTCATTTTGTAATAGATGACAGATACGTACCACACGTTCGGCAATGGTGCTTCCTTCTTAGTAGTGTGAAGGGTTTACGGCACTTGTAGCATTCTTTACATTGCTCATCGGGCATCCAAAACTCTTCTTCTTCTCCTCTACTGGCACTCGCCTTTTGTCCTCTTAATTTTGATAGTATTTTCGATAATGAGTTAGAATTACTGATAGAAAAGTTGGTTACGACGGATTGCGTATCACTGTCGATTGATTTTCGCTTTGTCAAGTGCACGTTGTTTATCAGATTTTCCAAGGCATCTTGAGGATCTTGTTGAGACTTGGTGGAGGTCATCGTTGTGGCAGGAACAGCAAATTGAATGGTAGTGCCTTTTTGAGCATTATGACTCATACTGTTTGCACTCGAAGTAATACTATTTTTACTAGCCTGACTATGATGGCTTTTATTTTTATTCATGAACATGACATCCGATTTCTGGTTTCCAACAGTAACTGTGGTATTCGTGGTTGCTGTGGTTGTGGTGGACGAAGACGACCTTGGTACGACGACTGTATCATCTGCTAACTGAATAGAGAAACTCGCGACATCGTTTAAAGACGATGAAGCAGTATTTGTTGATCTCATGGAAGTTGCTGTAGGAGAGTCTAACGTCAAGTGTCTACTTAAGGTTGAATGCGTAGCGTTTAAAGTATTTTGTAACAGAAGTGGTGGAGCATCGCCAAGTTGCGATTCCGTCATCGACGACGTTTGTGTCCGTACTGATGGAGCTCGCGAGTATACTGTTGCTGTTGAAGCCACAGGCTCATGTTGATGACCCGATGTTGATGATACTGCATTGAGTACTCTGTCAAAAATTTTCGTCAAAACACCTTCCTCGTTAAGGTTGTTATCTGGCAAATGAAATCCGAAAGAGGTTAAACTGGACTTCCTCTGTTTGTCGTTGTCATTACCCATAATGTTTTCACCATAAAGCCAAGTAATGCTGTGTGATTAACCTAATTGAAATGGACCACTGAGCTTGGACTAACTGCCATAAAATCTATGCATAAGAAAGTAAGTCTTTATTGGCGGAGACAAAACTTTTTGACTGAATAACATACAAAGGTGTGCTTGAAATTGGGGGTGCACAAACTGTCAATCATTAGTGAACAATTAGCACTATACTCAACCTTTATTGCAAGGTCTATTGTATCGGAAAATAGCACAAAACTTCGGATATTTTAGTAAGCTTAACGATACAAATGGGAAACAAGGGCGAGGTGTTTATAAACAGTGAGTATTCAATGTTACTGAGTGGCAATAGGATGGATCAACTCACAGTAGTGACGATCTGAGCAGCATCCAAGATTGCCCAAAAGGGCTCGAACTGGTTCCTGAATTTGTGTGGAGCTTTTCTGTGCTATGGTGTCATGTCTCTCCACAAAAAAATCTCCTTTTTTTTTTTTCCTCCAACAGACGAAATTGTTATAATATACTGCCGGTATACAGCATTTATATTAATTGTTTTACATATGTTATACTTCACCTGAGAGTATACTATAATAAACTTGTGGTAAATTGAGGCTGTAGATGTTTGGCCTGCAAATTTATTAAAGAAACAGCAACAAAGGGATATCACAAATTGGAGTGACACAAGCAAAAAGGGATTGACATGTCTAGAATGAGTTCACATAAACATTCAATGTTCTATAACAGTTTGGACTAATGATTATGCTTTCCCCTTTTCTTCATCTTTTTCATCTTTTTCAACTTTTTTTCATCCACATTTCCTCTTTCTTTCAACAAGCACTTTTCTCAAGAATGAAACAATTTACCGTCTCTACTACGTTCTCCAATATCAGATCACGATGCAGAAAACAGCGACGAACGACTATAACAGAAGAAGTTGATCCAGATTGTCTCATTGACTATGATTATCACAATACTAATACCGTCACTGGAAGAAGATCCCGAAAGCATGGGCTATCCACCCTTTCCTCTTCATTTGAAAAATACAAGCAGAGATTTGTATCTGGAGAGAACAAAGAACATAACAAGTATATTCTGGAATATACTACTACTACTACTACTACTACTACGCCCTCAGTTGTTACAGGAGAAAAAACAAAGACACTCATCAAGCGACCTCGGTATAATGCAGAATCTCTCGGCAAGACTTATCAGCTGCCAATCACTATGGATGCCATACGCTCCATAATTTTAGAACAACATTGTCATATCACGAAAGAAGAAGAACTTGAATGGTTTGTAGAAGGGATGGAATGGTTAGCACAGCAACAGTCTGAAAAAAGCAAGAACAGTGCAGGACGCTATTATATTGAAGAGGAAAAACTATACACAGGATGGGATGAAGACAGAATCAATTACCAAAATGATCTAGAGGATTTAGAAAGAGCATGTGAAGCGTATTTCGGTATACCTTTAGGTATTTGTGAAGACCATTGGGCTGCAGATTATCTGTTGAATCGAGCATCCAGGAAAAGTCTTTTCTTCAAGAGAGTCCATCTGTTTAACAGCAAAAGAAATTTAAATTCTTCACGCACGAATCGAGTGCAGCGATTTTTACTTTGTTGTTTTGGTCTTTGATTCGAATACATCAGCACTAGTCATGGGCCTAGAACCTCCTCATACATTATTGTGATTCCTCAGCCCTTAATTATCGCTACAACATACAACTCTCTTTACAATAAATAAATGAAGCTGATAGTCTCAATAAGAATGCATCTCATGCTTTATTATTCGCATGTTTGGACGATCTGTTTTTGAGGGTTACTCACTATGTTGTAAATTATTGAAAACAAATTTTCTTTTTTTTTTTTTTTTTTCTCTCTTCAAGTGAATTGGTTGTACAAATTGTCGGGACAGCGGAATGCGTGCAGTTGCAAAACAAACTTTTGGTACATCAATTAAGGACACATTAAAGAGATAAAGTAAAAATCTGTCTTGAATGGAAATATCAACATTCTCTTCTGCGTACTTCAAGTGTTTGTCTTTCTTGGATCGCGAGAAATCAAGTAGTCGATATGAATCAATGAAATAGACATACTTGCCTTATTTGCATTCTCGACGTATGATTAGTTAATCTGAGGCAGTATTTCCTTTTGAGAGATAAAAAGAAAATCTAGCACTATTGTACCGACTTTTTGCTATTCACCAGTAAAGAATAAGAGTGTATCTAGTAGCTATTATACACTTTTGACAATAACTCAATAACCTAATACACGACAATACACGATATCAGCAGTGAAACTGATAATTTATAACATGATACAGATGTCAGAAGTAACAGGTCATTTGCGCTGATAAAGGCAATAGTGTAAGGAAGACACCTTCATCATTTAAATAGACAGCACCAAAAAGTAACAAGTTACAATAGTTCAGAAGCTTTCAACTAAACTGAGAGTGTGAATATTACCCTATAGCAGCCAATCATGATAGTCATTGTTATTACACTCTTCTTTTTCTTCGGCACCCTTGAAGTATGGATGACATGGCACACTATCATTAATCCGTTTATTATTTTTGAAAACTGAAGTACTCAATTCAAACAAAAAGACAAACGGCGGTATAATTGAATATATTGCAATCAGGGCTGTGGTTTTGTCTAACTAGACAAAACGACAGTGACAAAATCTATAACAAAATCGGATCAGGATAACACTACTTGTATGAAAAACTATAGAGACCACCCATATACGAACTTACCAACATAGTTGATACGGCCATCTTTACCAACTTCAACTTCCTTCAAGAGCTCGTTCACTTCATCTTCCGTCAACTTTTCACCAAGGTTAGTCAAGACATAACGTAATTCACCGGCTGAAATGTAACCGTCGCCTTCCTTGTCAAACACTTGGAAGCCTTGAATAAATTCTTGTGCTGTGCCTGCGGGCTTGAAACCATCAGGTCGCGTGAGAATGGACAAAAAGGTACCGAAATCAATGTCAAATTCTATTGTTGTAGAGTGTAAAACAATAGAGATGAACATGCTTGAATCCTCTCTCCGTATACCTCCTTGAGTTGTACTCCTATTCTTTTGTTACCTTGGTTCTCAGGGATGTTTTTGGACTTGGCAGTTTCTTTGATCAATTCTTGTACTTCAGCTTGTGTAGGGTTTTGACCAAGTCCTCTCAAAAGGTCGCCGAGGTTAGCAGACGAAACTGTACTGTTGCCCTTTTTATCATACAAAGAGAAGGCTTCCTTCCATTCTGGAGAAAAGAAAGAATAGATAATGTTGAGTTATACCAGTGACAGATCGTTCAGATGAAACAATTCATGACATTACCATCGAGTTGTTCCTGAGTGGGCTGTTCCAAAAGACATGAGAGTAAAGCTTTGATTAGATATCCCGACCTCTAACCGTTCAAAATTTTCTAAACATCTTTGTACAAACTTACTGCTTTGCTCATTTTGAATTCTGTTCTGTCAAGCGTTTGAACGTTCAAATAAAGGGGAAAAGGTCAAAGAAAACAGTTACATAAAGTCAATTTCAAAAACTAAATAAATTGAATTTGCGCTGTTGGAATCGCACTCTGAGATAGAATCGAATTATATATTTATTATGTTTTTTTAACCGAAATGTCTAATTGAGTACAGAGGCAAAAACCATACAAGGCGGTTCTTCCCGCCTTACCCATAAAAGTGAGTAGAGATGGTGCATATACCTCCTTATTCTATACTTAATTTACGGTGGCAAAACCATCAGTTATTAGTTACCGAGATCACCGAAACTTCTAATATAATAAGTAGGTCTGGTTTTATTCTCAGGGCTCAACAACTCTTCTTCAGTTGTAATACCTTAAAAAAGAGAAATCTGTCAATGAATTCCTTCACAATACAGTAGACTTTCTCAAGACAATTACTTACCGGTCAAGACACATAAGGTGTCGATGTTCCCATTAATTCCAAACTCAATGTCTGTATTCAGTCTATCTCCAATCATGACAGTCTTTTTGGGATCAATGTTGTATCTGTTGAAAAATAGATGAGGACGAACGAGAGTATGAGGTTGCATGGCTCATTGGTAAGAGGAGAAATGCATTTTACTCACTCTGCTATAATAGCTTCAAGCATATTCTGGGCTGGTTTGCCCAAGACAGCGTCAGGACGTCTACCAAGGGCTGTGATAATAGGAGCAGCAATAGCGCCAGCACCAGGATAGAATGAACCATACTGAGGATAAGTTGAATCCTCGTTCGTGACAATAAAATGACATCCTTTGTTTCGTGTCAAATAAGCGAATGCCTTTGCGTATTTTCTGTAATTCACCTTTGTATCCAAGCCAATAACGACAGCACCCACTTCCTCATCATCTTCGATTGGGGCGTTATCAAATACGCCACTGTCTTCTTCACCACCACAGCTGCGAATACCTTCTGCTGCTAATTCATCTTTAATGCCATTCATACCGATAATGTATACCTTTTTATCTGAAGGGAATTTCAGTACATGTTTGAGATAGGAGGCGGTGGCGAATGCAGAGCTGAACACTTCTTCCTATTTGATGTTAATATAGAGTGCCATTTTAATTCCATGTATCATGTTACAGCATCTTGTGTCGAAAGAAGTGCTGTATTTTCAATACCTTGGTTGCATTAATAGCAAAACCTTCAAACTTTTTCAAAAATGCTTCTCTGGACTTTGTACTGTTGTTGGTGACAAAAAAAACACGTTTGCCTATGAAATATTGACAAAGTCTATTGTGTCAATGACGAGAAGAAGTTTCACTTGAATCCGAGTTTTACCTTTTTCTCTTAGAAGCGTCATTGCGTTAGGTACACCATCAAACATATGATCGCCTTCCCACAAAACACCTAATCGAGCATTTTGTTACCATAAATATATGCACCATTTATGCTGCCTCTGCATGCTGTTGGGCTTTTACCATCACAATCGAATAAAAAGTTTTCGTATTTGTCAATGAATGCTTCACGATCAGCTTTAGTCTGTAGATGGTTCATTTCTGTGCTGAGATATACTTGTGGAAAAGGGAAATTATTTTCAACAACGCACGGGAAACAAACAATTTAACCAAAACTGGATCGGGCTTTTAGCAACCGAAGTTCCAAGTTCTTGAACTACTTGCCCCATCTTTATGATAGAGCTTCTATTACCTCTACCAGATAGTGAAAAAAAAATAAAATACAGATCACTCGCCTCATTTTCGAGGATATCCTTCGATACTATTATGAACGAAATAGTCTTTAACTATCTCGCTTGCTGTAATGTCACCGTCCTTTTGCGTTAACATACTCTATAAATTTCTCTTATGGCCGAGAACCCACATCTTTTTTGCTAAGGGATTGACGACTGAACGAATTTAATTAAATTCAAAAAAAAAAAAAAGCTTAAACACCTTGCGGTGTAACCAACACGATACTTAACAACAGAATAGCTGTCTACTCACGACAGTATATTAAGCTTTTTTTTCTTCGTCTCCTTGGCCTCCGCCTTTTTCTCTTCTCCCTTTTGTTAAAAAAACTCCTTTCTTTTCAGTGAACTATTTTGATATAAAAGCAGCACTATACAGATTTTGGCCCCTCTTTTTTTTCCTTTCCTTTATTTGCTCGGCTTGCAAGAAACCTGTTTATCAAATTCTATACATTAAGTGGGCAAGTTAGATAGATTCTTTTTTTTTTATATGAAAGATCTGACAAATCCTCTGAAACACTCGTCGGGGTCTCTTTATGCAACCACTACTGCCAGGTACATCGACTTTTTGATATGCGATCTATGAAAGATTACTCATATCTATTCATAAAAATAGAGATTTAAACATTCTATTTGAAGAAAACGACCTGAACGATAGCAATCAGCAGCACCCGCAGCATCGACAACTACCACAGCAACAAAATGGTTATGCTGCAGCATCCCATTCAATCAATTTTATGAGACCGAAACCAGCTTACTCCACTTCGTTTTCAGAGAACCAAAACAATCATCAGAACGATCGTAATATAACATCATTTTTGCTGAACGAAGGTAGCAACAGTAAAATAAATATGGCGTCTTCGTCGTCGCCCATTCGACGTCCTCGAGCAGGAACTATGCCTTCCTTCATCAACCCTGACATGAGCATTAGCAGCAGCACTGCTCATAATGGTCATCAACAGCCGTTGCCAGCGACTGTCTCTCATCCACACCAAGCCGCTTTTCTTTTGCAAACTATTAACACTGCTTCTTCCAATATTCCTGGTGTTCCTAGCATTAGCGGTCGTAACAGATCGGGCTCGCTCAATTTACCTCCACCTCCACCTCGCTCATTGCCAGTCAATGACTTTTGGCTGAAACATCATGACCCACCTTTATCTCCGTCCTCAGAACAACTTTTGCAAAACGATAACGATTTTTCAATTGCACGTACCATGCGTTCTTTAGGACTAGAAGATGAAGACCCTATCGTCAATCAACAACAGCAACATCCAGAAGGATCAGCAGCACCACCCACAGCACCAGCACCGCCGCCAGCCGTTTTAGAACAGCAACAGCAACCTGTGATCAATGGACTTTTCCATCATCAATCCCCGCCTGAGTTTCATTTGCCGAGTCGGTCCTTATTATCTGGTAATAACAGAAACCGATCGTATTCAGTCAATGCTGCTGCTAGATATGATGAGGAAAATAGCGATGGCAACAACATGAAAAGCAATCCTACGAATAGTAGCTGTAACCAATACCATCAACTACATGCCGTTTTATCACATGAAAATTTGTCATCCTCCTTTCAGGCTCCTGCAGGTTTCTTGCCAAATTCGTTGGATGGTTTTTCTGCAAGGCATCGTCAGCAATTATCAACGAGGCCCCGTGCATCGAGCATGAGTCGCGCTGATGCAGTTCGAATGAATATGCTGCCATCGTTGAGTTCTCTTGGTAACTTTTGGAACAATAATAATGGTAATGGTGCTGGCATACGCAGATCTCCTTTAGTATCCATGACAGAAGAAGAATATTCAGAGTACGGTCAACATAGCGGCCATCACGTTGACGAGATGGAAGCACCACCCATGTTGACACCAACAGAGAATAGTGCTCCCTTATCATTAGGAGATTCAGAATTAATTGCCAACATTCTGGCCGTGAGCCATCCAAAGGACGACGATGAAGCGATTATGTATGACCATCTTCAAAGTAATGAGCGTGAACCATTGAAGCAACAACAACAACAACAAAAACCCTTCACAGTAAGTATCTCAGGGGTTGCCAAGAAAAGAAAAGAAAAGAAAAGCAACTAGCTTTCATCGTAGTAACCACTCTTTTCGCCTTCATGATTTTTCACATACAGAAATCTATACTGCAGCCAAGTCATTCCACACCTACCACAAACACCCAGCTACAGAATAGTGGCTCTCGCTCTTTGTGGATTGGTAACATTGACCACACCGTCACTGTAGACCTGTTGACGCAGGTGTTTTCTCGATTTGGCCCCATTGAGAGTGTACGGCTATTGATCGAAAAAGAGTGCGCTTTTGTGAATTACTTCCAGGCGGAAGATGCCGCCAAGGCGAAAGAGGAAATATTAAGTCGTATGGGAGGTCGAGTAGGACAGTGTATTGTCCGAATTGGCTTTGGCAAAGCTGATTTGGCTGCAGCAATGATGAATGCACCCAACAATCATCATAACAGTAATATCAATACTATCCCCCATGTTCAAGCAAGCAATTCTTTGTCACAAATACAGCCAACGCGCGCTTTATGTGAGTTGCTTGAGCAATTTAGCAGTGGTTGAAAACAAAAAACAAAAAATTGACTTGTTCTTTTTAAACAACTCTGTGTAGGGTTGGGAAACATACCGGGAAATATGACAGTACCCGTATTGGAAGCTATATTTCAACCTTTTGGTGCCATCGAATCTGTCCGGGTGCTAAATCAAAAAAATTGCGGATTTATCAACTTTGTCTCGGCTGAAAGCGCCATCCAGGCTCGAGAAGTACTGCTCAACAATAAAGTGACCATACCAGGAGTACATTCTTCTTCTTCTATTCGTGTTGGCTTTGCAAAACTTCCACCCTCCCCTTCACCCGCCAATGGCTTGAGAAAAGGTAAATCGTCTTTGGATGACACGACCGATGTGGATAGCTATAATGGTCATAGTCCAGAAATGAGGCGGGATCACGGTGCCACTCTAACGAGTACAAAAACTTGGCAGAGCGAACTTGTAGACATCATGTGTCAAATGACAATGGAAAAGGAGATGGCCAGAAACTTGGTCAAAGGTAAAACTGACACCTTGTCGAAACGCATTTTCATAGAAAAAAAAGAAAAGGCAACTGTAGGCCTTTCTTTATTGCTTACATACATTCTCTGCGCTTTTTACTTTTTTACAGATCTGAAAGTTATGTCTACAGAGTATTATGATTATATACCCCCCTTACCTGAACAAAGTCGTCAAAAGTCCGACTCTATTCGACTGAGGGATTTGCGTAAACGAATTGATAGTGCCACGGATGTCGTGCTGGAAGCAGAAGCAGTAGCTGCTGAGTGTATGGATGATATGGCAAACATCTGTGCTGATTACATTGGCAATACCGTCGTACAGCGGCTTTTCGAGAAATGTAGTGAAGAAACAAAGACAGCCATGCTACAGCAGGTGGGCATGCATTTGGCCACTCTTAGTGTGCATAAAAATGGAACATGGGCGACACAAAAAATGATTGACCTCGCCAAAACACCCGAGCAAATGGAGTTGGTTTGTCAGTATATAAAACCGTTTATACCACCCTTATTGTTGGATCAATTCGGCAATTATGCCGTGCAATGCTGTCTTCGCAGTATGACCACCCCTTGCCATGAGTCAGAAGAGAAAGAGGAAAGGGTCATGACACAGTTTATCTTTGATGCCATGGTGGAAAAACTGATGACGATTGCGCAGGGTCGATTTGGTGCTAGATCAATGCGAGGTATTTTGGAAAGCGAATACGTGAATGTGAATCAAAAAGTAGGTTGTCATCCAAAAGTCTGGTGCGTACAGCGAGGACATGTGTGTTCATTTCGTTTTTTACTTTCCACATTAGATATTGATAGCAGCAGCCCTTTGTCAACATTCTGTGTTGCTATCCACAAATGCAAACGGTGCTTTACTTCTATCCTGGCTGATAGAATCCAGCAGTATAAAAAATCGACTAGACATACTAGCATCCCAATTGATACCTCATTTACCCCAATTATGCACTCATAAATATGGCTCTCAGGTCATCCAAAAGTTGCTTCATCAAACAACAACCGAGCCACATGTTCGATATTCAGTCTTTACTGGATTACAAAAGCCAGGAGTTTTATCGTATATACTAAATGATCAAAAAGGTATAGCATTTATCCAGAAAGTTCTGCTAAATCATGATCGCTCTTTGCTTGCAAACGAGCAAAAACATTGGCTGGATGATCTAAAAGAAAAAACCTGCGACATCCTGAAGGAATCAATAAGCAACAATAATGAAGATAACACTGGTCACTTTAAGAAGCTGTTATCACAACTTTTAGATGAACATGATGAAGAAGATACCGGCCATTGATAGATTCGCTTTGGCTCACAAAGCAATCGTTGAATGGTAAAATTGTAAATTCACAAACTATTGGATCTTGGGCTAGAATATGTGTCAATGACTGCGCCCAAGGTCTATACTACCTAGTGCCTCGATGATAACTCTAGAGTCAAACCTACCTACAATTATTCGTATATATCATATATTATATATTTATTACAAAATTCTTTATAAAACAATTGTTTACCTTAATCACCCTCAAACTGACGCTTGTTTAGTCCTACGAAACTTATTGCACTGCAAGTGTGAAACCCAAAAAATAAGTTAAAACGAAGAAAGAATTTACTCCTGGTTAAAATTTTGAGACACCATGACATGCATTCTTCCTGACAGTTCATTGAAGAAAGATGATGATACAAAGTAACTATTTCTCATTGCACAATCCCATATCCCTTGAATCTCGATATACTATCGTGGCTTATCAATGATGGATTGGGCAAAACACAAACAACCAACGATAAAGAAATTCAACAACGATGCAGTAAATGTTATCCTAAAGTAGGTATTATATAGTGTGTATAATAGGGTCCAGCAACCCATTCACAGAAGGCCTTTCTTTTTTTTATCTATACCATCTACATTTATAAAAGATATCCTTTCCTCATCCTAGGTTATCCATTGACGCTTCTTTTTTTTTTTTTTTCTTTTTTAATTTAGTTGATTACAAGAGCATAAATGAAGCATTTCGAACAAGTCTGTTTGTACAATCTTTTTTATAAATATGCATTTGCGTGAACCCTCTTTTTTTACTGTACGATATGCTGGTATAATACAAAAATTGGAATTTCTATCGCAGCGATTGAAGACATTATTCTTTTTTGCTCTCATCCGTTTCAACCTGCTGTACGGGTGTCTCTGCTGCTTCATCATGACCAGGTGTAGCAACCTTTTCTACAGTCTCTATTTTCGCGTCATCCTCCGTCTTCGCATCAGTAGGTTTGGCCACATCATTCGCAGAATCAGTTACTGCGTTCGCATTCACGTTGATCTCGACTTCTTCGGCAGCAGTTTTATGTTTTGCTTCATCCACATTTTCATCCTTGTCCTCGTAAGCATCACGATCCTTATTATGGTGGCGGTACCGATCGCCTGTATCTGAAAGGCTGTCGTCATTATTTTTTAATTCAAACTGTTTTCTTGCCTCTAATGCCTTCTCTTTTTGGTCTTTTATCGTCTCGGACATTTGATCTGTTAACTTTTGTGGTAAATAATATAGAGCTGGCTCCGTCGTCGTTTTCAGAAAGTTTGCTAATTTTTCCTTTTGTATAATTTCTGCTAATTCCTAGAATAATGAAAGACTTGTGTGCTAAGTAAGCTATGATTATGAGACCCTTTTCCCAGAATTTTGCCATACTCTCTTCTCTTCCAACAGTTTTCTCTCGCGCTGTGCCTTCATTTCTTCTAAGCGAAGTTTCTCTTCTCTACGTGCTTTTAACTTTTCTGCCAGCTCCTTCCTTTCCTGATCAAGTTTCTCTTGCAATTTTTCGTTGATTGCTTGTCGGTTCTTGTCCTAATGGGAAAAATTTTAGTCACATTTTACGATACTGAGGATATGCTGATCGTGAAGGCTTACAATGTCACTCGTCTTTGCAACATCGTCCTTAAACTTATTCAACGTGCCTAGCAGTGTACCAAATAATCGTTTATTTCGTTGTTTTGTAGCTGCATCGGTATCTGTTAGGCGTGGTCTTTTGACCTAACATTCACAGTGAAACATGCCAAAAACAGTTAGAACGATCAAGCAACAAAAGTCTCTCTGTTCAATTTTCATAGTTCACCTCCTCGTTTGGCTGCTCGACGGAAGAGCCTGTATCGTCTGTTTGCCTTTTAAGAGCTTTATTCGTTTCAGACACGACTATGCTTGACTGCACCATGAGGAAGTTATAATCCGAATAGTGTATATTGTTAAAAAGACGAGCGTACAAGTTCCTTCTCAGAGACAGAGAAGAAAAGAAAAAAAAATGGGCGGAATGTATATTTCAGTCTTTTTCTTGTTCCTGCCACAACGCAAGAAATCATTAGATCCAAACGAGGAAACGCTTGCCTCACCAGTTTTCTCCTTGTTCAAACTTTTTTTTTTTTTTAAAAAACAGCAACAATCTAGGAATAGTATGTTAGCTGGAGATAAGAGAACGAGCTATTGTTTTGATCAACTGAAAGATAAATTCGCTGAAGTTTATCCTCCTGCAACAGACGACGAGTTGCAGAGCCTTATTGTAAACCTAGAAGCATCAAATGAAGGGCTAGCCATCGGTATACCAGACGACTTATCATCATTATGGCGTATATCTTCTGAGTGGCATTTGATTAAAGACCATTACAACGTGTTTGGTTTCAACATTTATAGCCCTCAGCAGGTTATTCCTGTCACAAATGATATTTTTGGTGGCTCTGAAGACGTACGACAAGAATGGGTCATGATGTCAGGACAGGAGCAAGAATCGTGCGGATCAGCCGGCTGGATGTGTATAGCTAGCTATTCTGAGTACGATTACATATTTATGAATTTTAACAAAAGATCACGCATGTTTGGAACAACCAGGCATATGGTGAATAACACGAACGAAGATAATGCTTTAACAAACCCACCATTTTCAAATTTTATCGAGTATGTGTTGGACTTTGTGGAAGGATACCAACAAGAATAAAGATAAATGGTAGGGTTGTGGATTCAATGTTCTTTGAACAGACGATATCACTAACATGAAATTTCTTTGATTATCTGGTTTTCGTTCTTTTTATTCAATCCTATAACATTTGAAAAAGTTCCTCAGTAAAGGTTGAGTGGCAATATATGAATGCAAGTACATTGCAGAACTCATATCATTCGATAGCGCTCTAATAAAAAAAAAGCCCAAGAGTAAAACGCAAACTTGAATTCTATGTTTGATTGATAAAACTACCATGGCTGCTTTCATGAGATAAACTAGCAGATTTGGGTATTCCCAAGGGCATAAAGCATATATAAAAACTCTTAAAACTCATCCTATAGTCTGATATTACGGGGACCAAAGTTTACTAGTTTATAACCTAGCCGCACCTAAAATTATTGTTTAATTATCAAGTTTTTCGCGCAACAAATCGTATCATTGCTCTGCCTCATTATTATTGTAGATCGGGCAGGAGGAAGGAACAAGAAAAAGGAACCGCATAATCAACCATTTGGGATACCGACGGTCTGATGTTATAAGCAATCTAAACTTTAAAACGCTGCGATTCTTCAGTGTTCACAGCAGTAAGAATGTCAAAAGTTGCCCGTAGCATTTCTCTTGAAGATTGGGAAGAGAAAACAAAATTGAGTGAGAAGCAAAACCAAAGCGTTTATGAGTTGCAGAATGCTTGTGCGGAATTACCACTACCTCCCAATTGGGTAAGTGCAGAGATGCCCATTACAATCTATAACAGATCAGGGCCATTGCCTATTTCTGATGAATGTCCCTAATTGTACTTACTTGTCTTATAGTATATTCAAGATAAAATGGCAGGGTCGCCCATCGCCACTCCTGGTTTTCAGACACCAGAGCAGAGCACCTATACCAGTGGACCTGTTAATCCACACTTTCTCGCTTCTCGTTTGTTGGGCTCAGATTCGATCAAACGTACACTCTCAACCGCCAATCTTCTAGCAGAAGCAACCGCAGCCGATACAGCTGCTGAAAAGCAAATGGCTAACGAAATAGGATATAGAAAACCTATTGATACCCTTCAAGAGTTTTTTGATTGGTTCACAGCAGTCGAAACAGAGATGGAAAGAGGACAAGAAGATGTCTATCAAAATCATCTGTCCACCGTCTTGCTCTATCAGAATGTGTGTGAAGAATTTCTGGAGGATTTGAAAGCAACATGTCAATTGTTTGATGATCTGAAAGAGAATTATTCATTTGTAGACTTACGAACACGTTCCATTCAAGAGGCATGTGAGACGTTGCTGAAAGAGCAAGAGAGGCTTACACATGTCGCGGATGGTTTATCATCCCGATTAGCCTACTTCAACCAGCTAGAATCTGTTGTAAAACTATTCAACTCGCCAGGCGAGGACATATGTCTGAAACCTGAATTCATACCAATGTTGGATAAGTTGGATGAATGCATTAACTATATGCAAGAACATGTGAGTGATTTCTTTCTATTCTCCGCCATTGTTCATTGGGCTGATCAGTAACTTTTTCACCGCCAACATTCTTTAGCCTGAATTTCGGGATGCTGAATTATATCATATGAGGTTCCGTCAGTGTATGACGCGTGGTATTACCCTTATTAAAATGTACGTTGTGTCTACTATTAAAAAATTGACGCAGGATATCTACAATGAAATACGCGATAAAAATAAGAAAAACGCAGCACTAAGCACAGGCAAACATATCATCATGCTCTATGTCAAATTTAATACCATTGCCCCTACCATCAAATCATTGACAGCCCAAGTTGAAAAACGATGTGTTCAAAAGGAATATCAGTCAATATACGATGAGATGCTTTACAACTACTTTCGAAGCAGACAGCAACTACTGAACCCACTAATAACAAAAAAGTTGCAAGATCTGAAAAAGAACGAGACGGATCTACTAACATTCGTAAGAACCGTTCTGTTTCTGAAAGCATCATAACAAAGCGCATTTGTCTAACTCTTTTCTAATGAGCGTAGGTGAAAGATAGCTGTGCATATATGATGGGTCTTTGCTCTGACGAATACAATCTATTTTATAATTTCTTTCAAAAGTCGAGCGAGCAAAAATTATAGTAAGTGACCCTGTACGATGATAACTCTCAGCTGAGTCTTCAATTGCTTACATTCTGTTCTAATCATAGCAATTATCTGGATCAATTAACCCGCCACTTATACAATCATCTTCGACCGAGAATCATTCATGAAAACAATACAACTATTTTATCAGAACTTTGCAATGTATTTTTAATGTATGTAATGCAAGATGAAAATGATTCCGTATTAGGCATCACCGAGGATGCGAATGAGGTCAAATTCGGTCCATTAATTCGAAATATTCTGGAGGATACGCAAGCACGTCTGTCCTATTTGACATAGATACTTTTTCCGTAGATCGGATGAAATCACGGCTTTAAAAATTTCAACACTACCAATGATAGCTATTTAGATCCTCTTCCTTCATAGATTACCTATATATTTGTTCTATAATAAATCAGGCATGAATCGCTTAGGGGAAAGACATATTGGACAAAGACAACCATGCATTACACCAATACAGCTTTTCAAAATGATTCGCTTCCTTCGAAACTCTAGAGTAAAACATAATGAAAGCAGTAGGATGGCATTTGCGTAGAGTCTAGGAGGGGTGGACAGCATTGCCCTGGAACACAAATTGATGATAAAGAGTTCACATGATTCATTGAAAGTAACTCTGACTGCAGATTTAGAATATTTGTAAATAATTCACGGAATATCAGCAAGATCTATAATAGCCTGGTTGTCTCAAACAGGATTCAATGAATATGGATGAATATACTATAATGAAGAATTTGTCATCACAGACGTATGGTTATCAGTAATTCTCTATTGAATCCCCAAATCTCTGTATATAACTGATATCAAAGGCGTGTTCTCGCCTTTAACTTTCTTTTTCTTTTGAGAAAATGATACCAATCTATTCAATGAGCCATCCAGGAATGGTATCTCATCTCTTTGACTGAATACTAGGTCTTTGATATACCAAGCGCAAGAACGAGCGTAGTCCAAAATACGACGCGGTAAAGGCGTCCAGCTTCGTGTCGTTAATACGCGATTTTGAATTTAATTGAGCGAATCAGAGAGAAGAACTCCACTTTTCTGCAGCTTTCTCCCTTTCCTAAAATTGCAACCGTTGTTTCTTCCCTTTTATTCTTTTTCCATTTCTATCAACTTTCATTTAAAGAATCACACAGTTCAATAGCAAGTTTTCATTTCTTCTTTCCCGTCTTTTCGTTTTCGAAATCGAACACAACCGATGTCATCCGGAAAAGTCTATTCTGCAACGTACTCTGGTGTACAAGTGTACGAAATGATGATTCATGGGATTGCAACGATGGTGAGAGGTGAAGATTCATACTTGAATGCGACGCAAATACTGAAAGTGGCAGGTTTTGAAAAAACAAGAAGGTCAAAAATACTTGAAAGGGAAGTTCTTACAGGAGAGCATGAAAAAGTGCAAGGAGGCTACGGCAAATATCAAGGCACTTGGTAAGGATCACTCATGTAACAAGGATTTCTTTAGTTTTTTTTTTTGCCCGAAAATTGGAAAATAATTCAATTCTATGCCATCTTATATCGCCAATAGGATACCGTTTGAACGAGGAAAACAATTAGCCGAAAAATACAAAGTCTTGGATAGCTTGATGCCTTTACTCAACTTTGATCCATCGACCGTGGAAAAGAAAAATATTTTGACCAAAGAAGAAGCAAAGCTTCAAGCTAGAATAGAAGAAGAAGAACAACAGAACAGTCAGCAATCAGCCTCATCGGAGACACATCATGCCAGTAGTTCTGCTGTATTAGCATTATCAGCACCCCCCTCCTCCTCCGCCATAACCGACAGCAATGACAGATCAGGTACTGAATCATCCAAATTAATATCACAGAAGCGACCTTATTATCACAATATCAACAAATCTATCCAACAAAGAAAAAGGTTAAAAGCAGTATCAGGTGTATCTCCAGAGCCTATCTCAGCCGAAGACCCATTCTATGAAGACCATCGCAACTTATTGATGAGTGTGTTTCTTCCAGACGACCATGAAGAAGAAGCACCCTCTCTACTCTCTACTGCTATATTGACGAAAGATATCAACATTGATTTAGTGATAGACGAACAAGGACATACTGCTTTACATTGGGCTGCCGCTTTAGGTCGAGTGAGAATAGTCGATTTGCTCATTAAGAATGGTGCTAATGTTTGCCGTGTGAATTATGAAGGAGAAACACCTCTCATGCGTGCAGCCATGATTGCCTGTTGTTATGAAAGAAAATGTTTTTCAGAGATGGTAGAATTGCTATCCGAATCCATCACCATCACTGATAAAAAGGGTAGAACTGTACTGCATCATATTGTTCAAACGGCTGCTGTAGAAGGTTATGTGGATGCTGCTGTTTATTATATGAAACGATTCGTCAAAGCATTGAGGCCGAAAAAGATGATTTTGAGAAATATTATCAATGTCAAAGATACACATCGTCAAGAATCTGCTCTAGCAATAGCACTGCGGTTAGAATGTCAAGACATTGTTGATATCCTGATAAAGACAGGTGCACTTGTAAGTCGTTCACTGATCAAGTCTTTAGAAAAAAAAATGTATCATGCTTATATTGATTTTCTTTGTGTGTCATCTATCAGGATCCTTTGATACCTAATATTGACGAATATGAAAACATGCAATTTACACCAGAAGAATATAAACCAAACGAGAAGGCGCAAGAAATTATACGATGTAAGTTACTTGTCGGTTTTTCATCGAGGGCAATGACGATAAGAATTAACATCTGTTTATACCAGCTATGCAAAGTATGATGGAGAAATTAGAAGAGGATTATAATGAGAAATTAAGAAAAAAGGATGCAGATAACTTTGAAATGAGAAAAGAGTTGGATAAGCTAAGATATGAACTGAAAGAAGCTCAGAGAAGACTGCAGCTACCTGCATCCATTCAGCTGGCTGAAGCACGAAGAAGAATCCACGAGATAGAAAGCAACATGTCATTGCAGAATAGTAACAGCGATACAAATAACACCAGCAGTCAGGAACCGGAGTTGGTGCCCGTAAAAGAAGTAGAGATGACGTTGACAGAGATTCCTCCCTCCTCAACACCCATGTTGGACAGTGGATCATCGTCTTCTGTATCAAGAGAAGACGTGCTAGAAAAGGAAGTGAAAGCACTCCATTGTCAGCTGGAGACGAGTCATGAACATATTGAACGACTACAAGCTGAATTGGAAGCTGAGAAGCGTCGAGCCAATGAAAAGGAGATGGAGTATCGAAGGTTGATAGCGATCAGCTGTGGATTGCCCATAGAGAAAGTAGACCCATTTGTAAAACCGCTCACTGTAGCCATTGAAAGCGACCCTCCTCCCAACGCTGAAAAGATGACACGCATCATCAAATTCATGGAAAATTTAAAACCTACGACTCTAATAGAGAACGGTGCTATCACTTCCACTACCGACACGATCATTCATCATACCTCATCACCTCAACATCCCACCGCTTCACCCATGTCCTTAGCCAGTCATCATTCTGCATCCCCTATTTAATTTAATTCTAATTCCATCATTTTGTACATACTTTTATCATCTTCATTTATTAATTAAGGTTTTTATTACGTAAAACGCGCGACCCGTTGTTCTTGGGACGTTCTATCCCGAATAAACGAATAACAAAGACTTGCCTATTTATTTCCAATTCCAATCTTCTTTCGCTGTATCTGCAATTAATTCACCAATGGCTAGTGCTGCTGTACAAGCCGGGCTTGGAGCGTTCCTCACATTCAGGATGGATCCATCCATTACTTTTCTTTCGAATATGAAATCCTTTGCAGCGATACCACCCGATTCAAACACCTGAGCCATGACACCGGCAAAACTTGGTTCCACCATGTCGCCGGTGATGCAAGGGATGTATTTTTGAGCACTACTGAGGAAAGCTGCTTGATTCAAGTCTCTGTAAAGCTCGCCCAAAGACAGATTAAAGTTTTTTAAAGCGAAAGCCCAAAAGGCGCCATTCATGAGATTATCCCAGACATCTTTCAGCTTAAAGTCGAAAAAGCGGTATCCTTCTCTTGAAAAAGTGATGCACGCGCCAGGACCAATGATGGCTTGATGGCCACGGCGTACATCCACAGTGGGAGTGAAATGAACACCGACGGGAATACCTCCCCCGCTTGGTACGGGATAAATATTATGCTTTATCAATGTTCGGTATTCTGGTTTCAATTGATAATAAGTGCCTCTAAAAGTCACGACCTTGTGTTTGCGAGGATTTCCACCTGTCAAACCTGCTACACGGTCAGAATAAAGACCTGCACAGGTAATCACCTTATTGGCTGTTACTTGCAATCGAGGGCCATCCATGATCTTTTCGCCGCCGGTGATTCTCACTTTACCCTCCTTTGTTTTTTCAAACTTTTTCGCCTCGAAGGAGGTCTTGATGTCACCACGCCTATCAAAAAAGAAACAAGCCTTAGACCTCTTTGATTCTTCTGACACAGTCACTGTATAGCAATATAGATATATATATATACCCTGATTTTCTAATCTCATCAGCGAGGGATTGTCCAACGAGCCAGTAATTCACAATGCCCGTGTTTGGTGAGTAGAGGGCACTATACGCTTTCACATTTGGCTCCAGTTCCGTAATCTTTTCTTCCGACCAGAAAAAGAAATAAAAAGAGGCTATGTTCACTACGAGATATAACAATGGGCCATCCTTTACGAATCAACATTACCTGTTTACTATCTATTATTTCCAAACCCTTCACACCGTTGGCTGTCCCTTGACGGTACAGTTTTTCTACCTGTTTATGTTCTTCCGGATTACAAGCGACTACTAATTTCCCGCATCTTTGGACGGGTAATTTGTGCTCTTCACAATAAGCATACATTAAATCGGCACCACGAACACATGTATACGCCATGGTGGATCCAGGTTCATAATAGAGGCCTGCATGAATCTTGCCGTAGACAGAGTGGGCATGAGATGGGACTGTGTCTCGCTCTACTAAGTTTTGCAAAAAAAAGTACTTACTACACCCGAGTTGTGGCCTGTTTGTTGTCCGGCCACTTCTGGTTCTTTCTCGAGTACGGCTACTGTTATCTCTGGATATCTCTTTAATAGCTCTCGAGCGGTTGCCAATCCTACAATACCACCACCGACGATCGCTACGTCAAAATGGTCATGGCCGACCGTTTTATCAGGCGCAGGATTGGCAAAGTTCTGAGCTCTTAACGGACCTAGAAGTTTCTCGGCTCCTTCATACTTGTCACCGCCTTCGCCTGGAAGCTGCGGCCATAAATGTAACATGCGTCGCCGCTGAGCGATAGCCAAGAAGGGGACAGATACAACGGCTGAGCTCTTGAAGCTACTCTTCAGACCGGTCGATCGAACCCATCGCTGAGGGGCTCTCACAAAGAAAGTGCTATTCATGGTTTATACAAAAGTTATTTTATTGTCTGGGGGTAATTGCAAAGAAAGGAACAATGGTTTCCCAAAAATCGCAAAGCATACTGTAAATATTAAAAACTTGGTCTCTAATAGCGGGCATTGTAAAATAATGCAAATAGCAAAAAACTCAGAATAGCTTTCGCATTTTTTCATCAAGACCTTACTTCAGGGCAACTTGAACCTGCCTCCAGTCATACCCTATTTCGAGGCATGTGGGGGTGTGTGCATTATCGCAAGAAAGCATTCCATTCTTATTCTGTAGATTTCCATTCGTTGCCGTGATGAATGACATTTCTTATTCTTTGTCAATACGTTAGCTTGCTTGGTTTGGTTGAGCTCTTGTCTTTGCTGTCGTTTTCCAGCCTTTTCCCGTGCCATTATCTCTCTCTCTCTACGAAAACAGCGCAGTGCCTGACATGCTCGTGTCCAACTAGAATGACTGTCGCGTGTGTATCCAAGGTAGCGCGATTGATGTCGGTTCTTTCATTCTCAGCCCTGCAGAATTGCCATGGTTATGTTTCGTTTCCCATCTCACATGGTAAGCGAGTCTCTTAATGAGTATGAGATGATTCATTTTGCGTGCAGCATGTTCAGATCACTGCTTATCGCTCTCTTTCTTTTCTTTTTGTCCAATGTCAACAAGCATACAAGAACTGTTTGGATGCCCTTCTTTTCAACTATTTTTTGCTTTGCATTTTCTGAAACGGTGAACCGAGCGGATGAACCCCTTTCAAGTGAAAATAGCACCTGCTGTTAAAACAAAGCATCTAGGTCGTTGGCTCTAGAAGTCACTGTTATAGATTGTTCAAGAGCTCACACAAAAACAGGGTAAATGACCTTTTCGTCTGTATCCCCCCATCAAAAAAAGAATGGAAAAATAATCTCCGATTTCAAGATTCATGCGGGGGGAGCTTTAAAAATGGGAAAAATACGTAAAACTGCCTTTTTTTTTAGGTTTAAGTGTGAATTGGAAGATTGCATAATTTGGGCTTTTTACCTACTCCTTATCATTAAATTAAAAAAATCGGGTTCTTTATCTTTGCATGTCGTTTTGCTTTCAATGCTTCAAAGGCTGCACGATTTTCTACTACTACTACCGCTAATAGCGCAGCTACTACTATTACTCTTAGGCTGCTTTACCACCAACACATGGGCGGATGTGTTGACGCCCATTCATAAAACTGGCATGTGCGCCATGCGAGGTCAGTGTGGGACAGAGGGATTCTCTCCCCTTCCATGTGTGGACAATACACCGGCGACTACACCAGCATCCTCTCAGTTTCGACAGTTACTTGTAGACACCTGTGGTATAGACTATTTAACCGGACCTGTATGTTGTGATGAATCGCAACTCGATGATCTCGTCAGTCAGGTCAAGAGAGCAGAAGCGATGATTGTTTCTTGTCCGGCTTGTTGGCACAATTTCTTGCAGTTTTGGTGTTCTTTCACCTGTTCTCCTGACCAGTCGACGTTTGTCAACATTACGTCTGCGAAAGCCGGCGATGAGAAAGGCAGTTTCGCGGTGACGAGCGCCGACTATTGGGTAGGGGATCATTTCGGATCGCAGTTCTTTGATAGCTGCAAGGATGTGAAATTCAGTGCGTCGAACGGGTATGCGATGGATTTTATAGGAGGAGGAGCGAAAGATTGGCAGACGATGGTGCGTTATATGGGCAGGAAACGACCTCTCATTGGCAGTCCTTTTCAAATTGACTTTCCGCCTCTGAGGGAGGGTGAAGAGAAGGAGGAGAAGGAGGAGGAGGGGGACCTTGTGCGTTATGACGCCGATGGCAAATCATGCAATGATACGGACCCAGCGTATCGATGTGCGTGTGTGGATTGCCAAGCGGTGTGCCCAATTCTGGAACCCACGCCTGCGGAGAAAGACAACTGCCACGTAGGATCGTTGCGTTGTTGGAGTTTTGCCATGTTGATGATCTACTTGATGGTGTTGGTGTTGAGTGCCAGTTTGCTTTTAGGAAGAAACCAAAGAATCGGCCGATGGATGCAGCGCTTCTTTGGCATGGATGTGAACACGTTGCGACGCCCTCGAGGACTGTATGAGCGATTGGCGCTTTCGGAAGAAGATCAAGATGCATTGCAGGACGACGACGACGATGAAGTAGAAGAGACACTTTTGGATCCAGACTCTCGTGGAACGCACAGGTATTGGTTGAATGCCAAGTTGCAAGGATGGTTCTACTACCAAGGCCTGTTGTGTGCGCGCTATCCATGGGTTGTCATTCTCGTGTCCCTTCTCTGCGTTACGCTCTGCTCCTTAGGCTGGTCCCGCTTTGCGGTGGAGCGCGATCCTGTCAAGCTGTGGGTCTCCCCTTCGTCGACGGCGTTGGCGCAAAAGAAGCATTTTGACGAGCACTTTACACCGTTTTATCGCACCACGCAACTGTTTTTTGTCAGCGAAAACGCGAGCCAACCTGTGATGACGGGACAGCGGCTTCAACATTTGTTCCAATTGGAAGACGACATCCGATTGATGAGGTCGGACGCCTATGGATACACGTTACAGGACGTTTGCTTTCATCCCAACGGCGATGCTTGTATTGTTCAATCTGTCACACGGTACTGGGACAGTGACGTTTTTGACCCCTCCTCGTGGAAATCGACCTTCGAGCAGTGTGCTTCGCAACCGTCCCTCTGTCTGCCGGACTTTCAGCAGCCTATCAAGCCTGACATGGTCCTGGGAGGGTATCAAGAGGGCGATTACTTGTCGGCCAAGGCCATGATCGTGACGTATGTTCTGACCAACTCGGTCGATGCCCATGAGACGGCCAAGGCAGAGGATTGGGAAAACAGTCTACTGACCAAGATTTTAAAAAACATCCATCATAAGCCAGAATGGGAGGGCGTTCGAATAAGTTATTCTACAGAGGTAAAGGGAAAAAAATAAAATCGTTGTCTACTGAAAGACGTTGTCGTTTTCTTTCTTAAGCATTGACTCACACTCTTTTTTTTCGCCCTCTAGAGCTCGATTGAAAAAGAGCTCAACCAATCCAGTAATACGGATGCGAATACAGTGATCATTAGTTATGTTGTGATGTTTCTCTATGCTTCGGTGGCGTTGGGCCGTATCGTGTCGTATCATCCGCGTCGTTTAGTGGTTGACTCGAAATTTAGCCTTGGTATCTGCGGCATCCTGATTGTTATCTTTTCGGTGTCTTCGGCCGTGGGGTTATTTTCGTTGACCGGTCAGAAAATTACGCTTATTATTGCCGAGGTGATTCCCTTTTTAGTGTTGGCGGTAGGCGTGGATAATATCTTTATTCTGTGTCACGAATATGCCAGACGCGTGGATCTGGGAGAGGAGGAGTCGATTGAAGAACGTGCCGCGAAAACGTTAGGTCGAATGGGGCCGAGTATTTTGCTGAGCTCACTCAGTGAAACCATCGCGTTTGGTCTTGGCACGTTTGTAACCATGCCTGCTGTGAGCAGCTTTGCTACGGTTGCTTCCATTGCTGTCTTTGTCGACTTTGTGCTCCAAGTGACTTGCTTTGTCTCTTGTCTCGTTTTAGATGCGTATCGACAACAGGTAAGGGGGGGGGGAATTGACGAGGGGGAAAAATGAAGCGCGTTTTGCTGTTTCGCCACTGCTGACTCACACACACCACTCGAGCAAAAAATAGAACCGTCGTATCGATTGTGTGCCCTGTGTTCAAATAGAAACACCGGAGGTGATTGAAAAGGAGAGCCTACTGCAAACGATGGTACGCGACTACTATGTGCCCGCGATCCTCCGTCCCAAGGCACGTTATGTGATTTCGATGGTGTTTTTAGGTCTGTTCAGTATGGGGTTATCGTTGTTGCCTCAATTACCGATGGGTTTAGACCAAAGAATCGCATTGCCTTCGGACTCGTATTTGGTACAGTACTTTAACGATATGGACACGTATTTCAACGTGGGACCGCCCGTGTATTTTGTCGTCAAGGGGGCGAATCTGACGCGACGAGAGGAACAGAAAAAGATATGCGGACGTTTCCCTAGTTGCCATGAACGCTCTTTGGCCAACGTACTTGAGCAAGAACGACGTCGTTCGCATGTCTCGTATATTGGTGAGCCTACGAGTATCTGGTACGATGATTTTATGAATTGGCTCAACCCCACGACGGGTTGTTGTCGTTTAAAGAACGAATATCCACGTCGTCGTCATCCTCCTGGGCAACGTCACAGCCAGCGAGCGAAGAGGACGTCTCGCCCACGTTTCAGTGTGTTTGAAGAAGAAGCAGCAGCGTCGTCGTCGTATGGCAGCCATGACTGGGAACTCTGTAGTATCTGGGACGACGATCGCGATTGTACTGACTGCAATGCACACTGGGACGTCAGCATGCAATCGTTCCCTGAAGGCAAGGACTTTCTTGATTTCTTTGACCTGTGGATCACGATGGCACCGGACGAAGATTGCCCGTTGGGTGGAAAAGCGGCCTATGGCGATGCTATTGTGGCGGATCATGATCGAGTGACCCTCGATGCGTCCCATTTCCGCACGTTCCATACGCCGCTACGCAGCCAACAAGATTTCATTGCTGCGTATGGTTCAGCGCGACGCATCGCTGAGGGGCTCAGCGAAGAGTTGGGTTTGGACGTGTATCCTTACTCTGTATTTTACATTTTCTTTGAGCAATACAGCTCTATTGTGGCGATGGCTTTTGAGATTCTTGGTTTGGCGGTGTTGTCGATTTTTGCAGTGACCAGTCTGTTGTTGGGTAGTTTCCGCTGCGGTGCTCTTGTCATGACAGTGGTCATCATGATCCTCGTGGATGTGGTGGGCGTCATGGTTCTGTGGGGCGTGAGTTTGAATGCTGTCAGTCTGGTGAACCTTGTGATCTGTGTGGGTATCAGCGTTGAATTTTGCTGTCATATTGCTCGTGGATTTATGGTAGCCAAGGGTCATCGAGAGCAGAGAGCAGGACAAGCTCTCATGGATGTTGGCAGTTCTGTAAGTTTTTTTTTTTTTAAAAAAAAGAAACAACGCACATAGAGAGAGAGAGAGAGAGAGAGAGAGAGAGAGACAGAGTAGACTAACCATGGTTCTTGGCTATGTTAGGTTTTTTGTGGTATCACATTGACAAAGTTTGCAGGCATCATTGTTTTGGCGTTTACGAGGTCCAAGATATTTGAGGTGTATTACTTTAGAATGTGTAAGTACATTGAGCGAATATTCTGAAAGATGTATGTTTTTATTTATCCTGGGTCTCTCTTTAGATCTTGCCATTGTCGTGTTGGGAGCGTTACATGGTCTGGTATTATTACCCGTTTTACTCTGTTTATTGGGAGGTGACGGCATGGTGCTGGCGGATGTGGACGAAGATGGATTTGCGTGGAGTGCTAATAGTCATTTTTGGCGTGGATTAGGAAGTCAGCATCATAGTCAGCTTCTCGTGGAGGATAATGAAAGCTCTGATCAAGTGTTGATTACTGATGTACCAGCGAATCCTAATGACTCGGTGACAGCAGAACATGCAGAGTATCAAGCGAACGGAAGAATGACCACGGATGAATAATATAATACAACATAATGTGTATGACATGTCTGTCTATGTTACCCCCCCCCTTTCTCCTACAGATATCCATCTTTTAGTCCTTTATTGTCATGAACTTGTATGTGTCTGAATAAAACTACTTTATATGGATACTATCATTGCATGTTTGTCGTGGAGGGGGGCCCTTGAAAAGACATGCTAGGAGTGTCTCATGAAGCGAGTACCTTTCTCTTTTCTACTAAACGCACTACGGCTCATCTTGTTCTATTCATTTCTAGATTTTTTTATTTATTTTTTTTAATTCCAGTTGGAATTCCAGTAGCCAACATTCTTTAGCATGAGCCCAACAACGCTGTAAGAATATCCGAATGGTTCTACACAGCCAATAATTATTTATAGAACCCCTTCAAACGACCCACTTTAAGCGGTCTCATCCATCCTAATGCTGAAAACAAAAAAAAAAAAAAGTCATAAGTTTCAAAAAAAAAGGATGAGGACAGGTTTTACGGCAACAGGGACGATCCACTTGAACCTCCAAGTGTATGAAGCGAGTTCAATGTTGGGGCGCGTTTGAGTTTCCTTTTTTGGGAGGTTTCTTTTTTGTTCAACATTAATGTGTTTCTGTTGCCCTTCTTTAATCAACAATGAAAAAGAATGAAAGGTTAAAAGTTAGCTAAAGCTAAAAATGGTTGGTTATAGTTTGTTGATTGGTAAGGTAAATGCGAACAAAAACCTTCTTATTGCGGTCATTGAAAAATGTGCCGTGGGTTTAGCTGACGGAGGCTGACTGGACTGACTGACTGCCATCCATGGATTTCGAGAATAAAAAGAAAGGGGAATGCTTGGACCCATTGTTCCGAGAGATGGGCATGAAGAGACGGGATCATCCAGGCTAAGCTGGAGCTGGAATTGAAAAAAGAAGAGGGTTTGTTGGTTTAATTGATGGGTTTCAGCCCTTTTCAAAAAAGCAAATTTAACCAAAAAGTGAAAGCGTATGCAGAAAGTTCATTAGGCTTTCATTTACTAGGTAGCCCAAACAAAAAAAAAGGTCTCCCTTCCCGTTTCAAGAAATGAACCATAATGATGAATTGTTTACGCACTGTCACCCAGCACACAAATGCTCGTGGAAATTAAAAATTAATCTCTCCTGATTTTCATAGAAAAAAAGAACAATGAATATGAGCGGATTCTATGTATCACAGTCAACAGAGTATCACTTTTTTTTTTCTGAGTGACAAAAAAAAAAAAGACCATGCACAAAAACTGTATCCTCTCGGAAACTCTCGCAATAACGAAAAGGAGGGATGTGTTATAAAATGCATTGAAAAGAACCACTGTGATTTCAAACACGTAGAATTCATCATTTTTGCCAAGTTGTTTAAACATGTTTATTCTATTTTAAATGACGTTATTTTTTTTAATTCCCGCTGTTACAGTCTTGTTTCTTTTCAGATTTTTTAATTTTTCTAATCTGCAGGCAGACAGGGAAGAAAAAATATATCTATATATAAAATAAGGGGAGGGGGGGGCGGATATCAAGACAGTACAGAACACACATGCAGAAATTAGAGTTCATGACGTCCTTAAAACACGACCCAAAGGAATTGACTAGGATAAGAATTCTCATTCATATCTATTGAATGGGCAATAAAATGGTAAGAATCTTTAATCAAACTGTGATTGATCAAAATTAAAAAAAAAAAAAAAGAAAACTGAGCAAACATAAAACAAAATTATGACTCTAATTTTGGAAACCCAAAGATGTGTGAGCCACAATAAAACTTCCTGATGTGTGTAACTTGAGATTATTACCATAACAACGACGATAAGCATAGAATTCCCCTCCTCCCCCCTCCCCCCTAATATCGAATGAGCCAACGGTATTGGTAACTAGGCTAGTCTTCAAGCAAACCCACTGTTGCATTTATACGCGTTCTTTGATAGGGCAAACTCCCAATGGGAAAGTAAATGAACAATAGACATCTATCGTGCTTATCATTGAGGGCATTCCTATGCATTTCCGTAACAAAAAAGCACGGGCGTAGTCCCAATAAAAAAAAAGTGGCGGAAGCTGATTCGCAACTCCCCTTATTTAGGTCAACAACACCTAAATAAAAATTGAGAAACACTCTACTCACAAAACCGCACAAAATAGAAAAAAAAAAAAAAAAAAAAAAAAAAAAAGTGCCTTTTTCCTGATAATCCTTGTTCCTTGTCTCTCTCTTCTTTTTACTCCTTTCTTTCTTTTTTATTCTATCGTCTTTTATATCATCACTTGTCTATCTCTTGTAATAGCTGGTTCATCATGACTACAAAGCCTACCATGATGAACTCTACAACGACAACCACGACCGCTGCAGTAACAGCTCCTGTAAAAGAAGAAGAGAGCCTTCCTACTGTTCTCTCACAGTCCTTTGTTAGCAGCAGCAGCAGCACTAGCAGCCATGCCAGTGTTGCTCCAATCTACTACATTCATAATTTTTGGGATACAGTGGTACAGCAACAGGAATTGAATCAGCAGCAGCAAACTGCTTTACATACGTTTACTAAGCCTATTGGGAGTTTATCAGCAGATTTGTATAACCAAAGCAACAATCCTGCAGCTGTGGTTTTGCCAATAGGAGTGCCCAAAATGGCAGTTGATAATTTCTTTGCAGCTCCGACATCCTTCGATTATTCTCTCCATCAATTCATGCTGCAACAACAACAACAACAACAGCAGCAGCAGCAGCACCCACAACAACAACCACCACCACCACCACCACCACCACTACCATCCTCACTACCCTTGCTCCCACTCTCCTTACCGCAAACACCTACCGTGCTCAAAGATGATGTCTTTCTGGCTCAACCTACCACTTTTCTCTACAGTGATCTTTCACTATCACGGACGGCTACTCTTACTACATTGACGGCTACAACAACGACAGGCAGTACAGTAACAGACTCACAACAGGATGATACAGCATCCTTAAGCAGTCACTCGTCTTCCTTGTCGTCTTCTCAACATAGCAGTTGTGATAAAATAATCTTGTCTCCCTGTCTCTCTCCTGTAACATCCCCTACTAATTTTTTGTACAACCATGAACCATTATTTGATGGTGGTATTTCTTCTGATCTGCATCATCATCATCATCAACAACAACAACAACAACAACAACAACAACATCTACATCATCATTATCCTTCACATTCTCCTCCTTTTACAAAACTTGATCCACAGGGAGACAGCAGCGATAGTCTATCTCCACCCAGAGCATGGACAGAGATGAATGACGTAGAAGAAGAACCGTTATTAGAGGGTTTCTGTCGTAGAAGAAACCGCTTGAAAAACTCTTTGGAACGTCATTTATCAGATAAAAGCAGCGCCAGCAGCACCAAAGATGATCTTGACTGGTTCAAGTTGCTTGATGCATTTAGTGCAGACGTTGCTTGTGATTTACCCACACCCAACTCTGAAACAACGTCATTTGAGGAGGAGGAAGAGGAAGAGGAAGAGGAAGAGAACACCACAATCGATGATCATGAGGATCCAACCGCCGTCGTTACTGATGACGACAACGACGACTCTGACGACGACGACGACGACGACGAAGAGCAAAATTTCTCAACCCTCTTTTCCACTGACAACCACATGACTCCCAATGCAACCAACACCAAAACCACTACCACCACCACCCTCACGACGACGACGACGACAACCCATACAAAGGACAATGCCTCTACAAAAAAGCGCAAACGTAGTCATCATGGCTCATTGGATGCACACAACAAGGACGATACCTCCTCCACAAGCCCTCATCATCATCGTGCAACCCTTCCTTCCCGCCAAAAGCGCCGCAAGAAAAGTACCAAATCTTCTGTTGTGTTCAACAAAAAGAACCCTCCTCCTCCTCTTCAATTTCAGCTCCATCCTCCTCCTTCCCATACCAGCAGCAACAAGAAACAGCGATTATTACCTGTCCATCCTCTCCATTCTCCTCAACAGTGTACAGCGCATCATCAGAATAGCAATAACACCACCCACACCACCACCACCACTACCACCACCACCACCACCGCTACCACTGCTACCACCACGAGCAGCAGCAAAGAAAATCATCATGCTGACTGCAAAGAGATACCCCATCATGCTCAACTGATTGAACCTATCGTTCACCCCAAGGCAAGCAGCGAAAAGACGCTATTTCAACAATTGACAGAAGCGGATATTGACTGGTGTCGGTATTGCGGTACAACCGAGGGCGTCAACTGGCGACCTGGCCCTTGGGGTAAACGCACCCTCTGCAACAAACATGGATGCGATTACAAAGGCTACGGTCTCGCCAGTCGTTTACCTAGACTCGATCTGTCCGCCTTTGCTCATGAAAAACTGCAAGATCGTCAGAGACCCGTCGTGCAATATTTCTGCATCGTGTGCCAATCACCCGAGGTAGTGGATGGAGAGACCAATGATTTGATTCTTTGTGAAGGGGGCTGCTCTCGTGCCTATCATCAAAAGTGCCACTCACCTGCCATCACCGTCAATCCCAAGGTGGATGCTGTGCATTGGTACTGCAGCGCCTTTTGTAAAGAAAATCGTAAGCGTAACAAAGTTGGTAACGTGTCTTTCTTGTTTACTTTCGAAAAGACCCTCGTTGTTCTTACCCTTTCTTTCTGTTGTTCTTTTTTAGTCGTTGAATTACCACGTAAACATATGCCTTTGATGCATTTACTACCCAAGACATTGAAAAAAAAGTCTCTACCCTAAGACCCCTCCTCTTTTTTTGATTGTGTATATAAAGCGGGTAAAAAAAGAAACTCGTTCCTTTTTTTTTTTTTTTTTTTTTTTTCAATGATTCATTGCCCTACTCTTATTACTATTACTACTATTTAATCATGTATCATTCCCATCTGTGTCTATATACATACTATTGCCCTCCATCCTATTCAATTAGAAAAATGACCTTTTTATGTAATGTGCTGAACAATAGAGAAGGACATGGAACAAAATAAAGCACGCCCTCCGCCCCCTCCCATCTCGATCTGTTATTGTACTGCAATAGGATGATCATTTTTTTCGTTTTTTTTTTAACCTCCAAAAAAAGCTAAATGAAAAAAAAAAAAAAAGGATTCATTTATGTCACAAGATGAGGAAAGGGGATGTGGTTTTTATTTTAAATGGATTGAAAAGGTCTAGGTTGTGTATACATTGACATAGTGCCATGACTGTCCTGTCGACTTGGATATTTACTACGCCATCCGTTTGCCAAATTCCTCACTATTCATTAGAAAAAGAGCCCATGAGCCTTACCTTTGCTTTTTCTTTTTTTTTTTTTTTTTTTTTTTTTTTTTTTTATAAACTTACTTGTATTCACGCCAAATCTATCATTCAAAAAGTAAAAACACAGGTGCTTAGTCAAACGAAATTCATAAAACCCCCCCCCCTCCCCCATCCCAATGAGATCCACTTACCACAGGTGCAGATGTGCAAGGAATAAGACCTACTTCTGTCACGACCAAAGTGATATATTTCGAGGGTGTGACATCATACAACAAGTTTAATAATCTCAAATCAGGTTGATTTCTCCACAAACTCAAGACAGCACTCTCCTCCTCCGAGGGTGTATGGGTCGTGTGGACCAAGTCGTCTGGATCGCCCAGTTCATTCAGTACAAACGAATCGACCTGCGTACGATTGACAAACTTGTAGGTTTCACAGCAAATCATGACAGGAATCTGCTTGTCGCTCGCTGCCATCGCCACCATCGCACTACCAATACGCGAATAGACGGCGCCGTTATTCAGCAGCGCGTGCGCTCCCATCACCACTTTGGTCACCGACTTTAACGCGACATACACACTCGATAACAAATAATACGAGCAATCAATCCCTGCTGCCACGAGACGACGCAGCAAATGTTTGCCCTCAAACAAAGGACGACTGTCCACGACAATCACCTTGAAATCAATCCCCTTCTTTTGGGTCTCCAACAAGAGATTCTCGACCACGGATGATTTCGCGTACGTCAAAATCACATCGCCGTCCTGAATCTTTGTCAATCCGTTCTGAATAATAAGCTGATCCGCCATCGTAATGCGTTCGCGAATAAAGTGGCTGATACGTTCGGTCAGGCGATTTTTCGCATCGGCATCGCTTAAAGGTGGGTCTTCTTCCACAATATCCGCCATCTCTTTTTTCAACCAACGAATACATTCTCGCATACTGAGTGACATGGGACGAATGCTGAGTAAATAAGCAATATGTGGGTCCAAATGTTTTTGAATATGTCTTGAAAACGTAGCGTCCGAGGGTGGTTTATGATCAGAAATAACCTATAGCATCAGATCAGCATAGAAAAACCATGAGCTCCCAGTGGGGTCACACTACAACAACAACAACAACAACAACAACAACCCCCGCCCCCATCACGCTCGCCCTCCTACCTACCTTTGAAAACACTTCCAACATGGCAACACAACGTGCATTAGAGCCAACAATTTTATATTCAGAGAAATAAAGACCCAGTTGAAGAACAGCAGGATGAAGTTCCTTCAACAAGGCTTCATTCGGTTTATGAGGTGCATCGAGATGCAAAAGCCATGGCACTTGATTCTGATGCTTTGCTGATGGTTCCTTTCTTTTATTCTTATGGTTGTCTGTAGGCTGTTGTTGTTGTTGTTGTTGTTGTTGTTGCTGCTGCTGCTGTGCATGAGTAGGAAGACCCGCTGCTTTTTTGCTCGCCTCCAACTCGGCTGCTTGTCGAGCGGATTTGGGTAACCCAGCGGCAATACGTGCTTGCTTTTCCTGTCTTTGCTTTTCTTGAAGCGCTCGACGTTCTGCTTTGGTCATTTCCTTTTGCGACTTTTTAGGAGGATGTTGTTGTTGTTGTTGTTGTTGCTCGCCCTTCTGGGGAGCATTTTCTTTCTTTTTGGTTGAAACAGAGGTCTCCATGAGTGAACAAGTCGTTGATGAACGTTGATGAACAGGAAAAGCGATAAAGATAAAAAAAAAAAAAAAAAAAACCAACCAACTTGCGTTTTTTTGTGACTCTTTGCCCACAGAAAAAAGAAAAAAAAAAAAAAACACCCGTAACCTGGGTTTGAATGAACAAAAAAACGTCTTTTTGGAAATAAGCGGGCCGCTCCCCCTCCACAAAAAAAATCGCTATTCTAAGAGAGAGGGTGGGCCTGTCCCTTTATTTTATTCTATTTTTCCCTTTTCTTCACTACTTGTTTGAATATGAATATACGTCTTCTCATTACGAAAAGCAGTCTTACACAGCAACCCACAGCACAACTATTACGGATACAGCAGCGTTCACGTTTCGGTACACTGGCATGGAACAACAACAACAACAACAGCTATGGTCTTCAGGCGATCGCCGCAGCCGAGTCCTTCATTCACCGTACTTTTCAGGTCCCAGCATGGCTAGAACCTTTCCTGTGGGCAGCACCTAAAAAGAAGACTTCACATTCCAAAAAACGCATGCGTGCTTCCAACAAAGGATTGCAAAATAAGGAAAATATCGGCACTTGTCCTGCTTGTGGTCATCCTAAACTCTTGCATCATTTATGTGGAAATTGTTATAAAAATATCAAAGAAAAGGCAAAATCTCTCTTATTCAGTTAGATATCAAAAAGAAATGGGAAAGTTAGACTATGTAACACGGATCATGATAAGAAAAAAAAAAAAAAAGGAGAATCATTCCATTATTTGTAAATATCGTAAATAGGGATCATCCCCATCCCAATACATTGTGTGTATTCCACGTATAAAAAAATAATAATAATAATCATGAACCCACTTACAAAACTCATCTACACTGTATAAAAAGGCTTGCCCCCCCCCTTTTGACCCTCCATGACTTGATAAATGTTGATTGTTCACTTGGCGGTACTAGGATCTGTATTAGGATGGAAGGGAAAAAAAAAAAAAAAAAAAAGTGGGTAGAACTGCCCTTCTTGCGCGCCTCGTGTGATGACAACTCGCCATGACAGTGTGAACCATCTCCTTTTTTTTTTCCTTTTTACTAGCATGCATAAAGTCAACAGGATAAAAGAAGCATACGGTATTGTTGTGAGCGATGGAAAATGACTCGTACTGAAAAGAAGACGATAGATTGTATATCAGTGCTGCTCATAGAAAGGCGCCACTCTTTAACAAACATTCTTTCTTCTGTCCCTACCTCGCTCTAGGAAAGGCCGTCAATCATGGTCGCATAACATAAATTCACACTGTGCCCTATGGATGGATGTATCAAGGACGGGAGTGAGACGCCATTCATTTGTAACCAAGTAAAGTATATTCAGGGCTTTGAGCAATACTACTTTTAGTAAACCCTCTGTAAAAAGTGCACAGATATCAAGTGTTGTTACAAACATGTGCGTTTCATTTCTCTTTGGCGCTCTAGTCATTCTATGTTTTGCTCTTTCCTTTGATGACATGAGCCATAACGGACTGACTGCTTGAAAGTGCGGGTGGGGTCATGATTGAAACCGTAAAGTGACGTTTCGATCTTTTTTAACCAAAGGAATTTTTTCTTTTTATGCGCCCAAACTGAGGGGGGCGCAAAAAAATTGCTTTTCCAACTATTGCCTGTACATAGCTCAACAATCGTTAAGATGGTATGTATGGAGAGTGCAGATGACATCTATTTGCATGAACTGACATGTTTTGTTCTCAATAAAAAAGTCCAACCACACGATTTTATTACTTCAAGCGACCAACAAACAAAGGTGAGAAAGAAAAAACAAAAACCATCCATTTCGGATAGATTGAAAAGAAACCAACCCACTTTTTTCCATTGTCCATTGAAAAAGCAGTCGAACTTATTAGTGAGTATCAAGGAGTTTGATAGATCTCTCACTAAGAAGAGTGAAAACGATGGCTAAATCCAACTACCGCTTTTATCATGATCTACAGTGATTTTCCAACAGAAGCAGAAGCCATGGACCGTAAGCTGTTATTTTTTTTTTTTTTTTGCAATGCATGACAAGGACTCGATTTGAATGGAACATTTCATCCTATAGACATTGCTGGATTATACGAAGCACAGTTAGCAAAAGAAAACCCTCGTTCGGGACAGGTGCAATATAGGTAATGGACGTTACAACATCAGTAGATCAGTTGGAAAAAAGGGCAGGGTCATTCACACATGGGAGTTGTATTTATTCTCTAGAGCAGAAGATTTGTTTAGGTTTATAGATACTTTCAAAGAATTTGTCGGCCTTGTCTTTGATCCAACCTCCTATGTAAGCTAAGCTAAGCGAGAAAACAACAACAGAGTAGTAGTAAGAAGAGAGAACAGGTGTAAATAATACGTGTCTTCCATCCATAGAAATACCAGCCACGCGATAAAGAATGGATCAAGGATCGTTTAATTGCTCATTTCAGTGGACAGCAAACGAATCCACCCCCACAACAGCCAAGACGTTCCAATAACAATCGCAATCGCAGTTACGACAACAACCGTAGCTCTAATAGACGCTATTAGTGAATTTCACACCCAAAACAGTCATCCATAAAACCCACCCTCCCTTTGCGGATGGAACGGTATACATCTCTATCTCTTTTTGCAAATAGCAGCTTAGAATGGGGCGGTGCAATAACAGCAATACATAGGGAACGATACTTTAAAAAATAAAACACACATCGTTGACGGGCAAAAGGGAAAGGGCGGGTTTTTTTTTATTTGAAGCAATGCAATCGTGTTAGATTTTACCAGTAATAAATGGGTGATAGAGTGCTTCATGAGGCGTTAAACGCTTCTCAGGACTAAGTGCTAAACATTTATCCAGCAGATCAATGAACGCCATGACCAGGCGGTTTTCCTCATCCGACATACCAGGTGTGGTGGCTGACAGAATACGCGATTTCACATCTTTGGTAGGTTTGATGATGGTCATCTTTTTCACCACTTCATTCTTTGTCACGCGGTCCACTTCGACACTCAAGAAATTGTAGGCTTCATCAAAATGCTCCGTGGCGAACTGCGCTTTACGAAGCAGTTTGTTGGGAAAACGTCCTTTCAGTTCCATAATATGTTTCAACATTTGGTTATTGCTCCTTCCTGGGAATAAGATCTTTCCGGTATACAGTTCGTATAGGGTACAAGCAGCCGACCAAACATCGATCGCATGGTCGTAAGCGAGACCCAACATAATTTCGGGGGCACGATAAAATCTGGAAACAAGATACGGTGTAATGGCATTGTCACTCGCATCGGAAGCAGAGCCAAGATCGCACAGTTTGAGAGTATTCCTTGATTCTGACACAAGGATATTGTCTGGCTTGATATCGGCGTGTAATATTTGGCATTTCTTCAGCAAGGATAAACTCAAAAAGAGTTGCTGAGCGTAGATACGGACCGCCTTGATACTAATACCTACGTCTTTGCCATATTTTTTGAGCACATCTCGTAAATTCATACTTAATGTTTCAAAAACTAAGCACAAGTGATTTCGATACTCAAAATGTCTGTGTAAACGAATCACGTGCTTTTTGTTCTCTGGATCCGCTTCCATCAGCTTTTTGAGAAAAGCCAATTCTTTTTGACCCGCTTTATACCTATGCCATCCATCAAAAATTCGAAAAAAAAAAATGGTTAGTAAGAAAAACGAACGACATAGAGACTATCCATCGACAACTTACATGGTTTCATTGTTTCTGATCATTTTGATAGCTACTTCTTCATTCGTCTTTTGATCCTTTGCTTTTACTACAGAACTAAATACACCACGACCCAGATTGGCTAAAATTTGATATCGGTTATCGAGAACTTCGCCTATGCGAGCACTATAATATCCCTCAGGGTCATCCCAATTATCCATTAGGTTGAGATTCTGTGGTGCTGCTGCTGCTGCTGCCGCATTGGAAACGTTATCCAAAAGAGATTTCTGATCTACGCCTGCTGCAGTAGCTGCATCACTAAACATATCTAAATTATCAGAAAACATGTCAAATTCTGCTGTTGCTGTCGCGGGTTTTGTGGAAGATGTCTTGGCTTGTCTCTCATCCAACTTTTCTGTATAATCTGCAGCCAGCATATCTGCTTGACTATCGACACCCGTTGGTTCTTGATCATCTTTTTTCTTTAACAGTTCCTTTTCTGACATTGAATGATGGAGTGTTTTTGCGCGGTCCATCGAGGGATCATAATCCGCTGCTGAAACTTGTTCTTCTTCGTCTCCTTCAGAACGCTCTGTCATAGCCGTGTCATTTCCATTCAACTCAAACATATCAGTATCTCCATCGCCATCTGTTTGCGATTGTTGTGAGCTTACTGCTTTCTCCTGTGGTAATGGCTCTTGCTGAGAAGGAGGTAAAGTATAATTCTGAGGTTCTATAGAAGCTTTCTTTTCAATTTCTATAGGAGTTGTGGGTGCTGTAGGCACTTTTAATTCACAACAACAACAAAAAAAAAAAGAAAAAGAAAACCGTCGACCACGATGAATATATGTTTTTAAAATAGGATAACGAGCTAGTGTCTTTTTACCTGATGGCGTAATGGGCGATGATGGTGTGGATGGACTTGCTTTATATCGACTGAGAATAGCTTGTCTTCTTTTTCTACGCTCTTCAATTAACCTGTCTTCTTCTTTTTTCTTTTCTTCCTCATCTTCAACATCAAAATCGATGGGAAGTTCTGGCTCTTTCTCAGCAGGTTTACTATTTCAGAAAAATAAAATCCAGTGAGCAAACGAAACTTTCAAAAGTAAACAGCAAAATGTCACACCTATACCTTTTTGCGTCCCCTTCTTCGTTTTCTTCTTCGATGGCGGTCTTGTACTTTTTCGTAGAAACACCATTTGTTTCTTCTACAACAGCTTTAGTAGCGGTGATCGTACTCGAAGAGGATGGAGATGACCGCCTACTAAGTTCATTACCGGGATAAAGTGAGTTTTCACTTTTATTCTTAAATTTACTACTATTGCTACTTCTACTTTCATAATCCCGGGAATATCTCCTCCTCCTTTCTGTCTCTCGGCTACTCTTTCTTCTCCTACTTCTACTGCGCTGTCGACTACGGCTACGGCGGTTATGCGAAGAAGAGTAAGATGGTGATCTATGTGATGAACGAGAATATGAGGAGCGATGTCTTTTATAAATATCATCTTCATGACTATGGTCTCGTTTTCTACCACTATTACTATGGCTACTGCTGCGGTACGAACGGGATAGTCTTTCATATTCTTCGAATGGGTCAACTTCGGTGTTGCTGCTGTGCTGACCATTGCCATTAACATATTCTTCGTAACTGTCGTTGTTATAAGAACGGTGGGGAGAGCGGCTATCAAAAATTGCACCTAAACTAGGCCTTTTCGGTTCTTCAACAGGAGCAGTGCTAGGATAAGGAGACTCGGCTTCGATTTCGCCTGCTTCAACCTCCAGCTGTTGTTTGTTGTCTGTTGCTGACATATTTATTCAAGACGTTGTTATCGTATGAAAAGATGTTTGTTGTTGAGAGTAATAAGGATGAAAAAGATTTAAATGGAGAGTGTCAACAAATTGAATTGTATGTTTGGTATAGGTTTTTTTAAAAAGAAAAGTTAAGATGGTGAGACTGTGCGATCTTTATATTCTTTGTTTTCACTTTTCTTGTGTTTTTTTTAATCAAGATTTATAAGAAACCTCTTTATGCAGTTTTATGGGTTTTTTTTTTAAGGTGGGTTAGCAGAATAGCTTTTTTGTTACAAATGACGAAAAATTGGGAAAAGAGAGCTTGGCGAAAAGAAAAAATGAAAAAGGGAATTGGGTTAGTGCGTCAATGTGCGATAAGTGACTGTCTTCCATACAATGCGGGGTGTATACAGTTTTGATAAACCACATGATGGCTAACATGCGTACATATTCATTGTTACCAAGTCCTTGAATTTAAACAAAAAAAAATAAAATTCATTGCTACCATGATTTCGGCAAGAGGGGTTGAAAGATTTGATAATATTTGCTACGGTGAATAGTCTTTGCTCTATATACTTGAACTGGTTAGGCAACTATGTAAGATATCTTTTTTTTTTTTTTTTTTTTTTTTTTTTTTTTTTTTTTTTTTGAGTCAAATGCACTTCGTAGTTGTTTCGCTCCTACCGTTGAATTCCAGAAGAATAGGTTGAAAAGCAGGTAAGTGGATTTTGATAGATATAGAAAAGCATTGCGTTGCTAACATACAAAAGTTCAAACGCTATTTTTGTTGATGTTTGACCACATAGGTATAAAGGTTTGACGAAGCTTTTAATTCTGATATACTAACCAAATTTGTCTCAAAAGACACTATTTTTCTGTATTTGTTGCTTTGTAATGACTTCTCTTCTTCCTTAACTGGATATGAAGCAAACGTGATCATTGCTTCGCTCTTTTGTAAAAAGTTCAGCAATGTCATCTTGAGAGTTTTCTTTCAACTCTGATCAGAAACAGCTTCCTTAGTCTGGGATGTATGCATGCACAATTGAATAAAAAACATCGGTAACCATAATGAGAAATATGAGTGAAGGTAACGCTAATAAAGGGATAAAGGTGACGATGATGGTAGCGATCAACATACCGTACATACCGTACATACACAGTGTTGTTTGATATACGACTTTTGTGTTTATCAAATCCACAGAAGAAAAGATAAATGCTAGTGGAAACTTCCTTTGGAATAAAGTCAACATACTGTAACAAATGTCACTATTCTATATATTATATTTATAACCCTACTGCTGTGACAATGCAGGAACAGAAAAGCAGACTGATGTGGATAGTATCGCATTTCCTCTTTACATCATAAAATTTAAAAAACTGCCCAACGAGTCCGTAAATCAGAGTTTTATAAGAAGGGTCTTTATCACAAATCATAAAAGACCCGTAGTTTTACAATATGAGTGGGGAAGTTTATTCATTATAAAGTGTTTTTATGATATGCATCCTTCAACGATAGCGAAGATCTGTATCGATCGAACAAATTTTGTCCTCTTCCTTCCAAAAAGCACGCTTCCCATGAAAATTTGCCTCGTGTTTTTTCTCTTTGCTTCATTACAAAGTAACTGTCTGCAGTCATTACTTTTTCAATGGGCGTGATCGACCCAGCTTCATTTTCTTCAACCATTATAATCTTCTTGTTTATATACTCAAAGCCATCGTCGGCGTATCGTTTGATTTTTTTCAAAATGGTATCGTCAACTGCACATTTCGAAATTTTTTGGAATTGCTGCTTTATATTTTTCATTACAGTCATCCTATCATTTAACTTTTCTTCTTCTTTTGTTATATAAGGCTCAAATGTTCCTGCGGCAATACGGTATATGTTTATAAGCTCAGGATCTTCACTTTCCTCAAGTCCAAACAAACTCTTTCTCTGGTTGCAAAGGAAGTACGCTAATGCAACTATTGGTGTCATAGCGTCGTCGTTCATCACATTCGCTGAGATACTATCAATAGAGTAAAATCGCACAGCTATAGCCCAGAGATCATTTTTGCTGGTATAATACGGCTTTCCCTGTGGCTGATCAAAATTATCTTCAATAAATGCCTTTGAAGAGGAACCTTAAATCACAAAGGCCATCACGACCGGTTCTATTTTGGTTATGTCGTGAATGCTCAAACAATATAGTGTCTCTATTTGCGATAAGCGGAAGGAAAGAATAACTTGTTGTCTGCCGAGTTTGCTGCAAAATACAATACTTAAATATGCATAGAAAAGAAAGCCGATAAGGCTCACTGTTTCCAAGTAACTGTCACTGTAAGTGCCTGCAATCGGAGAGAGCGCGGGAACGGTAAAAAAGCCCATTAAATAATGCTTACATCTATAAATAATTTCAATTCATTGATCATCATCTTATCTAACTGAGAGAGTTGGATAAGACTAAAAGCGCAAAATCAATAATGACACCCATAGTGCTCTTCCCTCACTCGTTTGGGATAGTGCTTTAAAAAAAAAAGATATGCGATGAATTGGTCCACATAAACTGTCGACAGCAATTAGCCATGTTGTAAAACTTGATCGTAATTTCCAACTTGTTATCAACAATAGTTTTAGATGTTGACCGGTAGTCAAATTTACCATGCAGATGGTTATGCAAATCTATGACTACACAAATTTAACATTCAAAAACAGGACTTAAGTTCGGGTTTCAAGAATTTTAATTAAATGCCCACAATTTTCCTCAAATAAATAGTTCTACATGATGGCCTCATTTAATGGACTGTTTGTGGCAATATTTTCATTCTGAATTCCAAGCTTTGGTATTCGTACATAAGCATCTGTGCCGTAACCTTCCATTGTCATAATGTTTATATCACCACCCCAATATTCTGCGTAAACCTTGCTCATAGGTAAGCCAATACCCAATCTCAATGCGAGTTTCTCTTGTTCATGAACCTTGGCTTCCAATCTATCTACTCTGTTCAGGTTGTTTACATAGTGGCAAAATGACCACAGAGATGAATGTAGCTCTTTAGACATGCCACCACCTTGATCTGAGACTCTAAACAGCACATTTGTCTCATTCGAGCACAAGGTAACAATAATATCCTTGGGTATATAGTCTGTTGCCGTTTCCAATGTATGTCGGTACGCGTTCGATAAAAGTTGGTATATTATGTATTCAATATGATCTGAGACATATGTAAATTTCGTATCTGAACCGATCATCCGTATGTTTGGCTCTGGTAGACGGTTGTTGTTGACTGCTGTGTCTGTATTTGTGATGTTGGCTTTGACTAAACAAATACATTTTGTCAATACATCATAAGAAGAGCATTCACTGAAAATGGACTCTTTTCTATTGGATAACACCAAATGATGTTCTGTAATAACCCTCCTAGAAATACGCGATCGAAGTGTTGCATTCATAAAATCATCTAGTTTTTCTGCAGATATGATACTTCGCTGTATTTCATCACATTCGTTTATGCCTTTTGTTAATTTGGGTATGATGACAGAATGTGCGTCAAGTGATTCTTGTAGAATATCACAAAATTCCTCGTTTTGAGCCATTGTGTGTATCTCTGGTACTTTACGCAAACGCTCGAAAGCTTGCCAATAAAGATCATACACACTCTCCATGTTTGGGTTTGTACCCAGAATATATGGAAGTTTTTGAAATTCTCGAATACGGTGAGCAATACGAATGGGTAATTCTGTACGAACGTAGTTTGCTGACTTTAAGAGTCGCTCCTCATTGATATGTCTTTCGTAAAACATGAGTTGCCGTAATGTCAATGGAGTCGGGCGCTTTTTACAATACTGGTCCAATGTTTTATTCATGTAAAAGTGCTGTTTGCTTTCAAGAAGATTACTTTTTGGAGCTTCTTTCGACGATACAAACTCCTCCATCGGTGGTTTTGAGGGCGATACTGATGTTGACGTTTCTGAACGAAAAGCATTAGTCGTTTTTGTTGACAGAAATCGTTTGCCGGTTAATGCTACATAAGTTGATAATCGTTTACTGTAGAAGTAGTTTTTATATAAACTCATATCGAGAAAAAGTCATTTAAAAACGGAAAGAAAAGAAAAAGTTGCACAACTGTATAACGATGGGGTTTCACGTGTGTGGAAAAAGGGATCCAATGTGACCGCGCTAAAGCATAGGTTAACAACAAAGAAGTTTCGTAGCTTAAAAAACCCAACCTCTTTGTAAATACTGTTCTATCGCAGAGAAGAAAAGACCCTATTATCGACAGAACAATATGCTCTTGAATGTCAACCATACATTGATGACACAGGCGTTCCAAAAAAGATACTTACTCCCTCAAATCAATTTCATCTTTTCCATTGGAGCGGTCTTTTTCTTCTACAATTTATGCTCTTGGTGTACAAAGATTTCTCAAGATGACCAATGCGATACTCTAGTCAGTATTTTACTGACCAATCTAATGCTGAAGGGTTATATCACTATTATCTTTTGGGGCCAGCTAACCTCTTACCTTTTCATCATTGTTCTGCCTATGGTCTCTTTCAAAAATCGAGAAATTAAAAAAACAAAGTCCTTACATATTAAAGTCTGAAATCTAGATGACGTCTATGGAAATCCTTTCAATTAGTCGCGGGAACTGTTACGGATTCAACATCTAAGACTCTTTCTAGCTTATACTCTTCTACTTTTTGCTTTTCCTTTGAGCTTGCTTATGTTTTAATGCTTATTTATGTTGCTTTGTCAATTGACGTTTTCTTCAACTGAAATACAGACATTGGGGTAGACTTTCTAATTTGATATAAAGATAAGGCTATCTTATTTAATTGAGAGAAAAATTCAATATCTATCTATGTCATAAACTTTTATGAAGTAATAGAGTAAGATTGATGAATATGGCACAATAAACTATTACAAAGGAATGTTTCATAGTATAATAAGTAAGCAGTGGCTTGAGACCAAAAAGCACGACAACTTCAAGTCCGTTTTTTTTCTAGTGGCAGTACAAAACTGTCAATCTTTGATATTGTTAACCAACTTTCTCTATGTATAAAAATATGCATTTCGTATTCTCAACAGTGAATAACTATGAAGACTATAATTATCTTGGTTAGAGCACAACTTGCACATTATAAAAGTGTAAAAGAATTATAGACGATTGCCATAATCAAACATTGATAACAACGAAGGGCTTGCAGTGCTTTTGTTGTATTTCATGTAAACCTAAGCAGTTGAAAAATACCAGACAAGACCTCTTTGCGAAAGTTGAAATTGAAGAAATACTGGCGGTTGAATATCTGTTGATTCAGAATAAAGAGACGTATAATTTTATGATCGTAAACTCTGAGCCTGGTTCATCCAAGAAGCACTAGTAGAATCGTTATATATAACCGTATTAACATAAAGCAATGAACGCTCTATCAATAGTTCTATATTGACTCAAGCAAAAAGCGCCTACAGTAATAGCTTGAAAAGCAAACACAACCAGTCCTATACCTGCTGACTACTTTAAGATCTGTTTATGAAAAATGATAAATATGCTTTACATAGTAGGACCTCTTGTCCTTGCTCTGCTCTCTATTAAGATTATAAGATTGACTGGATATATCACGCATATCTCGGGAATTATATGAACAGATAGATCAGAAAAGTTAAACAAACGATGATCCTCTTTACTCTTACCGATCACTGTAAATTTGAACTTGCTTCTCTTCGCCCACTAGAGAACCAATGGCACTTTAGATCTACCACTGCCTTTATAAGCTTAACTTAAATGACTCTATTTTGAAAGAAGATGGCTGATCACATTTGATTACGGGACGTAAGCAGAATTTCACTGGTGAGACATATATCTATATATTAACATTCTATCGAGAGTAAATAGCATAGAATTATAACAGACTTATTATCCCCATGCAAATTTGTTGTTTGCAAGGTTATTCAGTAAGGAAGTTAGAAAGAGCCTAACTTGACATAAATCTATTAGCGGTATACAAGAGATCGCGAACAGGTGATATAATTGTGTCCGAGCCCTGCGTCGCACTAAAACAGCTTAAAGTTGCACAACCCAAAAGAGCAATGTTAAAATATGGCTCTTCATGATATCAACACTTGTTACCGTGTATTTCAAGGCATCGGTTCCGAAATCTGCTTTTAAATGAAGTGTTATTGTAACACAATGACGAGCAAGTGCTTCTTAAATACATACACAATTTTCCCATTTTGATGGTATACAAGTCGAAGGAGGGGATATACATGTATAAATATTAAAATATGATAAGGAGAGTAAAAATTACATACTACTATTGGAAGCTGCTCCAATCAATGGTGGTTTTATCTGCTAATCCCAGGTAAAGATCGATGTGAGGTCCTGTTGGATACTTAATCACACTTCGAATGGCTTGTCCCAAAGGGAAAACTTTGGTTTGTTGCTTATCTGAAGAAATGATAATTCTTTTGCCAGGTGGAGGCGATCCAATAAAATCAATTTCGCACAGTAAATCATTAAAAGTGTAAGTGTCTGTGATGGCCAGGTTCCTTACGTAATAAATCACGTCATTATCACTATTCGTTGCTTTCAATGATACAGTCTCAATAATAGTGGCAGAGGTGTTTTGATTAGATAACGGTACATTTGATATGGTATTCGCAGATAACAATGGTGGCGGTGAGGCTTTTATGTTGTATGTAGACAGAGAAGGTGAAGGAGGAGGAACAATGATAGATGGCTTATTACTCTGTATGGTTGCAGGGATTGTCGTAGAAGGAGTGGAGACTTGTAATGAGTGCTGAAAGTTACCTGCCAGCAAATGTAATGAAGAAGACACATTAGGCGGTGGTGGCGAGCTTACTTTTGCCAAAGGTGGCAATTGATGCTGAACTGGCTCATGGTGCAATACATGATGATAAGGTTGCGGCGTGTGTTGATGTTGATATGAATACAGTAATGGGGTTGATATACTGCAATTTGGAGTTTGATTCAAGACGAGACTGTTTTTGTTTGTGATTGTTCGTTTCCTTTTATAAGAATTTGAAGTTGATAGCATAGTGAAATCAGGCAAGTCGGGATCTGATATATTTTTGTTATGGTTGTACTGACGGCCTCGTTGCTGTTGTTGTTGTTGTTGTTGACACGATAATTCACGAACCTTTGCAGCAAGTACTCCTCCCCTTACTACTTGCACATGATTCATGCTGTTACCATCATAGATCACAGAAGAGGCATTTGATGAAGATGTTGGCGGTGATGAATAAGGATACTGCTGAGGATGGTAATCCCGCATGACTATATCTTCCATATTGCTGCTGCTGCTGCTATTGTTATTTGTTGAATCTGCAGGTGATAGTGGTAGATTATTCCTCTCATATTTTTTTCTTGCTCTATAAAGTGTACTCGAATGCGCTTTGCATAGTGATACTTCCATTAATTCATCCAAATTGACAATCTTACGGTTTGAATCCCTATAGATATCATTAGCAAATTCATTTAACCACCTCAACGTAAAGTTATAGTCGTCTTTGTCTTGTGGCATCAGTCTCTTAGCCCTAGAGTCTAATCCCCCTTGTGGTAAATTTTTTCCACGCCTAGGTTGTATTTCTGAACATTGACAGCTCCCTCCATAATACTACGGATATTGTTAGATGCGCAAGGAAGGAAAATTATCGTTCTTCAAATCTAAATAGCAGGGTACCTTTGAACATGTAAAACATATAGCACAGACAATACACGCATTCTATGATTACAAAATGAGTAAATAATGTTTGCAATAAAAACAGGTGGTTGCGGCTAACCTTTCTAGGCAGAAGGCCACCATACTGTTGTTGTTGATGCTGAACGTCATTTGTTCGCAATCGAGGTAATGGTGATGAGGACGGTTGCGGTCTGTGCATAGGAAAATCTGTAACAACTTGAGCCAATTGAAATAAGTTGCTACTGTTAGGCATTTTTTATTGCTATGTATTAGAAGAAGAAGTCAAAGTAGAATGAAAGAAAGGGCAATTTAGGCTGATAACTAAGGGGCCAAACCAAAAAAAAAAAAAATAAAAAAAATAAAAAAGGCGATTGATTCATGCTGTTGGAAAAAGATCTCAGTTTTGAAACTAATTGGATAGTTTTTAAAATGCCACTTAACTTTTTTTCAGGAACGATCACTTATTAACGCGTGCATTTTACACTGGGTGCATGACTTTGGAGTTCTTGTATTCAGACAATTCAACTATAACAAGAGCTGTAAAGAAAAAGTCAAATTTTACACTCTACTACCATTATAGAGTCATAACTTTGAAACAAGCTTGATGCTCGTAGTAAATACTGTTAAATTTAGTAGTTTATTCCTTTTAGTTGTTGTAAAAAACGACAATATTCTTTCCATTCGAAGTAATTTCGATTTGTTTCCATTATTATTATTTCTGTAAAGCTTGAAAAGCATTCTCGACACACTCTTTTAATTGCGGGGTATCATACATGATATGTGCTAATTTTTGTAAATCAATTGTATCCAATAAATAAATAGTTACTTTGGGCGCTTGCTTAGTCCCTGTAGCCTTGACTAACGGGAATAATTTATCGCCCAATAATTGTTTCTTCTCATGTACCGGCTTATTTTCGATATTGTTCAAAAGAGTCTCGATTTCATCGTTAGAGCTTGCTACAGTATTTTGATCAGCAGTTGTAATATTATTGTTATAATTGGAGGTATTAGCGCTGGTATTCGTGTTGGTATTGGTAGGAGTGGTGATGGTTATCTTTTTATCAACCTCAGTAGCAGCAGTAGTAAGTGTAGATGTACCTGCAGAGCTAGATGTAGGTGGGTTTTCTGCTGCTATTTTTTCATTTTTGACCAAATTCTCCTTTGTTAAACTGCTCGATTTTTGAGCGGTAGATGTATTATCGGAGCTTGACAATGAGGGAGGTGCCACAATAGGAATGGCCTTGGATTCCCTTACAATAGGTGGTTTAATAGCAACATTATTGTTGTGATGATAAGGATGGACGCCCATCATTGGATTGATTACTGGGTAGTAGATAGGCTGTTGAGCCGGAGTAGCAATAGGTGATGGAGTGAAGGATCCTTGAGTGTTAGGAAGAGGGCTGCCACTCTTCTTTGTTACTGTAAATCTACGGCTGCGGTCTTCTATTTCATCATTTTTACTCTCTTCATCATCTGAATCATGACATGTGGCCAACGCCTCTATGGCCAGTTGTACCTTCTTTTGCAAGAAGTCCGGATTAAACAAGCATATTGACCTGTCTTTTCTCTTCAACGTAAGCAACATATCAACAATCTCGGTAATTTGGTTGTTGCTATAGTTATTCCTAACGCAGCATTGACGTACAGCTTCCTCTAATTTCAGACGTTGAATATTTGCGCTTGATTCGGTCATCACCGATTCTATGGAACCTCTTCGGCGTAAAGTCGGACGTTGATGACGACTACTACCATTACTTTGGTGAAGGAAATTGCAGCTGCTGTTATTGCTGTTGTGATTTACAGGTGATGCCAACGACGATGACGATGAGGAGTAAGCTGTAGCCATCGGATGTTGCTGATTGACAAGCGATGGAGGCGGGCGTTGTATACTCAATCCTGAAGCTAGAGACGCCAGTGAATGGCCCGTGGTGCTTGCGCCCCCTGAGATAGGTGAGGAAGAGTATCGTGGCCCAGATACCTTGTTACTATTATGAGTATGATAAGAGTGCTGTTGTTGCATGGATTGGGAAGGGCTTGAGTTGGTACATGCAGCATCAAGCATCTATAAACATCAGTAAGGGAAATAATGTCAAAAACGATGTGTTCGAGATCCTTCCCTTTTCATTCAGACTTACCTTTTTTTGGGGCAAGCTTATGGTTGTACTAGAGGTCGCAGATGCATTATGCAGGTTTGTTGGTCTTTGACCAATCGAAAGCTCTTTCAAATTCGAATTTATATTTGGAGGAATGGTTTCAACCACGTTATTCATACCATGAGCATGAAAAGGCGCCGCAGAAAGGGATGGCACTGCTTTTGGTACAAAGATGAGATGCCAAATTAATAAGAGTTACGAATACGAAAATGAGGGGAACAAAAAAGAAACTTATGTGCTTACAGTCATGATTAGTTTGCATGGGTTGTTGTTGATGATGTTTATTTGCATAAAAATTTTCCTGCTGCTGGAACTGGTTCTGATTGATATTATGATGGTCTTGCTGTTGTTGCTGGTATCGTAATTTGTTGTTGAAAGTACTGTTTCGATGACTATTATTTTTGAAGTTATTGCTGTTTGTAGAGGGAGCTGTTGGAGTCGTGTTGCAGGTACCAGTGACGTTTGCTCGACCTTTTCGAGGTTCATGGTAAGCAACTATAATGGACCTGTTACCCAGCATTACCCCATCCATCTCTCTTAAGGCAGCGGCTGCTTCCTCTGATCTACCAAAACTTACAAACCCGTAACCTTTGGATTGTCCAGTCGCTGGATTTGTCATTACTCTTGCGGAAATGATACGGCCAAATTTTCGAAATGCCTGACTTAGATCATGATTGGTTATATGAGGTTCCAGATTTTTGATATAAAGGTTTAACATATCAACACTGCCGCTATTATTGTTACTATTTTGTTGGGCTTCCAGTTCTTTTCTTAACGAGTTGCTGTTGGTTGAGTTTTGGCTAATATAGCCCTATAATAGAAAGAATGAAAAAGCAGAAAAAAAGAAGAGACAGATAAAAAAGAAAGAAAAAAGAAAGTAAATAAATACATGACGTCCCCGGATGCATATAGGCTATCTGCGGTAAATATATATACCTCCTCCTTTTGCGGCTGCTGTTTTGATTGTGAGGCATGGGCTTTAGGTGGCATAAAAGGGACCACCGATCTATTAATAAAGATGGACATGTATTGATATTAGATTATATTACGAGATGAACAAAAACACGTCAAAATCAATCAAGCTTTATGCTCCTCCCCTTTAAAATGTGCACTACTCTACGGACACGCACATGTGGTAATCAACATACGCACAAATATATGTCCGTACCATCCATTTTCAATTGTGCCCATATCAAGTCCTGTAAATATTCTCTCCCTGGTAGTCTCCTTAACCTTTTTATAGATTTATACTTACAATTGTTGTTCGTCTATAATACGGCCGTTCTTTAGTTCGCCATGAACAATTCGGAATGAAGAGTTAAAAAGTCTGCATTAAGTTCGATACGTCCTTTATCCGGAGAGCTACTTACTAAACTTGCTTCAGCTTTATCTGAGTTTGAAGGATCGAAAAACTGAATGAAAGCAGAACCTTTGAAAACACCGTCTTTTAAAATACATTTGCATAGATTCAATGGACCAAAAGGACGAAACAAATCGTACAAGATATTATCATCGTAATATTCAGGTAAACCGTCAACTTCCAATAGCATTGCTGTTGCTTCAGGATCTAACGACTTGTCTTCATACATTTGCAATTCTAGTTTTGCACTGTTTGTAAAAGTGAACCCGTTGTATAGCGAATAAGCTTTGTCAGCTGTATAATTTAGAAATGAAACGAGATTGTTAACACGAATCAGATAAAAAAATATGGAAAGTGTAGAGCTGTGATGTACCATATTTAACATGACTGAATCGTAAATACCCGATGTCTCTTTCTTTATCAATGTAGATTCTAGATAATTACTGAGTGTCAATATAATTCCTTTCTGAAAAGATTTCAAAGTGACTTACTCAACCGGCATACAATGTTGCAGTAGAGTACGTATATCTGCTTCTTTAATGTTTGCAGGCAGTTTACTCAAAAACAAAGTTTCGGACACCAAACAATCGTTCGAGTGATCGAACAATTCTTCCTTTGAAATATCCGATTTATTTGCAGTACTAAACACTCTGCTTTGTCGGACTACACTAGGCTTATGCTTTGACGTCGGTAATTTGATCACTGGCATATAACCTGACATTCTGCCTGATTGCAAATGTGAACAACGACGATGACGGGTCAAAATAAAGCAGGCACTTTGAAGGTTGTTATGGAGACGAAAAAATTGGTAAGCCTGTAATTACCTGTATGTACCTGGAAGGAGAAGGAGAATCTTTCCTTGGCTATATATATTCTTTATTGACTCTGGTATAGCTTGAAGTACGACAACAAGTTCCAGAAAATAAATTAAAAAAAGGGGAAGGGGTACTGAAAGATCATAAATAAATAAAACTCATATTCAATTGTCGTGCTTAGTTTATTGCCATGTTTTCACTCCGACGCTCACCAAAAGTGCCTTTTACAATAAGTTGAAGTTTTGGAAGTATTGCTTCCTTAACGCGCCATCTTATCTCTTCTCTCCTTCTCTATTATCAATCCTCTTTCAATGCTAAATGTAATTGTTGGCATTTTTTTAAACAGTTAATGCGGCGAACACAACTCGAAACATTATTTAAAGTATTATAAACCCTTAAAGCATCGATTTCCAAGTTTCCAACTCTTATTGTATGTAGATCTTTGTTTAACCATAAATTACGTGATGGCAGGTGTCTCTCTCGAAAACATATGTCATGGTAAGACCAATAAATAGAGAATATGGATTTGACAGTAGATAATAATAATTTCAAAGATATGAAATCACTCAAAACCACTCCATGTAACTCAAGGAGATCTACATGCCGAAAGATAAAACTTATCCTAGAACTCGGGAAAACAATATCTGATCTATGAATTAAAAATGTTGTGCTTAAATTGTATGTGATCTTAAACATAATCTCTAATTCAGATAACCTTTTTCTAAATTGGTCATAGTTTAATGACGGAGATATCAGATAAAATCAAGGATTAATTTGAAACTATAATAAACTTTCCAGTGAGATTAGCTACCTCACATGAGAAACAAACAGGTTTTCATTACAAGATATTAATTACCTGATAAAGTGACTGTATGACATTCCGTATATAGTTGGTTGGTATGGGATAATTCATAGGCGTTGATTCACCACCAGGCAATAATAGCTTATTTGCACTAGCTAGTACTTGGTGTACAGATTGCGTCTTAGGTATAAAGGCTCGTGACATTCTTTATGATTAACCACTGTTCAAATGTTTTAAACGGGGAAAGACGTTCTTTTTTGGATCCAAGAGCACCTTCAATATTGTGTGTTTCATATTGTCGGTTAATCACATCGCGGCTTGAATAGAAGGAAAACGCTTACGTCGTCAAGTTTATAATATGTTCACAAATGGACACACCCAAGAACATCCCAATGAGACTGAAGCTGAAATCGAAGGAAGATGCGTGTCAAATCTATAAAAAACATTACCAAAAGAATAGAACGGTTTGCCAAAAAAAGTCATTACCGAAACAAACAGCACTGTTAGATATAATACACGACCTTGAAATCATGCACGGTACACTCAAGCCATGCCTTTCTGTAGTAAAATCAACCAACCATCCTCTCTCAAACTCGGCCTGCTAGACAGATTTAAGTATCTTTTTAGAAAAAATAGAGTGTTGGGTAAACAACTCAAAGGAGTTTTGATTCATCATTCAACTTTACTAGCATTTAGTAAGCTGCATCAGTACGGCATTAGATTGGCTGCATTATGCTGTTAAATTACTAACTTGTACTTTCTGTTTGCGATCATAATTCTATGAGAGCGTTGTCAACAGCCCGTCTCCAATGTATCAAAAGTCAACCGAACCGAACTACTGGTTGTAATATCTTTCATAAGAGTAGAGCGGTACGATGCTGTATGTTGCTATAATCGTGGACCAAATCATTTTTTGGTTCAAGTTCCACATCTGTCTCAGCAGGTAGATAAACTGGAGGTATCTCGTTATTGTCGAATTTTGCTATTATGTTGGTGTAGGGATCATCTTTTTTTTCATTTATGATGAGCCATTATGGCTATCTAATTCTTTGCAACATCCTACGCTTTAAAACCACTCTTTCGCACTGACTTTCTATATGTAATTATCATTCATATGCATAGCCTTCTTTCTGCTCATTCACAAAACCAAAGGCTTGTCTAGCGTTGTTAATAAATTGAAACGGTTTTATTTTGCAGATTTGGAGGGCGCACTGTTCTCATGCTGGTCATTCTTGGTTTTCCGTTACAGTGATTGAAGTGCCTAAAAGAAAAGAGTTAAGCAACGATCAAATTACAATAGGGAGCCTACATTTATCTCACTATTCAGAATCGACATCACAGGAAGCTTTGATCGCCATATGGTTAAACGCCCTAAAACCGATGCAATCCCGCACGCTTTATTGTCCAGTACAACAATTCAATGCAGAGAAAAATAGAAGAAATCATTAAGCCTGTTCTTGTTAAAGGAGACTTTAATATGGCAGAAACCCTCTCTAACGAAATAAATTCATGCAAAAACAAGACTTCCACTTGGCATCTTAACGAAAGCTGCGAAAGCCGCTAAGTGTTTGCTTGCTGCAACTGAACGGCTACCTCAATGGATACGTGCCGCGCGCCATGCCATTTGTAGGAGATATACTTACTCACTTTCCCCAACCTATACAGAACCACGTCCTCTTTTAAAAAATGTGCGAGAGCTTCTCTGGATCTTTGCAGACAAACATTATAGCAGAACTTCAGTCTGAAGGTGGTGGCCATCAACAGTAAAATGGCGAAGAATACCATCACTGAAAATACAAGCCATGCTATCAGTGGCAGTGAAATAGAGAACTAAAATGATGTTAGAATTGCATGATCTCAGGTATAATTCCTTTGTAATACAAAGATATTTTTGCGACATCTGACCATAACTTTGTCTTTCATAAGATATTACAGATGTGAGGGAATTCATTAACACAGTTTCTGTTACTTAATATGTATTTTGACAGACACTGTTCGTCATTACTTGTCATATCGGATAAGTGAACCGCAGCAGGCATTCTTCTTCGTATGTTGAGTTCCAATGGAGAGGTGATAACGTTGTTGTAACAATTTTTTTTCATAAATTGCGGTTTAGGATGTTAAAATGGTAGCTAAACCGGTTACAGCGAGGGATTATTCCAACACAAGTGTATGAGAGATATTGAAGGGTAATGCATTTATATTCGTTCGATATGTGAAGTGCTTTGAGTATGAACGATTGGTTGTTTATCAAATGCTGTTTTATCTCAAAGCGAATACATTATTTGTGAAAAAGTGTTGAGTGTTAAAGACGCAAAATAAAGCGGTAGTCAAAGTCGACGACTTATGTCGGATATCGTCATAGTGGATAATGATACAATAAAAAGTACGACGTGATAAATGCATTCGGATAAACTTAGAGAAGCACTTGCAACTGGTAAAAATGCTTCTGGGGCCAATTGTAATCCGTTCTGCGGGCGATATTTACTACCTTGGCAGCTTGACCCGCAGTTAAGCCTTTCTAATGAACTTGAACTCTTGGATACTGTCTTTCATTTAATCAACAATCACTTGGTCCTCCTTGATGTTTTAAGAATTCACTATTCTTTCTGGTGGCTTCAATTCAGAATGCATATTGAAGTCTGTTATTTTGCCTAAAGGATATGCTCCCTGACGTGTTTGGTGAGATAATAACTACAATACTCGAGTACGTGCAACCAGGTAGAGAATACATTCTACCACGGTCTATCTATATTGCATCTAATATAGGTTATATGTACAACATAGAACAAGATACAGGCCTAAATATAATAATCACCCAATAAGCATCTGAACCTGAAATTAGTGATTAGCATACGCGTCCTCAAATAATATAATTCCCATTAAACCTCACAAAGTAAATAATCCTTCTACTTCATCTGAAGAACAATAAAGACACCCAAGTTCATAGTCATCGACTTACAACTGTTATCAATTTTATGATAAGCAAATACAACAGAGTATCAACTCAAAATTAAGTCGAAAAGCGAGGTTCAACTTGGCCCTCACGTCAAAATTAATGCATGAGAAGTGTAGACATTTTAAGAAGAGCGACGTATTCGATTTAGTCTTGACGGAACAACTTGGAAGTTTTTTCCAGACTACAATTATGAATGTTAGAATTCAGTTAAATATCGACTCTATTGATTACAGCGCAATATATGCACACTTGAACCGCTTTTACTATTTGACAAGCTTGACGGTAAGGTTCTCAGGTCCAACGACAACAAAAATCGCCTATTCTTTCCTGTCAAGCATTCCAATGGCACACAATTCAACTGTTGATTTGTTCATTGAAGACGAGCATAATAATGCAGTCATGGCTCAAATAGCCAGCTCTCACAGCAGAAAGGACATTGATGTAAAAAAGGCTAGCAATCGCAGTTCTTACAGCGATAAAAAAAGGAGGACCCCTTCGCCTATTAGAAAAGCTATAGAAAGTGTAAAGAAGTTGAAAACACTGTACTTTGAACAGCAAGAGGGAAAGAATGACGATACTGAAAGTGAAGATATTCCTGCCGCCGCTGGCCAGTACGATAGACAAAAAAAATGTACCAAATAAGCAATTTGGATAGTGACATGCTCTTGAAAGACGTACAAAGTCAACAAGACGCAGAAAATAATATAAAAACCATCATAGCACCCAAGTTACTGGAAACAGTTATTGCTTTTCAGAAAAATTGGATATTTGCAACGCAATTTGAAGCTTACGGAACTGGACGAAAAGTTCATCCTCCTTGGAATGGGCCTGCGTAAGTAGTCGCTTCCAAAAAAAGGGGTTTGTTACTGTAAATCCATTGATGAGCGGAAGCAGTACCCCGTTGGTGACACTGATTTCAATTATTCTGAGTCATATTTCTCACCAAAAAGAATTTGACAATGCTGACTACGACTTGATCATGAAGCTGTTCAAAGCTTTACCAAAGTTAAAAGACTGGCCAAACTGCAATCAGATCAAGAATTTCGAAACAGTAAAAAACAGACTAGTTGCCAACGAGAGGAATTCGGATTTGATAAATCTGGCAGAGTATATGGGGAAGGTAAAAAAGGCAAAGGGGAACCCGCTGGGGTTGATTACACCTGAAAAAGTTGTAAGGCTCACCGCGAAACTCCATGCGCATATTAAAAAAGAAAACCAAAAAATAATCAATTGCTACAGATTGTAATTTGATATACCGCTTGTAATATAAAATTAATAAATCATAAAAATAACTACTGATATTATGATTTCGAGCCAAGGAAACAAAATTGTTATTTAATGATGTTATTCGTATGAGGCATAATGAACGGGATTCTTAAGGTTATTTTCCTACATTGATTTTGAAGTCATGCCATTTGGATACAGAATAATAAAAGAAGACTTGCCAAATCATTGTGTAAAGTGTTGTTACATGCTTCAGAAATCCTTGAATTGAGAGTTTACATTTGTGAAAGTATGTCTCTCTTCAGTTTGCTATTAAAGACCGATCAGAATTGCTCTATCGGATTTAATACTGGAGAATATGAGGAGGGGCAGATATACACAATCGTAGCCTCGATTAACAATATACCTTCTTATGTCTCCATGATTATGAATAGGAGCATTGTCCATGATGATATAGAAACCTTAAAACTCTTCGTGCTCGTTCAGACTATCAAAACACCCTCCAATAACATTAAATTGAAGGCCAGTGGCAGTGCATGTCGTTTTGATAGATTTGGCTGAGCCGGATAATATTCATACGGGCGTCTTATTTCATACTAATTACATCAAAAGGTAAGTTAAGATTGTTGTTATCTGCACCCCTGCTGTGGGCGTTTCAACTATCACTCTCTCGCTTTTCAGCGACCAAGCAGTTGCCCTTTTAAGACGGAAGAGAAGGAAGGGCCAGAAAAAATTGTGGCGTTTGTGACTTGTTTTATTTCTGACTTTGGGTTTTGCATTGGGTCCCTTTATTAATGCTAAAATAGCATTGAATTTTCTTTCATCTATTCTTGAGAAAAGCGGGCATTTTTGCAATTCGATCGATCTTTTAGAAGAATAAGACATAATGGCGCCCAACTATAAGAATAAGAACAAAAATAGAAATGACGATCAACCAAAGACGCCTGTTACTACAGATCCCCGTTTCGCCAACGTGCATAATGATCCTCGGTTTTTGAGACCTAAGAAGAAGGATCTTAAGGTCACTATTGACAAACGTTTCGCCAGTATGATGAACTCTTCCGATTTCAGTGATGCCCCTCGAGTCGATAAATATGGTCGACCTTTGAAAAAGCAGTCAGCTAAAAAGGAGTTAGAACGCTTTTATCAATTGGAAGATGATGACGAGAACGAGGAAGAGTCAGGCAAGACTGTCGAGGAATTGGAAAAGGATCTAGCTGCTGATGCTGAGAATCTACGAGATGAAACTTCTGAAAGTGAAGATGAAGATCAAGTTGAATTTGACACAGAAGATAAAGGTTATGATCCTATGCGTGGTCGTGGTGTTATTTCTGATTCTGATTCTGATGAAAGCAGCGAATCGGATGCTGAAGTAGAAGAGGAAGAGGAAGAAGACGATCTGGATGAAATAGACAAAATCAAGACCATTCATGAAGGTGAAGAAACCAGCCGATTGGCGCTTGTCAATATGGATTGGGATAAAATCAAGGCTGTTGATATTTTGAAGGTGATCAACGGCTTCAAGCCTGATACAGGTGTCGTCAAAAGTGTTACTATATACCCTTCAGAATTTGGTAAGGAACGTATGGCTATTGAAGACGCACAAGGCCCTCCATCAGAAATTTTCCAGACCAAAGGAGTGAAAAGTAGCAAAGACGCTAACATTAGCAGTAGCAGCAGTGATGAGGATGAGGAAGAAATTACCGCTGAGACCGTCATCAAAAATCAGTTGGAAGAAGGCGATGGTCAAGATTTCGATCAAGAAGCCTTGCGAAAATATCAATTGGACAGGCTCAAGTATTATTATGCAGTTATCACATGTGACAGCCCACAAACAGCTAAAACGATTTACAAATCGTGTGATGGTACTGAATATGAGAACAGTGCCAACTTTTTCGACTTGCGATATATACCCGAAGATATGACTTTTGATGACGAGCCCAAAGATGCAGCAACAGTTGCACCCGAAGGTTACCAACCTGCCAAGTTTAAAACTGATGTATGTTTGGGTTTTGACAACTCGACTCCTCATGTCTTCTCTTATACTAACATTTTTTCCTTCTTTTCTTCTTAACTCTAGGCTCTCCAACAAACAAAAGTAAATCTCACTTGGGATGAAGATGATGTTAACCGTTATCAAATGACTCGTCGTGAATTCACCGAGGAAGATCTCAAAGAGTTGGATTTCGATGCTTATCTTGCGTCTACTGACGAAGAGGAGGACGAAAATGAAGATTTGGACGCTTTGCGTGAAAAGTACAGAAAATTGTTAAATTCAGAAAAGAATCAATCAGCATTTGAAGACGGTCACGAGGATAAGGATGGAGATGAGGGTGATATGGAAATCACCTTCACACCTGGTTTAAGTGAAGCAGCAGCAGCAGCAGTGGCTCAACGAAAAGAGGAGGACGAAAAGAATGAAGATGAAACAACCATTGAGAAATATATCCGTAAACAGAAAGAGAAAAAGAAGGCAAAGAAAGAAAAAGCTCAGCAAATGGCCGCACCAAATGGTGATAGCGAGGAAGAGTCTGACTTGGACGATGAGACAAAGAACGACCCTTATTTCAAAGAGGCTCTACAAGAGATGGAAAAGGAAGGATTTGTATCAGCGGATGATAAGGCCGAAAAGAAGAAGAAAAAGAGAACAAGAAAGAGAGCCTCCAAAGAAGAGCGCGAACAGAAAGCCAAGGAAAGAGCTGAATTGGAATTGCTTATGGGTGATCAAGCAAAGAGTGATGGTTTTGATATGAAAGAAGTGCTGAAGAAAGAAAAGTTAGAGAAAAAGAAGAATGGTAAAAAGGGAAAGAAGACTGAGGAACCTGATACAGTTGACAATTTCGAAATTGACGTCAGCGATCCACGTTTCGCTGCTATTCAAGAATCTCATCACTTTGCTATTGATCCAACCAATCCTCACTTTAAGAAGACAAAGAACATGCAAAAATTAATAGAAGCACGACAATCAAAAATGAAAGAAGACTCTCAAATGACTGATGTTTGGAAGAAAGAAAAAGACGCTACAAATGCAGCTGAACCAGCTCCTGGTAACAGCGCAGAAACTGTGCCAAAGTCCTCCTCCCTCAAGCAATTGGTTGCCTCCGTGAAACGTAAAGGCGCTTTAGATCAGCAATCGAAGAATGCAGGCAAACGCCAAAAGAAATAAATTCATTCTCCTGTAATATAACCACGCATTAAAATATCGTACCGTTTTTTTTTGAAATTGTAATATATATTAGACATCTTTCTCAACTCATTTGTTACTATTGTTCTAAAGTCCTGATGCTTTAAAAATAAAAAAAAAACCAGAAAATCTCATCCATCATCCTGCGAGTATGACTTTGATTTCCACTTTATTGATTCACTACAATATCAATAATTAACGAAGAGTAAAAGTGAATAAAATGTCCTTTCTTATTTTTGAGCCTTAAGAACTCTCTTGACGATCTTTTGTTCTTCGATCAAGAAAGCACGGACAATGCGGTTTCTAACACATTGAGCGCAACGAGAGCCACCATAGGCACGGCTGACGTGCTTGTTGGTCTTGGAAACAGTGGCGAATTCACGAGGACGGAGGGCCTTGATCTATAGAAATAAGGAAACGAAGGATTCGTTGATTGACTATGAGTACAGACTTTTCAGCAGTAAGCAATAAAAGAGCTTGTAATATAACTTACACCAGCGAGAGTTTCTCCACAATCACCACAACGAGGAGCCTTGACAGGCTTCTTGACGTATTGGAGGGCGAGCTTACCACCTATAACAAAAAGAGTAATCGATCGAATTTTTTTGTTAGCCATCAACTCATTTTGCTCTAAATACGCTCGTAACTCGAAGGACATGGATGGAAATCTTACCGGGAGTCTTGACAGCTCTCCAACGGTTGGAACGGGTGTTGTAAGAACAGCGGCGTCTGTAGGTGAGACGTTGAGCCATTGTGAACTATAAATGCGTTCAACGTGATTGTCGAATTAAAGTAATTGTGCAATTAGCGTGCTATTCTGACTGACTATCTGTTTCTTATTCTATCCATCCATCGTTTTCAGAAAATTGACTTTATATCAATCCATCCTCTTCATATCCACTACTATATTAACCAAAACCCACTTCTTCCTTCTATATCCAATTGCAAAATCTCGCTCACTATATGCTTACCTATGGTTTTGAGAAAAGGAGGATCATTATACTGCATCAAGCTTTCTTTCATGTGTACGGTCTGGCAGCTGGCAGCACACCACAATCATTATCTCAGCTGTGGATTTCCTACTTTTCAGAGCGTCGGACAATTCTTTTGTTTTCGGGCATTTTGATTGTTGGAATTTTTTGTTCCGGTGGCCTTTTTTTTAAAAATCTTTCCATACGGAGGGAAATATCCCTGTGTTTGCCCGCCATCAAAATACCTGAAGCTTTATTGTTATATTATGTAAGAAATATCTTTAATGTTTTGCTAGGAAACCAAAATCTGACATAGAAACGTCAAGAATGATAGAACGCACTTTCAATTTGACCTTGCAGCAGCATTAATAAGTACATTTACCTTATATTTTAGACGATTTACAATTTTTAATGGACAATATACATTTTAAATTTAGTTTTATTAAAACATATTTTTAGAAAAGTTTATAGTATTTTGGATATCGAATTTGGATACTCAATTATTCAGTGATATTCAAGCAGCATTAAGGATGACATAGAATCGAACCCTAGAAATTAGTCTCTATCAGTAAGAAAGTCGCCAATAATGGTTTTATTGATGTTACCTTGCAATAGGACAAACTACAAAAAGCTTGACAACTTTTTTAGTAAATGACGATGTGTTCCGAGACCCCAACCAGATATTCGTTGGTACCTTTTTTGGACAAGAATTCCAAAAAAGGTTAACTTTGAATTGATTGACATCAAACCATAGATAGAGGGCTGAGGGCCATAGTATAACAGATACCATAGCGGAATGGGATGGTTATATTAACTGTTGTCAATGTTTTTGTATGCGTTCATGGGTGACTTTCAAAGATAAGCACTATAAAATATATTGCTTTCTTAGAGTCAAATGTTGTCTCTTTCACTTTTATTTCACGTTTTTAAGATACATACTATGACCCATGTTCAAAACAATAATTTATGAAAAGAAAAAGCAAATTTTTGAAAAGAAAAAATCAAGTGCTGTTAATGGTAACTTGCCTTTTGAAAGCCTATCTACCTAATCATATATATATGTATAGATTAATCATCGTGTACTGTTAGATGTAACGTGTATTGATTGCGGTAAAGGGGGTCATCACACCCAACAATACTTTAAATGTGAATTATATGAGCCGGAAACTGCAGATCAAGGTAAGCACCTCATGTGGCTTTAAAAGTTGGTAAATTCATCATTAGTAAGCGACTTCATTGTACCTATAGTTGGTTCGAAAGGCACAAAACGCAAACAGAACTTTGAAATCAGGAAGGAAAAGAAGAAAGCAAGGAAAGAGAATAATGAAGACCCAGATGAAGACAATGCATGTTGTACCAAATGCAAGCAACCAGGACATAAATCGGTGCGTTCTCCTCTGTGTCCTCAACATGTATTATCAAAGGCAGAGGTCTTTCAACATCATTTGGGAAGTAATTACAAGGCGTTTACAAGAAGGTTGCCTCTTGATAACTGCGTTTTTGGTGACTATCGCAACACATTCAAGTCAAAAGTTGTTGAAGCTTGTTCTGTTATCCGCAACTTGGTTCTTAGAGCCAAGCTCTTCGTGAATTATTACGTCTTGAAAAATGCCACTCTTGCTGAGCCAAAGTGTATTAAATGTATCTTTACACAAAATTTCTGGTACTCTATGATACAACTGGTGAATGGACAAAGACCAACAAATAGTAGGATGGTATCAGAACAATTATTGAGCTCGTTTGATTCTTTTAAAACGACTACCCTAAGATTGTCTTCCCTGTCAAGCTCTTTCCTGGACTTAGTCAAGCCATTACAGAAGCATGCACCGAAATTGCTACTTCCTATACGAACAGTATAGTGGAAAATTTTGAGGAGAAACTTCTCTATTTTTTGATATATAAAATACAAACAGCATTTGTGGTAAGTTGCAACTCAATAATACTTGGGATCTTACATGAATTTTCAAAAAAAGCTCTCATCTTGCGTAGTGTATGCCTTGGAAGCTTGTCAAAAAGGTCACAAGTGATTTCTGCTATCAAGATATATGCCAAGGAAAACCTAAATGGCCAACTGATGACTACCTTACCGAAGATATAAAAGCAAAGATCCAAACCTTCTGTGAACCTTGGAAGAAGAAGCTGGGGAAGAAAGTGAACATGAAGACATTATCCGCTGATCCTGGGTCTTTCGTACCCTTTTTGTTATCTTTGAACGCAGAATTTGAGAGGGAACACGATGATCATAAACCATTTGACGTACGACGACGTCCTCTTCCAAAATTGCTATCCTTACTGCCAAAGGTTTCCGTTCAATGGAGGTTCATTACCTTGAGCGTGAACGCGCTGTCTTCTTTTGTGAAACGTTCTTTACCCCGCAATTACCAAAGCCAATTAGAGCTGTTTTTCCATGTCTTTGATTTCAAGAAACTCCGGTACAAAAGGTAAGCATACAGTTAATACGGTATACAGTCGAGTATAATGTATGAGCTTTAACTTCTTGGGCACTTGTAGTATCTCTGAACTAACACCGAATGGTGATAACAAAGAGCTCTTTGGTAATATTGTCAGAACGGACGGGTTTTCAGTTGATTTTCTTTTTTATAAAAGACAACAATCTGGCCATGGTGCCTTGTTCCAAAAATTTGACCTCACTCTTGATGATTTCTCTCTGGATGAAGTTGACAATACTTATTTACCTATTACCCTGGATCCCGGAAGAAAGTCTGTTTTTACTGCTGCTATTGGCCTTGAATATAACAGACAAGTGCGAAGATGCACTACATCTGAATACTATCATATGACAGGGTCGACCCAATACAGTGCCAAGTTAAACAGAAAGAAGGCTGTCACAGGCATAGATCTCATAGAAAGTCAGATACCCTCGCCAAAAACCTCTCGTTTGGAAATATATGAGCTATACACTGCCTATACACTCAATAACCTGGACGCTCTCTTGGATTTTTATGGACCCGAAACTGCAAAGGACCGGTTTTCATTGTACCAAGGAAGGCAAAGAGCACCAGAAACTATGGCCAACATGTTGACTCATGGAACGGCCAAGTACAATCACAAGAAGAGAAGCAAAGCAAGGAAGAGGAAAAGACAGCGGAAGAAGAAGAAGAAAGGAAAGAATGCCAACCAACAGCAGCCAACAAAGTGAGTTTCAATGGAATTACATGTTCATCGTTTAGCTTATCCATTCATTAATACTTTTTAGAAGTGCCAAGAAGTGGAAGGCTGATAAGTATTTGGAATCCCCTAGAAGGGTGCCACTGATTGTGTTTGGTGCTGGAATGTTTGGCAAAGATGTAGTCAAGCTGAAAGGGCAAAGATGCGGTGTTGTCGGTAAACTTTTTGCAACTCTGAAGAAACGTGAAGCTGAAGGTCAATTGATTGTTGTCACAATCGATGAATTTAAAACCTCTAAAACATGCAGCCTCTGTTTCTATGATGATATGCAAATTGTTGATACTCCTGGATTCAAGGGTACCGGCGTTCTTCACTGCAAGCAATGTCTAAAGCTATGGCAGAGAGACATTAACGCTGCTATTAACATGATGACTATATCTCAAGCAGTTTGGTCCGGAGCTGGAAGACCCGATGTTTTTAAGCCAGCGAAGAAGAAAAAAGTATCGCCGTAATAAACACGGTTTTCCTTCATTTTGAGGATTTAGATCATTACAGGTAAGGAATAGTACGGTATTTTTTTCTTGTTTTTTTTTTTTTGTTTCGCAATACTGACAAGTTTTTGGGATTTGATTCATTGTTTGAACGGTTTATATTTTCGTCTACAACACAATTGCAACTCATCTAAAATGAAAATATTAATCGTCCAAAAAAAAATGTATTTCATCTAAAATATTAGTTAAAATACTGTAAGTACATTTACACCAAACAAGAGATTGGATCGCTTTCCAAATATTACATATCAATGATGGCAGCTCCGTAACGCTTTTCTGTAATTGTTGCTCTCTTTCAAAAATTTGTTCGTTGACCCAAAATTTTGGAAGAACCTGTTATTGAGTAAGCTGTTTACGGTTTATAGTGTTTGAGATACACATACACATAGTCGAACTTGCGGGCAACCAGCATTTAAAATTTTCTTTGGAGATTAAAAAAAAATCCCAATGGCGTAAAAGAATTGTTCTAGAAACATTATGTTCAAATATAGCTTTTCTGGGTAAAAATGGATAAATTGTTGAGTCAGTGTTCTTTATCATTTTAATCTTTACTATTTATTGTATCTTTTACATATAGATTGTTATCGTTATAATAGTCTACATGCTATCTTTCCATCTCCCAGAATTATCGGCGAGTAGTTCACCGCTTGTTGTCGCGCTTTACGGTCACTTAGAAGCAACCATTCATTTAGTACAAGTCATTGTCAAATTAGAATGGACAATTTTCAGTAGACTGCTAGCAGGGCTAATTTTGATCACAGGCACCTATCTCGTTTATGTCATGATCACTTTGCGACATGGTCATCACCCATTGTTGATTTGGGAAAAGCTCGGTAAACCAGTTGTGAAAATATTTCGACCTTGGACTTTTGCCTACTTGTTGAATTATAGTGACCCATATGCTCGCTCAATTGGTATGTCTTGATTTCACAGTGTGTCCTATTCATTATAATCTATGAATACTCACATAAGCCAAATCCTATTTAATTATGGCTTATAATTAGATATGCGCGTGTCAACATTTTCGCGGGGATTTTGTACAGCCATTATGAGAGTAAGCATTTCTTTGTTCTTAAAGCTAACTTAATGACATCGGCAGCACAGAAATTGACACTTGTCCGTTCATATTTAGGACCACCATAACACCCGTAACATACAGAAAGGGTAAATATCTTTTAGGAAATGCATGAGTATCAGAGGGTTTGGGTAACTATGTCAAAAGTTACTCTTTGATTGATCTTCTGGTTTTGAAAAAGAGACTTTTTTTCAAATGACACATGGATGTTCACTCATTATTGCTCTCCCTACCCTACCCGCATTTCTATCATTTAGTATCCATCCTACAGCGTTAGCAACATTTGCAGAAACGACAGGCGGCTTAGCTTTGATGAGCAATCTGAAGAAGAAAGATAGGGCCATTTTGAAGTCGATTACAATGGAAGTAAGTCCTCATTGTTCGTACAGAGAGGTTGGGAGCGGGTTTCTTACATCCAATATATTTTTGAATAGTATAAGAAAAAAGCGCGTGGTTTGTTGACAGCCACTTCAGACTATACCCTACCAAATGATTTAGAAGAAGGAAGGCATGAACTGAAAACTGAGGTGGTCATTAAAGATAGAATGCTAGATACAGTGGCGATTGGTTATTTAGTTTGGTGTGTAGAAACAAAAGACGTTTAAAATATACAGGGAGCTCCTATGATACCTATAAATTGAAAAGATCAAACCATAAGAAGCAGATTTGCTTCGCTTGTATTCTAGAATGTTTAAAAGACGCTTTATTGTACATATACGCTCGTTTTTTATTGGCCATTTAACCGTAGCACACAATGGCCGAATAAAATGACCTTTGCCTTTTTCAAATTTGTCAATAACGCTACTTTATTACTAATAGTCAAAAGATGGCTATTTTGATAAATAACGAGAGATTTGCATGGTAGGTCGATCTCTTCCTTGTTTGTCCTTTGTCAAATACTGTTGTTCATACTATTTCAACATTGAATGGACACTGATTTGTCACTGTTTTCTCTACCCTTCTAGTGCATCGTGCATAAGAGGTCATCGGGTAAAGAAATGCGATCACAAAGATCGTCCACTCATAGCCATTGTAAAAAGGGGGAGACAAGTGAGCCAATGCAACCACTGTCGGGTATTAAGAAAAACAAATGGATCCCATGTGAAGTGCACTTGTGCCATGTCAGGTGGTAAATTGTTTAATCCATCCAATCGAACTTGTCCTTTGCAGACTTTCATAATGCTGAGCAGATGTGCAATTGTTATTTTTTAGCGCCCAATCCAATAACCGGATGCCTATGCGAGGTTATCAATGATTGCAGCTGTGTTGCTAGCCATTTACGTGAAGTGAAGATTGATGACAATAGTTCAGAAGTTGACTCGACTGGATTCTCGGATGAAGCAAATTCTCTCGCAGTATTATCACCACAAGCTACTGATTTTTTGAATACTATTAACAGCGGCATAGCTGCTAACCCGGCTGACGCAGAACTACAGCCATTGATGCAGCCCACTTCAAGCAATACCGTAGAGAGCACAGCACAAATTTCTAAAGTACAATCGTCAGAGCCTCACATGAACCCCGCAAATATCACACAGAATGATTTCAACACATTTGTACCGCATATCCAAAATGCTTCCACAATTCTAGGAGAGCAAGATCAAGATTTGGCCAATTTTTTGTTTAATGACCTTGATAAATATCTAACATGAAAGCAGCAATAGCCCAAATTCAAGTTTTACGACCATACATCAGCTGATCGAGAATGTTCTGTTACTCCTTCCACTAGTCAAACAACGTAAAGGACGCCTCGATTTACGCAATGGAATACCAACAGCAAGCAGGTCTTGTTCTTGTGCAATCAAATATGTTTAACAATGCAACAGAATGATGGTTTAGTAAACATATGAATGTTCTTTATTTCGGTATTGTGTGATTCTAGAATCTATCAATAGTAATATCATTTAAAGTGGTCTTTTGCAAATCAAATCCAAATTTCTTGAATCCATCATAAATATCTACAATTTTTGTAGGTGTACTAACTACGACGACGTTACTAGTATCGGGCTGAAACATGTTTACAAAATATTTGGTCAGAACTCTTTGCAAATCATCTATAGTTACGTTCTATTTTGATTGTTTTTTTTTTTTGTCCGTGTATCAAAAAGGTTAGAGATTATGTTTTGTTACAAAAATAAAATGATTTCATTTTTACCTGTATAGCGATCAACATATCACGATTATAAGTGGCTGGCATCTTTTTCAAAACTTGGTTGACAAAGGATTGGAGAGCAGCACGATCCATTGTATTCTCTTTGGCTACCAGACTATAAATCACAGCACTCTTGGCTCCGTCCACGGATGAAGGGTCAATCTCCATTTGATGGTTGGCCAGTTGTTCGATTACATTCTTTGCCTGCTCAAACGCTTTGAAAGCATCTGGTGACCTATAGATAGTAAAGTTGATCAAGCCTGATTCAATGTTCGCATCCAAAAAGCAAGAGTAAGCTAGACCTCGGCCGCGAATCAATTTCCAGAAGATGCCTTCCATAGTATCCAAGAGTTCGATCATAACTAAAAGAGGAGGAATATCTGGGTCATCAAATTTGCTGGGCCCCTTGACAGTATGAAGGGAAAACGAATTCTCGATGGTAGGCAGAGTGACCAAAAGACCGTTTCGTCCTGGTTCTAGGCCAGCAGGCTTTAATACTTCCTTAGCTGTAACAACCGGCATTAATGGCTTCATGTTGTCTTTGACGTTATTAGCAAAGCCTTCAAATGCCTTTCTTGGGCTGGGCAAATCAAGTATATCACCAGTGACATGAATTCTAATGTTTTTTGGCATACACACTAAAGATTAAAAAGTAAAACGATGGTGTATTTTGTTAGATAGTCATTCGAGATGATGAATGTACTATGCTTCATTTACATTTAGAGCGATATTCATTCAAATCGTTGATGACAGACTGAGAGTCTTTTTCTAAACGCTTCAACATATCTTGAAGGAAAGCATTTTGGAAAAGAATATTGCGGACACCGTTTACAGATTTCTTAGGGTCAATTTGTAGCGCGCTTAAGCAAGCATTTGCCATCTATTAAAGTGATTACAATAAATATAATCGCATGCTTCAAACTTTGGAAGGATAATACTTACATTATGTCCTTCTCGCTTGGCTTGAGGGATATCATTTAGAATCTGTGTTGCCACAATTTTTATTCTTTCGGCTGCAAATTGAGTATTCCATATAATATTATGCAGCCACTCGATAGCTTTTTCATATTTCTTGGATTCTGCCTTAATAGTGAATACCACCAATTCCTTAAAACCAAAGCTGGTGCCAAGTGAAGCATCATATTCAATTGTATCTTCAGATAAACCCTTCACTACATCTTCGTAACTGATCAGCTCACCATTAATTTGTATCGGAAGGGAAAAAATAGCTTTCAGGAAAAGTCTTGTGTAGGGTAGTAAATGAGATGGGATTGAAGAGGAAGAAAGGTACACCGAAAGCTTGACAAAGCGAGATTTGACATCTAAATTTTCGAATAGAGTACGAAATGGTATGGTTATACAAATCTGATGTCTTTGATATCTCTTGCTTAAAAAAGCTATAGTACATACGATCATATTGAATAAAGAAAGGTACGTCAGCATGAGTGTCTGCATTGACATGATCTTGCACTTTGTTAGCACTAGTTGAGGAATAATTTGATGTAAAGGTAATGAATGTCAGTTATGTCAATGCATACTATGCTACAGTTTTCCTTGACGTGTTACATTGATTTATCATTGTTCCTGGCAGTGGTTACGTTAATGAAATGGATGGTGGATGCGGATGGAATTTTGAAGTTATCGAATATTTCCTTAGGAATAGGCACTTCGTTCTTAGCCTTGGCTTCTTCTAACTGCTTTTCGAATTCTTCTAATTTCTCTTCTCCCAACTCAATTCGTCTCTTTTCAACGCGTTCCTCTTCTTCCATGGCCTGCTGTTCAGCAAATTCGGCTGAAGGTTTACCGAACAAAATGATACGATAAGCATCAACATACCATCTATAGCAAATAAGAATTGATGAGCATGGTTCAATTTTTGAATGCCCATTCTAATATTTCCGTTGTTTTTTACTTTTTGAGGATATTAATCCAATCAGAGGCCTTATAGGTAGCGACTTTTTTGAGGAATTCCAAATCTCTAACGGCATCTCCAAGCTGTGATCCATCTGTATTTCCGTAAAGGAAGTCTGCAATGGCCACAGATGCTGCTGACTCATGAGCATCTGTTTCTGCACTGTCAAATAACTAAAGACGTTGACTTTTTAGTATAACATTTTTTACTTTAAAGTAATGCAAATTGTTGAATCACTTACGTTGAGTATTTCCTTTTCAATTACGGTAGCCATTCTAGTCATATCGATATCTTCTTCATCAACAATACGTTGCAATGTCTCGAAGAATTTGTTAGGGAAATTCTCAATTTCTTCCAAAGGTACGCTGGATGCAGTAAACATCAAAGTTGTTTTCAAATGATCAGTGATATGAAAATCAACATCAGTACACAAAGCGTCTTCTGTTTCGACAAACGTTTTTTGCAGAACAGAAACAGGCGAGTCAGTGAGATATACATTCAATACCTCCAACTCTTTTTGAGTGAGAAATTCCTATAAAATGCAGGTACGATTTTAGATCAATAAAGGGCTCCTGTTGTAAATCAAATTAAATGTATCTTCTCAACTGCCTGCTTACATCGTACTTTGGACCATTCCAAGCAATGAGAATGGTTCCCATTGATTCGTCTTCGTCAGCGAAAAGCACAGTTTCTTCGATATTTTTCTGCAAGTTGGGGAAGTCACCAGTTTCTATCCAAGGTCTTTGCATTTCCGCAAGTGGTCCCTTTTTTAAAATGGATTCTTCTACAGGCTCCAAAGTTTGCAGGAGCTCATCCTTATCTACTTTACCTGTGATGATTAAGCAAAGATTGTCCGGCCTGTAGTATGACTTGTGATAGTTGCGGACTGTATCCAAAAGTGATTTCGTAGAGTAATGTAAGTAGCAAGCCATGATGAGATCATCAATTGCTTTTCATACGTACTTCTATCAACAGAGAGCTCCCTTAATCTTTCCATTAATCCACCCGTTTCTGATCTATAGCCACAGTTCTCAGGGAACATAAGACGTTTCATACGTAAATGAAGTCTATCATCACCTAAATTTTGACATCCTTGCATTTCACTGTAAACAACCTACAGATGCAATAATCCATTCATGAGCAGATACAGTGAGTCTATTGGGTCATTAAAAACGATTCTATTCATTTGTTATATAACGTACACCAGCATCTTCACCCTCTCCAGTGATATGGTGTACTTCAGTATGATAACCAGAATCAGTCAAGGTTGGATACAAAATATGATCAATGTAGATAGGCAATAAATTCAGAAACCCTTTTGATCCGGCCGTTGTGATTGTGTAACAAGTATGATCGACATCTGTCCAAGCATTTGTACCTTGTGCAATCGCACGATTAGCGAGTGAATCAAGCACACCCTACATATGCACAATATGAAAAAATCTTAGAAGTCATAATAATCGATTCACTAGAATGCAACACAATTCTACCTTGTAAGGATATTGCTCACTTCCGAGAAACACAAGACTGTGGTATTATCAGTATAACAACTCGAATCGTTAAATTACAGTAGCCCCAAAGTTGAGTGGGCAATTTCATGATATACTTTACTGTTCTAGGGTATGAGGACATCCATAATCATCAAAGCTTTCAGTAGCTAGAGCAAAATATCCATTTACCAGTGGGGCTATAATAATAGATAATGATGAACGTAGAGGCAATGAATATCTTTGTTATTCACGTTTCACGTTTGAATGATTCTTGGCGAACCTTCAATATCGGCCAACATGACAGTTAAACCTGTCTTTTCGCTCTTAAGCTTAGTGAACGTCACACCAAATTCTGTAGGCACAGTACAGACTTCTTCAAAATTGGTCATTCTTGAAAGTAAAGATCGTAAAAGAAAAGAAGTGAAGAAAGACAAAAACGGAAAAGCAAATCGGCTTTTGTTAGCAGTTTTATGCTTAAAGTTTGACAACCTTGAATGTTTCAATTTCTTCGCGCTACCCAAATGCGGGACCGTCACATTGGCAACACAGACGTTAGAGAGACCTGTGCATTGAGAGGAAGGTCAAATTTTATTATTTTCTTCCCTCTATTGAAGGATAATGTCCTTTTCGCTATATGGAAATCTCCCACCGGCAAAAACAGAAAAGGGGGCCGATGACAAGAAAGAAACAACCTCTACAACTTCCAACGTAAGCAGTCTATATTCCTCTCTTCCACCGCCAGATACAAGCTCCATCACTCCTAGTGATGCGACCATTTCAAAAGAACAGCCAACAACAGCCAATACGAGCGAGCAAATGGCATCTAGTACAACAACCACTACACCGACAGGTAAACAATAAACTCCCACACACTCAATTACACATCTATGGGTTTGAACTATTCATGGTGAACTAAAATTACAGTAATAAAAAAAAAAAGGTTGGTCAGCAGTGAATAAATTTAGACCAGTATTACGAAGGCCAACTATTCAGGCCAAGCCAAAGTTGAATAAGCCTTTCATCCCTGCTGGTGCAACAGTTGTATATGAAAAAACTGTTACAAAGGAAGAGAAAGAGTTGGAGCAGACAAATAAGGCTGCTGCTGCTGATAACAATCAACAACAGCCGATAGGACAAACATCAGCAGCAGGAGCAGCAAAAGCTGACACTATAGCGGACAATATCGATCTAGGTGCTGTTCCTACGTTGATAACCACTGCAGATGACGTGAATGGTTTTCGAGCTCTACAACAGCAAAAAAAGAAAAAAGGGAAGAAAGGCAAAGGTGGTCAACAGCAGCAGCAGCAGCAAGCTCCAGTATTCAATATGTTAGAGGATTATGATCCCAACAGACCGAACGACTACGAGCAATACAAAGAAGAACGCAAACAGGCGAAAGAGATGCAAAAGAGAAAACGAGAATGGGAGAGAAGACAGCGCGAAGAGGAAGAGCAACAACGAGCTTTAGACTATAGAACGCAGAGTCGCTCTTGGTCAAGATCCAGATCACGATCCCGATCGACGTCTAGATCGAGATCCGGAACACCGCCATACCACCGTCGTTCGCATTCGAGGTCATATTCAAGGTCAAGATCGAGGTCTCGTTCAGGCTCTCGCTCGCCTTATCATCATCGATCACCGTCACCTCCCGCTGATTGTAAGTAAAAATGGACCATCCTCCGTTTGCAGTTGAGCTTTTCACTAAATTACTTAATAGCGAATCCATTAGTGTCAGCACCTGCGAAAATTAATGTGAATGAAACTGCTGAAGAAGCCTATATGCGAAGATTAAGAATGAGCCAGCAACAATCACAACCAGCAGCACCACCATCACAATTACCATCTATACCCACAGAACAAAGGTAATATCTGATAGCAACCGTTGAAGGGAATGTATGTCAAAAAAATCGTACCCGTGTATTTATACTGTCTTTCTTTCAACACTAGTATAAGAGAGCCACATCCAGCGCATGATATTGCTCGAAAGCTGTTAGCCAAGCATGGATTTGCGGAAGAAGGTATAGCATCGAGAATATATTAAGTTGCAATGATAAAACTTGGAGGCTGGAAGTTGACTCGTTCAATTATCGTAGGGAATAACAGCAAAGCTACTCGAGTCATTTTACTCACAAATATGGTTGGTCCTGGAGAAGTGGATGATATGTTACAAGAAGAAACAGCTGATGAATGCTCCAAATATGGTAAAGTGGAACGCTGCTTGATTTTTGAGGTAAATTAATTTTAATATGGCCTTCTTGCGTATCTTTGAAATACACTAACTATTGGACAAACTACTACTTCATTTAAATCAAAGGTGCCTAAAGGGCAAATACCAGATGACCGTGCTGTTCGAATCTTTGTTCAATTTTCGGATACTGAAGCGGCCCAGAGAGCGATAAATGATTTAAATGGAAGATACTTCGGTGGACGAGTGGTCACTGCCACCTTTTTTGACGATGAAAGATTTAATAGCTTGAATTTAGCCCCTACAAAAGAAGAGTTAGGCCTTTGATACACAATATTTGTCACAAAGTAAATAGAGTTCGTATTATTACTATATCAGCAATAACGTTAGTTCACATGTCTGACTATATTGAGAGCTGGGGAGCGACTGCAGAGTTTCTGAATGCCAAAGAGCATAAATAAAGACTTTCTATTATCTGCAAAAAGCATAGCCATTTCTTGTGCTTTTAAGCTCTACCATTACTGCTTTTTTTTATATAAAGGTCATATCAAGCTCAAGAGCTCGTTTATAGAACATAGACCATTGAGTATCCGACTTAGGGATGTAGTCCAACTTAATTCTAGCGTATGGCTGATGTCCATCCCAAAAATATCCCCTGATGTATTTCTACGATGCATAGACCAACTTTCACCGTTACGGCTAGGTAATTTGAGCATCTACTGAAATACGCGTACAATTCTTCAATATGTTCAGAGGGCAACATATTCTAGTTAAAGAAATATTCATTATCATCGATGTATATGCCTAGATCTGCAGTCTAATTGGAGAAGTAAAGACGCTTTGAGGATGCCTATATTTTGAAAATAAAGAAAACCTGGTGGATCTGGTTTCATAGTTTGTAGTAGCCTCCTCGGCTCAAGTCATTTGTTTGAAAGGGAAATCAAATTCCTATTCTTGGATAGTCGGGGATATCTATTTTGGGTTCATCTTCTATTACTGTTCAACGTTTGTCTCTTGTCAACCTCCAACTGGCTCAAATGAATGGGTACGTTGCAGTGAAGTCCTGTAACAGATGTCGTTTATGATAGTACTAACAATTTTTCGGTGTATAGATTGGATTTTGATCTGCATTCAAGAATTTTAGTAAGCTTGGCAGAAGTTTTAGCAGATGCAAGAGCCAAAACGACAACCGATGAAGTCAATCGACTCTTGAACAAATGTCCTCCCATCTCGGTGCTACCTTTTGAAGAAATCAACATAGTTCAACCAGGCCAGGCGCAGATTGGACGTATGGTGCGTTGATGAAGCGTTTTTAGATCGTTGGCACTTTCTGCAATAACCTTAACCATATACTGCTTTTCCGTTTTCTCTCGTACATGTAGACTGTCAGACACCAGCAGACGCTTGATGCTTTACTAAAGTATGCGACAAAAGCCAACGAATATACTCAATTAGAGCTGTTGCCGCGTATCATTAGTTATTTGAAGTATTTGCCCGTGTATGACTGGAATAACATCATCCTGGAGAGAGGTACGTCAATGAGTTCAGGTTTTGGATAGCAGGCATTTTTGCAGTGTATAACGCAACATGCTGTTTGTATGATTAGGGCCTACTCCGCCAGATAATATTACTTTCAGTTTGGTTACGTGCTTATTAGATATAGCTCATCAAAGACCGGCACTTCAAGATAAGATTCATGCAACTTTGTGGAACTATGGTAAAAGCATCATTGAATTATTAGAGACAAGTGACAGTAAGTAATCCCGAAAGAAACGATGAAGCCTAGCAGCACAGCCTTGTCTTACTGATAATGAACAAATGAAAAGGACAATATATAGTTTATTTTATTCTTCCCTCACTTGAGGGTCTTGCCCGCGCGCTTCAAGTATCACCTTTCCTTTACAAGCCTGAACAGCTTCAAAAATTATGTGAAAATATGCAGCCACTCATTGTCGATAAAACATTGGAAAGTATGAGAAAGGCTATCGAATCCAGTTTAAATGAAGATGATAGCAATGCCTACACGAGACATGTGTTAGCCAACTATTGGGAGACGGGAGTTCCTCTCAGTTCGAACCGGATTATTCACGATTTGCTTATAATTTTGAGAAATGTTACTGCTCGTGTCATTACTCTATCGAAGCCCAACAATGGAAAGTCAACAGACACATTCGATTCGAAAAAGCTCTACCGTACTACCAACATTGAAGCTGCTTGGTCCGACCTGATGAAAAAAGTCGCTGAAGGTATACGTCCTCAAGACAATCAACTGACGGAGGTGGATAAAAAGCTCAACAAGAATCTACGCGGCATGTATGTGATGAGTTTGGGCTATTTCGATGATATTCATAAATACGCTTTCCAGAGAGTAAAAGAAGGTAAAAAGTGGTCGCCTGATTCTTACATGAAGGAAATTATGGGCACAAGTTTGGTAAGTTCTCCATCTGTTGCAGTCGTCGGAATGGTTTCTTCTTTTTTTTTTTTCTTTTTTGTTTCGTTGTCATTCTAAAAGTTTATTTATTACTTTAGCAAGTAACTGCATTATCATCCGTTTATCTACATGAGGTGGATGATGTTTTACTCTCCTATATTGAGGGAAGTCTGTTTGAAAATATCAGCGGAGAGGATGCTTGGATCCATGCTGCTTCTCTTGACGCAGCCGTTTTGTTGGCCATCAAGTAAGTTAGTCTATCGTCTGATCGATTCTCTTTTCTTACTCAAACACTAACTCAATTATGCATTATAGCTTTCCAGAATTGAATAATAGAATGACAGAATTGATCTGCCGCTATTTGGTGACTCCATCACCTGTATTTGAAATGACGACTGAACTTGGTAAAGTCTCTGTTACTATCCAACAATTTGCTATCACACGTCTGGCTCAGTGTATTCAAGTAAGTGGATCCATTTTTTCTCTAAATCAGCAACAACGAAGCTCAAAGGTAACTTTTCTTGATAGACAAAGCCTCCATCACAAATGCGCCAAGCTGCAACTTCTACTTTTTATGCTTTATTGAACGAAATCGTTCGAGAAGATCCTGTGAAGCAGCCTTCAAGTCTATCTACCACGCAGCAACAATTGTCTGATACTCAAAGACAGCTTGTCAGTGTGAATGCTCTTTCCGCTATTGTAGGCATAGCTGTCTACTTGAATGATGAATCAGTGAGTGTTCACCCTTTGAGGGCGGGAGGGCTTTTTGAAACAGAGACGATGGGTACTAGAAATTCTTTTGGTTTAACAGACATATCCATTTTAGGTGATCACTCAAGCATACTCAATTTTATCTTTACGTCGCAAGTCATTCTCCACATCGGCTATTGCTACGCTTACGATCAATCTTGTAGAACTAGCGCTTGTTAGCCCACTCAACGTGTTTACAGACATTATCAATTTATTTTCGATATTGAGCCGTGAATCACTCCTGGCGGAAGATAAGCAACTCACAGATGCTATCTTGGGTGCGCAGTACCAGCTGGCCAAAAAGTTGAGTGCCAAGTCTGATTATTACGATGTCTATTTGAGAAATCTTTTGTCGCTTTTCGTTGAAAACGGCAATTCTATTCAGCGCTGGATGTCTTTTAACAAGAAGGAATCCGCAAAGCCTTCCCTCACAAAATTAGGCAGGCTTTTGCCTGTGATTGGCGCACTGGTGAATCATGACGATTTCAACCCTCATGTAGAACCCACCGGCGAAGTGGTGTCCCTGTTCCGTAATGCATGGTTTCAATGTGTTTTGTTTGGATTTGTGACCGAATCGATTTGGGTACGCGATTGGCGTGAAGATATGTCGTCTATTGCCAAGAAAACGCCTGCGCTTGTGATCGAGAGTGCTACCAACTACCTAGAGAGTGATTTAGAATACAATTCTGTTTTACGTGGTGCTGACCATTCGGATCATGATACGACATCTTTCCGTCAGAAGCTCACTAGCCTTCTTCCTTCTGAGGTCGCGTACGATATCAAGAACTTTTCGTTTGCACAGATTATCTTTGCGCTGAGTGTGCACTATATTGAACATTACAGAAGTAGAATGGGCGACTGCAGCTATATTTTACGTTATTTCATGAACGATGGGGTCAACAACAGCACAATGTCCAACTGTTTGGAGAAAATTGCTGACAACGTGGTCAGCACTTACATCCGAGATGCTTCTACGAAAGCAGTGTCTCAAAATTTAGACGTCGACCTGCATAAGCAAATGGCCAACCTTCTTAAACTATGTTGTCACCGTCTTCGCAAAGTGCACACGCTGGCGGTTCGATTCTCAGAACGGATTGTCACGACGTTCCCTCAAGTGTTTGCTGACAAGACACTGATTACTTTACTTTTGGAACTTGTCCAGCTATTGTGGTTGAGCTGTGAGGCAGAGTATAGAGATGAGTACTATCCTACGTTCCAGTTTAGTTCGCCCCGTATTGGTGTCACGATTGAATTGGGAGATTCGTTTGCTTACAGGAGAGAGATATGCTCTCAAATGTATGAGCATGGTAAAAAATGGCTCAAGATCTCGATGGATCGTGCACCAATGGAGATTAATGGGCTTTTGCAAGACTACCTAGCGGAATACGTGCGGTATGAGCCGGGAGTGCCTATTGATGCAACCCATATGGGTAGAACGCTCGCTTTGGAAGTGGGCAAAGCAGCAGCTCGAAACGATATGACGGTAGAGTTTGTCCCTCGTATCCGCAATGTGCATCTGGATGATGCATCCGATTTTGTCGATGGGTTTACATCGCGACGCTATTATATTGGTGAAGTCAGTGGTATAGAATTTGCGGCAGGCTTACGTTTTGGCAGCTATGCGAACAAATTACCCAGCCAGGAAACGGGGTCCGGTCTAAGTGAACAGACACCTATAGTGGTGGAAAGGTTACAGACTCTTTTGGACGACGTGAAGCAGCACAAGAAAATCCCTATTGACCGCCTACGTCGTTCTTTGCTGCAAGCGGCCAGCTTTATTGTTTCTTCCTCTACCGTGCATCCTGATATTGTTAGCTATATTGTTTGCATCCCTGTGCAAGTCTTTTCTCCTGAATCGCTCGAAATAGGTACAGACATCTGGAACTGGGTGCTCGTGGAAAGACCGGATGTGGAGAAACGTCTTATGGTGGAGATTCTGAATATGTGGAGTTGGGCGCAAAGAAACCGAAAAGGGTTATTCTCTCCCAAGCTCAATGCAAAGCATCCTTTCGTGGCTACGATGACGTATGCTCCCTCCGACCGGCAGGTGATTGAGACGAACATGAAGAACATGTCGCGTCTATTGACACCGCACGTTACATGGATCCGATTCTTAACAAGCCGGTTTTATGCTATCCGACATCGAAGCAAGCATTTGATGAATATGCTGATACGGTTACTTCAAGACACGCTTCATAACTCGCATTTGATGAGCACGCATCCCTTTGCTCGTCTGCCACGGTTCCAGCTTTTATTCCTCGGTATGAAGATTCTGCAATCCACGCATATGGAAGCCTTGGCAGAGTACCGTTTCCGTTCCCTTGTGTACGGGTCAGCGTTTAACTGGTTTACGCTACCGCCCAAATGGCATTATGGATCGCGGAAATCGTATGCATTGATGGAGCAGAAGGTGTTGCAGGACTTTTACGGGGTGATTGCTCATGATACGCCTCGGTTGTACGAGCTCGTAACAAGTTCCGGTCGCAGCAATAGCAGCAACTCCAAGTTTGGCTCTGGTCTGCATATGTTTTTGAACAACAAGACGAAAGATGACATCTTGAACGAACAAAAACAAATCAAACGGCTTTTGCTTTTGCTGATGGATAGCGAACTGTCTCGGCTATCTGTCTGGTGTAACCCATTGAATGCGGTGGGACCAGGCTACCCACACAACCACATCAGCAATACAGAGAAGTCGTTGACGACGGAAGAAAGTTGGAAAGAAATGGTTCGTTTTGCGTGGGAGACATCGCCCAAGGTGGCGGTGCAGATGGCCGCTCGCTTTGTGCAGCCAGTGGTGCAAAGAGAATTGCACAAGCTGATTGCGAACAATACGATGGACGTGATTGATGTGCCTGAGGCTTTAGAGATTTTACTGGGAAAGAGGGTGCAACCGAATGCTAAATTAGATTTGCGCTATCTTAAATATTGGGCACCGGTGCCTGCGATTACGGCCGCCAACTACTTTATGCCTGCTTATGGCAATCATCCTTTGATCCTACAGTATGCGATGAGAAGCCTTGAATATTACCCTGTGGACACTGTCTTTTTTTACGTGCCTCAAATTGTGCAAGCGCTTCGTTACGACGAGTATGGCTATGTTGAAAAGTACATTATGCAAGCAGGACAGGTGTCTCAACTTTTCGCTCATCAAATCATTTGGAATATGAGTGCCAATTTTTATGTCGATGCCGATAAGGAGTGTATCAAGGTAAAAAATGAATTGCTTTATGACAACCTGTATAAAAAGCTACTAACTTTTTACATGCCAACATCAAAAAAACTTAGCCTGATACCTTGAAACCCACGTTGGAGAAAATCATTCGTAATCTCGTTGCCTCCTTTACAGGCACAGATCGAGATTTCTATGAACGTGAATTCAAATTCTTTGGCGAAGTCACTGCTATTTCGGGATATTTGAAAGAATACATCAAGTATGGTCAAAATGAAAAGAAACCCCTGCAAAAGGTAGGAAAAAGGAATTTCTTTGAAAAAAAGTGGGAAAGGAAAGGGCTAATAACGCTTCTTGTTTGTTAAGAAACGTCTTGATGAAGAACTGGGCAAAATCAAGGTGGATGTAGGTGTTTATCTTCCTAGTAATCCAGATGGTAGAATTGTGGATATCAACCGAACGTCAGGTAGACCGTTACAGAGTCATGCCAAGGCACCGTTTATGGCGACGTTTAAAATTGAGAAAGAAGTAGAACATGCAGAAACGCTGGAGGACGGAACGAATGAAGAAGGCACTGATGAGATTGACAAGAAGCAGGTAGTGACGACGTGGCTCAGTGCTATTTTCAAAGTCGGTGATGATTGTCGTCAAGATGTGCTGGCGTTACAATTGATTGCGGTTTTTAAAAATATCTTTACGAGTGTGGGGTTGGATCTGTACGTGTTTCCTTATCGTGTGGTGGCGACGGCACCCGGGCGTGGTGTCATTGATGTCATTCCTCGGTCGATTTCTCGTGACCAGCTGGGACGTGAAAAGGTGAATAGCATGTACGACTATTTTGTCGCCAAGTACGGTGGACCCAATTCGATCGAATTCCAAAGAGCACGCAACAATTTTGTTCAAAGTGTGGCCGCTTATTCGCTTATCTCGTACCTTTTGCAATTCAAGGATCGACATAACGGCAATATCATGCTGGATGAGGACGGACATATTATTCATATTGATTTCGGATTCATCTTTGATATTGCTCCGGGTGGTATCGGCTTTGAAAGTTCGCCGTTCAAGTTGACGACAGAAATGGTGCAAGTGATGGGCGGTAATTCTGAAGAGCAGGCATTTAAGCAGTTTTCCGAGCTTTTGATCAAGGGGTATCTCGCTTGTCGTCCGTATGCCGAACTGATCATGCAACTGGTGACGCTGATGCTTCAGTCTGGCTTACCCTGTTTCCGAGGCGAAACGATCAAGCGTATGCGTACGCGTTTCCAAGTGGATAAGTCAGATCGACAAGCAGCTGACTTTATGATCCAACGCGTCAAAGAGTCGTTTGAGAATCAAAGAACTGTTTTGTATGATTATTTCCAAAAGGTCACCAATGGTATTCCTTATTAGTCTATATCATTTTTTTTTCTCGCACATAATAGAGCCAATAAAAATAGAGAATCTTATTTAAACATAGAGGTTGTTGGCCGGGGAGAATGAGCAATGTAACTCGTGTTATTCCACTTTTTATAAAACTTGAATCCAAAAGATACGCTTCAACAAATTATCTACAACAGATGGGCAGAGATGATGAGCCTGTCGATAACATCATGCGTAAGGGGTACACGGATCGTTACCAAGGTTCGGTTGAATGATCTGGAGATGTAAAAAGCAATCTCTCATTGTGTCACATCTGCCATAGATACTATCGTGATACACATCCTTGTATAGCAAAAAGCCGACAGACTGGGAAAAAGTCTCAACAGCACAAAAAAAGCTGCTTTGTTTAATCGATGCACAAAAATACCGTGATACAATTTTCACAGAAAAGGAAAAGAGGCAGGCAAGCCGAGTTGCGGGTATCTGCATGAATCTCACTATAGCATGTTTTCTGGAACGAATGTCCTTAATAAGGGTCCAAGTAAATATTTATTCAAGTCTTTTATTTGCTATCCCGTGAACTGGGTAAAAAGTCAATGGCCTATGTCAACGGAAGGGGCTCAAAAAATTGTGGAGTGATGTGGGCAAATGATTTGTTTGGATAGGTTAACGCAGTATGTTCTATAGTAAGCACAAGTCTGCCATCCGTCTAAAAATATAGCTGATACTTTTGAATTGAAACCAGGCTGGTGAAACCTTGTTAAAATAGGGGGGCTGATGAGTGCTATTGAACAGTATGTCGGGCTTCCTAACATTTTTGCTTGTATTGGAAGCATAACAAATAAACGATGCGTATGCCGGATCTATATTATGATGAGCTCAGCTGAAATACCTTTGGATGGTTAAAACAAATCCAAAACGTGGAGGTTTTGGCGCTGAGATTTTTTGTGCGTGTAACGTCAAAGCATGCTCACCAGCCGTCATTGTGTATGCATTGGTCATAGAATGCATGTCAGATTCGCTGGTACATACGTATTGGATGGCCAGAGTGCAACAAGTGGATATAGGGCAGAGGTCCTTTATAAAAGCAAAAGAGTTATGTTCATGATGAGACGTTATGTATCGGAAGAGCAAAGAATGGATCATCTTGGTGTGTTGTGCAAAGGGGCAAAAAATAGATGTCAGCTTTTTCCAGAATTTTTGACCAAAAATGTTGGCTTGCTGAAGCAGCCTTGATACCATGGAATGAGCCTATCTCATTATGTCTTTCTCTCTATTTAGCACACACACTCTCTGCTTTCCTCTTATGCCTTTGTACGCTGTTGCTTCCTTGGAAAGTTGCCTTTCAGTCGATAAGCTATAGACTGATCAATCTGTGTGCATTTGGGATCAACATAAAAGATTCAAACCCCTCTTTTTCTCTCCCCCAACCCAAAAAAAACGAATGGCTTACAATTTTCTGAAAAAGATGGCACACCACTTTTTTTTTTGTGTGTGTGTGCGTGCGTTTGTGTGACAGCCAATGGATCGTCGTGCCTGATATTTGAATTAAGAATCCTCATTTTAAAACCTACAAAAAAAATTTGTTATGTTTGGGTAAAGTGGGCTCTACTAAGCTGATTGAACTTGATGCAGAGACTCATTGCCAATGACAATGATAGTATTTACATAGTGGACGAAATGGCAGTGAGTGATCTGGAGGGACTGTCACTCATTGTCAATGTTGAGCTTTATTATTTTTTTTGCACACATGCGCGAAAAAAAAAAAGAAAATGTTTGGGTCGATAAAAGAACCAAAAAAAAAAAAAAAGAAAGAAAGCACGGACCGCTTGTTCAAACGGCGATCCAATCCGATGTTTCTATAGTTACAAAAGTACAGAGCACAAAAAAATCAGTTTGACCCAAACTTGAAGCGCATTGTTAATATAAATACAACAAATAAATTCTTTACAGTTTTCGAGTTCCCTCCTTTTATTTTTATTATTTTTTTTTCCATTTTTTCAATCACACATTTTTTCATACGAGCTCTATAAGATGACTGTCAAGAATATCTGTTGTATCGGTGCTGGTTATGTTGGTAAAGTACAATGATGGTTCATATCATGCAATGAGGCAATTCATACTTAAAAAAAACGAATATTCATGATAGGTGGTCCCACGGCTGCTGTTATTGCTTACAAGTGTCCTGATATCAAAGTCACGATTTGTGATATCAATCAAAAGCGTATCGATGCATGGATGTCTGACAAACTACCCATCTACGAACCTGGTTTGGAGGAAGTTGTCTTTGCCTGTCGTGGAAAGAATCTCTTTTTCTCGACTGACGTAGATAAGCACATTGAAGAAGCCGACCTTATCTTTGTTTCCGTCAATACGCCTACCAAGAAGCAAGGTCTTGGTGCTGGTATGGCTGCTGATCTTGCGTAAGTACATGCAGACCTTTTTTTTTTGGGTTCGCGTTGATTTGAAAAATTGGGTGGATGTCAATGCGTTTGTCTCTGTTGTGCGTTGAATATATCTGATTCACCTGTTTCTTCCGTTGATTAGATACGTCGAAGCAGCTACTCGTCGTATTGCTAATGTTGCCAAGAGCTCCAAGATTGTTGTTGAAAAGTCCACAGTTCCTTGCCGTACTGCTCAAAGCATGCGTACCATTTTGGATGCCAACTCGACTGACAATGTCAAATTCGATATCCTTTCTAACCCCGAATTTTTGGCAGAAGGTACTGCTATTCCCGATCTTCTCAAGCCTGATCGTGTCTTGATCGGTTCTCTTCAAACGGAATCTGGCAAGGCTGCTCAACAAGCACTTGTCGATGTCTATAGCCACTGGATCCCTCGTGAGAACATTATTACCACCAACCTCTGGTCCTCTGAACTTTCCAAATTGGTAAGCTTGTCGTTTTTTTTTTGTGAATAGAGAATGTGGATGAGAATGGGGCATGTCTGACTCTCTTCTTTTTTTTTTCTAGGCCGCTAATGCTCTTTTAGCTCAACGTATTTCTTCCATCAATGCTTTATCTGCTGTGTGTGAGGCCACAGGAGCTGATGTCGATGAAGTTGCTTATGCTGTGGGTCGTGATACCCGTATCGGATCTAAATTCTTAAAAGCCTCTGTTGGTTTCGGTGGTTCTTGTTTCCAAAAGGATATCCTCAACTTGGTGTACCTCTCCTACTCGCTCAACTTGCCTGAAGTAGCTGAATACTGGAACCAAGTCTATTTGATGAACGAATACCAAAAGAAGCGTTTTGTCAAAAAGATCATCTCTACTCTCTTCAATACCATTACCCACAAAAAGATTGCCGTGCTCGGTTTTGCTTTCAAGAAGGATACTGGCGATACCCGTGAATCCGCTGCCATCACGTTGATCAAGGACTTTATGCAAGAAAATGCCCATGTCGCTATCTACGATCCCAAGGTCGAACACGAACAAATCTACATGGATCTTGCTGAACCCGGCGTAGTGGACAACCGTAAGCAAGTGCAAGAAAAGATTACAATCTGTAAGGATGCTTATGAAGCCGCCAAGGACGCCGATGCGCTTATCATTGTCACGGAATGGGATGAGTTCAAGTCGCTTGATTATGAACGTATTTACAAGGATATGCAAAAGCCTGCTTTCCTCTTTGACGGCCGTTTGATCTTGGATGCTCCCAAGTTGCGCGAAATTGGCTTCAAGGTCCATGTCATTGGTAAGAACGCTCTTGAAGGAAGAGCTTAGATAAAGGAAAAGAAAATTGCCTTTTTTTTTTCTTTTTTTTTCTGCACCCATCCACCTCTCTATTTTTCATTTTTTAATCTATCACGCTTACATCACTCTGCCACTTTTTCTATTTCTATTGATATTCTCTCTCTCTCTCATACCTTGAAAATAGGATCATTGTTTTAATTTAACTGTATTTTCCCAATTCATAATAAAGTCTTTTTTCACCATCTGTAAAATGTATACTTTTTAACCCATTTAAAATTCGTTGGGTAGCCATAAGCATGTGTTTTTGTCAAAAAAGAATGGAGTTGTGTGTGTTGTCTTTGAGGACATGAGTGAGATGGACACGATAACCCTACGTAATTACTCAGGGTGTTGTCTCACGTTGTAGGTAGATATTTTTGTAGATAATTAAAAAAAAAAAAAAAAAAAAGACGGGAGTTGAACAAACTGTCATTCCATAATCAACAACGATAAATGTAATAAATAGCTGTCTTTGTATTGAAAGTGAAACAAACCACGTTTACCGGTTTTTTCTTTTTTTTTTTTTTGGGAATGAAGAGATCTACAGGCTTTTTGCAAAATGAATGTACAGAAAATGAAAAAAAAAGGAACAGAAAACAAGACAATATTATTTCTGACAATGAGGTGGATGATATGGATACTGTGGTTGAAAAGGCATGGATGAGGTGGATAAAAGATGAGGCGAGGTGGAGGGGACAACGGTTACCGTGGTTGGTTGAAGAGAGGCTGTAGTACTTGTATGCATCATGTTGTTGTTCTGGGCTGTACTTGTACTAGCATAAGCAGTGGTGGTAGGTAAAGGAGAACAAGATAAAGTAGCCGAAGAGGGCGAATGATGCAGCATGTTTCCATGGGCTGAATTCGGACTTGACGGTAGGAAAGAGGGACGATGGAGGTTGCTTTGATGATGAGGTGGCAGTAATGATGCATTGGTATCTTCACCTGTCACAAAGATAGGAGGAGGAGAAGAAAAAGAACCGTCGTTCATCTCGTCCCATCTTCTATAGTGCGCTTGGAGCTCGTGAGGGAGTTCACCTGTAAGAATTGAGCTTTCAGTTTTTTTTTTTCATTTTGATCGATGACTACTCTCAGTACGACTTACCTCCATTAGACTGCAAGAGGTAATCTACTACCGTCTTTACAAACTGTGCTTGATATTCTTGCTGCTTTTTACTCTTGTAAAATTCTCTCATCATGTGGCTAAAGCTACTGTAAAGTTGGTGGATCTGTTGTAGCATGTCGGACTGTGACATTTGTAACATGGTTAAATGTGCGTGTAGATCGGTTTCGCGTCGTACAGTATCAGATTCTATGGATTTGCGTTTAATGTCGTCCAGAAGATCTGTTCTGCCTCTCAGAAATTTGCTATGAGAGAATTCCCAAATTTGATTTTCTGCTAATGTTCGATGTCCACGAGGAGACTTGTTAACTTTATGAAAGCCATACCTGTAGATCGGCATGGAAGATCAGTTTTTATATGGTATATCAGAAAAAAAAAAAAAAAAAAGGGAAAGGCAAGCTTACATGTTGAGTTGTCTCACAAAGCTACTAAAATTGTTATGTTTGAAATGTTTGGGTAGTACATCCCTTGCAAATGCCATAATGTTGCAGACAACAAAAGACGCGCCTGTATAACTCCAAGCGATGAGATGTTGGAATTGCTCATCCAGCACCATACTATCATTCGTTTTCGTCAATATAACAGCAACAATACAGAGAGGGGTAGCGCGCGTTTTTATTACTTTACTTGTATAATTTATGAACAAATGTAGGGTTATTCGTAGTACTCATTGTTCGTGGATGTAGCTCGGGTGACCAGTTAGCGTGTTGCTTTTTTGAAAAAGATAATGTTGGAAATACGTTGTTGTTGCTGCTCGTAAAGGGTTGACTGTGTGGCATAGGGAGAGAATGATCTGTTGGTATCATGTTTTATATATATATTGATTTCTGGTAAAAAAGTATAAACGTGTGGTTGAAAGGAAAAAGAATAAATATAAATTGTAATATGAAATCACATACACACACACACACACACTTACTCTACTCTGGCAAATAAAAATCCGTCTTTAAGCTCTTGGCAAAAACCAACTTTTTTTTTTTTTTTTTTTTTTTTTTTTTTACCGAGCGTGTACAAAAATATACACTCTCATTATAAAGGGTCAATTACATTACTTTTGTCGCGCGTTTCTTGAAACGTCTAGCAATTATAGAAACTTGAGAATCTCTAACAAAAAGGTGAACAACTCCGTACCTTGATTACATCATTTTATCATTTTTCCCGGTTTATTGATATGAAACCCATTTTAGACAAAAAAAGGAAATGATTTTCCACCCATGACATCATCTCAAGGTCGATCTTTTAAACAAAAAGGGTTTGTAAGCTATTGACTGGTATGTTTGTGTACGAACAAAAAGTAGAGATTTAAACTCGTTGAATAGAAAATAATAAAGGAGGTGCTAACTCGGAAATCCATCTCATGAAATACGCGCTTACGACAAACAGCTTATTGTGTCTAGAGTTTACTCTCATCCTGACTAATTCTAGCAATAACTTTGGCGTAAGAAGAGCGGTTGTTAATAGCTTGAAGGCCCTCTGGAATTGTGTCCAATGTATAGATGTGGTGATAGAGAGCAGGTTGTAACTTTCCAGATTCAAAGAGTTGGAATAGAGCGCGCCAGACTTCAGGCACACGCTCAGGTTCATTCTTGACATAAGCTCCCCAATGTAAACCCCTAACAGTGAAAAGATGTAAGTATCGATGGGAGCGCAAAACGTTTTTGCTCTCTTTCGAACTTACACGGCTGAAATGTTTTTCAATAACAAGCGATTCATGGGCACTTTTTCAATCGTTCCTTGAGCGAATCCTATAACCAATATACGTCCATTCCAAGCCGTACATTTTGTACTAGAGTAGCGGAAAAGAACAAGATGAGCCATTCACCCCCTTCTTTGTCAATGTGTCATCATTTCTTACCTTGCTTCGACCAAACCTACGGGATCATAAACCACATCAACGCCATGACCCTGAGTCGCCTTTTTCACCTGTTCTGTCCAATTTTTGTCACGGTAATTGATAGCCACATCGGCGCCCAACTTTTTGGCCATCTCTAATTTCTCCTTGGATCCAGCGGTGGCGATCACTTTGGCGCCCAAAGCCTTTGCAATCTGAACCGCCGCACTTCCGACGCCTCCCGCAGCCGCATGCACTAAACAATACTCGCCTGCTTTCAGCTGAGCACGTAACACGAGGGCAGCGTAACTGGTGGGATAAGTAATGTAAAGACCCGCCGCTTGTTCGAAACTAAAATGGCGAGGAATGGGGAGCACATTCGCGGCGGATACATTCACCACTTCGGCATAAGAAGCGCCGGAACCAAAGACTCGATCGCCTGGCTTAAATGCGGGCACGGTGGACTTTAAAACAATACCGCTGAACTCGCCACCAGGTATAAATGGAAAAGGTGGTTTTATTTGATATTTGCCCTGAATCTAAAATAGGGGTAAAAAATCAAAGGCTGGGGCTTTTGAAAAATCAAATTGTCATTCTCCTCACCATCAAGGTATCAAAAAAGTTGAGACCTGCTGCTTTGACTTGCACTTGCAATTCACCTTGCTTGGGTTCAGCTGGAAGGTCGACATGTTGACTCACGGCAAGTTCTTCAGGACCCTTTAACCATCTATTTACTACAATAGCTTTCATCTTTCTGCGGGCAAATGAATGAAAGGAAAAAAAGATAGTAAAAGAAGAGTGAGAGTTATATCATTCATATTCAATGGAGAAAGGCATGGGAAACTGCATTCGTAAATATAAATTCTCACTTCCGATTTAGGCTGACTAAAGGCACCATTGCTCCAACGCCATTGGGCAGTTTTAATTTTTTCAAAGAGCTGGTTTTTTATCGTTTGTTTCCCAAGATAGCCCGTATAAAATGTATCCACCTCCTTATTCAATTGAATTGAGGCCCCCCCCATTAAACAATTTTACACAATATTGAAAGGGGAAAATGAAGCTTGATCGGCTTATGAATTAAGAATGCTTATTTAACAGAAATGGGATTGCCTGTAATAATACTCATCAGTCATTTTTATAGCTTTTGTAGTCTCTTTGAACGTCATATCGTTATATATAATAATAAATACTGTTCTAATATGCACTTGTATCTATTGAATAAATGTTTCATTTTTAAACGACAAACGTCTATTGGGTCGTGGTCGTAGTGGTTATATTTTTTTCTTTTTTAACAAAAGATTATCTGAAGGTATTGATGTCGCTTTGGTAGTGAACGCACTCATAACTAACTTTTTTCTGTCAAAATCGAAACCAAGTTCAAATTAACAAGTAAACTGTTGTTTAACAATCTTATGATTGTGAATTTATTAGTGCAATCACTCTTAGGTACTTTATACTCGTTGTAATGGTCGTGATCTATATAACTAGTTATCAGAACTCTACCTAAGATAGACGCGACAGGAGGTTGGCGTTAAAATTGATCTCCACGGATAATTTGCAACGAGAAACTTGGATGAGCACCTATAAACAAGGTTTATCATGATAAAGGATGCAAGATAGTATTATAGAACGAACAAAGAGCAGGAGAGTGAAAAAATGTCATACGCGGTTAAGTTTGAGACGTAGCCAACAAGACAGATGGTCATTACACTTGTCTATCTACATGTAATACGTAGGTCTATATTGCTATGTAGGCAAAGACATTCCAGCAAATAGTTATAGTTACAAAGTATATTCAAACGAGTAAAGCGATGAAATTAAATTTGATGTTGTATACTCGCTCAGAGACAAATCAACAGTAGAAGCACCCCCATTTTTAATTGAATTCAAAGCAAAGTTTTTAGCGATTGTTTAGGTAGACTCATTCGGTATTCACTCGCTTGCAAAGGCTGATATAATGTAGATACCATGGTGGTCATTTTATTCTTGGATGGCTTATCAAGCGTTAAAGCAGAAAAAAGGGTTTGTTGGTGTTAGTGGAGGCCCGTTCATATAATCAATTCAGTCTGGATTAAGAACTGTCTGCTAATCTCATAAAGCAACTCCACTTTAAAATTTCAATGCTGTATCAGAGATTTCCCGCCCTAGGCTTCTTCACTTCCAGCAAACTGATCATGCCGATAACAAGCTGATCTCTCACTGCCGTCTTAACACTTACCATGGATCCTATTTTGCGGTTACCGATGTCTGAACACGAATGTAGCCGACGTATCCGATGGCGTTTGGGCTGGTTTCATGGAGGCCACCAAACTTATTGCATTAAACATCCTTCGTCGTTCATTACAAAATCCCATGCTATCTCCAGTCTCCACATAAAGCCTGAGACTCCCTCCAACTGTCAGTGATCCACTCTCACACGTTCTTAACCGTCTTCCTACCCATCCGCTCAAAACTCTATCTCAAGTACAAGAATGGCATTTTCGATGGACCATACTTTGTCTCACGTCTTGTATGAACTCGACTATTTACACCACTCTCAAGAGCCTCCTTCGCCTCCTCTGTTAAGACATCTATTCCTCGACTGGTTGGCCTCTTCTTCCCTTCCTCTCAATAGACCATCATTCTTTTTACCCTTGTGCCCGAAGGGGTTATACTACTTAGCCTTTCGGATCTGCCCGGGCAATTTAGATAAGTTGCGTATATCGTGTCCATTGGCCTTAGAATTAAAAATTTAAATCTCTGTAATTTCTTTTTTTAGCGTAGTAATGAATTATTTTATTTGCTTCTCTGATATGGCTGGCTTCTACAGTTGAAGACTTTCAGCCTTTCAGGGTCACTAAGAAGTTGCTTACAATCCTATTCATGAATTGTGTTGGTGTACGGCAATAAATCAACCATTATTTTTTTGATTTGCGTGTATTTTCTAATAAGAATATCATTAATGATTACAAATTTACCTGTGATTGCTATTTTGCATTATTGTACTTTACCGCAAAAACTTCTCCAAATCAACGCAGTCAGTACTTAAGCCTGCAAAATCCAAAGTAACCAGGCAAACTTTATTCTTTTCATTGAGAAATGAAAGTAGATCTACGGGGAAAAAAATGTTACTATTCATTCCTTTTTTAAAAAAGTGCTGATAGCTAACCTTGAGTATTTCCTGATACATCAAGTCCTTTCATCTCTTCAGTATTTTTAAAATCCCTTTTTTCGATGGGATCAGACGCACGACAGCAGGGAGAAGCAAATACCTCATCCACCAACGACCTTTCTTTGAGTTTAATACTCATGTTACGTAGAAGGCTAAGCCTGGTTTCCTTTGCCTCTGATCCAGGGGATTTCCTCATATACCCTATCACGGTAAAACCATCCTTTTTCAAGACCCTTATATGATTTTGATATAAGGGGAGGAAACATACGATGCTTTGAACCACTTCGTCTATAGAGCTGTATTTAGTAACTTGAATCTTTGAAAGTATCAATTAGGTTGGTTTTTTTTTGGTTTTTTTTACCTAGATATTCACTTTTTAGAACATAAAGAGACCTAGTTCTTATTCTTTGTGAATCATCTGTACTATTTATTCTTTTTGCGTTCATTTCTAAAAGATCGAGTTTTTGGTGTGAACACCATTTGCTGAAAGAGTTGACCGTGTTGTCGTCAAATAACTCACAGTAGTTCCAAACAAGACTTAGGATTTGCTTCATTGAAACTGTTTTACAATCGTAAACAAGAGCATTGTTTGGGTTAATCGGCAAATACACTAAGTTTAGGAATTGCTTGACTTGTGCATTTGTTACTAATGTGGTATTTGACGACTTGTAGAGTTAAATATCACTTAGTTAAAACAATAAAAAGTTAACGAGATCAAACTAGTACAGTAGGTTTTTATTTTGAATCAAGTCAAGTTCAAAGAGAAGAAAAATATCTACTGCAAAAATTTAAATATCTTCTTCATATTGCGGAACCTAGAAACTGACAGCTTAGTTATTCTACTCAAAGAAGACGTAAAAGAAGAGAATTCTCCCTTGAGGAGATTACGCATCTACCCGGAGTGGGTGGACTTGTAAACGTATCCATGGCTTGATCTAGTGATCATGCAACTAACCTATTTTCCCGTGCTAACCATTATTGTAGCACTGCTTGCAGGAAAATAGTATTAATTAGGAAAATGATATTCGTGTGTGGTGTTTGAGTTGAGTGAACAGTTATTGTAAAGGATGATCACAAACTATTATCTTGTAATCATTCTTTATGCCGAAGGCAGAGAATAGTACTTATAACCTATTATACCTTGGTGTTGAATCAATATATCCTGCATGTCCATATATTAATTCTACTATATATCCCATGTCATATAGTAACGTATCATAGCAAAATAAGTAAACTATATATCCTAAATGACAACCTGTTCAGCCTTATACGAGGTAGCTAATCACGTATAAGAATTATCACTTATTCTATATTTGTTTCCTACTCTACTTTATATTATTTCAGCAGTAATGAGGTGTGAGGATCTTGTATAATTTGTATACGAGTTCTCCACATCTCATATGATGCTGTCAACTAAACACAACACTTAATTCACGGTTCTCATATATTAGAGTTTATGTAGTTTCTAATTATTTCTGGTTTGCAATATTGTATAATTCATCTTTATCCTTCATAAAGTGAATTATATCTTTAATGTTTGTATATCATCTACCCTCAAATACGACAACTAAGTAAAAGCAAAAAGCTGTTAGAACTGAGTTTTTTTGCAACATTTTGTATTCCTTTTACATAGCTGGTTGCGATTATTCATTGCTGAGAGCTCATTACTCTCTGCTTGCGTATTGCCAATATAACTTTGAAAGCGAAAAGGATTCTGAATGATCTTGACCTTATTAATCAAGACAGGCTCTGTGGGATCATCAATGTAACATATTTCGACGTCTTCTATCTCTTCAAGTTTCTTTTCTAGCTTTTTTACGTTCTCCTCTGTGTATTCTTTGATAAAAAACATGCATAGAGCTTGTTGACGCGTGATAGTAACCATTTGAATTTTTGAAGAAAAAAAGAACAGATGGGAAAGAAAAGGCTCATTCGGCGTAAAAAAAAATTACCAATAAGTAATTTGTAAAATAGGAACACAGTATGTACTCTAGAGACGAAAGCGGGGTAACTGAAATAGGAACAGACAGGAACGGATGCATATTTTGTAAGATGTGATTTGAGAGAGTGCATATCAAGCGACGAAATTGCGGGGTAACCAAAATAGGAAAATACAAGAACAAATGCATATTTAGTACATGTGATTTCAAAGTTCTACTTTCATTACCTTGTTACTTCTTCGTTTTACAATTGTCGCTTGACTATTAAATAGATACCATTTTCTCACTGCTTAAACAGAACATATACTGTACAAGAAAGCGACTAGCAACTTATATACAGTATATGGACCACGTAGACCATGTAGACCATGTAGACCACGTAGATTATATCAGGTATATATGGACCACGTAGACCACGTAGACCATGTAGATTATATCAGGCATATATGGACCACGTAGACCACGTAGATCACGTAGACCATGTAGATTATATCAGGTATATATGGACCACGTAGACCATGTAGATTATATCAGGTATATATGGACCACGTAGACAACGTAGACCATGTAGACCACGTAGATAATATCAGGTATATATGGACCACGTAGACAACGTAGGTGTGATATTTCTGGATGTTTAATTTCGTGAACGCGACTTATAAGAGATGTAAAACTGTAGGTGAAATGAGTCTCCTTTAGTCCTATATTATACACTGAAAATCAGAGAGAGGCAAACTGAATGTTTGTATTTAAAAATGAAAAAAATAAAACAAAGTCCTCGTTCCTTGATTTCTCTACCAGTAGGAATGCAGCATTATATATGCGGCTTGTCTCTAAAATACAACAAGATGGCATAGACTGGTGTTATTATGATTCTATGATCATAATAACGTGTCTATTATTTGAAGTGTGACTAATTCGTGTTTTATATTCTATACGGTATGGATACAATACATTCTCTTGTATCGTTATTTATTATACGTTTGACTTTAAGTTCAAATGTATGCAAACAAACCGACCGCTTACCAAACTGGAACGAAGATATAGGCAGTGCGTATATTTGAGATCAGAGTTTTATTTTGATATTTCGTTGGGTGTTGCGTATGATTATTTGCTTATTTGAATATATTGACATCGTGCCTCAAATACAACAACTTCAATGCCAAAAAAACAAACTATGGTGTACTATATGCTGTCTCAATCTACGTGGTCTACGTGGTCTACGTGGTCCATATATACCTGATATAATCTACGTGGTCTACGTGGTCTACGTGGTCCATATATACCTGATATAATCTACGTGGTCTACGTGGTCCATATATACCTGATATAATCTACGTGGTCCATATATACCTGATATAATCTACGTGGTCTACGTTGTCCTCTGCATGGTCAACGTAGAATTAGGTTCATATTTGAACCCACGATGGTGATGTAGTTTAGCAGCTACTCATTCCTATAGATGTTGTGAGGAAGTGGGATTGGCCTTTGATAATAGCTCAAAGGAATGACGAAAGATAAAAGGCAAGAATTGCAAAAGTTTTGGAATTGTGATTTTTTTACTTGGGTTCGCACCATGTCATTTCCAAATATTTTAGATTGTACAAAAAGACCTCTTTTCTTCCGTCTTTGCTAGGCTTTCGTTTGGTCTTCCTGTGAAGGTTAGGATGATGTTTAAAAGTGATATTGGTGAGAGCTTTATAAAGTCACTAGATAAAAGCAGATTCCGATTCGACAGTATACAAGCTCTCTGACACTACAATCCTTTTAATTCTTCTAAAGAATAGGAAAAGTGCTGGCCATTGACTTATAATAATCCAGCTATACAGATAAACAAATGTTTCACATATGAATGAATGAGTTGCTAATTTCGCTGCTTGAGGCTAATAATACTTTTTTTTAACTTTTTTAATAAATCTCACAGCATAATGTCTCTCATTTGCTCCATGTCTGAAGTGAATAATGATATTTGATGGAGAAGGTGAAGGAGGCTTATGAAGAATATGCCAGATCCACTGAGGCTGATATTCAAGTTGCAGATACAGATAGCATGCATTCTGTCCTGAAGCTGCCTCAGGAGGAGGTTATTATATTGTTGTGCATAAAAGCTCTCGCAGAAAACAGTCAATTGATTATTCATTGATTGTGGGCTACAACTGCCATAAAAAAAGTCTGCCATTTGACCAAGATAGACTCAAAGACTAGACGAGCCTTTGCTGCTCGTTTTTTTTTCAACTCATTTTCTTTCAATCAAAACGAAGCATGTCTTTCGTCTTCTCCATACAAGTAGAAATTAACTTGTTCGCAAAATCTGACATCAAACAACAGGGGCAGGTCGTCAGTCAGTAGGGATATTGAGTACCATATAAGTTGTAATAACTGATGATGGAAGCATGTAGTGTAGTTTCTACTGACTAAACTGTTGGTTTGACTAAGGCATGCCACCATGTGAGTATATTGCACTCAGCATTGAGCTTATAAATGTTGACTTCGAAGGCGTACAAAGAAGGAGATCGGTAACGATATTGGCACATTGGAGGCTGAGACGCTTCGGTTCTTTAGCGATCATATTCGACAGCCAAGCAGCGGGCGGCCGGATCGTATTACGTATATCAGAGCTATCATACTCTTCAACTACTACTACAGATGATACAGATGCTGCAGCACTTTTGACCAACTGCTATTGCTATTGCTGTTGCTGTTGTTGTTGTTGTTGTTGTTGTTGTTCAACTGCAGGTTCACATATTCTCTTCAACAATTGCTCGAATTGTTCTCTTCCTACGTTCAGTATTGTTTACAAAATCAAATATTATTTGTGTGTCATCAACCCAACCCACCTTTTTTGAATGGGCCCATTTTGTTGACAGTTTTCAATATTTCAGAAAAGAGAAAGAAAGAGGATAGTTCTTCTTTTTTCCTTCTTATTTATGGACGCAAGCCAACTTTTGTTCCTGAGTCTTGCGCATACTGGATCTTAAAATCAGCGCGTTCAACGCCTATTATTGGCTGATGCCGGTCTTTAAAAAACTAAAACTGCCCGTTGAAAATCTAAACTTCCCTATGGCCGTACCCTCCGTGAACGATCTCGTACTCGAAACTGGGGAAAAACAAAGAAACCCCTTCAGTAGTATCTATGACATAAGCCCACGTTTGGCTACAGTCTTAAGCACGTTATCAGGCCAAAATGAACGATATTAAAGCAAGACATTGTCAGGAAAAGAACTCCATCTACGCTAGGATGGTCAAATACTCGAATGCGGAACGAGACAATAAACAAGCAAGTCATGAATGTGTTGGGCGCCAAAAAAAAAAGGGACAAGTCTACAGTCACATTCTACAGACCCACTTAAAGGGGGCTACATACCCATCTATGTAGGAGTCTTTTTCTTTTTCCATGACGGGGATAGAGGGATGACCCCTCATTGAATAACGATGGGCCCCGTTTATAAGAAGCAGCAGTTTGAGCGGAAAAGAAATTGGCTCCAAACACTGAGACTCACTGCTTGTGAAAAAAGTGAATGTATGGAAGGGGACGATTTGAATCTGCCCACACGGAATAAACACTGTGCTTGTTGATGGGTTGTAGAATGATAAGACATACACTCAAATGTATTTAGCATTTTACTGTGTGCACTTTTTACATCAGTTTATGAATATAAAGCCTTTTTGCTAAGGTTATAAGTCTTATTTATTGAGTCAGCTGTTCTTCCTCTACTCATGACGTTTGCGGTTAGACCAAAATAAGCCCCATTCTTGGCAAGGTTTGGGCTTAAAAAATTTATTTATGTTTATTTGCTAAGCGAGGAGATCGTCATTCCAAGACAAGCGCTGAACTTGGGCATCGCCTGTTGTATGTCGTCTGAATCTTTCATCAACATCAAACGCCACGAGTTATCGACCTGCTTGCTTGCTACGTCTCGAAAACTCGTTGGAAGAGCGCTCTTCGACCCCGCCCCCGGACCCCCTTTGAAAGCTTTTCGCCCCCTCATTGCTTCTCTTCCTCCCTTTGATTAAGCTTTATTCTTTCTCGATAGATAAAATTTGAGATGAAGTCCAGCCCATGTACCTGAAGAAAAAGTGAGTCGTTATCACTCGTGATCTGGAGCAAGAACGGAGAAAGCGCTTTTTCTGTTCTTTTAAAACCAAAAATGGACTATCTTTTTGATGTTATCCAATCAGAAACCTAGAAGAAGAAAGTTTATCGCTAAAAATAGATGGGATCTACCAAAGATATTTGTACCTTTTTCTGTGTATGTGTGGGTGTATGTGTGTGTTATGTGTCAAGGTCCCACTAAAGTATTAGTCATTTCAAGTTCCACCTCCTAATTTTATTAGTTTAATCAACTTTTTTTTTTTTTTTCATTTCTGTTTTACTTTCTTCTTCTTCTTCTTCTTCTTCTTCTTCTTTATTATTTCAGTGAACAAGGGAGCACATATAACTCACCTTCCACTCGCCCTTTACATAGCTATCATTTATATATATCCCTTTTAACAAAAAACATTGGCCAACCATGATGCTATTATCAGAAAAGGCAACTAATTTGTATACATCTAGTCTGCGAGGAAATCGACGGCTTATCGTCTTTATCGTAGCCATCATATCATTCATCACATTATCGTTCTTTACACTCTCCAAAGCATCGTTCAGTTTAGGTGGTGGCGGCGGATGTGGCAGAACGATTCGATCACTGAATGAAGCTGTCGCCTTTTCATCTTCTACAGGCAGCAGCAATAGCAATGGTTTTTTCTCCATTCACAGGAGCGGCAGCAGTGCTGGGCAGGCTAAATTTATCAATTTGAACGACTTGGAAGCGACAGCAAACGCAAAAGAAGAACAGCAGCATGTGCTGATCCTCACGCCTGTCAAGAACGCAGAGGCGTATTTAGAGAGATATTTTGAATTGGTGGATCGACTTTCGTATCCCAAAGATCTGATCACGATGGCCTTTTTGGTGTCTGATACCACCGACAATACAGTCCAGATCTTGAAAGACAAAGCCGATGAATTTCTGAACCGACCTAACCCTTCTGAACGCTATCACGAGATTGCCATCTATGAAAAAGACTTTAACTTTCAACTACCAGAGGATAAAAGACACACGTTTGAATTACAGCCTTTGAGAAGATCCTTTATGGCACGTTCCAGGAATTACTTGCTCACAGCAGCGCTTCGTGAATACCATTCCTGGGTGCTTTGGTTGGACGTCGATGTGGTAGAGTATCCTGAAACGATCGTGGAAGATCTTCAAAGTGTCGATGTCGACGTCGTGGTGCCGAATTGTTTACTGCAAACAGAAGATGGTTCTTTCTGGGCTTACGACAAGAATAATTGGCAGGAAACCGAACGATCGATCGAGCTGCAAAAGGATCTGGATCCTGACTATGTGTTGCTCGAAGGCTATTACGAATTTTTAACCAACCGTTACCTGATGGTCGATATGCCAACGCATTTGGGAAGATTTAAAAAAGTGCCTTTGGATGGTGTAGGTGCTACTTTCACGTTGGTCAAAGCGCAAGTGCACCGAGAAGGCGCCAACTTTCCACCCTATGTCTTTCAACATCAAGTGGAAACGGAAGGCTTTGCCAAGATGGCCAAGGCGATGGGCTTTGGCGTCTATGGTTTGCCTGGGTATCTTATTTACCATATCCGCAACTCTTAATTGCCCTATCCCGACAATGGACACTTTGTCACTTTTTTATGTATTTACAAAAACATCATGCGCCAAACATAGTCATCCTCAGCACACACACACATATACACAGTTTTCTGTATTATTTTATTTATTTCTCTCTTAATTGTTTTGTTTTTATGTATACACTCATTGGTTATACTTTATACTACCATTTAATTTACCTTGCTACACAAAGTACACTATCTACGCTTAATTATGTCACGCAACGCTACTTTTTTCAAACTAGAACGGCTTTGCTCATTTGAATGCATTAATAAAAACAATGACTTACATATCCACTTGACATTGGTTCCCTTATAGAGAGGCACGGGTATAGCTTTCGTTAACAATCAAATATTGGATATGTTTCACAATGATGAAGCTTAAAAAAATCGTGCTAAAAAAGGATGCGTCCCACATTTTTTGTTGCCCTATATGAGACAGGACGACGATCACAACAGAAAAAAAAAAAAAAAAAAAAAAGAGAAAAGAGATCGTCGTACCTGAATTCATCGTACACCGACTACACAGAAAATAGAAAAGGTGAAACCCAATGTCTTCTTTTCTTGGTGGCCTTTTCCTTGTGACAAAGGGGGCTTTTCTGTATCCATTTTGACGACTCGATAAACAAAAAGAGACAGGCGAGAAGGATCCACCTTCCTCTTGAACGCGCAATTTGGATGAAAAAGGAGCCTTCATTGGAGGGTAATACAACAGGTCCCTTTTTCTGTCGTGTCCTCTACTGTCGTGCTTGCGTTCGTTCGCCCTCTTGCATGGTCATACAAACGACCGAGCACAAAGACCGTGAACTACCAAGGATGTGCATGTCCAAGTACCTTTTTCATTAGCTCAACAATTAAGAATCCCAATAGAAATCAATAAGGAGCTACTCTTTTTGGTTTCAAGATCTTTGTCCAAGGCGGGAAGGTGACAATGAGCATCCTTTTTTTGTTCCACTTTCAGGATTGGAAAACGTTTCTCTCGCAGATCATTCTGATCACAATAGGATACATCCACTTTTGGGTGAGATAGAGAAGGACAGACATCTTAATGGCAGACTAAGAAACGATGCCAGCGACAATTCATTCGCAAGATGCAGGGCTTCAAGGTTGCTACAGTAGAACGAATGAGCTTTCGAGAGTCTTGACTTTATTCTTTTGCATTCATATTCTTTCAGAAAAGAGTTTAGCTTGCTCAGTTCATTATTTTGGGTTTTTAAAAAAAAAAAAAGGTAGCCAGCAGTTTACAACTGGTATTTGTGTGTCCTTTTTAAAAACACCATAGGGTCATAAGCCTGACTGTTACAACACTTTTTCATTGGCATCCATTGTGACAAAAAACACTAAACTCAAACTCAGGACGATAGAAAAAGGCGGGCATTTTTTATTATGAAATTAAACCCAAACTCCTTTAGCACTGATCTAGTATGTCAATAGGCATGACTCTATAAAAGACGATCTTTATCCTCGGGTGTCATGCGCACGGTTCTTGCCCTGCTCTTATAATCATCCCACGGAAAATACGCACCACACATCTTTCGATGTCCGGTAAAAGCACTGCGACCATGCAACACACGCCAATTATCAAAAGTCACAACACGGCCAGGCGGTAGAGGATCCCACAACTCGTTCTTGGCCGACTGGACCAGATCATGCCACATAAACAAGGCGTCGTAAAACTCCTCCAATTGACTCGAGCTGAGGTGATCCAACGTGGATCGATCGTCGTTATTGAAGCGAATTTGATACAGCTCGCCGTCTGGCCCATGGTTGAGGATCGGATAAGCTCTCGGGGTCGGTACGATCCATACCTGATCATCGCCCGCCGCATGTGTCGGCACGGGCGTATTGGACAAGACACGATAAGCGTTGGGTGAGGTCGCCTTGAGCTGTTGTGCTACTGCCAATCCATCCACAAACAACGAATCGCCGCCTTGCCCCTCGCATTCTAATTTATGGAACATTTGCAACCCAGCCGGCTCGGTAAAATACGTATTGTCGGTGTGCGCGCCCAGCGCTAATTGTGTATAAGCTGTATCGGCATGCGCTAAATCGGCTGTGAAGGACCACATGCCTTGTGAATAATGCGTTTCTCTCAAAAAGCACAAGCGACGCGCCAACTTTTCTGTCGCTTCTACCGTCGTCGGCACGTTCTCCACAAACGATATCCCATAGACCTCGAGCTGATCCAGCCATTGTCTCAGTCCGTCGTCTGTGTTCATTACATCGTCATACGCCAGACGGTCGAGTCGGAGATCTGAACCCCACGTTCGACGCCTTTTCCCAGCGAGAGACTGCTCAGAGAGGGTCCGCATCACAGGGCTGTAAGAATGAGTGTATAACCAGTCCCAGGCATACTTTGACTGATGTCCATCCGGCCAGGTAATCACGAGGCCTTCTGCTGTGCTGTCCACGGCCGTTGGATGAATAGAACGAGGAATAGCAAACGTGTTGACCAGTCGTTGTCGAGTCACCGGGTGATAGCATTGCTCACAATGACAATGGTCTCTGAGCCAAAAATGATGATAGACACTGGTTTTACGACTGTTCCAATCCACATACACCTCTTTGTCATTGGCGATACCGGCCCTTCGAGGGACATCCCCTGTGCCTGGTAACTGTTTCTTAGCGTTAGGTCGGTGTAAACGAGGCACTGTCGAGGAAAACAGCGCGCGTTGAGCTGTTTTGGGTACATTCAACGTACTGAAGACATGTTGTCGTCGTAGGAACCGCTGAAAGGAGGAGATGAAAACCCTTTGCATTTTTTTTGTTCAATAGGATATTAATATATGTAAAAAAAAAAGAAAAAAAAAATGAGGGGGCGGGGATCCGCTCTAAATGCTCATTTTTTTCTTTTTTTGTTTGTAATCGTTTTTTGTATTTCAGCAGCCCAAAGAGTGAACTATTCAACAACAGAGAATCGTTCTTTCAAACCCGCCTTTCCATCCTGTTACAATCAACCTACGAAGCCTACGTGGCGCCTTCCATATCAGCACCCTTTCAAGCTCGGCCCCTCTTCTTATCCCCATGCAAGCCGTCCAACGTAGTGAGGGGCATGACTAATACAAATAGGAACCAAAAGCTATCACACAAAAAAAATAAATAAATAGAAAATAGAAAAATTTTCCCTGCAATTCAACTGGTTCAAATCTTTTGAAAAGGCTGACACTCAAAAAAATCAGTGCTTTGAAATCATTGTGTTGGCATAGAGACCCTCCAAAAAAAAAAAAAAAAAAAAGTGGGCAGCCAGCTTTTTTTTTTTTTTTTTTGTGGCGAGCTCACATTTTTCCCTTTTTCCAAATCCTTTTTCTTTCTTTTACCCTTTTTCTATTTCCTTTTCATTTATTCATCGTTTCCTTAATGTCTTATTACGGAGACAGAGATCGCGGTGATCGCAGTAGCAGAGGAGGCGAAAGAGATAGACCTAACCCCTGTAGACTGTATATCGGTAACGGATAACCATTCTCCATACTTTGTACAGGTTGTTGAGAGACGCTAACACAAACTCATTCTTTGAACACTGTATCTACAGGTAATATTAGTCGTTATGTACGCGAGTCTGATATAAGAGATATCTTTGGTCGTTACGGCAAGATCAAGGATTTACTTTTCAGAGTGAGTTCACCAGGACATTCAGTCTCCTGCCATCGTTCATCTGGACATTAACACTTTTTTTTTTTCTTTTCTAATGGTAGGATGTTTACTGCTTTATTGAATTTTATGTTTGTATCCAACCGTCTTTATTTCTTTTCACGTACCTTTTTTCTTTGGAAAAAAAAAAAAAAAAGTTTCAAAAAATGACTCAACCCTTTATGACCATTTTCTTTCATGTCTTTTGGTGCCTTTTTCACTGTATAGGATGTCAGAGGTAAAAATAGTTACAAGTAAAAAGGTCATGAGCTCATGGATTGACACACATTTTATTTTTCTGTCAGATGCTGATGATGCTACAAAGGAACTCAATGGTCATAAACTTGAAGGCGAAAGATTAGTCGTTCAAGTGGCCAACAGAGCCCGTGATAAGGGTAGCGACCGCGACAGCCGTCGTGATCGTGATCGTGGACGCGACCGGGACCGTGAGTATAGCAGCAGACGAAGAGACGACAATGGAGAGAGATGTTATAACTGTGGTGATTTCGGTATGTATATAAAAAAGCAAAAAGGGAAGAGACTCGTGTAAAGAGGTTAAACTAAAGTTGCCTTTTGATTTTTAGGACACATGTAAGTATCGGATGTGTAGTATGAACAAATGGATAGGGTTACTGATATCACCTATTTTCTTACTTGGACTTTTTTTTTTTTTTTAACGACACAGTGCAAATGAATGGTAAGTTGAATCATACGCTGTTCTTTGTGTATAAAGTGTTGCTAACCATTTTCTTTTCATTCATGGGTTAGTTCTTTGCCAAAAGGAAGGTAGGATCGGCAATCCATCGTATGAATGCTTACGGGGGAACCGTTTAGAGGAATTAAACATACTTATTATTCCATAGTGGAGAACGTGCCATGAGATTCCAAAAAGGTGTTTGCTTGTAAGTGTGCATTTCTACTCGTCATTACAACATGGGCAATAGGATTTATGGATGCTAACTACTACTACTACTACTACTACTACTACTTTTGTTACAGTGAATGTGGTCAAACGGGTCACAGAGCTCGTGATTGCCCGTAAGTAGATTAAACTGCCTTTGAGCTTCTTAACCTAAAGCAGTCTGCGGCATAGGGCTCGTAGGCAGGAGCATCCTGTAACACTCATCCATTCTGTTTTTCATTTATTTATTGATTCATTTTTCTAGTGATAGAGACAGAGATAGAGATGATAGAGGTAGAGACAGATCGAGAAGACGTCGTTCTTCTCGCTCACGTTCACGTAGCCCTCGCAGACGCTCTCGCAGCCCACGTCGACGCTCCCCTAGCCCTAGAAGATCTGTCAGCCCTCGTAAACGTTCCAGCAGACGTTCGCGCAGCCCTCGTCGTTCTTCACGCCGTCGTTCCGACAGTCGCTCCGTCAGCCGTAGCCCTCGTCGTCGTAGAAGCAGCCGTTCATCCAGCAGAGGCAAAGATCGCTCTATCAGTCCCGTGAAAAGACGTCGCTCTTCAGATGCCAACCAACAAGAAGATGAGCCTATGAATGATGCCTAAACCATCCTAATCGTGTCGTTTTTTCTTAAAAAAAAAAGTTAAGAAACTCACAAATTGAAACTCCCAATATGATCTCGATTTTTCTGTGAAAATGACGTAAATTCTGTGTTGATAATAAAAAAAAAAAAAAGACGTTTGTTATTCTTGGTGTCTATCTTTATCGCTTCCAACTCTCCCTCACTCTCTCTCTCTCGTCTCCTTTGCTTTCGTTGTTGACACAATTAAACAATATGCCGATCGTGTACTCATTTGCTGACGGAGATGCGCTGTCTGGTGGTTTGAATAGTTTCGTTGAGAAAGTATCGCGTGATGCTATTGCTAATCATGGTTATCTCTCGGTCGCGATCTCTGGTGGTTCATTACCCAAGATCTTGTCCAAAGACCTAAAGACCAACAAAAATGTCGAATTTGACAAATGGCATGTCTTTTGGGCAGACGAACGTTGCGTGCCTCACGATCACGAGGACTCCAACTATCTCGAGGTGCGCAAGTCGCTCTTGGACCATATCCCTCAACTCCAGCAAGCCAACATTCATCCTATTCATGAAGCCTTCGCCACCGCCAAGGACACAGAAAAGGCGGCGGCAGACTATGAGCAGCAATTGAAATCTTTTTTCAAAACGAACGAATGGCCAGCCTTTGACCTTATCCTGCTCGGTATGGGCCCGGATGGTCATTGTTGTTCTTTGTTTCCCGGTCATCCTTTGTTGGATGAAAAGACCCGTTGGGTAGCTCCCATCAATGACTCTCCCAAGCCTCCACCAGAACGTATCACATTGACGTTCCCTGTCCTCAATCATGCTCGTTTAGTCGTCTTTGTCACTGCCGGCGACGGCAAGAAGGACATGGTACAGCAAATCATTGAACAGCCCGAAAAGAACCTACCTTGTCAAAGAGTAAAGCCTTCAGAGGGTCATGTCTATTGGTTTATCGACGATGCAGCTGCTTCAAAATTGAGAAAGGAGTCTTGCTCAGAATACAAATGATAAGAAAAAAGTCGCGTGATGCCTTGATGGATCATTGGCTTTTCCCCCCCCCCGCCATATAACTAGCTTGGGTGTCGCCCTTGTTGGCCCACTCATTTCCCTTCCCTTCAATAGTTAAGAATAAATCTTGGCAGCAAGTGGTTTACTTGCTGTTTGTCATTTATTTTGCCCATGTAGGATGATATCGAGGAAACAACGCCTATGCCCGTTAGCTATGGAGAAAATGGACCCATGAGTGATGTAAGTGGCTGTATCTAAACAATGTCTACGAGACCTTTTTCTTTTCACTGAAAGCCTCCTACGCTGGTATGGCATGCGTTTTGTTTATCTGGAATGTGCTTCGTTCTGCGAGTCTTATAATCGAACAAAAGCAGTAAACCGGTCGCGTTCCTATTCGATATAAAGTAGAGCCGACGAATATAAGAAACGCAGGCTGTAGGAATGCTCAAGTAAGTTGAAGAGGACAGTGCAAATAAGTAGTACTTGGGTAATAAGCAGCAACCTATTTAGGACCCACTATTGAATGGAACGCTTGTTCATCTTGATGACACCACCACACACACATGCCGAGCTGAGATATTTTTCTTTTTTTCCCAAAAATGCATTCCCATAAATGTTTAAAAAAAGCATGTAGAATGCAGTTGGGTTTATTTTTATTTTTCTTACATTCTTCGGTAGAAGCGATATTTTTGAGTTTATCCCCCTCCAAAAACATAAACAGTAAAAAAGTGTCCTATTCTACTAGAAAGACATTGACTATGAATAGCTTTTGCTACTCCCCATCGTGCCAATCCCATAAAACTGACTGGCATGATACTCAAGGCCTCAGCATGGCTCAGAGATCGTCCTTTGATACTATTGTCAAGAAGAAATGGACACGGATAGGTTAAATGAGTAAAATCGTGGGGTACAATTGGTCTAAGGGGGTCGCTTTTGCATCAAATAGTTTTCCCTGAATGTCCAAATATTTGACCCTGATCATTTCAATCCATCAGAGTTCATATATTATTTGTTAAAAACCAAAAAGATGGGAAGGCCAGACGCATTCGACCCTTCAGTAAAAGTATATAAATAAAACGTATCCCTTCTGAACGTTCTGGTCATTTTCTATCCCTATTGTTCACCATAGAATTTAGGTAACTTACAATGGCTCGCCTAACACAAATTTGTCTCGCTACACTTGCTTTATTGGTTGTCGCTACAACGGCTGCTCCCCATCCATTGAACACCCGCGATGTTCATCAATACCATACTACTGAAGTAGTGGATCGTCACCACCTCAGCCGTCGGTGCGAGAGTCAAGACAATGACGGAGAAGAGTGTCAGGACAATTCCGAACAAGACAATGACCATGAATGTAACGAATGTGCAGACAATGACGATGACGATCAAGATGATCATGATGACCATCGCAATGTCGTTGCTCACCATGAATATATCCATCGTACATGGACCGGCGAGGGTCAGCGCCACAGACACCATAAAAGATGTTCCGACGATAACGGCGATGATTGCAAACAAGAGGAAGACCACGGCTGTGAAGACCACGACTGTCAAGACAATGACTCTCATGACGACAACGACGATCACGATGATCACGATGACCATCGCAATGTCGTTGCTCACCATGAATACATCCATCGTACATGGACTGGTGATGGTCGACGCCACAGACATCATAAAAGATGCTATAACCACGGTAATGAGGGCCGTATTGAAAGCAGTAACAATGGTGAACGTGGTGAAGGCCGTGGTGAGGACCGTGCTAGATTTGGTGACAACGACCGCGATGGAGACCGTGCTGGATTTGAAGGTGATGACCGTGCTGATGACCGTGATGAAGACTTTGATAGATTTGAAGGTGATGAAAACCGTGATGAAGACTTTGATAGATTTGGAGGTGTTCAAAACCGTGCTGAGGACCCTGCTAGATTTGAAGGTGATGACCGTGATGGTGACCGTGATGGAGACTTTGATAGATTTGAAGGTGATGAAAACCGTGATGAAGACTTTGATAGATTTAGAGGTGTTCAAAACCGTGCTGAGGACCCTGCTGGATTTGAAGGTGATGACCGTGATGATGACCGTGATGGTGACCGTGATGGAGACTTTGATAGATTTGAAGGTGATGAAAACCGTGATGGAGACCGTGACGAGGACCGTGATGGCGAAAATGCCAATGACTTTTTCGATGATAATGACAACGATGATCGCGACAACCAACAGCGCGAAGATGATGAGTAAATGATGTGTAGATCATATCATATCATCTTATTTGATTTTTATGTCCTAACCAAGATATCTCTCTCGCATACTGCATTTCTCGTTCTATACACATACTTGCATATTCTATTCCCTTACTTCGAAATACATCTCTAGCTCTTCTTTCGCTTTCTGATATTTCCGCATTCACAGCATTTTCATTGAATAAATGATAGATTTCCTTTGTTACTGCTCAAGTTGAATTCACGTTTCACAATAACATCCATCCATTCAAACAAAGATCGCGGATCACAAAAAGAGCTCTTTTCTTATTCAGGAACCAGTTGTCTCTCCGCTTGCATGAAAACTAAATTCTTATCAGGATGGTGTGGCTCTAATTTTTTTATTTTTCATTTTTCATCTCAGCATCCAATATACAGAGGATACCTTTTTGTACCTCCATTTTTCGTAATGCTGCTGTGGGTGTCATGACCGGGACTTTACAGTTTCAAAAGAAAAAAACTACATCATCCTCTCTTTTTTTTTTGTTTTTGTTTTCTTTTCACTTAGCATCTTTTTTTGTTATCTGTTCCTTGATCATGAGTTCATTTCAAGTTATACTTAGAGAAGGTATTGTGGGTGGTTTTGCTGGGCCTATTGTCAAGTAAGTTTCAAATGGAAAGAGTGGCCTTACGAACAAATGAATAGTTAACCATCCACTTAGTCAAGTAGTCGATATCAAAGGGGACAGTTCGGGTGCTATGATAATGCATGCTACGTTGAAACCTGATACAAAGGCTGATTATCACACTCAAGCAGGAGGTGCTTCAGCGTAAGTACAATTTGAAAAAAGAATGAAGGATGGCACTCTGCAAAACACATGATTAAGAGACGGAGCTTCATTGCACTCTATACACCATGGATAGGGAAGAGTTGTCAGACTTTTTAGATAGGCTGAAGGCGCAATTGAAAGAACTACCCACCGAAGATCCTGTGGGCAGTGAAGATATCTATGGTGAAGATGTTTCGCTCTCGTTTTTCTCTGACGAATTTCAGTGGTCTAACGGTAAGACTTCTATTTTGATATGCAAACAGAGAGAAAAAAAATGCAATATCTGACGTCAATATGTTTATCTTTTGCAGGAGGTCCTGAAGGCTGCACTCAAGGCGAATCAAACAAAAAGGCTACACCAGAACAAAAGGAAAAATTCAAAGAGCTTGTCAAGTTGGTGAAAAATGTCGGCCAACAATATGCTGTAACAGCTCAATAAGCGTTTACAATGTTCATAGTCGTTTAAAGGGTATCTATACGTTTTATTTTATTCTTCTTCTTTGCCATCCGTAGCCTGTTGTTCTTTAAGACGTGCTAAACGTTCTCTATTCCTTTTCAATAAAATTCGGTTGACATTGCTCTTTTCAATGTCGCTCATTTCGTGCCAATTGTTGATTCGACTAATGGTACCGTCTTCGTTAACAACTACAAAATGCGCAGCAAAAGTACATAACATACAGATGAGTTTCTATCGCATCCAACGTAGCTATCGTAAAATGGTAGGGTCTTACCCACTGGTCCAAGTTCTTTAAGTTTGAACGTGTCATTCACACCGACTTGTTGGACTGTCTCTTCAGCACTGGAAGGAAGGGCAAGAATAGGTTTCTTTGTTTCTTTTGTAGACATTGCCGCTTTTGCGATTAAGTTGAGGCGAGCTTTACTTTGATATGGTAATAACAAACGAATTCTTGTTGAAAGCATCAAAATAGCCAAACAAAAAAAAAGAAAATTTTGCGGGCAAATTCTAGAAACTGATGTTGTTTCCAGGAAGTGGAAGTCCGCGCTGGCATTGAAGTCCAATCGTTCACAAGAAGATCGGCGTGTTTGTTTCGAGCTGGTACGAAAGAACAGTAATATGATAAAACAGGGGAACCTATCTCATATTCAAGCATACAATATTTCTTAGCAGATGAACGATCGCCTATGAGATGCTTTGTCCTTTCCCTCAGAAACCTTTTCTTATATCTGAATAATGTAAGATTTCACTTTTCAGATGAAATCCACAAGAAAAACAACATGTTTGATTAGTATAATTGTTGAGAGTTGCCTTACAAGCGCATAAGGAAGCTTCAATATCAATAGGAGGCCAAAGTATGAGCGTTGAGTTAGCACCCAGGACAATGTCGGTACCTAAATGATAACTGCTACCTCCCACCCCATTTTGAAACTATAGGCTAGAATAACTCGAGTAGTCCAAAGTAAGTAAAGAGAACTGACGACAGCCATAAACGCAAGAAACACCAGCAGATCCATCATTGCTGGCTATCAGTTCACTTCAAAGCTGATTCTTCTACTGTGTATACATTAAATGACACTCAATTGAGAGCTAAAAAAATAGAATCGAATGGAAGCTAACTGAATGAATGTAAATAATATTACTATCAACGGTTCTTTACAGAGAAATCAATGGAATTTCAATACAGTTGAATGTTATCCTCTTTTTCAAAAAAGTTTAGTCAAAACAGAATTTAATACATGAAAAGAAATAGCATATTAATCACTATTAAGTATATGAAGGAAGAACGAAATAAGGTTGCTTTATAATATATAAGTAGAAAAGTAGAAAAGAAGGGAGGAAGGAAGCAAATTTTCTTTTAATTTACAAAATCTTCATATTGATCCATTACATTGATCGCTTCCAAATCCAATTGCATAGCATGAAGATTGTTGGCTGCAGTAGCACTTGTGGAGGTAGTATTATTGATAAATGCATTATTGTCCAGATTGATTTCAGAGTCGTATAAACAAGCGTATTCAGGCTTGTATTCAGGCATCATTCCCGGTGTATAACTATAGTTGTAAGTTTGTTCGTGTAATTCCCAAATGCCACGTCGTACCAAAGGCCTGTCCTTTGTTGGCTTTGTAAATTCAGGGTCTTTGTCAACATTTTCAGGCAAACTCAAATCGATACCGTCTGTAGCTGTCACTTCGACATAAATGGTATAACTACGCATATCATTCACAATACAACGCATCCAGCCTCTAATGTTTTGGCCAGCATTCACAGCCAATGGTTCCTTGAATAGGAAACGTACTTGCTGCCAATGTGTGCGATCGGCAGCGGGGCCTGTAGACATCTCAATTACAGTGGATGTCAGGTCGTTGTTGTTTTTGGATGTCTCGTTGTAAGGCGGAGGAGCAAAAATTAAATCGAACCAACCTGCCACACCGTGCATAAGCCCTGTATAATGAGCTGTCCATTGAAAAGGGATGGTCATATCTAATAATTGCTCAATTGTAGTGGTTGCAAAGTCAACAGGATAAGCGTCGAACAAAGTAGGTGTGGTGATCAAATTGCGAGGATCAAAGTGGCCCACAACAGGCATACCAAACATTTCGTCGCGGGCTTCTTTATAGAGCGATGACAGGTCGATATCGTAAAATGACTTTTGTTCCCAAAATCTTGCTTTTGCCATCGTTTCACTCCAAAGGGTAGCATCAGTAAAAGGAGCAAGATAAATGTTTCCCTTGGATGGAAAGAGAGCACCTCCAGGCTTTAAGTAATGATCTCTTGCATAAATGTAACTTTCTAACTTTTGGATCAATCCCATGGTATATTAGAAACGAATTCATTCAAAGCAAAAAGTTTCTTTGTATCGTTCGATTACCATTCTTTCATGGAATAACAGAACCCCAATGGGTTCCGAAATAATGGTGTCGACTTGAGGGATAGGCAAATCGGGGTCCTCAATTTTGGCTATGTAGGGACAGTTATCAGACGTTTGCATGCGTCAAGAAATGGTTTCTTTATCTGATTACCATTGATAACTTCAATTTTGTCTTTCATAAATGGGTTGTTTTTCCCTTCGTTGGCATCGCTTACAATTTTCTTCATTTTGTTTGCCATGCCAGACGCTTCCACTGCATAGACCTTCTTAGCGCCGGCTTGAACGGCAAAATAAGACAGGATACCCGAGCCTGCACCCACATCCATCACAGTTTTATCCTTAAAACAGTTTGAATTAAGCAAGATGGACGATCGATAGGTTGATGTGCGAACAGTATCTTGAAGCATATTTTGCTGCAATAGCATACACATTTCTATTTTTTAGTCACGCGTTGCTCTTCTCTCTCTCTCTCTCTCTCTCTCTCTCTCTCTCCCGTTGTTGTATATAACTATTGAAGCCCTATCTTACTTGGTGTTGTAGCTGAGCATAGTAGCCAAAATATTGAGGATCCCGGTGTTCTACACCAGGCACATTGGAGCTCATTCCTTCGTTCGCGATTAAACTTTTTTTAAAATGAGAGATAAAAGAAACAAGAAAAGAAGTAACACAGTAACAAAAAACTTTCTAATGGAGTCAAAAATTCGATGAACGTTCTATTTCCTCATACCAGCCAATGGTGATGATGTGGTAAGTATCTATGCATGTATCTAAAACACAGGTGTACCCACTATCCGCGTGAATAGCAGTTCAATAGGGTCGTAGCTTGCGGATGCTTGTTATTCGCATGGAACTGTAGATTATATTTTTGCGTTTCTGGTTTGACATGTTGTGCAGCTTCTAGGTTTAGCGCCGGTTGATTGGCTGGACCAGAAGAAAAAATTGGTTAAAGAAAAAAAACGGGCCATCAGGCGATACACTTTTGATTTATTTTGCATTGTTGCTGTGTATTTTCTTTTGCTCTAAAAACCACAAAGTTAAAACAAATGAGTGACAACGAACGTTCGGGATCCACAGGAGATGACGACCTCTCACTGCCAAAAGGTGACTGAATTCTTTACTGTAGCCTATTTTGAGTTCTTTTATTAACGAATACCGTTTACAGCCACTGTTCAAAAATTGATTAACGAGATGATGCCAGAAGACATTGTTTGTGCAAAAGACACTCGCGATCTTTTAATCGAGTGTTGTGTTGGTAATTTCAAACAGCATTCATATTATATAATTCACTTTTTTCCTAATTCAGCAAACCCACTCTTGATGCTTATGAAATTAGAGTTCATTCACTTGATCGCTTCTGAAGCGAACGAAATCTGTGAAAAAGAAACCAAAAAAACCATTGCTGGCGAACATGTTATTGCAGCGTTACAAGCTTTAGGTTTCGAGGATTATGTTGAAGAAGTTGACGAAGTATTTAAAGAGCACAAGAAGCAACAAAAGGTATGTTTGATTTTCCGTCGACTGAAAGTACTTGGCTTGTTTAACCATATCAATTATTACAGGATCGTGATAGAAGGAGTTCTAGGTTGGAAAACACGGGTATTTCAGAAGAAGAATTACTAAGACAACAAGAACTCTTATTTGCACAATCTCGTATAAAATTCGAGGCTCAACAACAGTAAAAGAATGCATACTGCCCATATATCTCTTTACAGAACCTGCTGATACTTATATGAGGGTCGCTATGTGAGATCATTTATTTTCTACTCAATTTAACTCTATTGACAATAGCTAGATCTATACGAATCCTTTTGTGACTTTCTCAACATGAACTGTTCCCTTTTTGCTCGCTACTCTAATTACTACTAAATCAAATCATATTATGTCTGCTAAAGTGAGCCCCACCCCCTATCATTCACAATTGCACCCTCACCCTATTCATTCGCTGTTATCTAACCACAATAATTTTTAACTATTTGCTACCTGTTCATTAAAATTTACATCATCATTGATCCCATATAGCACACTCTGTTGTTTTCTGGTATCTTTTATAAAAGCTATTTATTTCCTTGTCTACCCCGAAATGGCGCACGTTAGATATCCCGAAGGAGCGCGCGGGGGGGAAGACCCGACTATAAAAGGGAGCAATTTGTGTGGAGAAAATCTTTTTCTTTTTACAGTAATTATTCAATTTCTTTCCCTCATCATTTTTCCGCGAAATGCTACAGTATCTTCGTCCAGTTGCGCCTTCTTTCAAACGAATGAGGTTTATGTCAACTCTATCGACCTTTGACGTTCCTTTTGATAGTAAGCCGTTCCCCTTCACTCGATTCGAGCCTTGCTGTCCAGAAGCGGCAAACGCCACAGCAGAAAATGGTTTCATACCTTGTAAACAACACCCAATACCCAATGTGTTGGGACGCAAGATCAATATGACGGAAAATATGGTCAGACCGCCTTCCATGCGCCATATTGTGGGTTGTGTAGGTCCCGAGGGTAAAGAGTGGTTTCGATCCGAAGTATTAACCGTGCAAGGGAGCATTATCAGGGAAATTATGCTATTACAGAAAGAATGGATGGAATCACATCGTCCCGAATTCGAACAATTCCTGGTAGTACTGCCTACCATCGCTGACCGACTACCACTAGCAGCGAAGAACATACAGCCGCAAGACGGAGAACAGGAAGAACCCAATCCAGATCTTCTGTTATTCCCAGAATTCAAATTAATGCCGTCTTTAGTGCCAAAGCCAGACGAAATACGAAACAATAAAGTACTATACGATATACTAGAGACGATGTGGAATAATCCTAAGAAGCCCATACCTCATCAAGAAAAATTGCAAGATATTTCGGCCAATACGGTTATATTTGTTTGCACTCATGGTAGAAGAGACATGCGCTGTGGTAAAATCGGTCCACTCATTGTAGACGAATTTAGAAAAGTATTGAAAGAGAAAGGTTTAGAAAAGGAAGTCGAGGTTTGGGGAACAAGCCATTTTGGAGGTCATGAATTTGCCGGCAATCTGATTATCCATCAAAGAGGTTTAGGCGGGCATTTGTACGGTAATGTGAGACAATGTCACGTACCCGCCATCGTTGATAGACATATTATACATAAGAAAGTAATAAAGGAAATATGGAGAGGTCAAGTCACTCCTCCATCCATCTAATCTGATAATCAGATACGAAAAAGTTGTACGCACACAAATACGATTATCTAAGCATTGACATACATAATTTAAATCATCCAACTGAAATTGACTGAGTTGGAATACGCCAGTGTAAACAATCTCCACCTTTTTCTCGAAAAGAGAGATCAAACAATTGTAATAACTATCACTTCTGCTGCTTTACTATTTAATAAACTTATCCGTCTTTACCTTTATCCCAAAAGGCCTAATTAAGTCATGTTGAAAGGACTCGTTCTTTATTCTTTTTGTTTCTTTTTGAATCTTTTCAGTGGACAGAAATAATTGGAATAAAATAACCGTCTTCCAGTCCATGTAACTTATAACACTGAGTATAAAACTTATTATTTTGTTGCACTCTGAGACGTGAAAAGAAAAAAAAAAAAAAAAAAAAAAAAAACTTACAATTAGTAAGCATGAAACTTATAGAACCACAACGATAAAATACCAACTGCATTCCACTTTGGATACCCGTCTTTAAGCTACTTGATCTGAACGGATGAGCTTGACATTTTCTGTTGAACCGCTCCCAATTATTTCAAAACTTCAGTAGCAGATCTACCAATCAGAAATCTTACAGCAGCAACAGCGTCATGTTTTGAAACAGCGTTTTTCACTTTGCCTTCGGAAAGTTAATTTACCCGCCTGCTAAGTCTACTTTCAAAAAAGGGAAAACAAAGAAGATCACACATTTTGTTGGTTTTTTAACCCATTTTCTTGTTTTCTTTTTTCCTTTTGCCTTTCTTTTCTTGTTATCATAGTCCCTTTTTTCTTTATCAATATTGCATGATGGAAACAATCCAACAGCAACCTCAGGAAGACGTAACGCAAAGTACTGCCGCCAATGACGATATAGCACAACAGATATACTCTAATATTGAGGCACTTCAGGATAAACAGCACATGATGCATATAAACTCTGAAGCAAAGTTCATACCACTACCTCCTTCTTTACCCATATCACCAAGCATCTCTTCACCTTCTGTTATGAAAGAGCTGCAGCAAAAACCAGAAGATTGTCCATGTCACCATATATTCAATGAACAAGATATAACCAGATGCTCACTGTGTCAGTCACCCATCATGGCTGTTGAAGAGTTGCTGAAGGAAAAGGAACAATTTGAAGCAGAAATAAAGATGTTGCAAGGTCAACTTAAGAGTGAACAGACGAGGATTGACGAGCAAATGCAGTCCATATCCGCTTTGAATGATCGTTTAAAGCAATTAACCGAAACTTTAGATACAAAGACTGTAGAATTCAATGCTTTACAGCACGACATGGAATTATTGAATGATAAATATGTGGATGAGATTGAACGAGTAGCCGAAATACAGCACTCAAAAGATATGGTAGAGAGCGAACTAGAAGATTTATCTAGGCGGCTGTTTGAGGAAGCAAATGGAATGGTAGCCAACGAAAAAAGGGAAAAGCACAATCTGGAGATTGCTCAAAAACATCTCGAAAATCAGTTGAAGGAAACAAAAGAAAGATTAGCAGCCGAGCAAATGCAATTGAAAGAGTTGAAGAAGCGTATGGAAGAAATGACGAAAGAAATGGAAAATGAGCAAAAAGAAGCAGCAGCAGCAGCAGCAGTAGATGATGATCACTTACATGCAACAGCAGATAATTTGAACCCTATTATACCAAAAACACCCGATCACATCAAAGATGTCACCACTTTATTAGCCGAGCGTTCATCACTGTTGAACAATCAGAAGAGACAGGACGGTATTGATCCATTGGTACTAGATGAATTTCAAGAATTTGTTCGATTGGGTGCATCGGTCAGTTTGAAAAAAATACATACCATTCCATTCATGAAAAATTGTCAAGAAGAGGATGTAGAAGCTTGTTTGAGATTTGGACCCAATAGTCGGCTTTCCGCTCGTAAAATCAATGAAGCCATCGTTATGAATACATGTTTCATTGAAGAGGCACCACAAGGATTTGCAGAAGAAGAACAAGCAAGGATAGCCGAGACGAATACACCACTCAAGATATCTGCGGCAAAAACCTTGATGTGGGAGAGATTTAGTAGCAGCAGTAGTAACAGTAGCAGTAATAGTCAAGGAAACCAGGCCCAAGGTTGTCAAGCTTGTGGAAGGAACGATCTTAGTACAACGTTACCCTACCGTTTCAGGATTAGTTATTTCGACGATTGGGCTTGCATTGACCGATTTTGCAGAGATCGATTAGTGGCTGTTTGTGAATTCTATGTCTTTATTAGAAACATTCGACAAGGACTCTATGGCAATCGAAGTATAGTTGATCTATATCACGAGGCCATGCGTTTGAGGTTGCAAATGTTTTATGCAAGGTAAATGTAAAAAAAAAAACTCTATCTTTTCCATGAAAGGACTTATTCTAAATGCTTTGTCTTTATAGGATGGGCGCTCTCCCATGGACATTACGTACTGCTAATAATGCAGAATCACGGAGGAAGGATACAAAACAACAGCTCAGAGTGGTTGCATCAGAGTCATCACCTTTGCCAAAATCACCGGCAGTAAAAAGTACGGAGCATGAGACAGCTAGCAGTAAACGACGAGGTAGCATGATTGATATACGCCAAAAACAGCAGCAAGGCGTGAAAAACGAGAAGGAAAGAAACGATTCACCGTCCATTCGACTTGAAATAAACAACAATAACGACAAAAAATAATGGAAATCGTTATCCTTACTATTATTCCCATAATTGTTATAATTGTACACGCCTACTTTTAATACCTCTTTACAGCTATTTATTCTAATTTGTTGTTTCTTAACCACTATCTACACTAATTCGCTACTCACATCATAATGATTTTATCCTTATTTTCACATTTTACCCAATTTTTTTGCTTGCAATAAAATCTCATGCCGATTTTTTATCATTATTTTTTTTTTTGTTCCTGGAAAATCCTGCTGACTTTTTTACACTTATACATAGTTCTCTATTGTAATTTAACCCCATCTCTTCATTTCATTGAACAGAAAACGAAAAAAAAAACAACTATAAAGCATGACAGAAACTGTAAAACCGTTAAAGATATGTACGGCTGTAAGAGCTTTACGTTTACTTGTTAACGATTTGTTCCTCATTCCCTCAATAGGATGAAAAGTTCACTGCCGACGAGATTCAAAGCATCATCAAAGATGTAAGTAGAAGCAGTGATCTATCATAAAAAGTTGCATATGCAAAAGACAAAACTCTTTAAAAACGAGCGTTGCTCATCATATTGAATTTTATTTAGACTGTTGAACAGGTGTTGAACAACGAGGAATATGCCCATAGCAAGGTTCCTCAATGGAACAGCAATATCATCGATGCATGTCTAACGAAATTGAAAGAAGGAAGTAAAAACCATAAATACATCGGTAAGCAATCGATTAATTATATTCATAATTGTCATTACGTTTATGAAGCCGAACACAACTCCTTCCTCACAAAGATACTTCATTCTTGCTTTCGCTATTTTATGTAGTAACATGTATCATTCTTCAAAATAAAGGAGCAGGCTTCTACGCAGGGAGTACGGTTTATTGGGACAATCAAAATGATGGTAAGCATATGATTAACTTACAACAACTATTTCTACTTTTATTGACTGGAGTTTCTTTTTACAGCGAGTGCAAGTTACAGATTCGAATCAAAATCGATGTTTGCTATTGTGAACGTGTTCGCGTTGAGCCTACCTTGAATCCTACATTTTTAACTCATTCATATGCGCCGCAAGGACGGAAAGTGTCTTTTGCTACTAATAATAATAAACATTAATGAATAATGACAGCGAGCACTATCAAATGTTGGGTCTGCAACAACTGCTTGCTCATGAACATGGACGGCGTGTAGATCGGTGCTGATTCACATTATTACAGTACGAAATTTCGTAAATACTACCACATATTCGGGCAACGTGATATTGTCACCTTCTCATCTCTAATTCAAGAATAACATTCTAAGAAACCCAGGTTAACTGCTCTAACACAGTTTGGGTGCACTGAACAAATATTAGTAATTTGGATATCTCACAGTAGAACATATAACTCGGCTGTCACTATTACTTTCTTGTTTCCATCAGAAGCTTAGTTTTATCTTGCATTCATATAAAAGGCCATCTGGATTCTACACCACAGATAAAATCGATCAACAGCTAGTCCTTCATTTCTGAGATGAAGAAATATCGCATTTATAAACGCTTCAAATAGTATGCTGACTAATGCCGCTTCGGTTTAGGCAGGTAATAGAAGTCTATCACAGTTTATCCCACAGGATCGCTGTAGCAAAGAAAGTGCTGCCGGTTCATTGAGTCAAACGGCTTAAAGGTACTTATGCGTTTAGGCGAGTTCATTTTGCAAAACTTCTCACTGAATATTTCTGCAGTTTTTATTGACTGCTGCTCAAGATTCCTATTATACTTAAGCAGTGTGGGTTCTTATGTGCTTCAGCATAGTATATTTACCTCGTTTGAGTAAGTGCAGGTAGCAGAGATGGCATTGAGCATTTTGACAGAAAAGACAAAAAACTATGCTTATCATCCGAATTTTATATGAAATTAGATCAAGTTTGAACTGTAGATGTCTCTAGCCAAGCTAAAAACAGTTTGTAAAAGTAAATTTAGTACATTTTCAAAAAAAGATATAAAGGATCGAGCTACGGACTAAGGAGGAGAGCTTCTTGCTGACATAACTATAAGCGACCAGAGAACACAATTTCCAAAAATAGAAACTAAACACAACTCCGCTTAAATACACTGATGAGAAAGTTAAAACAAATTTCAGTATCTAATGTTTCCATGGAGAAGTGGTTTAACTCGTCACTTTCACATAGTGAAGATCGCCGGTTCGAGCCCGGCTGGAAACATTCTTTTTCCATTTCTTCTTTTTAGAAACGTATCACGTTTCATAAAGGATTCCGTCCTATTGATGTCTTGAAGCATAAAAGCTGCTGCAACAATGACAGGATAGAGGAATTATACCAGATCACTCAGAAAGATAAAGCAACACTCCGCCTACTATTATGTCAACAAAATTTCATTAATATAACGATATAAAATGAATTTGTATGCTTTGCTGACATTGTTTGAACTTGAGCCATTACAGTATTAAACTCAAAAAGTTTAAAGAGAAGTTCAGAGGCGCTGAAGAAGATTAAACGTACAGTAAAACCTGAACCATAGCTCTGAAACCTTTTTATAAGAATGCAATTGATTTTAAACTAATAACAAAAAACCAGAAGAATACGTATAAAACGATCTGACAAGTATAAGATGTTTTATAAATGCTTACTTGACCACCAGAAACTTGGTTTGGCACCTTGTAAACTTGTACGAATAGGACATAATGATCTGAATACGGTCCTCGTCATCTAAACCGTAAATTAACTGGTCAACTTGCAATGTGAATAAGAACGTTAATAGCTCATTATATCCATCTAAGTTGCAGACTTTTTTCTATTGGTTTTTTTTTTTTTTTTTTCACTTATTAAATTGCTCAAGGCGACAGAGAGCTCTGTTTGTTAAGCTAGTATCATCTCTCATTGCGTCCTAGCGATGCAGTCAGTCAATATGCAAATTCTGTACCTAAAGCTTCTATGCTTAATAATAGCAACAGCTGCTACATCACATCGTCCCTGTAAGGGAAGCACCACGCTTTTCGCCTCATCCTCTTTTATCGCCTTCACTACCATTACCACTCTTTATACTATTAACAAACGGAAACTATACCCCTCTTTTTTACTATATACATAGTAGAAAAGAATCATACGTCGCATGCTTCCTTCTAACATTTGTTCCTGAGGCAGTGCCATAACCAAAAACGCAAGCGAAATGTAAATTCTCATTTTTGTGTGACTATTTTGTTATGCAACCCCTGAGAATCATTAAATTCATGCGATCAGAAACGAAGTAAATTGCCCTGCTTTTCTTGTGTTCTTTTGCGCAGAGCAATTCTGAAAGATTAAAATAGACAGAATGTTCAGACTTATTCGACTAAAACAACCCACTTTATTCTTGCAGCAGAAAAGTTGTACTGCCTCTGTTTTCAGCAGATCGTTCACTCAGAGTACAATATGCCAGCGAACGCAGACACGAAACAGCCGATCGAAAAGGAATGTCAGTTTAGATCGAGATTGGCTTAAGCCGATAAAGCCGATGAGTAGAGAGATACCACTGACGAAGAACACGTTGAGAGAGAGTAAGCGTTTAGATCAGGATGTACACATGTAATTTCCACTAGGACTAAACGTTTCAAAAATCGTTGATTTCTGTTGGGGTTGCTATGGTTGTCTTCTCATCGATGTTTAGATCTGTCTTTGCAACTTGAAAAATTCAAACGTAGTCAAAAAGTAATAAGAAAAGCACGAGAATTAGGTGTCCCAAGAGATCTCTTCAAAGAGCTAAGCAAGCCGTTTGTAACAGCAGTTATTTCAGGAAAGATCCCCAGTCTTTCTCTGACTACTTTATACTCGCAAAAAAACAAAGATGAGTCAGGTAGTATTCTTCGTTTCAAATGAGAGTCATTCCCTATGAAAATACGTTCCGACTGATGAGATTTTGTATAACAGCGTTTTTGGATAAAGCTATATTATCAGCATTTTTAGATTATTGTGCACCACATCTACCAGAGGATCAACGGGATAGATATGTTTCTGTGAGGAAATTAAGTGATTTACGATACCCAAGCGAATGGTTTCCAGAAGCAAGGCAAATGCGGCGGTAAGTGGTTTTTTTTTTTCGCATAAAGGAGGCATAGACGTTGACTTTGCCGACAATAACCTGTAACTTTTATCAGAAAAATCATTTTACATGTAGGGCCAACCAATAGTGGAAAGACTTATCGAGCATTGAAACGATTAGAAAGTGCGGAATCAGGCTTATATTGTGGACCTTTACGTTTACTCGCCCATGAGATTTATGAAAAAATGAACGAAAAAGGAATCCCTTGTAATTTATTGACAGGAGAAGAAAGAAAGGAAGTGTCAGAATACGCACCCTTGACGAGTTCTACAGTGGAAATGGCATCATTAAAAAAGAGAATGGATGTAGCGGTTATAGACGAAATCCAACTCATTGCAGATCCACAACGGGGTTGGGCATGGACACAAGCCTTACTAGGTTTGAAAGCCAAGGAAATTCATTTATGCGGCGAACCGTCCGTGGTCCCTTTAATCAAGAAAATATGCAAGAGTTTAGAAGAAGAAGTAGAAGTGAATGAATATACGAGATTGACACCTTATGAAGTCTCAGATAAATCGTTAGGGAATGATTTAAGCAAAGTTCGCAAAGGCGATTGTGTAGTGGCATTTTCTCGCCAAGATATTTTCAAATTGAAGGCAGAAATAGAGGAACGAACAGGTCTAAAATGTGCAGTTGCTTATGGTGCCTTACCACCAGGTAAGGACGATTTACTTGCTCTTCCTTTAAAAAAAATGTTTTTTAGTTTGTGCTATTTTCATCTGACTCTATACCATTTATAGAAACAAGGGCATTGCAGGCTAAAGCTTTCAATGACCCTCATAGTGGCTTCGATGTGCTTGTTGCTTCAGATGCAGTTGGCATGGGCTTGAATTTGTAAGAAACAATTGTTATTTGTAATGTAGGATACCACTATTTGCTGATAGCTTTGAAAACCATTTTTGCTAGAAATATAAAGCGTATCATCTTTTCCACGGTTGAAAAGTTTGATGGTAAGGTCATGACATTCTTGAGCACAGCACAATTGAAGCAGATTGCTGGTCGCGCTGGTAGATTCGGAACAGCTTATAGTCAGGGTGAAGTGACTACGTAAGTCTATGCTCCCAACAAATAGTATATAGCACCAATTTATTGTATGGGTTAGTAAGCCAAAAATTGCTTTTTTATATTAGCCTTAATCCAAATGATCTAAGTTATGTCAAAGCGTGCGTGGCAGAACCCCTTCCATCATATGAGGTACACAAATGAAAAACCATAACGATGAGGTAATGATCCAAAATAAAGCACTGCTAACACAAATACTTACGTTTAAGATGGCAGGATTACAACCTACACCAGATATTTTGGAACTTTTTGCTCTACAATGGCCGGAAGAAAAGTTTTCTGGCTTGCTGGTAATCATCCTTCTTTTATGGAAAATAATACCTTTTTCAGATATTGATTTAGATCTGCCTTACTGCTTGTTAAATAGCAAAAGTTCGAAGACTTGGCATCATTAAATGGTGATTACTTTTTGTGTAACTACGACGATCAGAAAGTAAGTTTAAAAAGTTACAAACTTGTGTAAAATGTACGTTAAGCTTACAATGATCCCGTTATGCAGAAAGTCGCTGCAGCCATCGAGAATATAGATTTACCAATTCGTGACCGATACCAATTCGTTACAGCACCTGTAAATACTCGAGACGAAACCGCATTGGAGTTGATCAATCTTTTTGCAAGAAAATTCAGTCAACATAAAGATTGCTCGCTGACGGAAGTTGTACAGTTACCCGAAAAGACAGAATCAGCAGATTTAAAAGGATCGGAATTGTTAAAGAATTTAGAATTGTCACATAAGAGCATCATGCTTTATATGTGGTTGAGGTAGCAATGAAGGTTAAGCTATGGTATACGCCTGCACATGAACTGACATACAATGTTCACCACATAGTCTCCGCTATCCTGACGTTTTCGTCACACCACAAGAAGAAGCTTCAAGTATCAAAAGAAAATGTGAAGTTATGATTGATGAAATTTTAAAGAAAATGAAGACGAAGCTAGTAAAAAAGCACAAGATGAGAAAAGCTGGAGGAAACAGACAGCGTGGCATGCAATCATCCGTATAAAGACTTATTTATGGAGCCTATGCCCTGATACCATTTTACTTGCGTTTCTTATTGTTATTTTTAGATTAACACTTCTGTACATACTTTTTGTCCTAACTTATCACTGCTAAAAGTAGTTTACAATGATAAACATTGCACATCATAGATGATGATACCTTTTTTTTTTTCTTTTTGGTACATTTGGTTGAACCATAAGCCTATTATGCTTTTTTTATTGGATGTTGCATATCACTGGAAAGCAATGATTTTACACAAAAATAGAAACTGAACAGAATCATCCACTCCTTAGAAATTGAAAAATGTAACCAGTCAGGACTTTTCTGTAAAATGTTGATCTCACAGAATTTTCCTAGGCTGATTTCATAACGTCATTTAGCCTTTCTACGTCACAGTGATGAATGCCTCAAAAATAAAAGGAAAAGAACTTTTTCTCTTTTTTCCCAGATAACGATGGCTATATAAAAAGAGGGAAGGGAGAACAAAAAAGACAAGCTTATTTAGATCATCTATCAGTTTCATATTCTTCATATTACTATAGTCAAACAGATATTTTACAACTAGTACTTTTACAAACAAAAAATATATTACGATGGGATCTATATTCTCTTGCTTAAGTGGCATTGTCTCCTCTATTGCCTCGCTTCTATCAGGGTTGATTAGTGCTGTTGCCGGTTTCTTCCAAGCTATTATCTCTGCTATTGTTCGTTGTATTACTGGTATTTTCGGAGCTCTTGCTACAATCGTAACTTGCGGTCATTACAGGAGAGGAGGGCGGTCGACGTACTAGTACGCGCCCTCAAAAAAGGCCTTGAAAGATAGCTCAAAATCCTACTGATCGATCATACACTCTACAAGTTACTACGCTATACTGCTAATGATTCTAATTACCACCTATTCTATTGTATTTTTATAATTATTCTCCTGTATAAATTCAATTAAATTATAACCGTATGATAATGTCAATAAAAGTTATCTACGTTCATCTTTTTTTGCTTGATTCACCAAATGAGTGTTTCTTTTATGCTGATTGACGATTGATCCTTCGACTAACTATGTTCATAAGGAGAATGGCCATTAAAACTTGTTTCAAATCTTACCATTCACCTATGAATGGAGTGAATGCTCAGAAAACACGAAATAGAAGACTAGCCTTTGATGAGACGTTTATAATTGGTTTTAGGGATGACATAAAACAATGGAAAGACTGTGCTTCATTGCACATGTGTAGCCATATATAAGAAATACTTTTCCTGCTGCTGGAGGAAACGAATATGTGCGCACAACAGTTGCAAAAAAAAAACAAAAACGGAACACTCGAATCTTTTATAAGGCAGTTATCGCAAGACAATACAAACTTTAACCTAGCAGTTGTAAGACTATCATTGTTAATTCCAATCCATGCTTTAAAAGTAGTTATCAAAAACTGTTTGGATTTGGTATAATGAAATATTGCTTTTTCTTACCTATTATTCTTTAATTGTAATTCAAAAGCTTTACAAAACGGTACACCCACTTTGTTGATCCTGTAATGTATACCCTTTTGATCTGTGTTCCTGGATGAGTCGGAAGCTTTGACACAGCTGTCCCACCAAACGTCATGCTGCTCCGTTTCTCTGACTTTCAAAAATCAAAATGCACGGCTTATGGGGAATATCAGACAACACTGAACCACCTTCCTCCGTTCCTCCGTTTCTTTTCTTAAACTTCATCTTTTTCCTTTACACAGTTGTTTCATTTCCTAAAAAGAGATAGCACAGGGATGAGCATCTCTGTTATCGACTTTGTGCGTACTTTTTTATTAGAAGCGAATAATGATAAGAAAGGCAGTACATTGCCAGATTTATCATGGATAAATGTAGGCATTGCTTCAACCTTTATTTTGATCAATGGTAAATGAAAGACATAGGCATCTACGTTACAGAAAGGCCAGGAAAAAAGAAAAGTAAAAGTGCAGAATGCTAACTTTCTTTCTCTGTAAAAAGGTATTATATCATTATCACTGGGGCTGAAGCTCGAAAAATCACTTTTGACGAGCTCTATACGTTGCATTGTTCAATTAACGTTCATGGTAACAACAAGAATTATCAAGAACTTCGAAATCAACATCATTATGTAACAGCATTCTGTAGGGTTATATCTTGGAGAATATTTTCAACGCAAAGAACCCATATTTAGTGATGTTGATGACCTGTACATATTTTGACAGATTTTTTGTTGACACATGGATACAAACTTATTTGTAACACATGAGGATTTTGATCATTTTCTTTAATAGTTGCCTTGATATTCCTCAGTTCATGTGAAACGGCTTATAATAAAACAGATTGGTCTTATTCAGGGATGGTAAGAAATAACGGATAATTGGATGTATACAGCAAAGTAATATTACCTAAAGATGGCTGATCTGATAGACATATTTATATATTCATGAATAGTTTCCATCCGTTTTACTATCAACAGCATTTTCAACTATATTCATTGGGATTATAGGAACACGATACGCCATGGCAGAAAAGAACTTTTGGCTACCAGAGTTTTTTATACCTACTATTGGCTTGTTGCTAGGCATCACTTCTGGTGCAATGGCAGTAGGGTTATCTACTTGCCTGACAAAAGCAGGCAGACAAGCGGAACAAATCGAGACGTATTTGAGCTTTGGAGCGAGTCGTTGGGAAGCAGGGAGAGCAGTAGCCATTGAAGCTATCCGTATCGCCATGTTACCGAGCATCAATAATATGTCAGTCGTCGGCTTGATTACAATTCCGGGTGCCATGACCGGTCAGATTCTTGGCGGAGCACCTATTATGAATGCAGTAAGATACCAGCAAATTGCTACCTTCATGATTTCTGCTACAACAGGTTTAGCTGTTCTATCAGTGGTTTATGTGAGTCACTTTTTCTGCCCAATGATAACATTCGAATACTGCTATATTGACGCTTGAATGGCTAGTTCTGCATTCATCATTTGATAGATAAAAGACATCGTCTGCGGCCAGAAAGGGTTCATAAATACAAAGCAAACATCTTTCATGATATAAAGGCGATGTTTTTAGACGTGTGGCATGGATTTTCGGATTTGGAAGAACAGTATCAAAACCATTGAAACCGAAAAAGAATCATGCAAAGTTCTGGTAGCTTGGTCATCTGCCGTTTCTATTTTTGGTGATCCTCATTTAACTTGTATTTCTCCCGCACTCCTTTTTATCTAAACCAATTGCAAGTCAATGCTTAATACCTCTTTCTCTTTTCGTATTCAATCCTTTTTTTTTTGGGTTTTTGCTAATCTTTTGTTTGTAAATGCGTAGCATTCAATCAAATAATTATTTTGCTTCAATTTTGTGTACAAATTACTATTAAAATATAAACACTCTTTCTATCTCTACTTCTGAAAATACAGTAAGTATCGGTTTCTTGCTCAGAATTAATCTATTTGTTGTAATGTTATAGTCAATCACATAATACGAATTATAACATAATGATGAAGAAAAAAAAAGTTAGATATGCCAAAAATATCATCGACAACCTCTTTAACCCGACAAAATGCTTTTCTATTAGAAAAAAACCAAGTGTTAATACAGTTGGATCCGGTAAATGATTAACTATTTAGTTTTCAGCAGTAGCTTTTCATGCTAATTTGTACCTGAAAATCTCGTCCTTCGTCAACATGCATGTATGAAATAAAACACTTCTGGCCATCACTAGATCTGTCAGATATGTCAAAAACATCAGCTTTCAAGAAGTCTTATCGTCCCCTGCCAATGTCAAACGTATAATATACCAGTTTTGTAATTCTCGGTTACAAACATGAAGAGAATTAGAGGATCGACAATTAAGTCATATTTCTAAAATAGTACATCTTCCAATGTATAGATCTGCTCATAAAGACTGCTTTGTCAAATGGCTGAAAGCCAACGGTTATCCAAAGTACTGTAGTAGCTGCAAATCGAGATATACCATAGTTCTGATACCCCTCTGTAAGTATCACAAAAACAACCTCAATTCAGTTCGAGCTCTATTGACCCATTTACAATAGATAAAAGAGCAGCGCTGTTTATCATCATTACATTGGCTATTTTGACTTCCATTTACTCTATTTTAAGCATTTGCTATTGTGCAAAAATCGAATCATTACCGAGAGATAGAGTTTACGAACAATTTGGACAAGAGACCTTTCAAGATGTACCTCAAAGGCTGATATTGCCAAGCATTGGTAAAAGCTGCTTGATGGCCCTGTATTCATCAACATCCTATTCATTGCTCATTTCCGCTCTTTCTATTAGTTTATCTCTCTTTATCATGTATTTTCTTTCTATCTTTTAGTTTATGTATCAGCCTTTTATTTTTTCCCTTTATGACCCAGTTTTGACATTTCCCCTTCTCTTCTACGCATTCGTTTTATAAAACGCTTTGAACTTTGCTTGTACAAATGTTGTTACCAGAATATTTGCAAAAATGGATACATATACCGTATATACATCATTTGCTCATCATGCTATGCTTATTTGATGGGTATCATTTGCAACATGTTTACCCCTTTTACCCTAAAAATCGAACCGACGTCTAAAGCACCGCTTACAGAGAGGCTGCAGAAAGCATGCAATTATATGACTAGACAATTTCATATTCTTCGAAAAATGGATAATTTTGGGACGGTACAAACGACAGCCCCGGTGGAAAGAAATTGAGTTCTATTCACGGCAGCAGATTAGACATGTCTTTTAGCGACTTTTAAAAACTGTAAGTGGCTGTCATGAATACAAAATGTTTTATGAACTTGCTGAAGAATCCAGTAAAGTGAAATGGACTACAGTCTTCACATGCTATCATTACTATTTGTAACTTCACAATGGAGGTAATCAGTAATACAAGTCAAGTAGAAATTCATATATGGAAACAGTAATTTACCAAGAAAGCCAGAAAAAGGAATGAACTGAGCTGCACAGGCAGTTGGTAAATATAAATTCACTTTATATAGTCATCACAGTAGCTTAGCGAGAATTAATTTGTATAAACGGCCTTAACCCCCTTCTTCCCAATGAACTGTATCGCAGAATACTAGAAGAGATAGCAGACCTTCCTGGGAACATTTACAGCGCTCGGAATATGAACTTCCAAACACTCAAAAACAACCTATGCCCTGGGGTGGATAAGATACATTTGGCCGATTCATTGTGTAGTCCGAGTCGCGTGAATTTCTAGAATATCATTTGAATGTCATTAACTGAAGTTTGAGACGAAGCAGATATAAGGCAAAACGCAAGAAGAGAAAGCGGATAAGAGAAAAGGGATATGTAATCTCTTACTAGGGGATTGTTTGTGAACCAATTTCCATCCCAAAGTAAACTAGAGAAGACATCGTCGAGCATATTGTAGACATTATGCCTGGTCTGATATACAGGGTTTATGAAAATGTAAAGTGAGAAATCCAGTCTTTTCGTGAATGAGATAAATAGACTTGGACGCTCAGCACATCATGGTGATCCTGTTGCTGCTTTGCTTCAAAAATCTTCCGTCATTATCTAAATAACCCTTTCAATGTTCTTAGTATTTTATTCATTGCCACTGCTCACCTTACATCAAGACCGCCTTGATAGCACCTTAACCCAGATATTGTAATCGTACGGTTCTCCTAGTCTATACCTCAGGAAACCCGAATAGCTTGAATAACATTCCTAAGTCCTCTTTGAATCGTATTGAAGCAATTGACATACACTGTTATAGTCTTGAAGAAGATTTATATACTGCTAAAAGTCATTTCATACCTTAGCAAACGGTATTACATGGTTTACCATTGCTTCAAATTTGTTTGAATAATGAAGCTCTCATGTCCCTTGACGAGATCGAATCCGATAAAGAGATATACGACAGCTCGAACGACAAAAAGCGACTGTGGTGCGTACAAAGTACATGTACTATTCTAACTCTTCCAGAACAAAACTAAGCATTCAATGTGACCCTCATATTACTGTTAAAGATGCCGAGTCTGAATAAGGTATAAGAGATATCGTTTCTTTATTTGCTTCGTTTCATCGGTCATTACACTGACAGATTCACAACAGTATGCCAAGTAAGAAAAGGGCCTGTTCAGGCGTGGATATCGGCCTTGCCTTCCAGAAAGCGGAAATAGCGATATTTGTTAGTGAAGGTGACAAAAATGCCCGGTGATGGCAAACTACATTTAACTGGCTCACTGGATGTGGTCATTTAACAAATAGCGAAATTAGCATTGTCACGATTCGAGCCACATACTCTATGCAATGAACTTAAACAAGGCAGGCTCAAGAAAAATTAGCAAAACAGGATTGATAAGAGTGGTTTACGTTTATAGATTTTTATATGGGCAATAAGTCAATAGAAAAGTTTATGAGCAGTATTGACAAGTAATATTGAAGTGCAATAGTTATGGAGACTAGGCTAAAAGTACAATAGGCTTGGGGACCGGGCTTTAGAGAGTTTGTTCTGGTGTCGTTGATACGATTTCACTTCATGCATTTGCATCTTTAGTTCAGAACGCCGTTCCTAGCACCATGAAGACCACAAAAAGTCATGTCTACACCTTAGTTTAATGAAAAAAAAATAAAAAAAAATTATAATATTACTGTAATGTGCATAAAAAAGAGTATTACCGTCGAAGCAAACGTCCATAATCTTGAAAATGATTAAAAGCAATATCAGTTTTGGGACATCCATCGCCAAGTAACAGCAAATGTAATCATTTGCCACCACAGGACAAGGGAATGTGTCACAGCAAGGATAGCCATCGAGTCTCGGCAAAACTGAGTGGAACAGCGAAATCGTTTGACTTTCAAGTCCTTCATCAAACAACAACCTTTTGTCACCTTTTTATCGATCAAGTTCCATCTTTCAATCGTAACATCGTTATATGGAAGCAATATCAGTTTTGGGACGTCCATCGCCAGGCAATAGCAAATGTGATCATTTGCCACCACAGGACAACGGAATTTGTCACAGCAAGGATAGCCATCGAGTCTCGGCAAAACTGAGTGGAACAGCGAAATCGTTTGACTTTCAAGTCCTTCATCAAACAATAACCTTTCGTCACCTTTTTATCGATCAAGTTCCATCTTCCATGATGTTATATATTTGATAAAATGTATATTTCTAAGTTATGATAGAAAAAAGAAAAAAAAGAAAACAATACAGTAATCTGGGAAATTGAAATTTACATGGGTAAAAGAAAACAGTCCTTAATTCTGGGTTTGAAATATGCTGTTATACGTCATTCATAGCGCTGACGTCTTCCGATACTCAGTTGTTAACTGGATAATGCAGTCACTACTTGCGGTAGCTCGGAAACCCTCTCAACTAGCCAGCAATAACGTTGACACTTCCACTACCGCTAGCTCCGATGATAATTGCAGTAAGCAAATTCAGTTTGGCGCTATAGATGATCCGCTAATTATTACATTCTAGGCAAATCTAAGATTTCTTACTTGACTGATCGTCAGCATCTACGATTCTCTCAGTGCTGCTGGCGACTTTATTGAAGTAAAATTTTAAGGATCAACGCCCAGCATTATATGGAAGTATACCCTACACCCTAAGTTGCCGCGTGAAGGCGTCTTATCTGTATTATACCGTGTGCTGCCTTTGCCGAAGATGCCAAGATCATTCATGTCAAACTATCTGAGCTACCATTGCTCCCGCCAACCAATCTGGGCTCCTGAGAGATTAAAACGTCAACATCGCTCTGTTACTACTGCTGATCGAAGTGCTGCAAATCCTCCGTCCACCCATCAAACCACAGATTCGCAGTTTGCCTAATACTGCGTTATTGCATGACAATTGCACAATAGATGAGTCTACCAATAGTGAGGACGATGGTGATCAAGACTATTGCGCCATCCGATGAGTTCCCTACAGACACTGACTCAAAAATGGATGAAGCTGAAGAAGCTCCGAATGGAACTGATGATATGGCCTACTTGGATTTTCGGCTCAGGACCTTGCTAGTCATCACATCAATATGAATAATATGCACTCCGAATATGTGTCACTAAACTGTAACGGTTTGGTAGACATATCATATTATTGAATGATAAGTCGAGATGTATGGCTTCAAGATAGGGCATTGATCGTTCGCCTACACAAAATAACAACTGTCTTTATTTCTGTTATCGCCTTATTCCTGTTGTAAAACTACTATCATTTGCTCAATTCGAAGGTGAAATTTGTTCTAGGACGCTCCGCAAAACGAAGATGTTCAATTTGTTTTCGTTCAAGTTGTGGCATAGCTAGCTTTCGCCAAGAAGATTATCTTTAACTGCAAGGCTTTAATGACTTTTTTCGTGATAACTTAAATTTCTTTGCTCTTGTATCTTTAATTTCACCCGTAAACTGATTAATATTCTTCCTGAGTAGTTGTAGGAAGTCCAGATTCTTTGCATACAAGTGTTGGCCTGAAATCGATCTGGCTCCACTTCTTGCCAAGGTAGAAAGTTATGCCGAGCATAACATGATATGTCCAATTGGAATTTAAGTACGTGATGCTGTTTACTTAGAAATTTGTTTTTAAGTTGACTGTCACAGTAATTACCCAATACATGGCTGACTACCATGTGAGCCTTAAAAGGAAGCTGTTGGTGGCAATTGTTTTTTACCAAACTATTATAATGAGATTTTTTGAGATGTGAAATCCATGCAGTTGAAGTTTTGTTAAGGCACTATAAATGTCACGTTCGTTATCACTATTGAAGCGACGTGCAATAATTGATCTATCATTTGAAAAATCATCAGAAAGAGCGAGTGGTAGGTGAAGAGCGAGTGGTAGGTGAAGTAAAGGGACAAAAAGTGTGTTTCTATTAGCAGATGTTAACTTTAGCAATTATCATAGATAGCTTAAAACAATAGGCAAAACATACCTCTTATAAGACCAGCAACACTGATGCTGATGGTTCAAGTTATCATTTGTTCCTCTTGTTCAAAATGTCAACACTGCAGAAACTTTGTTGTCCAGCTGTGCAACGAAGCAATCCAAGAAGATGTCTTTCGACTTCTTAGCAGGACTTACGTGCGTGTCTGCTACCTGAAAAGGGTGATTTGACCTAGCTTATAGAGACCGATCTCTTTCACTAAGTGTAATGCTAAGTTTTCACACGGCTCCTCACTGCTTGAATGAGCTTCCTTTGTGAAAAGGTTCTCACCCCATTTCAGCCAGGTTTCATTTTGAAAAAAATCATAGCCGATAAAGGAGTAGCCTTATTTATGCTACAAGATCAAGCAACGGGGTTTCAGGTGGTAGGTACTGGCATCTTCTTGACCAGGAAGAAGCGAATGACAGAATCCACGCTGGGTATTCTCAGGCTGCGGTTCACTGGTTCTATTACTCTCCAGTTCTGAATCATTTTATCTCAAAGCACCCCTTCAAAATCAGGAAGGTATTAATATCAAGAGGTACTTTACTGCACTAATTAACAGTAATGTGGAGTATAAAGAGCTGATCCTTTGCAACCAATACTTTTAATATTGCTCTTAAACTCTTCTTGTTGTCGATGCTGCAGGATCCTTGAATTTCGGCTTTTCTCCTCCATCGCATATTACTCATCGACCTAAACCTATTCAATGTTTAGCTTATGCTTATGCTGTTTGGGTCTTTCTTAACAATCCTCAAGAATTTTTCATATTTACATGGCACACATGAACCACTGCTTACAAGTATCCAATGGCAAGTTTCACGAAGATAAGTTCGAAGTTCTTTACCTTTTCTTAATAAAGGCTTCAATGATTAGCTGGACTGTGATTCTTCACTTCAGATCCATTCTTACATAACCCCTTCAACGGTTGGGGTCTGCTTTCAGATATCTGCGGTATTATATACTGTTTATTTACTCGTCAACGTCAACAATTCGAGGAACAGCTTTCGACTTTAGCTAAGCATGCAATGTTAGATCTATTTTCAACGGGTTGTCCATATTGGGTTGAGTAACAATTATGGATACCTGCGTTTTGCTCTAAATAAAATATACTTTACGCTTGTTCAAGCCCCACTCAACATTTCTTTTCCAAGCTACAATCCAAGATTTATCAATTTGTATGGCAAAACGAAGACGCCTAAACTATTCAAAATAATATCTTCTTTCCTTCCGCTATGAAAGTCTTCAAGTATAAAATCTTATCCATCAACATGTTGTACTTCACAAACGTTGGTCGTACTATATTCTCCCACCTGTCGACCACCCCAGGTTTTTGTATGATTGTATGGTCCAACATCTTCAGTACTTTAAACAGCCCGTTGTATATCTTCTTTTACCCTTTTTCAATGCCTATTGGAAGGATGATATTTGATTGTCTTTTGTATCAGCGAAGATATCATCACGAAACGGATGTGCTCTTTCTTATTGATATCTATAAGTAAATAGCAGGTTACCTCACGGGCATTATCTGTTAATGCATCAGCCTGTAATCTACACTGATGGTTAAGGTGAACTTTCCAGTTTTGTTACTTTATAGAGTAAGAGGACTTTATTTTTTACTCCATATACATCATACTAATCAGAACTTTACCTAGAGTAGCATTTCAGTTATTACTTTCTTATACGTTTGTAATCTTACTTTATCATGCTAGTGAATATTTGATGACAACATCGACGATATGCTCTTCTCTATCGATTTCGTGATAAATGCTATAATATTGTTCAGGATGCCAATCTCTTACTCAGTCACTTATTGTCTTTATCAACGGCAACCTTTATGTCAGCAATCATTAATTCCAACCAATCAAGAACCGTGTAAATTTCACGCACTTCTGCTTCTTTCTTCGGCGTAGTTCGTTCTCTTAGTTGCTAACCTTAGTCAGATCCATTCATATCACCATGGTGAACAGGCTTGCATACTTTTTTAGTAAGAGATATAAGTACCAGTAGACTTCTGTTCACACTATCTTTTTTTTAATCTTAATTTTGATGTTGAAAGTAAGCTCGAACTCTTGCGATTTTACATAAACTTGCTATTTCTATTTTCTTTTTTTTTATTTTCTTTTATTCTTTGGCCTTTTACCGATCAACTACCGTTGTGATATTCTCGATATCAGAAATAGTTATTTAGTTAAAGTAGTTAATAGTAGGAACTAGATAAATCAGCGAGACTGAACAAGAGTTCTGGGATGATTTTTATTTTGGTTTAGAATTTGAGATGGTCTTTTATATGAATGCGAGGTAGAACTAAGCTTATAGTGGAATTAAGAAAGTAGTAGTGACAACCGAGTAATATTGTTCCTGTTAATGAATTGTACAACGCCACTGAGATATATCTAGATTACCAGTAAGGTTGAAGTGTGCCTGATGACATTTTCCCCAGTGTGCCTGGAATCTTATTTGTTCCAGCACACCAGAATTGGTTAAGGCAGTAAATCTGGATTGTTTCTCATTTGTTATATGAATATAGAGGTCAGAACGTGATAAGCGTCATCTGTCAATATGGAATAGCATTTCTATCTTATATACTGTTTAGCCCTAGACATGTTCTTCAGTCTATTACTATATAGAGTACTACAAGCTACCAACGATTACTGGACGGCAAAGCATCCTCGTTTTCTGGCCAACAAGTTTCGCATTCTTGATTCTATCCAACCCCAACCGCGTTTGTGTGTGAATGTAAATACGTGCATTATCCTCGTCTACTCGACACTCATCCGAGATATTCTAACAACAAGATTGATTGTGCTTTAACCTTTCTTGTGGATATTTATCCTCCTCCTCCACCGAAACATTAACCCCATTGGCAGATGCATTATCTTTTAGCGACATGGTAAACACCCGGCTGTGGACCACTTCTCCTGTCAATCTAACAAATCTAGCAACTCCACATACAAGACATTCGACAGAACAAATATCATTCAATGAAGCTTCCGCCCGCCTTTTGAAGTATTATAGTATGTATCCTCTAGAATTGTTTATTATTGTGCTCTTACTCGTTGCGTCTTTGACAGAAAGTGCTTCACCGTTTGGTCTTGTGGCCAATCCCTCCAGACCTCTTTTTTGCACCGATGGCTACTCTCTTTTGCATTTTATCAGAGATTATCCTAAAGTCAGTTCAGCTGCTTGGTTTCTATTATTCATGGCTTCAATTGTTTATGCCCACTGAGGTTCCGAAGCCTGCCCAATTTATGTCAATAATTTCAACAATCCTTTGGCAATTATAAAACTTTTCTTGGCAGTACACTTCTGGCAATACCAGGCTAGTCCCATCTTTAATACTGGAGCGGTTGAACCTATCATTAAGGCGAAGATAAAATCCCTCTTAGTCTCTTACGCTATTTTATAGACGCAATTCCTATAGTAACAGCCTCCTATAGCAATTCCGTTCTTTCCAAGTCTATACTTCTCAACGTATGTCCTCATATACAAAAAGTTAAGCGAAAAGTTATTCTTGTTAGTGATAACGCTTTCTTTTGAAAACGTTGTCCCTTTCAAATGTGCGTCTTTTGTGCTTTTGCCTGATAAACGAGAGTTGACCGATGAGGAAACAAATAGGGGGCTTTGGGCGCTTATTGCTATTCCGCTATTATTAGTAAAGCATTCATTGTCATACAACATGATACACGAGCTTTAGATCTTCAAGAATTTATTCATCTCTCTTCCCCCTTTTTATTATTATCTCTTTACTCTTCGTTCTTCTTTTTATAATGACTTCATGTCCCTTAAATTGCCGTGGTTTTAAGATCACTTCCGACCAACTGAAAGTTGATGAATTCTTCTATACTACTCCTGCTGTAGATTGGGGATTTGAAAACTATCTTCTTTGGTACGCTGAGAAGAACGAGAAAGCCAAAAGCAATAACATTATTCAAGATTACAAAGATTCTCTAGACAAAATAAAAAACTGCCGTTCATTAAATGATGATATTATCAGTTATGCTGGTAGATTAAGCAGCAACTTGGTTCGTTACAAACAAAAATTACACAGCAAAATATCCAGACTCTGATTTTCTCATTGTTTGTTTATTGTAGCATAATACAAAAAAAAGAAAACGGAATCATAATGTTACCATTGACACTGTTAACGGTGTTGCCGTCAATAATGGAACCGTAGTTATTAACAATAACTATGAAAGTCGTGATAAAGTAAATCAACATGTAAAATCTAGAATACAGACAGTGTAGTTTGTTACTTATTACTGAAAGTCTTCCATATGATATAGGTTGATCACACAGATGAATCAACATCTTGGGATATAAAAAATCCAGAAGACTTATTTGACGCCTGGCGTCAATATTTAAATGAAGCAAGCAATAAACATGAGTACTGTACTGAAAAGTATCATGTCATTGAGTGCGGTTACTCTATCAAATGTAACCCGGAAATCCCTGATGAACTTTACAGTCAAAGTGGTTTACCAGAAGAATGTGTTATAGAAAGTCCGTTCATTTCTTCCATCAAGTACTCAGACAAAGTGCTGAACTATATGAAGACTAAAAGCTGGAAAGAAGTTGAGGCTGCTGTTATTGGCTCCTATGATGAAAAGCTCAAAATTGATCAAGAACAAATAGATTATGTTGAAGAGTACTTCCGTTTTTGCCTGTTATTGTTCAAGAAAAATAACCTTTATAGACGCCTCAGTGCTAGTGAATCAAACTTTAGCCGACTCTTAGTATGGCCCGCAGTCGAAGTTGCAATTGATTCAACTGAAGAAATGGTACTTTTACCCGGGGAGTATATGTTAAAGTCTTTTCAAGAGAAATACAAGGCGGATGGTTGCATCATTGACAATGAAGATAATGAAGTATTCATCCTTGAAATCTCCGGAAAGCTAATGCTAAATGAAAAGTGGAAGTATGGGTACGACCACGTAAAATGTACGTTCGGTGCATTGACGATCTTCAACTCTGCTTATAAGAAATACTTTTTTGCTACGGAGGAAACTGCAACGAAACTCCAAATTCCTTATTTGCATGCAATGGGTAAAGATATTTTTATTTATGATTTAAACCAGTGACCTCATCTAACTTAATGAATAGAGGATTCGTTACATTTGTGGGTATTGGAGCTTTACTCCAATAAGTTATATATCTCCAACAAAGCATTTAAATGTAAAATTCCTGAATCAATGAAAGATACCAAGAATATTCTTGCCATGGGCAATTTACTTTGGTGCTTGAAGGTATGTCCAAGTAGTATTATAAAGTGCATTCGAAAATCGAGGGATTAATTGCTCAAAAATAAAATAAAATAGATGAAGTTGGAAGGTGCCAACATTGTTTTGAAGGCAATGAAAGAAGAGCACGATAGCTATCAAGTTAGCAGAATGCTTCGCGGTGATGACTCTCGCCGTTCGTTAGTTGAGATGGTAAATGTCGATATCCAAAAGCCTGTAAAGGGCGAAGGATATGGTGTTGTTTTACCAGATGAAAAAGACGAAAATGAGTACTCTGTGCGTTTCACTGGCACAGAAAAATAATAAAGTTATAATTATCTAAACACCTTGATGTCTATTGCAAAAGCAATTATGAGATAAGCAACTTTATTCTGAAAAAGATAAATCTCGAATTTTCTTCGGTTTCATGGGAGGAAATCACTGATACCTCCATACAAATAGTAACAGATTTTTGACATAAATGTTGATTCAGCCAGAAATATTGCTTCGGAACTCGAGGAAAACAGATGCTTCGTCGCTGGGTCTGTCAATGTCACTGTGGAGGTAACAAAAAGTGATTCACTCAAAGGTTATCATCACTATATTCTAAAACATAAATTGACAAACAACGTACATTTAATGCATTATTATATAGGCCGATGTAGACCATGCCATTGCTAAAACACTAGAGCACTTTTCTTCAAAAAAGCTAGAGGGTGTTATTATAAGCAGTGGTATTGTCACGCCTCCAGCGACAATAACTGGTTATGGTCCAGATCAAGTTTTGACAAGCTATGCGCAGTTTGAACATGTCATTAGAGTCAATTTACTGGGCGCGTACTGTGTTGCACAAAAGGTTTCCGAGATATTGCTGAAAAATAATTCATTTAATAAAGATGGTGAGAGAGGTGTTTTTATAACTGTTTTCTCTATTTTGGGGATTGGACGGCCTTTTTGTATGTTACGGTACATCGAAGGGTAAACTGATGGAAAGAAAATAACGCATAGTTTCATCATGAACAGTAAAACTACTAATACTTTTTACAAATTTGATGTAGCTGGTCTTACGGGATTGACTCTTCCATTAGCTAAGGAGCTCTCATCCTTCGGTATACACGTCATGAGTATAGCGCGTGGCGTATTTAGTAATGTTTTTATTCGTCCATATTCACCGCACTCAACCGCTTTTTCACAGCTTTCCGTACTTATCTTTTCTGTGTGTGTAATTGATATCATTAGATACGCCCATTGTGGACCGCTCGAATAAGAATGCGCCTATAGCTCTATTTCCTCGACGCCTTGGAGAGCCAACCGAGTTTGCAGGCTTAGTTTTACGCGTGATAGATACACCGATGTTGAATGGTTCTGTGGTCAGACTAGATGGTGCATTGCATGTTTAAATACAGTTATAATCATTTTTTTATTCTGTTCCTTTGAAACAAAGCTTTACCCTTAAAGATAATTTTAAGCTACCAATGCATCTACTGTGAATGAAATAGTTGTGAACTGTAGTCAAGCAAATCTCTGTTGTATACAATAAATCTTTGAGGAACATCATGAGAGATGAGTAATGATATTGCTTTGCAGTTTTGTATCTTTTTTAAATTTAAATCTCTTTTTTGTTTGCATCGATATAGTCAGAAGGCTCCTTTAGCCATATGACTCTTAAGTATAACAATTATAAACAGACACTGTGAGTGAAACGAGCTATCAACCACTTGAAATCACCGTAACAACAAGTATAGATGCTTTTAGGAGAGAAGTGAATGAATGAAATACGCATCGTGGTTTCCATTAAAGACTCGGCTATTATATAAACTGAATAAATCTCCACTCTAGACACAACAACGTTTTCTCCAGAAAATAGTGAATAGATATTTTGTAGGCAAGAAAAAGGTATTCAATTGGGTTTAGGTATTAGCACAATTGCGTTGTGTCCATTCTTCTGTAACGATGAATGGAATGAAAAGGAAAGATCAGATAATACCATAAATATTTTTTAACATAGTTTAGTTTACGTTTATAATTGGGAAAATATATATAATCATAAATATGTGGTAAGACGAACAACAAATCTCCATTGTGGTTATATATGTACGATGGGTATGATGGTTATGATGGGTGGGTAAGCTGAAGAATCCAATTACTCCATCATTGATCGAACCAATGGACCGGAAGGTCGATTCACGTTTAAGCGTTCTTTAAGCAATAGGTTCTCGATTTCCTCTGCTTGTAAAAGTTCGAGCTATAAATGTTTAAATAAAATATTTGTTAGTATAATTAAATATCCCAATGCAGCAATCATTATCCATAGTCATCATCCAGCGTCCGTTTGCCTTACATAAAGAGTCGCCAATAATTCTAAAAACTCCAGCAACATCAACCCATCATCCCACCTTCTGGATATTTGCGCTGATCGTATTTCGATGTTTTTCCAACGGTGCTTATCGTGTTGAAAAGTATTTTGAAGATAACAATGGAGACGAATGAAGATGCTTTTATAGTAATAGATTTCCTCTTTTTTTAACTGCTTATTTTTTCTAAATCGCGTATCTTGGAATAACATGGCTGATTTTTCGATAAATAACGAACGCAACATATACCGAACAAGAAGTTATCGAATTGTTTTGACGTTTCAGACAGAGGAACAAATCAACCATTCAACCTGCAGAGAAGATTAAGAGTGATTAATGGGAATCGCTTCCTCTATGGACAAAACTACAAAACAAGAATATTATAATGATTTAAACGTTACAAGGGAGACAACCACCACGAAACCTGGACCGTGACTGAGGAGATCATAAGTCTTTTCTACCAAAACTCAAACAGTTCTGATACCATCCTAGTTGTCAACGCACGTTATAAAGAAGCAGAGACTAGTCGCTTGCATGGACGAGTAGCAAAAGGGATTTAGGAATAAACTACTTACCATTAAATCAGAGCAACTCTCAACCGAGAATAGCCTCCGCCCTCAACTTCTGGAAGAAACGTTGGAGAGTAACAAATGCTTTGCAATTCATGCCTGTATTCAAGATAAACAACTTGATGCAGATGCCAAAAATTACGCTATTAAGGCACACAAACTACTACCGAGCCGCAAACATTTGGAACAAATAGATTTAAGTAACAAGCAAAAAGCTTTCAACCAAAAGTGCATCACCCGATACAGTGTGGTTTACCTGACAATATAAATAGTAATGAAAAAGGCAATTCAAAATAACCAGGCACAAAATAGTATTTGATGGTTATTGAAATGTAAATGAGTTGTGTATTTATATTAATACAGTCAGACATACGGGGATGATAATAGCTATAACAGCTGACTGTATACTCCCTTGGAATAAATCTAATAAATAATTTTCAAGAAATTCAACGAATTCATACATGTTTGATATCGGTTCAGCTCTTGTTTATTACTAAAGTTAAGATGTATTATCTGATGTTGGTGATAAAGTGTCGATGTTGTATTTAAATACAACATAGCCCCCTTGGTAGACAGAAGTGTACCTTAAACCGAGTCAGAGATGTATTCATCATAGCAGATAAGGGTCAAGATTATATTAGAGCAGTAGTCAGTAGTATACAGTTAGTCAATAGAACCTGTTGAAAACCACATAGGGAAAAGTAGGGAAAGGCTACTATTTACTCGGGATGAATTGATTAATCCCTTGCCTTGACGGTACGCGTAGAGAATCTTGTGCTTATGGTAACATTTTTATTTCGCTTTCTTTTTTTTGTATTATGCTACAATAAACAAACAATGAGAAAATCAGAGTCTGGATATTTTGCTGCGTAATTTTTGTTTGTAACGAACCAAGTTACTGCTTAATCTACCAGCATAACTGATAATATCATCATTTAATGTGCTGCAGTTTTTTATTTTGTCTAGAGCCATTTTGTAATCATGAATAATGTTATTGCTTTTGGCTTTCTCGTTCTTCTCAGCGTACCAAAGAAGATAGTTTTCAAATCCCCAATCTACAGCAGGAGTAGTATAGAAGAATTCATCAACTTTCAGTTGGTCGGAAGTGATCTTAAAACCACGGCAATTTAAGGGACATGAAGTCATTATAAAAAGAAGAACGAAGAGTAAAGAGATAATAATAAAAAGGGGGAAGAGAGATGAATAAATTCTTGAAGATCTAAAGCTCGTGTATCATGTTGTATGACAATGAATGCTTTACTAATAATAGCGGAATAGCAATAAGCGCCCAAAGCCCCCTATTTGTTTCCTCATCGGTCAACTCTCGTTTATCAGGCAAAAGCACAAAAGACGCACATTTGAAAGGGACAACGTTTTCAAAAGAAAGCGTTATCACTAACAAGAATAACTTTTCGCTTAACTTTTTGTATATGAGGACATACGTTGAGAAGTATAGACTTGGAAAGAACGGAATTGCTATAGGAGGCTGTTACTATAGGAATTGCGTCTATAAAATAGCGTAAGAGACTAAGAGGGATTTTATCTTCGCCTTAATGATAGGTTCAACCGCTCCAGTATTAAAGATGGGACTAGCCTGGTATTGCCAGAAGTGTACTGCCAAGAAAAGTTTTATAATTGCCAAAGGATTGTTGAAATTATTGACATAAATTGGGCAGGCTTCGGAACCTCAGTGGGCATAAACAATTGAAGCCATGAATAATAGAAACCAAGCAGCTGAACTGACTTTAGGATAATCTCTGATAAAATGCAAAAGAGAGTAGCCATCGGTGCAAAAAAGAGGTCTGGAGGGATTGGCCACAAGACCAAACGGTGAAGCACTTTCTGTCAAAGACGCAACGAGTAAGAGCACAATAATAAACAATTCTAGAGGATACATACTATAATACTTCAAAAGGCGGGCGGAAGCTTCATTGAATGATATTTGTTCTGTCGAATGTCTTGTATGTGGAGTTGCTAGATTTGTTAGATTGACAGGAGAAGTGGTCCACAGCCGGGTGTTTACCATGTCGCTAAAAGATAATGCATCTGCCAATGGGGTTAATGTTTCGGTGGAGGAGGAGGATAAATATCCACAAGAAAGGTTAAAGCACAATCAATCTTGTTGTTAGAATATCTCGGATGAGTGTCGAGTAGACGAGGATAATGCACGTATTTACATTCACACACAAACGCGGTTGGGGTTGGATAGAATCAAGAATGCGAAACTTGTTGGCCAGAAAACGAGGATGCTTCGCCGTCCAGTAATCGTTGGTAGCTTGTAGTACTCTATATAGTGATAGACTGAAGAACATGTTTAGGGCTAAATAGTATATAAGATAGAAATGCTATTCCATATTGACAGATGACGCTTATCACGTTCTGACCTCTATATTCATATAACAAATGAGAAACAATCCAGATTTACTGCCTTAACCAGTTATGGTGTGCTGGAACAAATAAGATTCCAGGCACACTGGGGAAAATATCATCAGGCACACTTCAACCTTACTAGTATCTAAATATCTCACAGTGATGTTGTACAATTCAATAACATTAACAATATCACTCGGTTGTCATTACTACTTTCTTAATTCCACTATAAGGTCAGTTCTACCTCGCATTCATATTAAAGACCATCTCAAATTCTAAACCAAAATAAAAATCATCCCAGAACTCTTGTTCAGTTCGCTGATTTATCTAGTTCCTACTATTAACTACTTTAACTAAATAACTATTTCTGATATCGAGGATATCACAACGGTAGTTGGTAAAAGGCCAAAGAATAAAATAAAATAAAAAAAAAAAGAAAATAGAAATAGCAAAGCTTATATAAAATCGCTTACTTTCAACATCAAAATTAAGGTTAAAAAAAATAGCATGAACAGAAGTCTACTGGTACTTATATCTCTTACTAAAAAAGTATGCAAGCCTGTTCACCATGGTGATATGAATGGATCTGACTAAGGTTAGCAACTAAGAGAACAAACTACGCCGAAGAAAGAAGCAGAAGTGCGTGAAATTTACACGGTTCTTGATTGGTTGGAATTAGTGATTGCTGACATAAAGGTTGCCTATGATAAGACAATAAGTGACTGAGTAAGAGATTGGCATCCTGAACAATATTATAGCATTTATCACGAAATCGATAGAGAAGCGCAAATCTTCGATGTTGTCATCAAAAATTCACTAGCATGGTAAAGTAAGATTACAAACGTATAAGAAAGTAATAACTGAAATGCTACTTTAGGTAAAGTTCTGATTAGTATGATGTCTATGGAGTAAAAACTAAAGTCCTCTTACTCTATAAAGTAACAAAACTGGAAATTTCACCTTAACCATCAGTGTATATTATAGGCTGAAGTATTAACAGATAATGTCCGTGTACCTGAAACCCCGTTGCTTGATCTTATAGCATAAATAAGGCTACTCCTTTATCGGCTATGATTTTTTTCAAAATGAAACCTGGCTGAAATGGGGTGAGAACCTTTTCACAAAGGAAGCTCATTCAAGCAGTGAGGAGCCGTGTGAAAACTTAGCATTACACTTAGTGAAAGAGATCGGTCTCTATAAGCTAGGTCAAATCACCCTTTTCAGGTAGCAGACACGCACGTAAGTCCTGCTAAGAAGTCGAAAGACATCTTCTTGGATTGCTTCGTTGCACAGCTGGACAACAAAGTTTCTGCAGTGTTGACATTTTGAACAAGAGGAACAAATGATAACTTGAACCATCAGCATCAGTGTTGCTGGTCTTATAAGAGGTATGTTTTGCCTATTGTTTTAAGCTATCTATGATAATTGCTAAAGTTAACATCTGCTAATAGAAACACACTTTTTGTCCCTTTACTTCACCTACCACTCGCTCTTCACCTACCACTCGCTCTTTCTGATGATTTTTCAAATGATAGATCAATTATTGCACGTCGCTTCAATAGTGATAACGAACGTGACATTTATAGTGCCTTAACAAAACTTCAACTGCATGGATTTCACATCTCAAAAAATCTCATTATAATAATTTGGTAAAAATCGATTGCCACCAACAGCTTACCTTTCAAGGCTCACATGGTAGTCAGCCATGTATTGGGTACTTACTGTGACAGTCAACTTAAATACAAATTTCAAGTAAACAGCATCAAGTACTTAAATTCCAATTGGACATATCATGTTATGCTCGGCATAATTTTCTACCTTGGCAAGAAGTGGAGCCAGATCGATTTCAGGCCAACGCTTGTATGCAAAGAATCTGGACTTCCAACAACTACTCAGGAAGAATATTAATCAGTTTACGGGTGAAATTAAAGATACAAGAGCAAAGACATTTTAAGTTATCACGAAAAAAGTCATTAAAGCCCTGCAGTTAAAGATAATCTTCTTGGCGAAAGCTAGCTATGCCACAACTTGAACGAAAACAAATTGAACTTCTTCGTTTTGCGGAACGTCCTAGAACAAATTTCACTTTCGAATCGAGCAAATGATAGTAGTTTTACAACAGGAATAAGGCGATAACAGAATTGAAGACAGTTGTTATTTTGTGTAGGCGAACGATCAATGCCCTATCTGGAAGCCATACATCTCGACTTATCATTCAATAATATGACATGTCTACCAAACCGTTACAGTTTAGTGACGCATATTCGGAGTGCATATTATTCATATTGATGTGATGACTAGCAAGGTCCTGAGCCGAAAATCCAAGTAGGCCATATCATCAGTTCCATTCGGAGCCTCTTCAGCTTCATCCATTTTTGAGTCAGTGTCTGTAGGGAACTCATCGGATGGCGCAATAGTCTTGATCACCATCGTCCTCACTATTGGTAGACTCATCTATTGTGCAATTGTCATGCAATAACGCAGTATTAGGCAAACTGCGAATCTGTGGTTTGATGGGTCGACGGAGGATTTGCAGCACTTCAATCAACAGTAGTAACAGAGCGATGTTGACGTTTTAATCTCTCAGGAGCCCAGATTGGTTGGCGGGAGCAATGGTAGCTCGGAAAAGGCAGCACACGGTATAATACAGATAAGATGCCTTCACGCGGCAACTTAGGGTGTAGGGTATACTTCCATATAATGCTGGGCGTTGATCCTTGAAATTTTACTTCAATAAAGTCGCCAGCAGCACTGAGAGAATCGTAGATGCTGACGATCAGTCAAGTAAGAAATCTTAGATTTGCCTAGAATGTAATAATTAGCGGATCATCTATAGCGCCAAACTGAATTTGCTTACTGCAATTATCATCGGAGCTAGCGGTAGTGGAAGTGTCAACGTTATTGCTGGCTAGTTGAGAGGGTTTCCGAGCTACCGCAAGTAGTGACTGCATTATCCAGTTAACAACTGAGTATCGGAAGACGTCAGCGCCATGAATGACGTATAACAGCATATTTCAAACCCAGAATTAAGGACTGTTTTCTTTTACCCATGTAAATTTCAAAAATTTCCCAGATTATTGCATTGTTTTCTTTCCTTTTTTCTATCATAACTTAGAAATATACATTTTATCAAATATATAACATCATGGAAGATGGAACTTGATCGATAAAAAGGTGACGAAAGGTTATTGTTTGATGAAGGACTTGAAAGTCAAACGATTTCGCTGTTCCACTCAGTTTTGCCGAGACTCGATGGCTATCCTTGCTGTGACACATTCCCTTGTCCTGCGGTGGCAAATGGTCACATTTGTTGTTGCTTGGCGACGGACGTCCCAAAACTGATATTGCTTCCATATAACGATGTTACGATTGAAAGATGGAACTTGATCGATAAAAAGGTGACGAAAGGTTATTGTTTGATGAAGGACTTGAAAGTCAAACGATTTCGCTGTTCCACTCAGTTTTGCCGAGACTCGATGGCTATCCTTGCTGTGACACATTCCCTTGTCCTGTGGTGGCAAATGATTACATTTGCTGTTACTTGGCGATGGATGTCCCAAAACTGATATTGCTTTTAATCATTTTCAAGATTATGGACGTTTGCTTCGACGGTAATACTCTTTTTTATGCACATTACAGTAATATTATAATTTTTTTTTATTTTTTTTTCATTAAACTAAGGTGTAGACATGACTTTTTGTGGTCTTCATGGTGCTAGGAACGGCGTTCTGAGCTAAAGAAGCAAAGGCATGAAGTGAAATCTGTATCAACGACACCAGAACAAACTCTCTAAGCCCGATCCCCAAGCCTATTGTACTTCTAGCCTAGTGTCCATAACTATTGCACTTCAAATATTACTTGTCAATACTGCTTATAAACTTTTCTATTGATCTATTGCCCACATAAAAAATTCTATAAACGCAAATTACTATTATCAAACCTGTTTTGCTAATTTTTCTTGAGCCTGCCTTGTTTAAGTTCATTGCATAGAGTATGTGGCTCGAATCGTGACATTGCTAATTTCGCTAATTGTTAAATGACCACATCCAGTGAGCCAGTTAAATGTAGTTTGCCATCACCGGGCATTTTTGCCACCTTCACTAACAAATATCGCTATTTCCGCTTTCTACCCGATATCCGCGCCTGAACAGGCCCTTTTTTTACTTGGCATACTGTTGTGAATCTGTCAGCGTAATGACCGATGAAACGAAGCAAATAAAGAAACGATATCTCTTATACCTAATTCAGACTCGGCATCTTTAACAGTAATATGAGGGTCACATTGAATGCTTAGTTTTGTTCTGGAAGAGTTAGAATAGTACATGTACTTTGTACGCACCACAGTCGCTTTTGTCGTCGAGCTGTTGTATATCTCTTTATTGAATATAATTTTTGTCAAGGGACATGAGAGCTTCATTATTCAAACGAATTTGAAGCAATGGTAAACCATGTAATACCGTTTGCTAAGGTATCAAATGACTTTTAGCAGTATATAAATTTTCTTCAAGACTATAACAATGTATATCAATTGCTTCAATACGATTCAGGAGGGCTTAGGAATGTTATTCAAGCTATTCGGCTTTCCTGAGGTATAGACTAGGAGAACCGTACGATTACAATATCTGGGTTAATGTGCTATCAAGGCGACCTTGATGTAAGATGAGCAGTGGCAATGAATAAAATACTAAGAACATTGAAAGGGTTATTTAGATAATGACGGAAGATTTTTGATCAGGATCGAATGCAAAGCAGCAACAGGATCACCGTGATGTGCCGAGCGTCCAAGTCTATTTATCTCATTCGCGAAAGACTGGATTTCTCACTTTACATTTTCCATAAACCTTGTATATCAGACCAGGCATAATGTCTACAATATGCTCGACGATGTCTTCTCTAGTTTACTTTGGGATCGAAATTGGTTCACAAACAATCCCCTAGTAAGAGATTACATATCCCTTTTCTCTTATCCGCTTTCTCTTCTTGCGTTTTGCCTTATATCTGCTTCGTCTCAAACTTCAGTTAATGACATTCAATGATATTCTAGAAATTCACGCGACTCAGTCTGCACAATGAATCGGCCTAAGGTATCTTATCCACCCCAGGGCATAGGTTGTTTTTGAGTGTTTGAAGTTTACATTCTGAGCGCTGTAAATGTTCCCAGGAAGGTCTTCTATCCCTTCTAATATTCTGCGATACAGTTCAATGGGAAGAAGGGGGTTAAGGCCGTTTATACAAATCAATTCTCTCTAAGCTACTGTGATGACTTATAAAGTGAATTTATATTTAGCAGATGAAAAGCTCAACATTGATCAAGAACAAATAGATTATGTTGAAGAGTACTTCCGTTTTTGCCTGTTATTGTTCAAGAAAAATAACCTTTATAGACGCCTCAGTGCTAGTGAATCAAACTTTAGCCGACTCTTAGTATGGCCCGCAGTCGAAGTTGCAATTGATTCAACTGAAGAAATGGTACTTTTACCCGGGGAGTATATGTTAAAGTCTTTTCAAGAGAAATACAAGGCGGATGGTTGCATCATTGACAATGAAGATAATGAAGTATTCATCCTTGAAATCTCCGGAAAGCTAATGCTAAATGAAAAGTGGAAGTATGGGTACGACCACGTAAAATGTACGTTCGGTGCATTGACGATCTTCAACTCTGCTTATAAGAAATACTTTTTTGCTACGGAGGAAACTGCAACGAAACTCCAAATTCCTTATTTGCATGCAATGGGTAAAGATATTTTTATTTATGATTTAAACCAGTGACCTCATCTAACTTAATGAATAGAGGATTCGTTACATTTGTGGGTATTGGAGCTTTACTCCAATAAGTTATATATCTCCAACAAAGCATTTAAATGTAAAATTCCTGAATCAATGAAAGATACCAAGAATATTCTTGCCATGGGCAATTTACTTTGGTGCTTGAAGGTATCCAAGTAGTATTATAAAGTGCATTCGAAAAATCGAGGAATTAATTTCTCGAAAATAAAATAAAATAGATGAAGTTGGAAGGTGCCAACATTGTTTTGAAGGCAATGAAAGAAGAGCACGACAGTTATCAAGTTGGGAGAATGCTTCGCGGCGATGACTCTCGCCGTTCATTGGTTGAGATGGTAAATGTTGATATCCAAAAGCCTATAAAGGGCGAAGGATATGGTGTTGTTTTACCAGATGAAAAAAACGAAAATGAGTACTCTGTGCATTTCACTGGCACAGAAAAAAAATAAAGTTATAATTATCTAAACACCTTTGATGTCTATTGCAAGAGCAATTATGAGATAAGCAACTTTATTCTGAAAAAGATAAATCTCGGTTTCAGGGGTGGAAAACACTGATACCTCCATATAAATAGTAACAAATTTTTGACATAAATGTTGATTCAGCCAAAAATATTGCTTCGAAACTTGAGGAAAACAGATGCTTCGTCGCTGGGTCTGTCAATATCACTGTGGAGGTAACAAAAAATGATTCACTCAGAGGTTATCATCACTATATTCTTAAACATAAATTGACAAACAACGTACATTTAATGCATTATTATATAGGCCGATGTAGACCATGCCATTGCTAAAACATTAGAGCACTTTTCTTCAAAAAAGCTAGGGGGTGTTATTATAAGCAATGGTATTGTCACCAGCGACAATAAGTGGTTATGGTCCAGATCAAGTTTTGACAAGCTATGCGCAGTTTGAACATGTCATTAGAGTCAATTTACTGGGCGCGTACTGAGTTGCACAAAAGGTTTCCGAGATATTGCTGAAAAATAATTCATTTAATAAAGATGGTGAGAGAGGTGTTTTTATAACTGTTTTCTCTATTTTGGGGATTGGACGGCCTTTTTGTATGTTACGGTACATCGAAGGGTAAACTGATGGAAAGAAAATAACGCATAGTTTCATCATGAACAGTAAAACTACTAATACTTTTTACAAATTTGATGTAGCTGGTCTTACGGGATTGACTCTTCCATTAGCTAAGGAGCTCTCATCCTTCGGTATACACGTCATGAGTATAGCGCGTGGCGTATTTAGTAATGTTTTTATTCGTCCATATTCACCGCACTCAACCGCTTTTTCACAGCTTTCCGTACTTATCTTTTCTGTGTGTGTAATTGATATCATTAGATACGCCCATTGTGGACCGCTCGAATAAGAATGCGCCTATAGCTCTATTTCCTCGACGCCTTGGAGAGCCAACCGAGTTTGCAGGCTTAGTTTTACGCGTGATAGATACATCGATGTTGAATGGTTCTGTGGTCAGACTAGATGGTGCATTGCATGTTTAGATACAGTTATAATCATTTTTTTATTCTGTTCCTTTGAAACAAAGCTTTACCCTTAAAGATAATTTTAAGCTACCAATGCATCTACTGTGAATGAAATAGTTGTGAACTGTAGTCAAGCAAATCTCTGTTGTATACAATAAATCTTTGAGGAACATCATGAGAGATGAGTAATGATATTGCTTTGCAGTTTTGTATCTTTTTTAAATTTAAATCTCTTTTTTGTTTGCATCGATATAGTCAGAAGGCTCCTTTAGCCATATGACTCTTAAGTATAACAATTATAAACAGACACTGTGAGTGAAACGAGCTATCAACCACTTGAAATCACCGTAACAACAAGTATAGATGCTTTTAGGAGAGAAGTGAATGAATGAAATACGCATCGTGGTTTCCATTAAAGACTCGGCTATTATATAAACTGAATAAATCTCCACTCTAGACACAACAACGTTTTCTCCAGAAAATAGTGAATAGATATTTTGTAGGCAAGAAAAAGGTATTCAATTGGGTTTAGGTATTAGCACAACTGCGCTACAACGTTTCCTAAAACAGCAAAGTCGTTAGTTATGGAATGGTACGAAATGGCTAAGTATCAGTTTAATGAGCCAATATTGCAAAATTTTCGTTTAAAAACATTTCAGCTTAACCTTAAAAGTATGGTATTCGACGCGTTTTTAGATAGCAAATAGCATGTGAAAACAATACAAGAAAGCTCAATGAGATCAAATTAAGTAGAACTTTATCGACCAATTTAAAATTACAGAGAATGAAGGTATCTGCTGCAAAACTAAAATATCTTTTTCATATTGCGGACTCTACAAACTGAACAATATTTTTCCTCGTGGAGTTTACGCATCTACCCGGTAAAAGTATCCATGGCTTGATCCGGTGACATGTAATCAACCTAATTTCCCGTACTAAGTATTATGCAGTACTGCTTACAAGAAGTAGTATCAGCTAAGAAGTAATATTCGGGCGTGGTACTTACAGTAGCATTTATTTTTCTAGCGACAATTAGGAATGATGATCTCTTACAACTCGTAAACGAGCTTAACATCTCATACGATGTTGTCAGCTAACACAACGCTTATTTACGGTACTCATTATACTAGAGTTAACGTAGTTTCTCTACTATATTGCATATCTTTTTCTGAATAAAATGGATTATATTTATTGACTTTAATGCGGGACATTGAGTCTAACGTGAATTTGAGTCTGGATCACTTGAGTACAAATCTCTTTCACGTACTAGTTTTTGAAGAAAGTATTTTGTGAAAGGGTTTAAAATGTCTATGGAAGAACAGTTAGTTAATTAATCCATAAATATAATTGGTGTGCATCTATTACCTCTATAAACAACCACTAGGTGAGCTTGGCTTATTATATCTTTCATACAAGTTCTTGCACCTTTTTTCTTCTATTCTTGAGGTGGTGACAAAATGTGAACTTTGCCTGAAGCTAATGTGGACCAAATAGTATGCATAATTGCTTTACCTTGGAGCAGGCATCCATGGTTCTGGAAGGAGTGTCTTACTAGATTCGAAGGCTTCCTTTCAGTAAGGTCTCCGAGAAGCTTCTCTTCTTTCAAATCGGTTTCACTACTCTGCACATTGGCTTCATTTTCCTCTCGTCCGAGCAATTACTGGCATAACATCATCGACATCACACTGACAATAATTTCGGGTATAGCATCAATATCTTTGTCGCATAGAGAAATCTGGTTCATATCATAGTCAATGTCATTTTTTGTTCATAATAGTGAGGAAAGTGCTTTCTATTGATTGCCCCTTGTGTTCTCTTTTTTGGTATGTCGGGATCTATTCCACTTAGTAGATGGTATTAATTCTCGAATATGATTAGATTGCATTGTCGGTATGTTTCCTGGCAAGCGTGGGAAGAGATATCCTTGGATTTTCAAAGTGATAAAAGGTAAAGTTTATTCTACGAGCCTTGCACAGTTAACAATAAATTATGCTATCCGGGCCGAGTTAAATTTCGCTTTCGCAGGAGCAAAATTTGTCCTGTGAGTTTTCGCTGCCTGTGAATAAACAATCTCATTTTCAGTTTTTCAGTTCCTGCAACGAATCGATTGAAAAGGGAAAAATTAAATAGAACCCATAATGATAGTTCAGTATCCATTGTAATTGAAAAAAAAAATAGAAAAAGAAAACCAAAAAGCTTATACATGAATGATCAATATGTGATAAAAAACAACAAACTTGGTTATATAAATATGATGGGTATGAAGATGATGGTGGGTAAGTTGAAGAACCCGATTATTCCATCATTGACCGAACCAATGGGCCGGGAGGTCGATTCACGTTTAAGCGTTCTTTAAGCAATAGGTTCTCAACTTCCTCTGCTTGTAAAAGTTCGAGCTATAAATGTTTAAATAAAATATTTGTTAGTATAATGAAATTACCCCATGCAGCAATCATTATCCATAGTCATCATCCAGCGTCCGTCTGCCTTACATAAAGAGTCGCCAATAACTCTAAAAACTCCAGCAACATCAACCTATCATCCCAGCTTCTGGGTAATTGTGCTGAACGCATTTCTATATTTTTCCAACGGTTCTTATCGTGAATCGTCGTCTTGCTTAACGTCACTTGCGTTTTGATGATTTGAAGGCCGTAGGCACCGAGTTTCTTAAACGTTTCTAACGATGCATTTTCATAGTGTGAAGCCTGCCACCTCAAAGAAGCGACATTGCACTCGAGAATTTTGAGTGAATCCTCAAGACTATGGGTTGTATGTTCTTCAAGCATCCCACTATAGATTTTCATACGAAAGAAATTGGTTATCAGTTTATTGTATTCGTGAGTTATCAAAAATAGTTGTTATTTTTTTGCTTTAGACCTTGACGACTCCACAACTACCATCTCCATATTATCATGCGTTTTCAAAATTCCCAAAGCATCAATATATCTTGCAGGCACAGTGGAACGACCGTCGTAGTCCCCATCCTTCAAATACAGCGTTTTAGTGGCGTTGTACTTTGCTTCGCACCTTTGATAATAGTAATAATAATGATAATAATAATGTCAGGAACAAGTATTTTTCTCTTTTCATTATCTTTCTCACGTCTTATTGAACAACTTGCTGCTACACTTACCACTTAAATTCAATAAATTTGGTAATTTTTGACAAAGCCAAAAGACCAGGCAATACAGCTTCACAAAAAAATGTTCTTTCGTGATTCATCATGTGCATTGGTGGGGTTTGCTGTACAAGATGGAACGTCGATAGTGTATGCTTGCAAATACTCAAGAAGTTCTTACCTTGTTCATCCATGTTGGCTTCACTTTTCCAATTCCAAAGGTGACTAAGAAAGTCATCGTATGAAACCTTACAAAGTAAGGAAACCAAGCCGTCAAACAATCCAAGAATACAGAGGGACGAACTATTGATCTGTTGCTCTTTATTTTTCTTGTATTCAGTTTCACACAAAGGGTCACTTATACAATACTGAGTGCCAAAGACGAATAATTGATTAAGTGTTTCAAGTTCAGCTTTGCGCATTTTGGGCATGTGCGGCCGCTCAGTTGATGTACAAGGTGGATCGAATATGTATCTGCTAGGTCCTTTACTTACAGATATAGAGGCCTATTACACCACTCGCAGAATTAGCAGCCGGTGCATTTTGTATAGCGAAAAAAAAAAAAAAAAAAAAAGAAAAAAAAAATCTTACCGATGGAGTGGTAGGCGTGGTAGGAGTAACGATATTGCTGTTGGTAATATTGGTAACTGGTGATGATCTCTGTTAAGAAGGAATAAGAATATGATATTCAACGTGGTAATAGTGAATAAATACTTCCGAAATACTATCTTACTCTAACAATTATTAAGACATTACCTTTTTATTTACAACATTAAGCTCACCATGATTCGTAATAGTATCAGCAATTTTATCGGCACGAACTGTTATTGGTAGTAGAATATCAGCATCTGCATTGTTGCGAGCAGAATCTTGTCCTTCATTTTCGCGTCCTTTTTGTTCTTGTTCTTGCTCTTCTTGTTTTTGTCGCGTATTCATGCAGTTCATATTTCTCAAATTCTAGAAAAAAAAAAAAAAAAAAAGACAACCATGAGTACTATAACCTTCCTCTTTTATTTTTCTTGTATTTTTATATATACCTCAATAACCTCAACAATTAATTTTCCCTTTTTTCTGAATGTTGGTTGTTTTTCACAAGCACTGTCAACATTGCGTCGCATGTCTTCCAATAGAGATCCAAAAGAATCATACCGCTCCAACTTATCGTAAACAGAAATAGCTTCCAATATGTCCCAGTCTTTTGGAGCAGTTTGGAAAAAGTAATCGATTGGTGTTTTCATGATAATGTGTTAATAATGAAAGTGTGTCGAAGTAACTATGGAGACGAATGAAGATGCCTTTATAGTAATAGATTTCCCCGCTCTTACCCCTTATTTTTTTAAACCGCGTATCATGGAATAACATGGCCGATTATTCGATCAACAATGAACACAACATATACCGAACAAGAAGTTTTCGAATTGTTTTGACGTTTCAGAAAAGAGGAACAAATCAACCATTCAACCTGCAGAGAAGATTAAGAATGATTAATGGGGATCGCTTCCTCTTTGGACAAAATCACAAAGCAAGAATATTATAATGATTTAAACGTTACAAGAGAGACAAGAAATACCACCACGAAACCTGGACCGTGACTGAGGAAATCACAAGTGTTTTCTACCAAAACTCAAACAGTTCTGATACCATCTTAGTCGTCAACGCACGTTATAAAGAAGCAGAGATTAGCCGCTTGCATGGACGAGTAGCAAAAGGGGTTTAGGAATAAACTACTTACCATTAAATTAGAGCAACTCTCAACTGAGAATAGCCTCCGCCCTCAACTTCTGGAAGAAACGTTGGAGAGTAACAAATGCTTTGCAATTCATGCCTGTATTCAAGATAAACAACTTGATGCAGATGTCAAAAATTACGCTATTAGGGCACACAAACTACTACCGAGCCGCAAACATTTGGAACAAATAGATTCAAGTAACAAGCGAAAAGCTTTCAACCAAAAGTGCATCACCCGATACAGTGTGGTTTATCTGACAATATAAATAGTAATGAAAAAGACAATTCAAAATAACCAGGCACAAAATAGTATTTGATGGTTATTGAAATGTAAATGAGTTGTGTATTTATATTAATACAGTCAGACATACGGGGATGATAATAGCTATAACAGCTGACTGTATACCCCCCTGGGACGAAGCCTGAAAATCAAATGAAAGGGTTTCAAGGAATTCAACAAATTAATACGGGTTTGATATCGGTTCAGCTCTTGTTTATCAGTAAAGTTAGGATGTATTATCTGATGTTGGTGATAAACTGTCGATGTTGTATTTAAATACAACATAGCCCCCTTGGTAGACAGAAGTGTACCTTAAATCGAGTCAGAGATGTATTCATCATAGCAGATAAGGTTAGAGCAGTAGTTAGTAGTATACAGTTAGTCAATAGAACCCTGTTTAAAACCACATAGGAAAAAGTAGGAAAAGGCTATTATCTACTCGGGATGAATTGATTAATCTCTTGTCTTGACGATACGCGTAGAGAATCTTGTGCTTAGAAAAGCTGTGCGCGTATGGATCACTTTAGAATCAGTGTCTCGCTGGTAAGTATTTTCGGAAAGTGTGTTAGTTTCGTTACCAACTATTGTATCTGACGATAATAAAAAGGTAGTTCAAAATAAGCAGGCACAAAATATGATTGATGCTAATTGAATAGTAAATGAGATGCGTACTCATATTGCATTCAATCGAACGTACGGAGAGACAAATGATAATGCTCGGAACCAGCTATAAATCCGTAATGATGTACTTCGGGGTAAAGACAGGAACGAATCATGTGGAAGGTTTTTGAAGAATCCAACAAACTTATTCATATCTGTCATCGTTTAAGTTCATGTTTATCACCATTATTTCTGTGTCATTTGCTATTGATAATAAAGGATCTAAATTACACCATGAATACAACATAATGAAGCCGATTACCAACAGCGAGTACTCCGTGCAGCAAATCAACAATACAGCAGGGTGGATGAGCTCGCGCTAGATATTAAATCGACTACGTACTGAAACCACAATAGAGAAGCCGTATTTTTATGGGCAGACAGGCATTCAAAAAAACCATCTTGGAGAAAGGGGACATGAAGCCCCAATCTTCAGCAACAACAGTTGCAGTTCAACAGCCGTAGAACAAAAATACCTTACATACAGCCATTATACCAGCACCTCCACTTCTAATTATGAATTACGTCAATTCTGCGGATGGATTTCTTACAGGAAGTTGACTATACCACTTTTTTTTTCCTACTGAAAAACTATAACAAGTTACTCGTGATTACTATCAGTAATTCAACATAAATACAAAATATGATTCTCTAGAAAATCGGCTCAATTGAGGAATCAAAAGAATAAAATTACTGTGGGATCAACGCCCATATCAACGAAACAATACAGAAATTCTTGAATAGGGGAATGGTAGAGATATCACCGACCGAAAACCGACAATTCCTTTTAACATCTTATATATTACAGGAGATGATGAAACTAAGACCAATCATACTGGCAAAGACCAAGAATGAGAAGAATTAGGTAACGACCAGAGTAAGGCATCAACTAAAACAACTGGCTTCATTATCAATTACAAGAAAGTATTCTCATTTCGTCCAAAACTCAGACGTTTTTAGGATTTGTATTCAACAGCAAGAGTATGATTAAACCAGTCTCGTCACTAAGACTGTCAATTTGATGTAATAATTTGACGACATTGCTTCCCAAGAAAGGTATAGATGAATAACAGGTTTGTTGGGGGAAAATGACGTCTATGATCCCGGCAATAGCGAGGCTTTGTTACACATCCGCTACCTACAGCGAGACTTTTCGAAGACGCAGTCGAATTGGGAAGCAACTTGCAAATTTTCAAATACCAGCCTTCAAGAATTACATTGGTGGGAAGCGTGTACAATACAAAAGAACGGTTTGCCAATCCAGAAAATAATTCAAAAGACAAATTTGAAGACTATAATTCAGTAAATGCATCCAACAGCAGCTGGGGAGTGAGTTTTACAGCTTTCAAGATTCCGGAAGGAAACCCCCAATCAATAAACTTACGAGAGTTAAAAATTACTTTTGTTTGCACTCGTGTATCATGCAGTAAATGGGAAAACTCGATCAAGATTTACTCAGACAACATGACTGCCTTAAAGTATATGGCCAAATCAGGTGGGACTATTTCAAGACCTAGCGATTCATATACAAGAACTATGCATTCAAGGAATATAAACACACAGGCAGACAGACTAAGCAGGTTAGGAAGCCACTTCAAGCGTCAGCAATCCCAAAGAGACTGCTCAACCGTATACAGCAACAATAGGGAAAATTGAAGAAAGATGCATTCGCAGCAAGGGCTACTGATGTACTGAGCTATTCTCACCAAAACCAGCAGCCACAGCAGTCGATGCTCTGAGACAAAAATGGTTACAACAGGACCGTATTTGTATCCAGTGGGAAGACTGATAGCTCAAGTAGGAAAGAAACTTCGAAAACAAAGAAATAAAAAAGCAGTTCTAGTCACTGCTCTGGCTTTTTTTTTTTTGACATTTATTCAATAAAAACGGACGTCAGAAGTAAAAAATTAGGAAGGGTATCTTGGTCAGATAGGGACAAAAGGCCTTGTTGATGGTTAAAAGCTTATACGATAGACGTGCCTCAGCTAGGAGATCAGCCTGTGCCCTCCTGAGACAAATCGACGCTCTTAACAGTAATTTGTAAGGTAACCGATGATGATAGCCGTTGGTAAACATTTTCAGTGAACCAAGTGTCTTGACTAATAACGGTAAACCAATGATACTCCCATAGAGTTTCCAAAAGGACACCCAACAACTTAGCATGTAGGGTTCAGTATATTCATCAGTATTTGGCAGTCGTAAATTAAGCAGGGTATGCATAACATCTGCTGGAGTTCTTAGTACATTGAAAAAAGAAACGTGATCCAGGGCTTTTACCCAGTATGAGCATTTATCAGGGCAACGAACAATAAAGTGATAGTCATCTTCGATGGGTGCCAAACACAGCTTACACGTTGCCGAAGGCCATCGTTGTGGTCTTATACGGTGCAACAAAGCCTAAGTACTTATAGAGTTGCAAAGCAAACGCCACCAACAGGTGGTAACTTTATGTGGTAGTCTTAACGACCAAAACACCTTCCAAATCCGAGGGTGGCAAAAGCCCGGTGGACATATATAAAGAATTTGTGGGATGCATAACAATGATAGTGGACCTGTTAACTTCTCCTGAAGGTAGCGCTGCAACCCGAACTGCCTCAGTATAACCAATAGTGTAAGTGTCGTGATACCTTCTAGTTGATTAGATGTAACCATGTAACTTCAATAATATTTAAACAAGGCAATATCTCTGAAATAATAAACGACAGCTTTTTCTTCCGAGTTTCAAAAATATCCAAATACTTTGTGATCCTCGTAGCTTTGTGCACGACAGTAGGCACTTTTTTTTTTTGTTTAAATTCAGGTTACAATTTTATTATTTGATATGAATTCAAAAGGGCAGTAGATAAATAGTTAAGTATTTAAATGTGAGAAAGGAAACATTAAGGTGAGCTAGTACGCATATGGTATATAAAGTTTCGGCAAGACAGCTAGCCTGTAACTTGCTGGGGTAGAGGCTCTCCACTTTGTAGAGTGATCTTAAGGGTAACCGAGGACCGAAGCCGTTGTAAAGCGTTGTCAGTAGACCAAGATTCGACATTAACCATCGTGTACCAGTGATATTTCCATAGAGTTTCCAATATGTTGCCTACTAATTCTAGTGTATAGTTTTCTGTAAAAGTATCATCGTTTCGTAGTTTCAAATTGAGCAAAACATGCCATACGTCTTTAGGAGACCGTAAGACATGAGAGAGAGAGAGAGCTGAGACAAAGCGGCTGACCAAAAAGACCATTTCATAAGGCAGCCAACCACAAAGTGAAAGTCATCCTCAATGGAGGCTGGACATAATTGACATGTAAGCGAAGGCCAAAGCCGAGGACGGAGACGATGTAAAGATGACTGAGTGCTTAGAGAATCACGTAACAACCGCCACCAACATGTAACGACTTTATGAGGCAAACGCAAAGACCAAAAAACTTTCCAAACACTAGGATGACAAAAACCAGATGGGCAAAGATAAGGAATCTGTGGGATGCCAAGTGTAGCGGACGGACCTGCCAGCTTCTCTTTCAGCTACCGCTTTGACCAATACTGCCGTAAGATACCGCGAGTCAGTTTGATGAACGAGAGTGCCTTAGTAGCACTGATTTGGATCCTCCAGTGGTTGCATATAGGAGCCCAGTGAGATGCATCAATGGTAACTATTTGAGAGGACCGTTGAGAGGCACTCGTGAATCGCATGTGAGGCGGTGGGACATCCTGTAATAAATCTTGATGCATGAACTTTTTGAATAGAGGGCGCCATTCAAAGGGAGGGTTATCGTGTTTTAGCAGCTTGAGTACGTCACCAGCCATATTTTGGTAAGGCGCGCCGCCTCGAAGAAAATTGGTGAATTGATTATAAGGGTAGGGCCAAGAGACAACGTTCGCCACAGTATAACATAACAGGATTTGGTTAGTGTCATAGTGATCAGCGGATATGGTGGATTGGCAGACGCAAGAGCAGAACGTAAGGGAGTATCGGCTAACCAACGACCTGGCCAGCTCGAATGTTCCGGAAGAGCCGGAAGCTCTGTCAGGAGTCTGGTCAAGATGGATAAAGTCGGAAGTTGTTTGAAAAGAGGTAGCAGTGTTCTAGAATACTGTAGCCATGGCAACAAGGAGCGTTGACCTGTGCAGAGGTACACACAGTAGCCTATTAAGGGTGTAACAAAGTCACTGGCGGTTTTTGGTCGAAGTATACGCTGAACAAAGATAAGCTGAAGGGCTAAATGTTTCTGATGGATGTTAATGATACCTAAGCCGCTATGATGCTTGTGTAAACATATGGACCTCCAAAAAGGAGCTGGACGGAATGATAGAATAAACTTACGAACGACAGTACGGATTTCATTCAGCCAGTATTTTGGAACCGGAACTACTCGTAACAAATGCCAAATTTTGCTAGGAATTTGTGAATTAACCACTAAGGACAAGCCTCGGACTGAGAGACCGCGCTCCTTCAACTTACTGCAATGGAGCCTAATGACATGTGTGATACGATTAAGGTACGATTTCAATTGTTTGGGTGACGAGTAAAGTGGATAGCCCAAATAGCGAACAACCGAAGCACTATGTTCGATGTGGTATTTGATGCCTTCCGATTGAGCAATGGTAACCCAGGAGGAGCAGCTTTCCCCAGACAGCGAGATAATATCGGTCTTCTTAATATTCACCTTTGCATTACTTGCTGCGCCATACAGTGTCAATAGATGCCCCCAAAATAGGCCATTCTTCGGGAGAGGACAAGAAGACCTCCAAATCATCAGCATAACTAAGTAATTTGAATACAGGCGAGCAATGCCACTGAATAGTATCATCCTCCCCTGTTTCCGGGTGCTTAATAATGGGGTTTTAGCAATGGAAAATTCCTGTGTTTTAAGAAGAAACAGCGATACACCTTGTAAGGGAGAGACTAAAAGAGTACGGAGAAAAGGTTCGAACGTTAGATTGAACAGCAGAGGGGAGAGAGGATCACCTTGACGTAAGCCGCGACCTTGCATCAAAGGCCTTCCTAAAAATCCATTGATGGAGACGGAAATTGCGGTTGAGAAGAATAAGGACGATAAAGCGGGAATCAAATGTGTGGGGAAACCGAAGCATAACAATACCATGCGAAAATATTGAGGATGGACACGATCATACGCTTTTTCTTGATCAAGCATTACAGCCACTGCAGTAGCAGCACGAGGATCAGTACTTCTTCGAAAGTTGTCCATAATCGTCAGGTTGACCCAACCGTTATCAGAAATCAAGCGATGTGGCATAAAGCCTGTCTGATATGGGTTGATTAAACTTGGTAGAACGGTGTTGAAGCGATTGGCAAGTAACTTTGTGAACAGCTTGGCATCCGAATTGATTAGTGACAAGGGTGGCCAGTTGCTTAATAATGTGGGGTCACCTTTCTTAAAAAGCAGTACCATTCTAGTTTGCTTCCACGACACAGGTATATTGCCATGTAGTGCATCGTTTAACACCATCAAAAATAAGAGCTTGGCCTTAGGGAACTTAGTGAATAAGAACTTGTATACTTCAAAGGGCAACCCGTCTAATCCTGAGCTTTTAGCATTAGGAGTGTGTTTAACGACATCAAGCAAGTCAGCGGCTGTAAAATCAGCCCCCATTGCACTAGAAGTTTGTTCAGATAATTTCACATCGTCTGGAATATTTGCCAGAAGGGAGTCACGTGCAGCTAGGTCAATTTCCTCAGGTGAATACAAATGACTATAAAATCGGTGAGATTCCTGCAAGAGCTCGGGAGTAGTTTTCAGCATCCGGCCAGTAACACTGCACCGTAATGCATGAATGGTCTGCTGCATTTGTCGTAACTTAATGGCCCGATAGAAATATTTTGTATTTCTTTCCCCTTTTTCGTGCCACCGGGTAGCAGATCTGAGTAATACTTTTTCCATTTCATCTTTGGTCTCTTTCTCCAAGGTAACATTCAATTGTTGGATTAGTATTTGTTGGCGTGTGGCATTTTGTAGGTGACTATCCGCAAGCAAGTGCTAAAGCTCCTGTTGTATTTGATGAAGATTCCTGCTTCGTCTCTTTTTGAAACCATGAGAGAAGCTTTCACAGATATCTTTCAAAGCGCGCTTCAGACTTTCCCATTTTGTTTGTGCAGCTGTGTCATTAAGTGATTCAATCGACAAGAAAAAGGAGTTGATAACATCTGTCAATAGTGTAACAAAAGTATCATTTCGCAAGAAGGAAGTGTTGAAGCGCCAAAAGTCGGGGCCAAGATCGTCCCTTTCCGAAATCAGATCAATTTGCAATAATTGATGGTCTGTCCAAGAGGAAGGTAAGTAGGTTTGCTGAGGATTGGAAATACGAGGCTGGTGAGCCTTGTTGCAAAAAATGTAGTCGATGGTAGAGGTATGGCTGCCACGGTGGAATGTTGGTTTACTGTCCGAAAAGCAATTGTCAAAGTTTATAAGCCGTTGATGCCAAGAGATGAACCGAGGATCATCACATCGATCAATAAGCTTCAGCAGAGATAGATTGAAATCGCCAAGTAAAATAGAAGGTGATTCATCAGGCACAGAGGTGGCAAAAGGGGAGGATAGAAACTGTTCTAGAAAGGGCAGTCTGTTTGCGGATTGTGCAGGACCATAAATGTCGAGTATAGAGCATTCGATTTGTTGTAATACTTAATTATATATCGTAGCCCTGATAC